TTCTGTACAATAAAGTAACATGATATACAAAGGATTGGCATACCAGCACAATTCTATAACGGCAAACCGACATATCCAGCCCCTGCCTCCCTCAATAAGCGTTCGATCAATTTCATGCCCTCCAGGACACGCTCCTCTTCAAGCCGTCTTCCTACAATCTGCACGCCAATGGGGAGACCTTCCATAACACTTGCATCATACAACCGGTAGTAGTTCCGTTCGATGGCGTTTCGTGGGCGGAAAGTACGCGGGAGAGCATCAGCCGTCGCATCCACATGCGTGATCGGCATAACCCCCGCACTGTAATCAAGCTTTTCAAAAATTGAGAGTGAATCTCAGATAAGAGCCGTTGAAAAGGAGTGGAACATGCCAGATTGAATAGGAAGGTGTATCCACACGCTTTCCATCCGTGCCTCATCCCTCCGTGAGGAACAGCAGGAAGACTGTTTGGCACTGTGAGGATGAAGTCAACTCCCTCATCGCCCTGACGGCCTTCGACCTCCGCGTCCCGCCAGACTTTGAACCAGCGAGAACGGTAGTCCTCCCTTCGCGCAATCAAGGCATAGAATTCTGCTATGGTCTTCTCGTAATGAGTGTCGATCAGACCGGCATAGATGGGATCGCGACGTATATAGCGGTGATACCAAGCATAGAGCTTTATGACGAAGTAGGGGAGACGAAGGCCGCGGAACGCTGATGTCATTCCAGCATCGTTGGACTCAAATGCGTGATGGTTCTTGGAAGCCGTCTTGCCGCCATCAGCAAGGAGGAGCTGTGACGCGATTTGAAGGCCTTCGTATGGGCTCGGGCACTTCCTAAAGTCGGACGTCTAGGAAGCACTTTCAGAAAGAAGAGTTTTGACCTACAGAGTGACAACTTCGTGGCCGTTCTTCTCGAGTATCGCAGTAACCGTCTCCAATGCTCGCATACACGCAGGTGAGGGTTTCACGACCTCTGTGTGCAAACATGAATGTGCTGGGGTTAAACTCCATGGAGATGTTCCACTTACCGTCATCCCACAGGACACCCCATCTGATGGGGCGATCTTCCGGAAGTTTGACGTCTCTCCACGGAATTCTAAGAACCTGTATCATCATTAGCTTAATGACATGATATTCTAAGGTTTTAGTTACCGAGTAGTCGTAGTTCCAAGGCTTCATCTGGAACACAGCTCTCCAGAACGTCTCTAGATCTTCCAACGTTCTGGTCATAGGGTTATGTGTTGCAGGGACACCTTCCTGGCCAGGCACACTGGACGCGCTGCCTTGCTTCAAGAATCTATACATACTTGATTTGATCGAATAGACACCAGAGAAGTGCGCAGGGGCCCGAACGCTCCCCGCGCCATCTGTGCCTATCCCAAGTCTGGATGCACCGAGCGCAAGGAGTACAGCCTCGCCTGCTGAGGAGCCTCCTGGAGTATAGCCCTTCTTGTGGGGATTTTCGGTAGAACCGAAAACATCGTTTGTCGACTCCAGGGAGAGCATAGTCATGGGGACATTCGTCTTGACGTATGGAACGGCACCTGCATCTCGCAGTAACCTCACCAGTGCGCCATCGGCAGCCATAGGTTTGCCTACAAGAGCCGAATATCCCATGGAGGAATCCCAACCCTTCACGCTTACCAAGTCCTTGAGCGAGACTGGGACGCCCGCCAACGGACCTGATCGGTTCGCAGTGCTGGCCCAATTCTCTGCAGAGGCAATCATGACCTCAGTCAGGCAGTTTGTCTGAGCATGCGCCTGAAGGGCCTTCTTGGAGTAGGCCACGAGGATGTCGGATGGAGACAGGGATGATGTTTGCACGGCAGCCACCAGGGACGAAACTGAGCGAGACAGAATCTCTTTGTCCTGGGAAGTTAGAGGCTCATGGTAGATGGGTTTGAGGGATGCAATTCGTTCTGCTCGCTCTCGTTGCTTATCGCGACTAGTGTAATTATGATCATTGTCAGAGCCGAACGGTAAAGGAAACCGACAATGACTCACCAAGCGTGACGGTGCGACAAGTAAGAGAACAACATGGTCCCGAACTCGAGCCAACGACAAACCTTTCAGAAACCCCCGTCAGTTTGATGAGGGGGATGAGTGACATTACCACTAGACGTGTGAGAGGACTGCTGGCGAGGATGCTCACGAGTCTCTGCTTCTGAAGTTCTTATCACGCCCGCATGCAATGGACATGACGTTTTTAGCCTCTCGTACTTGGCAGACCAAAAAGGAAGATACTATGTTCCTTCTTGATGTCATAGATATGCATATGGGCCTTTGGTAAGTATGGAGACTCTCGGGCTGTTGACCGTGGCGGTGGAACGTAAAATTGGGTTCAAGTAAAATCATTGAACCCCCCTTGGAGGGGTTAGACGACCTTTGTCAGCATGGTTCCCGTCATGGTTGACCATGAATACTATTTGAATCATGATACCTAAGACATCAAGATGTCCTTTGCGCAGTTGGTCTGTATCAACCACAAATTTCAAATTTTCCCGGCGTTCAACTTGATATTTTCCGGGGTTTGCATCCACGAGGTACTTTTGCTTCCGCCGATTGCAACGAGGGTTTCTCCTTCATGTGATCAATGAGACAAGTACTGCCATCCAGCCTGATCATCATAAAAGCGTTAGGTGATTGTTTGTTTGCACAAACTGCATACACCCCATTCCATTATGACTGTAGTCGCAAATGATCCCAGTTTGTGGCCGTTGATCAGTTGGATTCAGATATTCGGCTATACCATAGGTTCGTGAAGAGTAAGTTGGATGATGTAGGTGTTGCATCATTGACTGTGTTTTCGCAGCTCCATCCTCTGTTATTGTAATATACGATTGGGGTGAGCGAGACGATACTTTCTGAGGGGATCATTAATATCTATACAATATTTAAGCATTAACGTTCGGACAAGAGGTCAGTTGACCTCGTGACCTGCGCAGCCATCTCACTAAGAATGCTTTAACAGGTCGAACTGGTCTGGGTGAGCCAAGTCATATATTAGAAGCGAACAGGTTAATGCAATTGATCCGGGGCAGATGCAACATTGGTCTCTCATGACTTTGCTATATGTCGGTGTGAGTAGCTCATGTTATAAGCGCAGTTGGCAAGTTGTGTTGACTTCTATATATCTAGGTGCGCTATGTTGGAATACTATATTCTGTGTAGGTTTGCGAGGTGGACTAAATGACGCTGCACTGTACTAATGAGCCGTCTCTCACCAGCGTCTACATCCTAAGTATGTATGTGTCACAAAATGAATTTTGTTTCTTCTGACTGGCACCATGCAGTGGTTACCCCAGTGTCGATGACAGATCGAGTGGGTACTCTACACCGATGCTGTCATCATTCGACTACTGACTGCACTCCTACATAGGAGTGAGTGATATTCTCGGCCAGCTTTTTTCTTCAACGTAACGACTGCAACAGCTGTAAGTTCATTCGAAACATTGAGTGCATTAATATACATCAGTAATTGGGGTTTTCAGGCAATATCATTTCCTTCATGACGATATGGACGCCTGTCGTCATGAATGCCGCGCTAGGGGGTAAGCTGAGCTGCGGTACTTTACTGAGATTTAATTGACTGAAATATCTTACAAGTTATTATGATGACTCGGATATATGCCATGTATCAGAGATCCCAAAGGATGCTCATCTTCCTTGCTGTGGTCTTGCTGGCTTCCACAATCGCCGCCGGAATTATGACAGTAATTGCAAACCTAGATCATTCAGGGGGTAAGCTTTAATTATTGATCAAAGTGTCGAGCGCATGAGACTCATGGATATACACCAGAGGAGGCTATCCTTTCTGGCCATCGTGTGTGTGTCATCAGCAATAACACAACTGGGTTAAATCTGGGTTACGAGAGTTTTATACCCACCGCTGTATGGGAGATCCTCGCATTTTGTCTCGCAGTCTGGATTGTTATCAAGCGCTTCCGTGAACTGCGACAATCTACAACAGGATCAACCATCGGGGGATTTTTCACGGTGTTAACAAAAAGTCATACATTTTACTTTCTGGCGTGAGTTCGGTAATTTAGATGTCGTCATCTTGTTTTGCTGAAGTTCTGCATATGCTAGCTTTGCGTTATGGCTTGCTTCAGCATTGGCTTACTGTCTCCAAATATAACGGTACGGACCTGTAACCTGCATGTATCTGACCACTCCTCATCATGTCTACAGCACTCAACTTCTGTGGGAGCTGAAGCCTATGCCGGGGTTTTGCAAATCGCCCAGGGGTTGGGGTTGCAGATGTTTGTGCTGGGACCGCGTCTGATCCTTAGCGTTCGTCAACATCACGCTAGGCTTGTGGCCATGTCAGACGAGGGAACACGCATGACGTCCATTGCTTTCCAGACTGGCGGAGATTCGTTGACTGGCGAAGATGTGACAAGTAGCGGAGATGTGTAGCACTGGCCACCATCATCCAGGTGATAAACCCTGGGTACTTGGCAGGGAGCATCCATATGTTTGAACGTCTCGTAGTCATCAAATTCATTTCATAGCTTATCATAGATTTTGCGAATTTTTGTTTTGCTAGCGTCGTCCGGAGTATGGGATCAGTCAAAGCAGATTTTTGGGGCCACGAGGGGTTGAATGATTCGAACTTAAAGCGAGCGCAGCCTGCTCCCAGTGTCTCACTCGACGACTGGCTCATCGTATTTTCAGAGCGATTTGGTGAATCAACTATTAATTTCTTCAAGGCGAATTCATCTGCTGCCGTGCACGTGACATCATGATTGTTTCTCACATGCATTTCAGAACACTGAAGACCTCCGAGTCGCTCGAAAAGTTGCAGAGGCCAAGCGTCGTGTCGCAGAGACACAGACGAAGCTTTCCGTCAAGGACAATCCATCCATGGTCCGTTTCTTCACTCTCGTATGTCCGTTTGCTTCTACACCATATGTCTAGTCTGTGTCTCAAATGGGCATGAAGAACCAGCCCAACAAGGCGCTGGCTTGAAAATGACTGCTCATCCTCCTCTCCTTGACATCGCAGTCAAAGAACGATCGATACAAACCAATGCAACACAAGTTCGCTTTCATCAAGGTGCGCACCACTCCCTTGCGCATGTCGTCGAAACTGACGCCGTTCCGAGGCAAACATTTGAGATCCACCAACCCCTCTCCCAGCACCAAACCCAGTCACCATCGTCGAAGTCAAAGTCAACCCTTATGCTTTCAGTTCTACCGCAGCCAAAGACATTAGCTTCCGAGCACAGCTCGAGGATATCTGGCAGCGTATTACAGAGAGCGCGTAAATCTGGTGTTGATTCCGAGTTCGAGAGTTGGAGAAAAGCCATCAAGGTGCGTCCTTGCGTTTTATTTCGTCCCTGATGATGACTTCCAGTGTGAACTTCCCCCGGCGGTGGGGTGGTGGGACGCAGCTCTACTTCCCAGCGAGACCTTTACCTCGGGTTCTCGCACCTTTACATCCGTACCCAGGATTCGCCTGTCACACTTTACGTCCAGCAGCCTATTCCCACCCTCCTTTCTTCCTTTCCTGCAGACATTTTAATGGTAACTACTGGTCCGCACTATGGCGGAGTGCTATACAGGGCGGCTATCGGCCCTTTCTGTCTGTGCTGGTGGGGTGGGGTTTGGTGGAAGTATTTCGGCTGACGAACCAGGATGAACCCAACGCCGCCACGATGTTACGTTCGAATGTCGTGTCCCCATTTGGTCCTCCTCGGTTCCAAGTCCTTGGTGTATGCAAGAAACAAAAGGACGATTGGACCTTGACAGGGACAATGACGGCGGTAAGCTTGGAAGAAATATTCATGAATTATTGGTGCCGTCGAAGGGACCTAGAGGTGCGCAAGTACCATTTTCCAATTTCCTATCCAGACATGAATAACAACTGATTGTATAGAACATCGCTTGTCTTAGTTTATTGCTCATGCGTGTTTTTCGCACTATGTCCTCTCCTATCAGTCAGGTTTGTGAATGATCAAACATGGCCCTTGTCTTCTATCGCCACTGGCTCTCTTGCATGAGATCTCCGTGCATTTCATGACGTGGACGCGACAAGGGTTGATATTCAACTTAACAGTGTTCAGGAAAGTGTTTGTTTCTGTAACTTCGACAGCAGGTCGCTGCTTCAAAGTAAACCGAAGGATTTTGCTGAACATAGCAGTTGAGCCCGTCCCGCCGCGGCCCCGCAAAATATATTTGCAGGAGGTGTCTTATCATGCGGGGGAAGCTGGTCGATTATACGCGTCCATTTCCAATCAACACTTTGCCTACTTCATCTTATCCAGAATCCTTGAAATCTCATTTCTACGTTGTCCGGAAATCATGCACGCCTCCTATCATCCCCTGTTACAAATACATCTTTCCTTCGGAACTTTTGTGTGCGGTACAAGGATCCGATTAATAGATCGGACGGTACCAACAACTTTCATTAGTCTCAACAATCAAGATTGACTCACCGTCATGTTCGCTCGCCTCTCGACTGTTTTCCTCTATGTTTTGCTTGCCTTGACAACCTTCGCGGCTGCGAAACCCAACCCTGCGACTCCTTCAGTAAGACTTCGTATAAAAATCATATCATGTTGACCTCACCGTACAATTCAAGCCGCATGTGGGGGACCTGTGACTTGCGCGGCCGTCATTGTTATTGACAATGACTCTCGTGCGCGATGCAATCACGATCTTGTTTGCTAGATGATTATAACTTCGTATGTGTGAAATACTTATAACTGACTGGCGAGGCTGATTGACTATGTCAGAATGGAATGGTCTCGTGTTCGTCGCCTGCACTCACTTAATATTGAACATGACGAAATGCCCTTGGTCAAACTCTTGATTGGTTGCTCGCGGTGTACATGGTACTAGTGGTCCAAACCGGTCCCGCGAGCCCCGAATTATTTTACTCTGAAGAATCGATCTTCTTGACGATTACATCTCTAAACTCAGAATATGCAGACCCAAGAGCGGTGACATATTGCGGTGGCACAAAAAGGATTTTATCATCCCAACAAGACAACGGGTAGCTGTGGGAGTCGTCCTGACTCCATTATTACCTCGACTGGCCACACTGATCCACTTCGTCAAGGTCCGAATGGGCCCCTGGACACATTTTTTCCGTATTGAGCATCAGCAGTACGACACTACGTGATCGATGTTTTGTTGGCATCAAAAAATAAGAGGACGGGCAGTGCTCAGCTCTGATGAAGCGCTACATCCCCGACCTCATGACTTTTCAGCCGCACAGCCACTGGCGTAATTCATTTCCGTCTCTAATCAGACCCTACACCATCGTCTGATAAGTTCAGAGAAGGTAAGTTTTGAACTTTACGACAACACATAATTCAGGAAAGGAGAGCTGATCATACATCGAACGTTCTCTGCCTCATGGTCTGCTGTCAAAAATCACTCTGATTCTCGCACCGGGATCTCCCTGTCGTGCACTATATTTGACGTAATAACGTTATGTAGTCTTTTCTGCGTTAGATGGATCGCTCATGACGGCATTCTAATGGAACATGAGGAGCTCCTGTCAAATTTTTTCGCATCTTTGCTGCCCAAACTTTGCACGTCTACCGAAGTGATTTCATATGAACAGCTTTCGGACCATGAAAGTGCCCGACGGTGGTATATATAACTGCAAGCACGCTGTCGTTTACCAGGTTCGCTAATCCCAATATGACATTCGTCTCAAACGATCCCGTGTGGTGGTCATTCATCGATTGGGCTCTTATTTACAGCTATTTTATAGGTTCGTTGAGAACGTTGGTGACGTCCCATCATCATTGACCGTGACTGTGGTTTCGCAGCTGCATCCTGTGCTGTGGTGGTATACGATTGGGGTGAGCGAGATAATATTTTCCAATGTGATCATTGATACCCATACAGCATTCAAGCATTAACATTCGGACAAGAGGTAATCTAATGCCGTTATCGGCTCAGCTGTCTCACTAAAACTGCTCTTACATAGTTCGAACTCGTCTGGGTGAGCAAATCCCCATCTCAGAGGCACAGCACCGGCAGGATAACACAGTTGATCCGGTACAGAGGCAACGCTGTTCCCTCATGAGTGTTATGTATATTTGTGTACGTAGTTTCTTTTCATAATCACAGTCGGCAAATTGTGTTGACTTCGACAATGTTAGGTGCGCTATGCTGGATTGCCATATTCTATGTATGTTTTCCAGGCCCATAAGCTGGCACTGGCTGCACCGCACTAATAATGCATCTCAAAATCAGCTTCTACATACTATGTATGTATCCTCGAATACCATGTGTTCGTTTCATCTGACTGGCGCCATGCAGGGTATCTCCCAGTCTCGATGACAGATGAAGTGTGTACTCGGCACTGATGCCCAAGGTTCCCATTCAACTACTAACAGTCCTTTCACATAGGGGTGAGTGACATTCTAGAATAGCTCGATGATTCGACATAATCACTGCAATAGCTGTGAGTTCATTTGAACTATCAAGTACGCTACATCTTTAACGCGAGCAATTGGCTACTCAGGCAATATAATTTACTTCATACAGGCATGGATACCTGTCGCTGTAAATGCCTTCCTGGGTGGTGAGTAGCTGTGGTACTGTACTGATTTTGCCTTGACTCAAATATCCCGCAAGTTATCATGATGACTCGGATATATGCCATGTATCAGGGATCCAAAAAGATACTCGTCTTTCTAATTGTAGTCTTGCTGGCTTCCACGATCGCCTCCGGAGCTATGATGGCAATGTCAAACGTTACTGCCTTGGGGGGTAAGCTTGAATTTCTGATGCTATAAGCACATGAGACTCACAGACAAATACCAGTGGAATCCATTTTGTCTGGCTACCACACCTGTGTTGTTTCCATGGACCAAACTGCGATAAATCTCAATCGCGAGATTTTGGTACCCACCTCTGTATGGGAGATCCTTGCCTTTTTCCTTGCGATCTGGATTGTTATAGAACACTTCCGCGAAGTGCGACAGTCGTCGACAGGATCGATCACCGAAGACTGTTTCACAGCGTTAGCACAAAGTCATGTGGTGTACTTTGTAGCGTGAGTTCGGTGATTTGGATGTTAGTATTGTCTTGTTCCACTTAACTTCCGCATGCACTAGCTTCGCTGTTGCATCTATCTTCAACCTCGGCTCACTGTCTCCAAAGCTCTCGGTGTGTCGATCTGCGACTGACATTTTCATCTGACTTCTAAATGATTTCTACAGTTCGATTTAACTCCCGTAGGAAGTGGCGTGTATTTTGGCGTTCTCCTAATTGTCCAGGTGTTGCAGATGTTTGTCCTGGGTCCACGTCTCATCCTTAGCGTTCGAGATTTCAACGCTAAGCTCGTGGCCAACTCTGACGAAGGAACTGGTGTGACTACAGTTGCTTTCCAAGAGCGCGGACACGTATCAACCAGCGGTGATGTGTAGCACAGGAAACGATCTAAGTGACCAACCGTACGTACTGTACAAGGCGCATGTAAATCACATTTATTCGTTGTAATATTACTTTAGACGTTCGTCGAATCGCTGTCGTACATGTTTGTTTGGTGATTTGGAAGATTGTCGAATTGATCTGGGCACCTCTGCCGCGACCCTGCAAAATACATCTGCAGAAGATGTCCTTTATCGTGCGGGAGAAGTTGGTCGATTCAATGGGCCAAAACTTGGCGGATTCATCCTATCTGAAATCCTTCAAATATTTCATCATTAATATTTTTCCGTCATCCGGAAATCACACGCCTCCCATCCTCCCACAAATACATTCCTCCATCGAAGCTTTTGTGGGCGGTATAAGAATCCGATTAATAGATCAGACAGTACCAACAACTCTCATTAGTCTCAACAATCCAGATTGACTCACCATCATGTTCGCTCGCCTCTCCACTGTTCTCCTCTATGTTTTGCTTGCCTTGACGACCTTGGCGGCTGCGAAACGCAACCGTGCAGCTCCTTCAGTAAGACATTGTGTATGAAAAGCATCATGTTGAGCTCACCATGCGATTTAAGCCACCCATATCGACTCAATAAGGTGATGACCGGTGACTTGCACGGCCATCATCTAGTGCGCGGTGCAATCACGATTCTGTTGGCTGGAAATCAATAACTTTGTATGTTTCAAATACCTATATATAGCTGGCTGGCGAAGCTGATTGACCACATTAGAGTCTCATTTTCCTCGACTGTACTCACTTTGTATTAAACATGAAGCAATGTCTCTGGTGGAACTCCTGGTTGGTGGGCTCGCGGATTGTGTTGCACAGTGGACATAGTGTTGTAGACCAGTCTCGTGAACCTACTTACCTTGTATTACTTTGGTATTCTTACTTTGAGGAATTGAACTTCCCGACGATTACACCTCTAGACTCAGTTGAAGGTGCAGACCTAGTGAAAATCTACAAGGGAGAATATGAGCTAGCAGTGGGATGCAATCAATTAATCCATTCATCCCAATAAGACGATGGGTAACTGTGGGAGTTGTCCAGATTCGATTATCGCCTCGATTACTGTATGGTGGACCACTTCAAAGCTGGTGAAAATGGGGAAGAGGAATCACACTACGGTGGTATTGGTTTAGGTTTTCTCTGACACAGAAAGGCCCCGAAGGAGATGAGTAAGATGATGGACATACTTAGCCCACATATCGTCGTTCTTTCTTTACTTACCGTGTATAGCATTCCGGATACTCCCGACACTTAGCACTAGTACTCTCGCTTGATGTGCGACGTTCATTGTCATTTTCCCTCAGTCTTTCATCCGAGACTGATCATGCATGAGGGTACGTATATTCATTTCCACTCATACTGATTTGCTATAGACTAATCCTACCTGTGTATAGGTACAACATAATATAAAGTCACTCATCCGAGACTGACTCGGAGGACCAATCCTAGGTGTTCATCAGGAGATGACATATCGGGTTATCATTGTGAACATCCAAAGCACTCCCAAATATAGATAACCCCGATGTGTGAATAAGATGAAGGAGATGAGTAAGATAGAGAGGTGAGTCAGTGAGCGGTTACATGTAGAGGCTGTTGAACGTTGATGTGTTGGGTAGGACATGGTTTTGCTGAGCAATGGGCACTGTTAATGATGTCAGGAATTGTTCGTAATGACTGTTGCCAACGTGTCAACGCAGTCATTTGCCAAAAACAGGGACCTCTATAAGAGCCCTGCATGCGCAACAACTGAATCTGCAATACTCAATTTGTTGATTCTAGAACAATGTCGACACGAATTCCTCTTCTCTATGTCAGTATGAATCTTCAACGTGTCAACTGCCTTCTAATTTGTTGCACTCTTAGGGAGCTGGTCAATTCAGCGTACCTGGTCCGCATTCCATTGGAGCACGGATCAACACCATCGAAGACGCACAGAAGATCATAGACGTGTTCACCAGCCATGGCCACAAACAAATTGACACATCTCGTTTATACGGGGGCGGGACGTCAGAGGAGGTAAGAGCAAGTTCTCCGAAACCTTCGTCGTCGCCCATTAATACCATCGCAGTTCATCAGCCAACTCGATCTGAAAGGTTGTACAGTGGATACAAAGTGAGGGTTTTCACTGTAATTCGCCAGAGAAGCCCCTCCTCTCATATTTGCCGTTATGTGTAGGGTCTTTCCAGGTGTGCCCGGGGACTACGCGCCGGACAAAGTTCGGGCGTCGCTTGAAACTTCTATCAAAGCGCTGGGGAAGGCGAAGATCGAAATATTCTATCTGCGCGCACCGGACAGGAGTGTTCCTATTGAAAATACTCTTCGGGCTATCAACGAACTACACTCCGAAGGTCTCTTGTGAGTTTCTAAGTAATGAGTGCTTGACTTTCCCGGATGATTTCAACTCTGGACAGTGAGGAGTTTGGGGTTTCGAACTATAATGCTTGGCAGGTCTGTCTATATTTTTTGGACGTTATCTTGCACATCTTATTGTGCCTCCTTTCTGAATAGGTGGCTGAGATGGTTGCCATAGCGGAAGCCAACGGGTGGGTCAGACCGACTGTATATCAAGGCCTCTATAATGCACTCGAGCGCAGAGTTGAAACAGAGTGAGTTGACGATGGGACACTCACTCCACTTGTCTGAACATAGCGCTAGGTTGTTCTCCTGCCTCCGGCACTATGGAATACGGTTCTATGCGTACAGTCCACTAGCGTATGCCGTTCCCCCTCGTTCGCCGTATCAATGCATGATAACTTCTACAGGAGCGGTTTACTTGCTGGCAAAATTCTCTCAGAAGCGGACATGCAAACTGGTAGATGGGATCCCAACGTATCTCACATAGCAGGTTTTCTGCGTGCGAAATATTCGCTTCTCATTCCTATTTTGCGAGAATTGAAGGGTGTGCTTGTGAGTATCTGAGAATCGCTCCGTGGGTGACATAGCTCACGACCTCGAATATCAGGACAAGCAGGAAATTCCACTTTCTGAAGCTGCTCATCGCTGGCTTCAACACCATAGCAAGTTGCAGCCTGGTGATGGTATCATTCTTGGTGCCAGTAGCGTCGACCAACTCGAGAACAATCTGAAGGAAAAGTGGGTAACTTTTGATAGTGATGACCATTGTCTGACCACATTACATTGTTTCTAGCGAGGGTGGACCACTTTCTGACGATGTCGTCAAGTTGCTGGAGGATGCATGGGGGCAAGCCAAAGGTGTTGCACCGCACTACGCGTTTTGAGTCCTATCCGATTAGAACTGTATTATATCTATCACGCAGAACTTGAAGCAATTCGATTCGCGTAACTCCCATCCAGCTGAGCTGTAATGCATATTGTACTCTACAGTTCATCACAATGGCCGAAGGCGAGCGGATTGCGTGTAATTACTAGAAACAAAGTCTTGCCAATGTCCATCGGGTGTCGAGAAGTCCAAATGTACAAGAAGAACAAAAACCGGTTGCGAGTATGTACATATTCACAGTGTCAGTCATATCATAGCACCTCTCATCAGCTTCATAAAATAGCTTTTCAAACGCACAAGTACCTTTGCCTCGTAGACAGTCATTCAAAGACGAACACGAGGTTGAACTTCGAGGTGAGGCTGGCTTATGTACAAATACCCGCTTGGGCTTGGCTGGACGTGTTCAGCATGATGAACTTCGTCAAGGTCTGTAAATAGAACGGCTCAGCGCTAGTCAACTTCGGTCGCACCTCGTTCTCGGGAATTTCCAGAATAAATATTTGTCCAGCCAGCGCCGGTGCAGGCTCCCGATTCCGCGCAACGCGCCGCTGAGTGGTATGCACCGCTGATCTTCGAGGGCTCTGGGGACGGGAGTTAAACAGGGTCCCAACGTGAAGTGCGCAGGTTGGAAAAAAAAGCAAAGACTGACAAGACGGTATTGAAGAGTGGACGTGGAACGAGTCACGAGTATAAGACCGTGAAGCAGTGGATGGGACCGCAGTCTCCAATGGCATGGGCGCGAGCAATATGGATGTAATTAGTGCGGGATATAAGGAAAAACCTCTCACCGATGTGACGAAGCGAGAGGACCGACACCAGCAGAGAGGACCTCGAGGAGACTGCTAAAGGGTAGAAAAACGCACGATACTCCATTAAAAAAGCACAAGACGAAACAACAGATGATGCATCGATGATGCTTGTCATCGGGCTAAATATATGTCAGATATCAAAAGAGCTGGAGGAGGCACAGCGACAGAAGTAGCAGCAGTAGATGAGGAACATTAATATTGCAACATAGTATGTAGTAGCGTTGAGTGTAAAACCTCCACTGATGCTTTGTTTGGGCGTATTGAATTCAAAAGATACTGATAAATAGTAGCAAACAAACTTTGTGCAGTTCGCGCAGTACTGGAACCACTAACCACAGTGTCTATGTTTTGCTTGCTATGACAACCTTGGCGGCTGCGAAACGCGACCATGCTGCTCCTTCAGTAAGACCTTGTGTATGAAAAGCATCGTGTTGACCTTACCATACGATTTAAGCCACCCATATCGACTGGATAAGGTGATGACCGGTGACTTGCACGGCCATCATCTAGTGCGCGGTGCAATCACGATTCTGTAGGTTGGAAATCAATATTGTATGTTTCAAATACCTATATATAGCTGGCTAGCGAAGCTGAGGTATTCATCAGGAGATGACACATCGGGGTTATCATTCAATGTGCACATTCAAAGCACTCCTAAATATAGATAACCCAGATGTGTGAGTAAGATGAAGGAGATGAGTAAGACGGAGAGGTGAGTCAGTGAGCGGTTACGTGTAGAGGCTGTTGATGTGTTGGGTAGGACGTGATTTTGCTGAGCAATGGGCACTGTTAATGATGTCAGGAATTGTCCGTAATGACTGTCGCCAACGTGTCAGCGCAGTCATTTGCAAAAAACAGGGACCTCTATAAAAGCCCTGCATGCGCAACAACTGCAATATACTCAAGTTGTTGATTCCAGAACAATGTCGACACGAATTCCTCTTCTTTATGTCAGTATGAATATTCAACGTGTCAACTGCCTTCTAATTTGTTGCACTCTTAGGGAGCTGCTCAGTTCAGTGTACCTGGTCCGAAGTCCATTGGAGCACGGATCAACACCATCGAAGACGCACAGAAGATCATAGACGTGTTCACCAGCCATGGCCACAAACAAATTGACACATCGCGTACTTATGGGGGCGGGACGTCAGAGGAGGTACGAGTGAATTCTCTGAAACCTTCGTCGTCGCTCAATAGCACCATCGCAGTTCATCAGCCAACTCGATCTGAAAGGATGTACAGTGGATACAAAGTGCGTATTTTCACTCCAATTCGCTAGAGAAGCCTCTCCTCTCATATTTGCCGTTATGTGTAGGGTGTATCCAAGTGCGCCCGGGGATTTCGCGCAGGACAAAATTCGGGCGTCGTTAGAAGCTTCTATCAAGGCGCTGGGGAAGACGAAGATCGAAACATTCTATCTGCACGTCCCGGACAGGAGTGTTCCGATTGAAGATACTCTTCGGGCCATCAACAAACTGCACTCTGAAGGTCTCTTGTGAGTTTCTAAGTAATGAGTGCTTGACTTTCCCAGATGATTTCAACTCTGGACAGTGAGGAGTTTGGGGTTTCGAACTATAATGCTTGGGAGGTCTGTCTACATTCTTTGACATTGTATTGCATATCTTATTGTGCCTCCTTTTGAAATAGGTGGCTGAGATGGTTGCCATAGCGGAAGCCAACGGTTGGGTCAAACCGACTGTATATCAAGGCCTCTATAATGCACTTGAACGAAGAGTTGAAACAGAGTGAGTTGACGATGGGACACTCACTCCACTTGTCTTAACATAGCGCTAGGTTGTTCTCCTGCCTACGGCACTATGGAATACGGTTCTATGCGTATAGTCCACTAGCGTATGCCGTTACCCCTCGTTCGCCGTATCAATGCATGATAACTTCTACAGGAGCGGTTTACTTGCTGGCAAAATTCTCTCAGAAGCGGACATGCAAACTGGTAGATGGGATCCCAATGCATCTCACATAGCAGGTTTTCTGCGCGCGAAATATTCGCCTCTCATTCCTATTTTGCGAGAATTAAAGGGTGTGCTTGTGAGTATCTGAGAATCGCTCCGTGGGTGACATAGCTCACGACCTCGAATATCAGGACAAACAGGAAATTCCACTTTCTGAAGCTGCTCATCGCTGGCTTCAACACCATAGCAAGTTGCAGCCTGGTGATGGTATCATTATTGGTGCCAGCAGCGTCGACCAACTCAAGACCAGTCTGAAGGAAAAGTGGGTAACTTTTGATAGTGATGACCATTGTCTGACCACATTACATTGTTTCTAGCGAGGGTGGACCACTTTCTGACGATGTCGTCAAGTTGCTGGAGGATGCATGGGGGCAAGCCAAAGGTGTTGCACCGCACTATGCGTTTTGAGTCCTATCCAGTTAGAACTACATTATATCTATCACGCAGAACTTGAAGCAATTCGCGTAACTTGAGCTGTAATGCATATTGTACTCTACAGTTCATCGCAACGGCCGAAGGCGAGCGGATTGCATGTAATTACTAGACACAAAGTCTTGCTTAACAACAGATGAGGCTTTGCAGGCATTCCAGAGATCCTACCCAGTCACTCGCTAGAGTCACTGACGTTGTCGGGGACGTTCCATGTGTCTCTGTAGAGTATAATCGAGTCATGAAATGACAATAAACGAGATATCGTCTTTATGAAAAATTCACGCAAGTTGAGAAACACTGCAGCAGAATGATACGCAGTTCTGACTCGACCAATCGGACCAGAAATAGTCGGGAGATACAGGCCTAACCGCTGTCTCAGCTAAATGACCAGCATGCTTCACGCATATATACGCCATACCAGAGAGAAAGTCCCATAATTGCATGATTGTACAAATTTGATAGTGCCATACCCCTCAAAACTTGAACCGCCCTCGACAGACCATTCTAGAAACCCTCATTTGCCTCCAGAATATAACTCCAAGCATCACCTACGTCGTGATTCATTGACTGGCATCAAGGTCGTGCTGAAGACAAATAAATCAGCGGGATTGCCACAATCATGAGAGTTAAGGCATACGCAGGCGATGTTCTAAAGCAATTTTAAGAATTGTTTCGAGTAAACCCGAGTGATCCTTATCTTGTCTGTCGTTCCTCCGGAAACGCCCAAACAGTAGCTTTGCTTTCCAATTAGACGAGTTTTCTTGATTTGTGTGGACGGCAGTGCCCACAGGTTCTTGATATTGGTGAATAACAGTATTCACTGCATCCCTGACAGTAATTGCATGCGGAGACGCCATATACCGCTCAAGAGCGACATAACAAGAGGGAACAGATTCTTGCTGGTCCTTAAGATGGCGTCGCTGGTCGAAAACGTAGAAAGAGTGTTCGAAAATAATGACAGCAGCTAAATGATTGAAAATGAGCAAGTTCACTGCAATGCGGCCAGAAGATTCACCAGAACCAAGTTGGAAAATTTGTTCGAATGGTGATGCACTGGCAGAAGTCTGGTACATTTAAACATGTGTGTACAGCCTGTGACCAATTGCCAGTGAACGCACCACAGAAAGTATCCTAGACCGCATCTCTGCACGTTGAGCACTCCAGAGCTGATAAAATCATGATGGAAAGTTGGAAATCGTCTCCCTCTGCTGAGGACCAATACACTCACATTCTGTCAATGAATAAAGTCTTCGGTCAGCATGGCTCAAGGCCAAAGAAGAATGAACAAACTCACCTCCTATGAATGGATCAGCAATGTCGTTGGGTTGGTGAGAAAGGCTCGAGGGATGAGACACTCACAGTCTGTTAGGGAATGCGCAATGTGAGTGATAAGCAAAGATCGAGCTCCACGGAGGATTAAAACACTGACAGCCTGTGAGTGAGCGAGCAATGTCACAAGTGAGCAAGGCTCGAGCTCGACGGCAGAAGAACACACTCACATCCTGTCAACGTGAATCGGCAATTTCACCGGTCAGCAATGCTGGAGCTCGACAGAGGATCGATGCGCTCACAAACTGTGAACGGGTGGGTGATGTCTTCCGTCAGCATGGCTAGAGCTTGACGGCGGACCGACCAACTCACATCCTGTGAACGGGTGGGCGATGTTTTCAGTAAGCATGGCTCGAGCTTGACAGCGGATAGACCAACTCACAATCTGCCAACGAATCACGCAACGTACTTGGTCAGCAGGGCTCAAAGTCGACAGCGGATGAAGAAACTCACACCCTGACAATGGATCAACAGTTGCGTCAGTGAGCAGGACAGGAGGTCGACTGAGGATGATCACGCTTACAAGCTATCAACGAATCAGGCATTCCTTCGGTGAGTATAACTCAAGGCCGGTGAGGGATGAATATACTCACATTCTGCCGAACGATCAGCAATTCCTTCACTCAGCAAGACTCGAGCTCGAAGGAGGAACAAGACACTCACGGCCTGCGAAGAGTAGGCAACGACTTGGATCAGCATGGCTCGAGCTCGAAGGAGGAGAAAGACACTCACACGCTGCGAAGAGTAGGCAACGACTTGGATCAGCATGACTCGAGTGCGAACGAGGATCAAGGCACTCACAGCCTGCGAAGAGTGGGCAACGACTTGGATCAGCATGGCTCGAGCTCGAAGGAGGATCAAGACACTCACACGCTGCGAAGAGTGGCCAACGACTTGTATCAGCATGGCTCGAGCGCGAATGAGGATAAAGACACTCACAAACTGCGAAGAGTGGGCAACGACTTGGATCAGCATGGCTTGAGCTCGAAGGAGGAACAAGACACTCACGGCCTGCGAAGAGTGGGCAACGACTTGGATCAGCATGGACTGAGCTCGAAGGAGGATCAAGACACTCACAAACTGCGAAGAGTGGGCAACGACTTGGATCAGCATGGCTTGAGCTCGAAGGAGGATCAAGACACTCACGGCCTGCGAAGAGTAGGCAACAACTTGGATCAGCATGGCTCGAGCTCACAGGAGGATGAAGACACTCACATACTGCGAAGAGTGGGCAACGACTTGGATCAGCATGGCTCGAGCTCGAAGGAGGATCAAGACACTCACACGCTGCGAAGAGTGGCCAACGACTTGTATCAGCATGGCTCGAGCGCGAACGAGGATCAACAGACGTACTACCTGTAAAAAAACACCCAACATATAAATGAGAGTAACTTTCGAACAGTCCCGTAATCTTACCCAAAGGTGTGGAAACCAGTCACCCAATTCAGCTATTGCATTTTCAGATGAGATTTTCCAATCTGTGGCAGCAAGCTTTGCAAGTGTCCTGGACGATAGTCAATAATGCTCGCGGCAGGCAAATGATGGGTAGATACTTCTCAACTGCATATTTCATGCATATTTCTAAGTTGGTCTGCTGAGTCGAGACGAATAATTGCTGAAGGACTTGATCGTCCAGAGTTCCAGCGGTCCGTTCGATGAGTGGTCCGCAATCAGCATCATCCTTGTTCATGTCTAATGGACCAACAGTCATCATGCATCAGACTTCGATGATCTATAGCTTACCTGGGAGGCAGACGTGGCATTTTGGAGGCCGTCGGATGGTTTTTGGGTCGTATAGCAACTTGACTTGTGTCCCGTTCGCAAATGACTCCTCGGCGTGCATTGGGGCCAGTCGTTTGGCATCTTTCCTCGACATTCCATTTTCTGTCAGTCGTGTGAATTCGGCAGCGTAGAGTGCGTCGAATTTGGTAAATATTACGATGACTGGAACTGAGGAAGTTGCGAATCAGTTGATGGTTAATGGACAGTCCAAAAGCTTACTGCTTCCAGTGTCGCAGCGGGAGAAGAATTTGACTTCGGCTTCAGTAAAACACCTGCTTGCCTGATCCATTGGTATACAATACCTATGTCAAAGGAGTGAGCCAGTGAATGTCGCCAACTCGACCAATTACCATATAGTGTGAATTCGATCCTTCATGTTTGCTTCCTTCGAACGGTCTGCGATAAATTTGTTCATCTTGTCATACTCTAATTCCCCGCCTGCTTCAAAACCGCGCGAATCATGAAAGATGAATCCTGGGTTGGTTTGAAACACCATTTTGTTCTCGATGTCGTGCTCTCCACGCTGAGAAAATGTCAGTTTATGTTGCCGACTAATGGTGCACGTTACCTCTCTAGATGCTGTCAAAACAGCGGCATCGATCTGATGTCGATGAGACACTATTAGCCTCGTACTAGCCTCGTGATGCGCACCTTTTCCCCAGCGCTATTAAATATTTCAGGGTTCTCTTTTGTATTGCACACCCTCTGGAGGATGGTAGTTTTCCCTGCATTCGCTCTTCCTATGATGAGAATTCGAAAGCGAACGATCTTCTTTTTTATCTTTGAAGAATCCATGAAGAAAGGTAAATGGTAGCAATGGGACTGAGCGCTGAGAGTAGTAGAAGCTTTTAACCGCTATCGGTGTGTGAGTTCTGTAATTAAGCGCTCTTAAGCTTGTCAAATCTAGATCTAGTGGGCAATGGGTTGTGCGTCGTATACAACTCGCCTCCGAAGTCTCAAGGCTGTACTATACAAGCCTGTACATTGCAAAATAACGACATCCAACGGACCATATGCATGAGGCATACATGAACATGAGGAACCAGCAGGAACTAGTACAAATGTCAACGTCATTCTATTCAGTCTTCCTACAACTAAGTAGGTCAAACAAATTTACCCCCGGCGATCTGTTAAAACTTAGATTGAAAACAGCATACCAAGATGCTGTGGATTGATGACATTGGCTAATCGCAGAAATCACAAAACCTTGTTTCGGTTTCACGAATAGATATACAAGGTCATGATACGCCGGTTTTCAAGCATGGTCAGTGACTAGCTTTCCGGGACAAAACGTTCAGAATACGGGGTATCAGGGAAATGACAGAAAATTGCTTACCAGGGAAACTTAATGCCCCCGAGACGAGGAGCCCTGGACTACGAATGTGAGCACACCGGGGGGACCATGTTGTTTCTGCAGCCTAATTGTGTGGATGTACAAGGTAACTTGCCTATTACCACGTCATGATCCTTAAATGTCCCAAATATGCGAGATGAGATTGTCCAAGTAGAGTTGACAAGCCCTGGGATGGTTCTGCAGAGAAATCCAATCTGTTAATCCTAGCCACCAAAAATGATCTATCAGGGGATCTAAAGTTAGACAGGATTGAGGGTAGTGACCGTGGGTCTCTGACCCCATATCACGATAGGCACCGCGGGAAGCGCTGCCTTGAGGTGAAGCACCCAAGCGGTTATTCATCGCGACTCGGCAGACCAACTTGGAGTTATGCATGAAATATGCAGTCGCAGGGCGACTACTCACAATACATACCTACCCCATGCCTCAAATATAGATTCAGTGGGAAATGGGCATACTTTAGTTGCGCGTACCATGAGGCGTACACGACTCACCTCATTTCAGATGCAAAGTTCCATTTCGAGTGGTTGTTGCAAGTCCGAGTCCGTTCTCGCTTCACCGACGTCAAGTCGGCGCCACCATCCTTGCCGTTGTCTCTTCCGAGTCTATATTAATCGACCTTCGCACTTCCCTGCCCACTGAACATCATATCTCCAAAACTTGAAAATTAACGCTGGCAATGTGGCAACCTTGCATCATGTCTTCAGCGCCCTCGATCACGTCCTCAATGAAAGGTTTTGTATCCCCTCAACTTCTGCGGTGGTAACGCACAGGCGCGCGGTATCGATGAGAGTTGACGAATTCCAAGCCAAGACACATAATCACCGTCACGGTGGGATGCTACTTGATAAGTACCAACATGGTGCCAGTGTGTCAATGCATCGGTTGGCATGGATGAGGAGTAGATCAGTGGTGCCAGGGAATAAGAGGTCGCTTTGGGAGCTTTGACGTGGGGGCAACGCCAGCGTGTATTTGCCAAATTGGGCCGGGAGACTGCAGGACGTTATTGCTGGGTGTAATCGGTAGGCGAATGCCACGGATGGGTGAAGTTGGGCATGGGGGTCAGGGCAAGGGACAGCGAAGGTGCGAGAAGCAGCAAGAGTCCTGGTGGGCGCTAGCAGAAACGGTGCTTGACCTCATACATGAAGCTGAAAATAACTTGCCGAAGGGTGCTGGAGGTCTTGACCTCTGCTGTAAGTGAGGTAATGCATGTATCTTGTCATTCACGGGCAGTTGAAAGACACGCCCGCAATCGTAAATTTGGCCTGTCGCCCAACAAGCAGCCTGAGGGACAACGATATTCCTGCAGAAGCTGGCCGTATACGCCCGGGCCACACTCTGAATCAACATTGACTCGTATAAAACCTGCTTCCATCATCTCACTATCTCGTACGATGGGAGTGCCACAAAATTTCCTCGATCAGTGTATCATTCCATTCACTCCACGACGCCAGAAGGCCAAAGGCGACAATGCCATGACCGAGTCAGCAACGGACGGATATCTACTCGCAGGCACTTTTCCGGGCGATGGGTGTTGTTGGACGCCTCCGAGTCCGCCGCCTTCCCTGGATAGCATCTGAGCATCTGACAGCGTTGGGAACATGTGTGTCACCATCTCAAGAAAGAACTTTCATCAAACATTCGAGCACGCGTACGTGTCATTTTCATTTTTCCGCAAGTCAACCCATGGAACTTACCAGTAAGATTCGCACTCATATTTGGCTCGATGTGACTAGATTGATAAGATGCCCGGTGATTCCGCTTTCAATACCAGCTCCGAGGAAGATGTTGGTTAATAGTTGAGTAACCCAGGTCCCAGTTAATAACTGGCTAGACGGCACCATGGGAAATCACTGGCGCGTCCTGGGGGTGAGCCTAAACGTATAATAAAAACAAAGGCAAACACTCACAGCATCAGTGCTCCATCACTAGACCGCAAGCTCGCCGCCCCCATAATCGATTCGCATGCCAAGCCACCTCTACGCCAGTGAATCCAGCGGCAATGGCCGCGTCAGGTGGTATCGGTAATGAAAAATATGAATCATTCTCTAGAGGAGGCACGGCGACAGAGGTAGCAGCAGTAGATGAGAAAGTCAATGCAACATATATGATGTAGCGACCGGGTCGACCACTGATACTTTGTTTGGGCGTATTGAATTCAAAAGATACTGATAAACAGTAGCAAACAAACTTGGTCCAGTTAGCGCGTCACGGTGTGATGCATCTGCATCATGTCTTTTGCAAGTCTTAAATCTCAAAGGCAATCCAAGGCATCAAGATCGTATGTGACTTCCACAGATGATTCTCAAGAGTCCCACTCTACAACCACCCCAAAAGTGATCCAATCTAACAATCCCAATACATCAACTCCCAGCAATGGTGAAGTTACCGTGTACCATGGGATACCAGAAAATGTGGAGGTGCGGGTATCGGCAGAATCAGGCAGGGGCTTGTGGGCCAAGAATTTAATCAAAGCTGGTTAGCAAATTTGATGCACAATCTGACTCCGAACCATAATACATCGCTCACATGAAACAGGCTCTGTTATCATATCACTAAGACCGCATTCATTTGCACTTGCTAGCCGGTATCTGGATTCGCATTGCTCTTATTGTGCTGCCGCACCAAACTCAGGATTGTTGAGGTGTACTGGATGCCGCACAGTTTGGTATTGCAACCCAGTCAGTTGCACTAATACCGTAGACAGCCTTTTCACTGGTCTAATTTCTCGGTGTTAGACGTGTCAAACAAACGACTGGTCACTTCATCGACTCGAATGCTCTGCATTGAGGAAGTGGGCCAAGTCAGCACCATCGAAAAACTTATCTGTCCCAAGTGATGCTGTCAGGTGCCTGGGTCGAATTTTGTGGCAGAAAAAGAAGGAAGGGTTTGACAGTAGTTGGGTGAGTAAGATTTTGTTTGCATCGATGACACCGCTGACAGCATCAACAGTCAAAGGAAATCGATGGATTACAGTCTCGTGAGTTCTATGTCACATTCAAGCGCTGGTCGTAATCGAGGTCGAATTAGATCGACATTTTTTGCAGCCTCGCGTCGTTGAAAATAGCACTTACCTTGCCCACTCTCTGGTTCGATATCTCGACTTGTCTTCCCCTGGAGATTTGTTGGAATTTGGCATCTCATCTGCGGGTGACCTTACTGATTTGATTTCAAGAGTAAGTGTCCATCATCAAAAGATTCAGGCATCACATGATTCGTACCTGGCAGTTTGTCACAAATACTTTCGCATTAACTTCGCCTTCGTTGACACCAGTGGGCGTGTCGGTCTCGCCGCTTGTTGCGCTTTTCAACCATTCTTGTGATCCCAGTGCAGTTATAGTTTTTCCCCGGTCTTCTCAGAATCCTGCGGAGGAGCCGCAGATGCAAGTCATTGCTCTCAGAGACATCTCACCCAATGAGGAGGCGTGTATACACCACTTAATCGAATTGCTCTCATTAATCAGTGATCACTGGCAGATTTTGACCTCCTATATCGACACGACCCTACCTCGTTCTCTAAGACAAGCTGCACTGAAGGAGACATATGATTTCACGTGCAAATGTGAACTATGTCGTGACAGCAACAAAATAGACCCTCGTGAATCCATATGGTGTCCAAAATCATGCGGAGGGATGTGCCCTGCTCCTAGTGATGGTGAGGACAGTTAGAGCTCTACCTGAAATTTTAGTTGCTCATATACTGCATTCTCTATCAGAAAGCGAGACGTACCAATGCGTGAAATGTCGTGCAGTTGTGGTTACACCAGGATTTATCATGGACGCGCTTCGCATTGGACAAGAAGCATTGGAGAAGGCAACTTCCCTTCAAGATACGGGTTCGTACTCCGTGTTACACGGGAAACTCATCACGTAATTTGACCCGCGTCCTTACAGATTATAATAAGGCCTTACAGCTGACGACCAATATTATTCCGATACTTGTGTCTGCCGGCTTGACACCATCATGCCACCCGTTATTGGCCTTGATAGGGCTCCATAAATCACTCCTCCTCTCTTCGTTGTCGACAGATATAGCACAAGAACTGCTTGATGAGACGATCCGTACTGCAGCCAAGCACTATATAGGCCTATCCGCCATTCTCTATGATGGCCACCCTGTGCGTGCCGTTTCCCTTGTGGAGCTCGGCAAGCTTTTGGCTGTCGACGAACCCCAGCCCGCCACGTCACCGCCAGCGAATGTCGCGTTCCCACCATCCGGCCCTCCGCGACTCAAAGCCGCTTATGAAGCACTAGTACGTGCGAGATACGAATTGATGATTGGTTTTGGCAGAAATAACGACGGTGGTGAGCTTGGACGAAATATTCGCGAAACACTAGTGTCGTTGGAGAAAGAACTTGGGGTGTGGACCCAAGGCATACATAACACCCTTCAAGACTTACTCAGCTCCTCACAAAAATGAATCACAATTGATATGAGGGCGCCTGTTAGCAGTGTTGTTGCGCTATCTGGGGCCGATATGTCTCTCTCATGAGCTCTTAGCTGGATTCGTAATAGTAACGTTATCGTCAATATGAGCACGATCAACGTATCAACTAGCAATCTCAATTTTTTGCCTGCTGTAGAAGCGGCTGACGACGCGGTATGCCATCAAAGTTAAAAATGCCACCAAAGCTAAAATCTCTTATTAATTCCACGATGCACGCGTCGTTGGCTGTTGGCAGGTACATGGAAAATCTTTCATGTCTCCATTTTGGAGCTCGTGTTGCGGACCGGCGGTATATAAGAACCCAACTTTAGCATCAGAAGTGCCATCTGATATCTTTCTCAACAAATAATTTTGACTCACCATCATGTTCGCTCGCCTCGCCTCTCCTTTCCTCTATGCTCTGCTTGCCTCGACATTCTTTGTTAGTACAAGCTATGCAGCCTATGCTGTCTCGAGTGAGGCTTACATCGCATAAAATCTCATTTTGTTGACTCACAATTTGATGTGTAGTGACCAATTGCCCCGCGCCCTGCCCGAGTCGAGTAAGGCTTCCTTTATATCAAAACTCATCGCCTTGAAACTCACCACACAATTTACGCAGACGCCGACGCATGAACCTTCTGTAAGACTTGCCATTGTATCAAACCTCATCACATTGACCTCATGATACAATGTACTCAGGGGACTATACAAACTGTAAGTGCCCAGTGCCAAACCTCATTGTATCAACCTCACGATATGTTATACCTAGACGAGTGAGGCGCAACAGGTAAAGCTTCGCTACAATATACCAGGTTTCGTCATTAACCTCAGATTTAATGCACCCAGGTCGGCGGCCGTGGTGTAAGCATTGTTTCGCATCAAATTGCATTGCATTGGCCTCCCGATATTAATATTGTACACAGATCACCACTGCCACTACCACAACTACAACTAGTATGGCCACGGCCGTGCCCGGGAACTGACTTCGTTCCTCGAAGTTAAAGTAGAACTTGAAATCAGTGAACGGCGACAGGCAGACTCGATGATACTATAAACTCCGTTTTTTGTAATTTCATGTGGGGTGGCCATATTGGTTACTCAGATACATTAGAAAAACTTGAATTAGTAGACGATCGATGCGGATAACTTGGAGATCCATTTGTGTTTACTGGCTAGGATGATGAACATCTTCAAGTTAACGTTGATGTTGGGACTTCTACATAGCACTTGCCCAGATAAATCTGTTCTAGTAGGGCCGTGCATGCAAAAATAACATGAATCTTGGAATCTGCAACGCCAAATCGTCATGCATCACTGAAATTCAATTTTCGCTGTCAAGTCTTATAAGTGTAAAGCCTAATACCTATAGCCATAGCTCCGTAGCCAACAACTACCGGTACCCTCTCATTCATACTGAAATTGGCAGCGTTACTTCTGCATGATGCCATTTCGAAGCAGTTGGCGCTCACATGATAAGAGCCAGATATCTACACGTGACTCACGAACCTCACTTGTTCACACCGAGTCGTACGCCTGACTTTCTCCTTGACTATCTGGCATAACTTAACAGGGCCCCAGTTTCTGATTTTGAAAGGTTCACCATTGATATGAGTGACATATCTGTTGCACAAGTTGGCAAACTTCCTGTCTGGCGGCCCTTGGCAATAGCACCTCAGCTCATTGATAGAATTGTACAACACGTAATTCAATCCCGTGCCCATTTGCCACATGCGAGCATGATAAGAACCAGCCTAGGTCTTCGCGGCTGCTAGTCTTCTCACACGTCTCATCCCCCACAACTGACGGAGGTTTCTGAAAGGTTCGCCGTTGGTCCGGGCTCGGAAAACATGTTGTTCTCTTACTTGTCGCACCGTCGCACCTGGTGAGCCTTCTATCAGCCTTCATTGTCACTTTCCTGCAAAGTTCGGCTCTGACAACCACACTAGTCGCGATAAGCAACGAGAGCGAGCAGAACGAATCGCATCCCTCAAACCCATCTACCATGAGCCTCTAACTTCCCAAGACAAAGAGATTCTGTCTCGCTCAGTTTCGTCTCTGGTGGCTGCCGTGCAAACATCATCCCTGTCTCCATCCGACATCCTCGTGGCCTACTCCAAGAAGGCCCTTCAGGCGCATGCTCAGACAAACTGCCTGACTGAGGTCATGATTGCCTCTGCAGAGAATTGGGCAAGCACTGCGAACCGATCAGGTCCGTTGGCAGGCGTCCCAGTCTCTCTCAAGGACCTGGTAAGCGTGAAGGGTTGGGATTCCTCCATGGGATACTCGGCTCTTGTAGGCAAACCTATGGCTGCCGACGGCGCGCTGGTGAGGTTGTTGCGGGACGCAGGTGCCGTTCCATACGTCAAGACGAATGTCCCCATGACTATGCTCTCATTGGAGTCGACGAACGATGTTTTCGGTTCCACAGACAATCCTCACAAGAAGGGCTACACCTCAGGAGGCTCTTCAGCAGGTGAAGCTGTACTCCTTGCGCTCGGTGCAGCCAGACTCGCGATAGGGACAGATGTCGCGGGGAGCGTTCGGGCTCCTGCGCACTTCTCCGGTGTCTATTCTATCAAATCAAGTATGTATAGATTCTTGAAGCAAGGCAGCGCGTCCAGTATACCTGGCCAGGAAGGGGTTCCTGCAACACATAGTCCTATGACCAGAACGTTGGAAGATCTAGAGACGTTCTGGCGAGCTGTGTTCCAGATGAAGCCTTGGAACTACGACTACTCGGTAGCTAAAATCTCTGAATATTAGTGCCGTTAAGCTAATGATAACGTAGGTTCTTAGAATTCCGTGGAGAGATGTCAAACTTCCGGAAGATCGCCCCATTAGGTGGGGCGTCCTGTGGGATGACGGTAAGTGGATCTCCATGGAGTTCAACCTCAGTATATTCATGTTTGCACACAGGGGTTGTGAGACCCTCACCTGCCTGCGCGCGAGCATTGAAAACGGTTACTGCGATACTCGAGAAGAACGGCCACGAAGTTGTCACTCTGTAGGTCAAAACTCTTCTTTCTGAAAGTGCTTCCTAGACGTCCCACTTTAGGAAGTGCCCGAGCCCATACGAAGGCCTTCAAATCGCGTCACAGCTCCTCCTTGCTGATGGCGGCAAGACGGCTTCCAAGAACCATCACGCATTTGAGTCCAACGATGCTGGAATGACATCAGCGTTCCGGGGCCTTCGTCTCCCCTACTTCGTCATAAAGCTCTATGCTTGGTATTACCGCTACATACGTCGCGATCCCATCTATGCCGGTCTGATCGACACCCATTACGAGAAAACCATAGCAGAATTCTACGCCTTGATTGCGCGAAGGGAGGACTACCGTTCTCGCTGGTTCAAAGTCTGGCGGGACGCGGAGGTCGAAGGCCGTCAGGGCGATGAGGGAGTTGACTTCATCCTCACAGTGCCAAACAGTCTTCCTGCTGTTCCTCACGGAGGGATGAGGCACGGGTGGAAAGCATGTGGGTACACGTTCTTATTCAATCTGGTATGTTCCACTCCTTTTCAACGGCTCCGATCGCAAATTCACTCTCAATCTTCGAAAAGCTTGATTACAGTGCGGGGGTAATGCCGATCACGCATGTGGATGCGACGGCTGATGCTCTCCCGCGTACTTTCCGCGCACGAAACGCCATCGAACGGAACTACTACCGGATGTATGATGCAAGTGCCATGGAAGGTCTCCCGATTGGGGTGCAGATTGTAGGAAGACGGCTTGAAGAGGAGCGTGTCCTGGAGGGCATGAAATTGATTGAACGCCTGTTAAGGGAGGCTGGGGCTGGCTATATCGGTTTGCCGTTGTAGAAATGTGATTGTGCCAATCCTGATATGTATATCATCCTATTCCATTGTACAGAACTGAATGCAACGTTTGCGGAAAGAGAGACACGTATCATGACGCAATCTGATAAAAGGCAGACAAAAACAGACGTGACGAGGTTCGGAGCTGCTCAACATGTTTAACTTTAAATCCAATCCCAGAAGTTCCGGATGGTTCGTCCCGGAGAGATCATCTCCAAGATTCCACTCGTATTTTTGACTACATAACCTATAAGTTCTTCAAAGACAAGTAACCGGTGTCCCAGACGGGAGCTATCGTCGCAACGTGGCATATGTCAATCATATCATCGTGGCACCCTTGATGCTGAATACTTTCTGGGACATCATGCAAAAGCCCTTGTGACTGTCATATCGGATCCAGTTCCAAATGCTAGGTCCAACGCTATAATGGTATTAGGGTGTAGGCTCGTGACCAGCCTGGCGCATACTATCACTGATACTCGAGTGATGTAGCCAAACTTGCAATATCAAAATGACGCATAGTCAGACTGGTCACGAGTCTAGTAAGGGTGGTGGAATTACCTACAACTACTGACTCCTCCAGGTACCGGTGATGATATTGACAGATAACTTGTACAGTTATGGATGATGGCAATCACCGCCTCGCAGACCATTGCGATTCGGCAGCGTACAACATGGAGGGGGTCGATATGGGGTATGATCATAATCATGATTCAGTATGAAAGGAAGAATCTGAGTCCGTATACGGATACCCATGCTTGACGAGTTGGCGAGGAGGATATTAATATCCATTTTCTTGAACCCCTGACAGTATAGATGTCTTGCTACTTGGAGTCGACGACATAGGTCGAATGGCACCGTTCATTGTCAGGTCAAAGTAATTACCTATGGTGATTGATTATTGGGTCCAGTTGTAGAGCAGCGAGAAACTGCACGGCTCAAGCTGCGTTGAGTTCTAAGGGGAATCAAATGGATCAGTCGAGGATGGAGTACGGAGTGGCAAGAAGAGACGTAAAGCAAGACGTGAAAGGTGTAGCGTCGTCAAAGCGCAGGATGGGAACATGTAGTGACAGCGATAAGGACAAAGGCTAATAGTGTAAAAACGTGAAACGTTGCAATTATCAACAGAAAAGGAAACAAAACCGAAGGCAGTGCGTAACGTGTCGCGGTCGTTGAAGTCTTGATTGAAGCGAGCGTTCAACGTTCATCGTTAAAGGCGTAGCCATTCCTACAAAGTCTGGGGGTTTGGCTCCCCTATGGGTCGGGATCAAATCCGATGAAGATTGAATTTATCGTATCCGTACGTAGTACACCAGCGTACAACCTGATCCTACAAACTCGGTCTTTTCTATATCAGCCAAAAAAATGCATATGCCACACAAAGTACAATTAAAACTTTCGCTTGAGGGTTCATGTTCGACCACGTGGTAGTTAAGCTGTTTGACGCATTGTAAGTAGAACCGGACGATGAAGAACCACCTTTACCCGAAAGGGTACGGCCTTGCCCAGAGAATGCACCAGAAGGTGCGGGTTTGGCGTACTGGGTGATAGCTGATTTGAGGCCACTATAGCATGTGTTGTAGAGCATTAAAAAGAATGAAAAATCGTGAACGAACCTTGGGTTAGCGCCACGGATCCTGTGCACTTCATCACCGCCTACTAGGAAGATGAAGGTCGGCCTGCGAAATATAAATACAGAACAACTTTTCCAAGAGGATAAAAACTGACATGGCAGTGACGGAGTAGCTAGCGGCGAGTTCGTTCGTTCCCTCGGAGAGGTCAACCTTGATGAAGTTCACATGGGTGTTGTTCTTTGCGAGGTCCTCAAAAACCGGCTTAATGGCCTGGCAAGGGGGGCACCAACTAGCAGTGAAATCAATGACCTGCAAGTGGAAATGTCACTTGAGCTTCGAACAACAACTGAGACAAATACTTACAGTGAGCTTGCTGGGATCGCTGGTGTACTCGTTGAGGTGTATCTTGGTGGATATCTCAGCAACCATGATGAGCCTAGATGAAGTATACGATGTGAGAGATTGATGAGGGCTGCTCTGTGGGCGATGGCTTTATATGTGCCGTTGCTGGATATAAGTAAGCTGTTGCGTGACGTGCTTGCTTGCAAAGCACGACATAAGCCGGTCACGTGATGTTCACAAACATGACCACACGCGTATCATTGACCAACAACGAACTTTGTATTTGCACCTTCCAGTTCACTACCACCATCACCGTCATCGACACCAGCAGTATCAATCTGCCTTTGTAAACTTTGTCGATACACATAAATCAGTTCATAATACAACATGTCTGGACGCGGAAAGGGTGGCAAGGTGCGGAATATTGGTTGGCGTCACCTTGTAGCTGTGTAACTAACACAGTACAATAGGGCCTCGGAAAGGGTGGTGCTAAACGTCACCGCAAGATTCTTCGCGACAATATTCAGGGTATCACCAAGCCAGTGCGTACTATGGCGTTCTATAATTATTCGCCTGCTCATGTATATTCAGGCTATTCGCCGTCTTGCCCGTCGTGGTGGTGTGAAGCGTATTTCGGGTCTCATATACGAGGAAACCCGTGGTGTCCTCAAAATTTTCTTGGAGAACGTTATCCGTGACTCCGTTACCTACACCGAACATGCTAAGCGGTAAGCCCTAGCACCGGTTTATTTAAGTGTTTGTTTGCTTATTGGAACTATAGCAAAACGGTTACCGCTCTTGATGTCGTCTATGCGCTGAAACGGTCAGGGCGTACATTGTACGGTTTCGGCGCATGATCAAAGTATTGTTTCCACTTGTCACCCATATGTACCAATAGTGTCTTGAAATTTTCTTTCACATCAATCAGATTGGCCTCTTACCATGTCCTGTCAGAGATCCTTTAATTTCCGGGCGAGTTCGAGGTGTGTGATCATCTTCGGTAACTCGGTTGTTGTATGCTCAGTGACAGCGATTGGTGGGGAGACGACATAAATCCAATCTTGATATGACACATCCGGCAGATGAGGCTTTCTATTGCCGAGTATGCTAGAACATGCTGCATCTGTCGGTTGCCTTCAAATATTAATATATCTTTACTTCCGCTGCGAAGATATCAAACGAATCCTTTTGTATGCTAGTGGTAGTGATGCTTCGCAAATGTGTCCCGTGCACAACTAGTATCTTAACGGAAGACTGCTACGCCTGCGCAGTAGTTACAGACTGCACTACCATCTGCTATCACCATGAAGCCGGCGCCTTCTACCTGTCACTACGTCATCACCTCCTGGAACCTGCATGCCACGGACTGCGCTGGACTGTGTCACTACCCAACAATTGCAATTGCGGTCCTCCAAATTCAGCGGACTAAGCTTCCAGGCTGCTGAAGTTGAACATCCAAAGTCTGAGCTCGAAGATAGCAAACGTACGGCAAAGAAACTCTGGTTCGCGATCTCGCATCCAAGTGTGCCTCTTGTTTGACATCACATAATTAATGACATCAAGTCGTCCACGAATAAGGTAAGATGAGACAGTTCGAATATGAATATTTCAAACGCCTAGCCCGCCGCTCTGGAGATCGTCATAACTCAAATGTGAATAAAAGTCTGCCCATTTCAGTTGCTGCGGCGGATGCGTCGCCATCATTTAATCCAGTCATCGGTTGGCAGTTGCGGAGCAAATAAATTCCTGGGATTGTCCTGGGATATACCTAGACAATAGCCTATGACCATGAGTCCATGACATACTGAAAGTGATACGATCAGATAGCTACATTCAGTCAACCAATCAGTTCGTACCTTGCTCAAAATCACGCAAGGTGTGACATCAATGCAGTATGAGATGGGGAACAACAGAACAATGCTACGAAAACACAGCTAAGCACACGACCGAACCTCACGAGCTCTCCAATACCTCATCCACCCCATCCTCTCCATGCGCCTCATCCGTAATATCACTCTCGCTCTCCGGGGGTATTGGCTCTGACGGCGAGGACTCGCTCAGATTAAGGCTAACCTCGGGCTCCGTGGGGGACTCGTCAGCAGGTGCAGACTCGGGAGCTGGCGCGGGAAGTTCTGCAATGTGAATTGATACTGCTTCTGCCTCAGGAGAAGGCTCGAGGGGTGTCTCGTGCAGTTTTTCAGATTCCGGAACTGGCTCCGGTGAATCAGATTTTTCGGCAGCTACAGGCTCCTCCACAATATCAGTGTCTTCAACACTGGGCTCAACACTGGGCTCAACATCTTGATTATCTGCGGGGACTACTGGGCTTGAAGGCTCAGCCAGTGTAGCGGTCTCTTCAGTCTCTTCATGAGGAGCTACAGGTTCAACAGCTGGGTGTTCTTGAACAGTTTCAACGATTGTTTCAACGATTGGAGTCGTCTCTATCTCGTGTTCCGATATGGGTGGCACATCAGGGGTAACTGAGCCGGAGTCCCCAAGCGACGTCAAGGAGAGATCCTCCAGAGGTGGAGAGTTTGATGCGGCGACGGTTGCTACTTCTTCAACGGGTGCTTCTTCGACAGGCACATCTTCGATGTCAAACCCAAATTCGTCAGGAGGGAACTCACTCGGCTGGCTGGACCATGAGGCCTGCGAATAGCTCTCAGGCTCGGCGGATAGTGCAGTATCCAATAAAGCGCCGCTTTCAGTGACATCATGGTCACCGCCTTTTGCCAGCTCCTCCGCAACATTGTATGCCTCACTGAATACCATGGTATCTGTGCGATTGCGCCCCAGCCGGCGCGGGCTATCAGTGCCAATCAGGCTGTCACTGGATAATCCCGGAGGACTCTTCCCGCGAACATTCGGGGGTTGTGCTTGTTCTGCTATAGGATCCTCCCGTTCACGCGGCGGATTGACAGCCGCCGCAAGAAGACGCGGAGGTTCGACGTCCTCATCGCGTCCCTTTCTACCTGACAGAACAGCGCTTGGGGGAATGACAAGGAATTCCGTAGGGACAAGATCGAATTGACCAGTAAGTTTCAAAAAGCGGGCGTAGAGCGATGATTCGGCCTCCGCTTGTTCGAAGGCTTCTCGATGGTGGAAGTATGCATGTGCAAAAATTCTACCAAGCCGACGAGCAAGCGAAGAGAAGTGTCGATATGAGGTCGGAGGTATCGAAAGTCTGATATGACCACAAGAACACATGATTGAGTTGAGTTCGATGAGGAAGGCGGAGTAAAGGAGGATATCAACAAAGATGTCATGAAACGTCATCAATACTTACCGAGATGGGAAAGCTCGAGGTGAATTTAATAGTGCGGTTGCGCTATCCAACGTATGAAGGATGTAATCGATAGCACAGCATTGCTGAAAGACGTCAAGAAATTGGTCAAGTATACATACGCAGTTAGCGCAATCATATTTTTTTTAAATTACTGTCAGACTAACCTCCATAGCACCATCATTACCGTGTGCGACACACAGATATAACCACTCTCCCGCCTTCATCTCGGGACAGGTGATACGAGTACATTCCTGCTGCAACATCGTGATGAGCGGATGTGAGAGATCTTGTGCAAGACGTCTGATTGAAGAACAAAGTTAACGCATTGACGACCGGGTGAGTGAGCATGAGAGGTACCGTAGTTGTTCGTAAATCCAGCAACCTCGGTCGACTGTTATGTCGCTCTTGCGTTCAGGATCATCTGGTTTACGCTCAGCTTGATCAGAAAGATCAGAAGACTTTTCTTCGGCGTCCTTGAAGGAACCTTTCCCAGGAAGAGACACTATTGAATCGACATCATGGACGTCAAGACGAATAAGAAGCGAAATGTATTCCTGGAGCTGAAATGCACTATCGAGAGAGGACAATGATGGTAGAGTTTTGACAGGATAGAAGGAAGATACGCGTGAGCCACGTAACGGGCGCTGTACGGCTACCGCCATCGTTGGTGACAGTGAGCTCGAGGTTGCTCGTCGTCGAGAGCGTTGATCGCGAGTAAGTAAGCGTGTCTCACGGTGTTGACCAAATTTCGCGGAAGATGACCGTGGAAATAGAATTCCAAGTTAGGTTGTTTATCAATTTATATGAATTTCGTTCCAAATTTGACTCGTCAAATATTAATAATCATATCGTACCTGGTTGGTACCACATGATCACGTCGATCAAGATCTGTTCTCCCGGTGCTTGTGAATCGTCCCGCCGTGGACTCGGATATCTCAAAAATTACTAACTCAAATGGTGCCTCGTAGTACTTCCTTATATTTAGGGCGCTCCTTGCGGAGCCTTGCGATTGTCTTCCCTTGATCATCTCCACGATGTCTGACAATCATCTGCACGAGAAGAACTCGGTCACCGACGTTGAGAAGGATTCCGCATCCAGGGATGATCTCTCTGTGATCATCCCCGGAGACAAGCAAGGATGGCTCTCCCACCCGTTGGCAAAGTCTCTTCTCAGCTGGGGCGTGGAGGAGCGAGGTTGGCTTTCCTCACAAACCATATACTTGTCTAATGTTCTTTCATATTAGGCACCGTTCCAGTCCCTGAAGAGGAGCGGATGGATACCCAATACTATAAAATATTCTTCGTTTGGTTCTCCATGAACTTCAACATTCTCTCGTGAGTCTCCAGAGTACCTCGACTATCAGCTCGTTCTTACAGATAAGCCAGTTTCTCTTCCGGAACACTTGGTCCAATCGTTTTCGGACTTGGACTTCGTGATTCATGTCTTGTTATCTTATTCTTTAATATCCTCGCATGCGCATTGCCTGCATATCTGTTCGTATACTTTCCTGAACAGGGAAGTCATTGCTTAACCTTCTCTTCTACAGAAATACGTGGGGCCCTCGAACTGGCATGCGTCAGATGATTCAATCTAGATATAGCTTTGGGTTAGTGTCCCTGTTTTCCGTATTTGCTACTGCCTGATTTCTTTCAAGCTACTTTGGCATCATTATACCCGCTATCCTCAATTTGATCGGCCTGTGCGGCTTCAATATCCTCAATGGTATACTCGGTGGACAGGCACTCGCCAGCGTGACTACTAATATGAGCTGGAAGTGCGTATGCCATCCCATAAAAACCGTTTACCTTGCCTGATCCGTATCAGTGTCGGCATTGTCATTATCTTCATCATTGCGCTCCTCGTGCGTTCTCTTACGTGACTCTTACAATCCTTTGTCTTCACAATGTTCACACTACCAGATCTCGTTCATGGGCTACAGAGTCCTCAACTGGTAAGCGGCATTATCCATTCATCATAATTTTAGTTTACCTTTTTCAGGTATGAACGTGTCTCGTGGTTCCCAGTTCTTATCGCGTTCTTGGTTGCACTCGGCGTGGGTGGCAAGAACCTGTATAACGCTCAACCAGCGGAACCTGCAACCGCTGGTGCCATTCTCAGCTTCGCATCTGTTATTGCCGGGTTCGTCATTACCTATTCGGCAATGGCCTCCGATTTCACCATGTACTACTCGCCCACCGTTTCACGGTAAGCTCCCTTTCACGGCATGTGGCGTTATGCTTAGGTATGTTTTTCAGGTCCACCATCTTTTGGTATGCATATCTGGGGTACATCGTGCCTATCGTACGTTAACTTCTTTCGGTATCCGTTGACGTGTCTGATCTATCCCCAGGTACTTCTCCAGTGCCTGGGAGCTGCAGCAGTTCTTGCTGCACCTAACGTTCCTAGCTGGAACGAGGGTTACGGGGTGGAAGGCAACGTCGGCGGCCTTTTGGAGGCCATGCTCAGCCCGGTCGGCAACTTTGGAAAGTTCCTCACTGTTCTTCTCAGCCTGAGCGTCACCGGCAACATTGCATGCACGCTCTACTCTATTTGCTTCAACTTCCAAGTGATGATTCCGGCCTTGTCAAAAGTCCCAAGATATGTCTTCTCGATCGTTGGCACGGCAATGTTCGTCTTCCATTTATACTGTCATTCCTGTCACCGGCTGATTTTCCCCCGGGTGCCGACAGTGCATTGCCTTTATCGATCGTGGGCGCCCATACATTCTATGCGGCGTTGACCAATTTCCTTTCGCTAATCGGTTACTGGGCGAGTGCGTATGGTGCCATCCTCGTTGTTGAGCACCACTACTTCCGGAAAGGTGACTTCAGCACCTATGACCACGCCATATGGAATGTCCCAGGGCGTCTGCCCTGGGGAGCAGCTGCCATAACAGCTGCCATACTATCTTTCGCCCTAATTATTCCCTCCATGGACCAGGTGTGGTACCAGGGCCCCATCGGCATCACCTCAGGTGATATCGGTTTTGAGGTCGCGTTCCCTCTTGCAGCCATACTATACATTCCCCTCCGAAAGCTGGAGCTTAAATACCAGAATACCCAATATTAGGTACCTCTCTGTCGAGATAGTTGCAAGTTAAATGTGCGATGTGCTACGGAACGTGTACTATCTTACCATGCCCATATCCAGATTTGCTTACCTTGAATCAGAACAGCAAGCTAGGGTCGCTATCAGTTTTTGCCTATGATATATGGTAACTTTAGCATACGGCTTCCTGCTCGCACTTTCCATACTGGGATAATGACCAACAGCCCATTGCAAATCGATGCCCCGAGATGTCACCCACGCTTCTCCACAGCATCCGTCTCGAGGGTGGAGCTCTGGAGGGTCAATCCCATGGTATACAGCCAGGTCAGAAATATATTCAAATTCCACAAGTTGAAGTTCGATTGGGAAGAAGTATGTGGCTTGATCAATGACACTCTGCATAATCACTGGTCATGTAAGTGCAATATCGCCCAGCGATGAGAGACCGCTAGGCCGGAGCGCGGACACATCAACATGCCATGTCCCCGACGTGGCATTGGAGCGCCAAGAACTTCCGGGACGCACGAGTCCTGGGATTATGAACACATGCACGCGTGAACTTGGAATGACTGAATCAGCCGGTGCGACAGAGCGCAGATTCCAGAAGATGTTGGAGCAGACGCCCTACAAGACAAGGAGATCCTTGATGATATCGATACGCCCGTGACGGACCATAAGCGACCCAATTAGTAATAGTTCACGTTCGGACATGACCGGGAATTGCTCGAGGATATCAGAGGCATGTCGAAAGTTCTGAATCATGATTGTTATCTGTAGGAACAACTACTACATAAAAGCCCTAAATAAAGCACTGATTTGGAAATCGATGCTCATTCAGATTATCCCACTCCGAGCATTCGGCGACCTAGTGTGTTGCATAATTACCGGCTTCGAATGGTCTGTACAGCATAATCTATTCTTTCCAGCCCAATCTGCAGGGAGATCACAGAAAGAATAGGCTTAGCTGCGGAAGAATTTATCAGGCTGCATGGAGAAAAATACGGCATCCTCATACCTTCAGCATTCGACCACGTTTCCAGGAAGGAACGTAAGGGCCGCAGTAGTGACCACTCTACGCTCGCGATGTTATCTGGATCCCGTATACCAGTCTGGGATGTCGTCAAATTGATTTTTTAGTTGATGGGCAAGAAAGGGTACCTTGTTGTCCTTGTCCCGTTGCAGTAATACATAGTAAAACGATAGCACCTCTGCGATCCGAGAGGGCTCCAAGGACTCCTCAATGTCGCTAGCCACCCGGACCGTCGACAAGTAATCAGGCGGCATTGTCCTGAACAGGACCGGTCCGAAGGATCTTATAAGCAGTGGTGATGCAAAGAAGTTTTGTTGTTCTGACGATACGGGGAACTGCAGTGCTTCTATAACACATTCCTTGAGAAGGCCAATGGCAGCCGCCCGCATCTGGGGGAACTCCACATCAGACGCTAGTGTTATCAAGATCTGCTGCTGCAACACAGGTGGCAGTTGTGCAAGGATGAGCGCAATTAAACGAAGACTGAAATGCCTGATGAATGGATCAAGATGGGTGCTTGCCAAAACGGGAAGAACTATGCATAGTGACAAGGCAAGGTCAGGTGGGAAGTCGGGTTGTGTGCGATCTTGCGTGATGCAGCGAAAGATAAGGAAGAGAGACTCGTCGAGGGCGAAATTCATCTGAATTGAGGTCATGAGCACTGAATGCAACTTGGCGAACAGATCTTTCGGTAGGGGATGGCTTTTTTGTTCATGAGCAAGCATAATTAGAGAGCTCTTTATCGGATTATCCAAGATATCCTGTGGTGACAGAGCCATTGCCCGAAGAGTAGTCTGATACGATTCAGAATATATCACATTCTACGGCATCTCTGACTTACCAGTACGCTCAAAATGGCCTGCTCCCCTTCTTGCCACTCAGGTTCGATTGCAGAAGATAAGGTAAGACGAGGATAGTGCGTCTCGAAAGCTCTGGCACATAACGATGCTCTGATGCATGACGCACATGCCAGAACAGTCGTATCCAGAAGAACTCTGATAATTTTCTGGAATTTGATGAGTTTGTAAGGCTGTCTGCCGCAAGTGCTGTCGACGAACCTTTGCTTCTGCAGCATTTTCTTCGCTGCCAGTTTTGAAGATCCATGTATAGAACGCCTCCGACATGCGAGAGACCGCTGAAAGTACTGAACGACCACTATCCCGCGTGAAGTCGCTTCCTAGCGAAGAAACCAATGAACCAACACAGGAAACCAAAGGTGATACTACGCTCAGCGCAGTCCTTTTTCCAGGAGTTAATCTAGGCACAGCTGTAAAGCCCTGAGAGGTTAGCGATCAACCGACACTTGCAATATACTCACATTTTGTTGACAACACGATAACGCTGATGAGACACTGGACAGATTCAGCAACATGATCCTCTTTATTTTCATCTTCATCTCCATGGTATACTAGTAGCTGGGGTAGCTGTTCCAGAGTTTCCTGGATGACAATCAACACCTCCTTCGGACTGCTGTTTTCAGAAATCAGGCTAATGAGGTCAACGGCTTCTTTACGGCGGCACCGCAGGAGATAAGGCAATATGTCGAGGGGTTCCTGCAAGGGGAGTCTAATTGAGCTCCGGAATACGATAGAATATGTTACTTACAAGAACGGCTGGACCCCCTTGGTATTGAAGAATATTATCGTATACATTCTTTAGAGATGGTTGGTGTGTTGGATCATAAACTGCAGCTGTTATTATAGCGGAGATGTCTCTGCTGATTGCCTTTGAATCGCCTCAGACAAAATATTCAGACTATGATATGAGGTTGAATGCCTCATCGTCAAGGTTAGGCGACAGTTGTAGCGCCTTAAGAAAGGTATCCTTGGAGTTCAGAGCCATTGATGCACCAATTCATTCAATGGCCCAGGTCGCTGCGAGTTGCACTGTTTGCAAGTGGTATTGAGTTAGCCTTAAGAGCTCGATTTTTTTTTTCGAGGAAGGCAAAGTTTTGGCAGTGTGACGTCCGCAAGCAGCAACACCCAGTGTATCAGGTTGCAAGTCGTGATTAGGGCGACATGATCGCTCGGTACCAAAGGGAGGCGCAGTGGGTCAAGAGGACAAACAGTGTACGGCCTGGGAATCTTGCTTTACGTAACTTGAAGATGCCGCCTGGCGGCAGGCTTAGGCGCTGCTCTTTCAATACCGCGAAATTTCATGAATGGTGTCAACAAGTTTTACTGACACACGTTCAATGTTTTCAGAGCTTAAAATTAATTAATTCTGCAGCCAGTATGGTTTCTGGTTCAACCACTACTCAGGTAGTCACATTAATGACTCGGACACGCCGCCACCGTGACCACAGAGTCGCTAACTAGCCAGCTAGTAAGTACTCATGTTCTTTAAAAGCCATGGCAAATTCTAAAGGGTATCAATCACTTCGTTGATTTTGGGCAAGTTTCAAGGAAACCCGGCCTTGTCGGTCAGCCTATCAATTATATTAGAAGATCAGCGAGGATGGATAATAACGGTGTCGAGCACGCCAGTGTGCTTCCCGTATCCTATATCCTTTCTATTAGTAGATGGTACTTCACCTCGTCGCTTCGTAATCCTCCTCGCAATGTCAGTCAACACACAAATAAAACCTAAAGGTATGCACTCCCTTCGATCAGGAATTCAGTAGTATCTCTCGCCGACGGCGCCCTAATCACGAGTCAGTCCTTGACTATTTCTTCCATGGAGCGCAGAAGCCTCGATCGCGAATGACAGCCTGATGCGGGTGGGTCACTGACTCACAACTCACGAGTCCACGGCGGCTAAGACCTCAACTTCAAAACCCTATCGGTGCCAGAAACCAATTCGACATCTCGATTCTCAGTGTCAGTCTTTACTCAATTCTGTAAGTCAAGAACCTTCATCGATGTGTCTCTGACAAAAACATCGATCCGTGTTCACTCGATGCTGGACCCATGACGTAGTTTCCCCGTGGTCTGAGTGCAATGCCTCTCATCTACCCAAATTGTTCGAACAGGCATCTTCGTTCCACCTACGTCACGCCTGCCATTGATCAGCTCTTGCTATGAGAAATCCCTTCGTAGCATGGCGTAAAGCAGATGATGAAGCTTTCGGTTAAATGTGGAAGCTTTGACAATGCATCCACGATTTGTCATGTGGCTCACATCCATTAGTGACCTCCACAAAGCGTCCATGTATGAAGTCCACAAGCGTCCACCGCAAAGAACAGTGGCTCCCGGAACCGTATATATTCCAGTCCAAATGCCTACCTATGAAGGATATTCATTAGTATACCCCACTCATATTCCTCTATAATCAATCCTTTTCAACATGCTTCCTACCAAGGTGAGCCTAATCACGAACATACTTCGTACACTAAGACTGATTTTTGGAATGTGTAGATCTATGTTTGCTCTCAGCCGAATTGCAACCAAACTTTTACCAAGTTTGCGGACTTGAAGAAGCATGAGTCCGAACATGCTCGTCCGGGAAAGTACGTATTTATCCTATATGCCACACTGGTCACCTACACGAGCTCACATTTAGTGCGCACACCTGCACGTTTCCCGGGTGTAAGTTTGTGACATTGACAAAAGCCAGCTTCGACATCCACTATTCCAGACAGTACGTGCTCGTTCATTACCGTCAACGATCCCACCTGGTCAACAATTTTAGCACTGGCGAGAAGCGCTACGGCTGTCCTCATGATTGTACCTTCAGGACTCACAACCCTTCCGCCCTCGCGCGTCATCGCAAAGAAAAACATGGATACGTCCCTCCTCCACGCAACACACGCGGCGGCGCTGCTGCCCCCTCTGCATCAGAGAAGCCCCCATCGAACCAGCCCTCTGCTTTATCCTATCAAACCCATCCAAACAGCCAAGACCCATCATTCAACGTCCTCTACGGCCCGACGGATACTTGGGACGACTATACCATGTTTACCGGGCCCGCAAGGACAGCCGATGGGTGGACCGAGGGTTGCATGTGCCCCGAATTGATGCAAAGACGCCTTTCAGAGATACTGGGTTACGAAAACACGCATTATTAGTTTGCATGAACTCAAGAATCATCTTTGTGGTTTGTGTTCTTCAACGATGATTCGCTCGCATATGGCTCAGCACTCGGTAAAACCCTACCCGTTGTCGAAAGGCTAATGCGCTATTTCTCAGTGTTCCCCAATGCCCACAATATATCAGCAGTTGGCAAAAGGATCATGGGTGGGCTGGGAGTTTGTGAGATATCTATTTGGACTCTTCGTCGGTTAATATTGTCAGTTGATACTTGAGCTTGAAAGCTTGACTTCGTAAGGAATTGGCTGAGGGAGAATTAATTGATATGCTCTCACTCGACTAATACTTTAAGAAGTCAGTGGGCGCTTTGACCTGAGCGAAGAACGGAATCCGAAGGAAGCTACTAGGTAACTATACTAGTCCCTTCATTTATTACAGCTATGCTGTGTGTTGGTGACTTGGCGTATAAATACACGAAGCCACTGGCGATCTACGTGGCGTTCTTATATATGTGGAGCAATTACCTAGAGGCTAGAGCTGGTCGAAGTCAAGAAGGTGGGAAAACAAAGGAAACCTTGGTTGATCAAAAACTTCGTGCAACATTCAGGGCGCTTAAGCACTGGTAAGCGCTCATCACAGCATTTTCAAGCAAAGACTTTACATGTGTACGTACGAAATGCAGCGTTGGGGAACGTTCACGACTATTGACAGCTGTTTTCGTTCTACGCTGCCTAATGTTCATTGTCAGTACGAAAAGCTACTGATATGCCTTTAACTACACAAGAGAAAACTGCGCTGAAATCTCTGCCTAAGCGTATCCAGGTAAATCGTTTTCGAATCTCCTGCGCCACCCCAGACGATATCAACTGGCTTTTTCCAGCGTTTAGTAGACGGAGCCCTTGAAGGTGTAGTGCATGATGTCCGCAAACTCAACCATTGGGTCGATAATTCTACCGATGTCGAGGCGAACATGGCTTTGCTCCCCATCTTCTACATTCATCTGGACCCAGCTGTGATTCCCGATCAACCTCTGCCGACTGATGATGTCCAGAAAGTCACCACGCTTGCCAAATTGTCATTGGACAGTATCGTACACACGTGTACTAGCATGCGTGGGGTTCTCGACGAAAGTCTTGCAGACAAGACCATTACGGATGCACTGGTGCGGCGTTGGGACATCGTCTTTCCATGGCTGCAGTTCATGTATCGGCATTTTCTACCTTTCCCGCCTCAGAGGGACCATCCCAATGGTTCTAGCATCTGCGATGTTGACGCAATCTCGATTGCAACGCGTGCCCTCTCCCAGCTGGCGGTCTGCGTCGCAGGACAAAATCTTATCCAGACAAACATAGCCATTCAACAGTTCATTGCCAAGTTGTGGCTTTACATTGGGAAATTGAAGGATGAGGATTTGCTCCGGTATGATGCGTCTTTTCGGCCTGACGGGAGGGAGGGCGTCGACGATGAGATGTCGGGACACGTCAGGAGGATCATGGTTGGAATCATCACAGCGTGCATGGGCGCGCTTGCGCCACCGTCCACTCTGTACAACCTGCTTGACGCAATGGGTGGATACAAACCATTCGTAGTGTCGGCACTGCGATATGTTCGGTGGTTCGGGAGAAAAATCGTTGAGATAAAAAATCTCAGGACTCCAAATCATGGGTCTGTAACCGCAATGCTGGGATTTGTCGATGCTTTATCAATCTCAGTCCGGCTTCTCTCCTTGTTCAGCATCATGGACAGCACGTGCCGAGAAGAGCTCATCTTGCACGGCGGCCCTTCGGATGTTGTGACAGCTTTTCTTCAAATTTGGCCGGTTCTCGCTGGTACGAGGGTCAGTCCCTCGACAGGAAACTCGATTACAGAGAGATGCACTGTACTCGTGGAGGATGCCCTCGATTATACAGATGTGATACTGCGATCAGAAGATTGTATTACAGCTCTATGTCAGGTCCTCGATGCCGGATTGATCCAGTTGGTATTGCAGGCTGGTTTTCGCTCCCCGGAGATGGCCTCTGGTGTCCTCAAGGTCATTCCGCAATTTCTGATGTACAATAAAGTATTGCACCACTTTCAAAAAGCACTGGATCGAAATCCAGATGGCATGGCTCGTCTTGGAGCTCACACAAGGAAAGACGATGAGGTGCAACGGTCATGGATATCGGTCCAGCAAGCGGCCCGACAAATATCCAACATCTGCAGGAAAACCAGTCCATTTCCTTTTTATGAACGAAAATGTGCGAATGCAGAGGTATGTTTGGAGGTTGGTTGTACTCCGCACGACATGAACTTAACAATGACATCCCCAGTGTCCGTATGACAACAATAAACATCCGCACCATCGGTGCTGTGGATGTCTCGTCGCACGATATTGTTCTCGGAGTTGCCAGAGAGCAGATTGGAAAAGCAGACATCGTACTGCATGCCCTGTTCTCCATTCAGCTAGTGGTTTGTCTCTCAGCTACATACATATACGACATGTACTGACCGACTTTTCAAAGGTTTTGACGGGTCCAAACATATTCGCTGTAGCCTTCCTCTCATCATGCTTGTGGAAACTTTCAATTACTCGCTATACGCTGACCGAATACAAGAAGCCATGGACCAAGCAGAAAAGGAATACCCAGAGGAGAATGATCGTCTAGTTTTGGAAACAAACCTTTCAGCTTGGCCAGTCACTTTCTCTGCACGACCAGTCCAACAATACGCTGATATGTTCGACCCCCGATTTGATCCCGTTATGGTCAAGGAGCTAAGGGGACTGCCTGGCAAGCATATCCTGATGGCCATCAGACTCAGAGCAGGCCGAGAGGAACGTGTAGTGCTCAGTCCGAGGGTGGGTCTTACATTGGCTTTCCAGTGGCCGGCTGCCAAGGAAGAAGAAGCAGGTAACGATGGTTTATGCTTGAATGGGGAGGGCAGGATACTCAATGGCTCATTTTGTCGTTTTTAGTATTGTCTTCTGTTCAAGAAGCACTGGTTTCACGCCTCGCAGTAGGCCCAGGTAACGTGATTAAAAGGGGAGAAGGCTTCAAGGTGGTAGAATATAGACAGCCATCAATGGACCAGCCCACGACTTCGTTTAACGGATAATTTAGTTCATTCTAATGCGACTTACATAAATGGCTTGGTTGAGAATAAGGGATGCGGCATCAGACATCCACAGTTCGGTTGCTGATCGACTCTTGCTTGGCAGTGGTGACTCAATGACCTTTAGACGTTAAAAGCGCCGCATATAACAAAGGGTTGGTGCAGTGGTACGATATTATACAATGCTTTCACCGAAAGCAACTTCTGAACCTAACTGCGCCACACAATATTAGAAGCGGCCATACCACCTTCATCATGTACGAATAGGAACATGCGACTCGTGAAACACCTAGGTCATCAGATTCCAATTCAGCACCACCGGATTATCGCCACATGCAGCACCCCAAGGACCAAAGTAGCTTCCAGACCGTCAAACATCGTATCTAGAACGGCAAGAAGTCCTACGAGGGCAAGGAGGACCGGGCGGGAGGGCCACATAGAAACTGCCGACAATGCCTGTAAAAGCCCTATCAGCACGACGCCCAAAGATGCTATAATGCAAACCCACCTTCGCAGCGAGGATACATGCTTTAAGCGTGCTAACCCACACGATCTTCGGTGATCGCCAGCGTAGGAAAGCGAGATACTCTACAATCCAGTTTACCGCATCTAACCGACGATCGGAAATTGGAGAAGGGAGACGAAGCATGGGACTTTTCCTATCCAACGCCTCAGAAACGTCTTCCTGTCTGTGCTCAGTAGGAATCAGAGAAGCATCCGAAAGAGATTGCCCGTTCTGAACGGTCTCGGTCTCGCTAGGTTTTCGCCGTAGTGGGATGAGAGACTTGTTGACAGGAGGGATGGATGGCGTCACAGGATCAAACTGAAGCATGAACTATGAACGACATGGTCACACATGAAATGTTGCACGACTTACTCGTCCTTCTCGCATGGCGCTCACGATGCGCTCGCACGAGGGTCTCAAAGAGGGATTGATGCTTAAAAGACCCTCGAGCAATATCAGGAACGAACGCGGAAGACGGCGGGACTCGAAAGACGTTGCGAGTGCGGACGTTGATCGGAATCTGAGAGCTGGTCGATAACTAGATCACAAGCGGTTACGAGTCAACCGCACCCAGTATAGCCCAATATTTCCTGCTCCAGCTTGTCCATCTTGTCAGCTTCATCGTATGCACTGGCTTCTCCTTCTGTTGCGTAGCGGTAGGGTAACTTGAAGAAAAGCATCTTGTGCAGGATCATCCCGAGAGACCACATGTCAGCTTTTGAGTCGACCTGTCGGAGAACTCCTGTAAGAGGAGATGGCAGCGACTCCGGCGAAGCGTATTCGAGACTATTGAGATGAGCTAACTGAAGTCAAAGAGCGAGGACAACCTGATGCTCACGTTCCCGTATTACCTGATCGAATGCCAGTCGACCGTACCATATCTCGGGAGGTCCCAAAATCCGATAACATTGCTCGCGGGCTGCACATAGCAATTTCAACATTGATACCACACCGCACAAAACGCACTTACATGAGTCTTCCTTCGTCCCAAGTCAGTAGCACGTTGCCAGGTTTGAGGTCTAAATGAAGGATAGATTTATCATGCTTATTAAAATACCAAGTATCATCAGTATGGCAACGTTGGAATATCAATTAGAACATACCAAGAAGGCCAGGCCATGCGTTACGTCCGCGAACAAACTTCGCGCTTCCTCTGCACTGAGAAGATGAACAGCTTTCCATGAAGGACGGTTCCCGCGACTATTGGTTCTTTCCTCCATCTCTCGGCGTAACCGCTCGCGTTCCTCTGGTGGGGCGCGCTTCATGGCACGAAATGCGCGGATGCGTGCAGATGGTGTCGGATCGTCAGGGGCAGGTGACGAAGAAGAGGATTGCATGTGCGGAAGTCCAATTGAACGTCCCAGGCGAAGGGCAATGAAATCATCCAAACTAATAACGGAGCTTCAGTAGTGATGGTCATATTTATACTCGAGGACGTTACCTTCCGCCTTCCGCCCATTGCATGAGAACACTATGCAGCGGTGATGAATTAATCAACATCGATCTGCGTTCTGTACTTACTGTAAGGTTGGCACTTTCGGTCCAAAAGCAGAGAACTGATAAGATTCTAGCCATGCATGATGATATGTGACTATATTGCTATGGTGAAGAGATTCCAGAAGGCGGATCTTGGCGGCACATTAATGTCAGCGAGCATGAAATGTCAGCATATCACTACAGTTGCGAACCTCGCGCAGTATGTTAAGGAGGTAAGAGTGGGACTCTCCTATCGCAATTTTCTTGACAGCAAAATGACCTAAGATACTCATTCAGCATAATAAATTGTCAAATGCAAAATGCTAACCAAGTGGTTCTCCATCAAGAACATGCTGGCCAGAGAACTTGAGAAAAGATAGTCATGGAAGGGCGCGATTCAGCAGACCTGGCAAAGATATACACTTCCATTTGCCCCCATTCCTAGTCGATACTCTTCCTGGAAAAAAGCCTTGAAGTAGCCTTCTGCCATGGTTTCTGGAGGGAATGCACCATGTCGGCTCCCAGTACCACTCGTAAGTGGGGGACTGGACGGCCTTGAGGACGTCTGATTTGCGGCAGCAAGAAGCTGGAAGTAGTTTGAAGCTCGGGAATGCGACCCGGAATCAGACCGAATATTCTCGGAAGAACCATTTCTGTCGAATCCACTAGGAAGAAGGCGATGGCAGTAGGGACACAGTGACGTGCTTGAAAGATCTGTTGGGCCAGAAGACTTTGTTATAGATAGAGCATGCGATGTTGGATTATACAAAACGATCTGATTCGAGGCCTGGAAGATTGGCTGCCATTCGGGTTCCAGAGGTGCTAACGCCACAACGGGCTGGTTGGGAGAGGGTGGTTGACTTTCGTCAAACATTGCACAAAGCTGAGGCTAGCGAGTAGTCGAACAACTGGGGTTCTAGATGGTCGTTTGGGTAAGAGCTTGATGTTACGTTTGCTAACAGACACCACCGAGTGTAATAATACGTCAAGTAGCCTCTGCACACGACTGCACAGTTGATAAATCGTATTGCTGCAAGGCCAATGGTACGACACAAGCTAAAGTACTGTTGGCTTCGCAAAGTATTGAGAAGGTAATCTCGAGCCTGTGGGGGTGTTAAAGCAAAGTTGAAATGATGATGAAATCAAGCGCGCTTTGCTGGTCATCATATCTATAAAAGGAAACCGAGCCACGAAGAAAAGAATTGCCAGCAGAGCCCAGACCCGAACAACGTTTTTCCATTGATTTCGCCGCTTATCCACCGCCTACCTTGTTGCCCGTGGTCACCCATCTTGTCGTCGTCGTTCTTTGATTTTTTAACAGTCGTTTGAAGCTTAGGATGGGAGGCGAGCTGTACTACCTAGATGCCCGTCAACAACAGGGAGGACAATCTCAGTCCACAAGCCAATCTCAATCTCAATCGCAATCTCTAACTCAGTCTGGCTCCGCCGTGTCAGGCTCACAGTCGCAGACTGCGTCGGGCACTTCTTCCTCCTTTCTATCCATTCCCCAGTCAGCGCCGGCTGGGCTTCTTACCATCACCCAGCCACCCCAACAGTCGACCTCTTATTTCAAAGTCGCTGAGAACCAGTTCATCACGTTCGGATGGAATTTCAGCTACATCTTAGCCACCCCCACTCACCTTACCGTTTCCGCTGTCTGCGAGAACGGAAACACGTACCCTGTTGGCCCAACTGACGGCGTTATTCCCGGAACTGCCACCAGTGTTGTTTGGGATCCGTACACTTACCAAACCTCCCATCCCAACCTGCCTCTCGCTCAGGCAAAATACACCCTCAAAATTTGGGGAGACGGAGGCCCTGACGCTGTACGCGAACCAGGCGTACTGACGCCCAACAGCGCGTTGCAATTCGCGCTCTATACGCCGCAAGCTTACACTCCCATTAATAGCGGTAAGTGACATCTGCACGACCGCCGTATCTTCGCTGACTGGTTGATTCGTAAAGGCTGGTCTTGCGCAGGTTGTTCTAGCGCTGTGTCGCAGCACATTGCGCAACCCACATTCATTGCCCTCATCGCCACCTTAATGGTGGTGTTCATCTCCGGCTCAGCTCTCTTGCGACGAATATAGGACACGTTGTGAATGCATGTTCAACGGCTCGTTGCATTCTACTTTCATGTTTAGGGACATTGTCAGTTATCACCAGCCTCGCGTTCATGAATCGTCTATACGGACCTTTTATTACAATGATTTTTGGCATTCATTTCTTGATGGACACTTTTTGTTATCGCTAACTCATATGAGTATATCAGTTCATAATACACCCTGGGTTGGATTGCACAAGCTGATCTCTACGCTATTTGGGTGTGCTATTTATTCAAACTAGCCTCTGATTGCCGATCACAACCGTTTGTTCTCTTGTATACTAGTTGCAAGGTAAAAATACTAACACTTAGCCGCTAATTGGCTGCGCAGGTGATCGGTGACCTCGGGTGACGACCAAGTCGTCCGACTGTGTTCCCACCAAGACATTCCACATGACCATTATGCACATTTCCTATTGGCGGTGTTCCCTCTGTCTCGTACTACGGTTGACGGCTCCGTACGTCCTACTGGCAGCTGCCAAGGCCGATTGCGAGCTTATGCGACCTGTGACATTGATTGCAAAGCCTATAGCCGTATTGTTGATTTCGATATTGGAAATCAATCTCAGGCTTTATCATTCAGCCCCACGGAAAGTCATCCACTTAAGTATCGACCCCTGGATTTTAACGCTGATATGACGTATGTGGTTACTTACAAGCAACCATCCTGGTCAGCATTCGGTTCGGCGTCCGGCGGGCTGTGTCCTATCATGTCGACATCCTCTCGACATTCGTTAATGGGATAAAGCATATCTCTTGCGGCTGCGCTGCGGGCTTGCGGGACTCTTTTATGTATAGCGATGATGTCGCGGGACCCGGGCTATCGGGAAGAATATTACGCTCGCGGGGAGTGAAACACAACTCCAGCCTTTACTGTAGTCAAGGCTCTCGATGCTGTGAAACAACGTGGAATTGGTATCCAAGGTTGCCATCAGTAATTTGGTACTTCTTGCTTCCGAGCCTGGGGCCACCCTGGAGGTAGGGGGGGCACAGGCCATATATATAGTCAATCAATATCAACAGGACAGCAATATTGGCTATCGAACTCTGATCTTTTGGGCCCCTTATCTATCCTCGTCGGCATCTCTGGCCCTTCCTCTGCTTTTGGCTCCATGAACATAGTACTATAGCACCTCACCGGTCGTGCACGCTACGTTCCAGAGCAACTAATTAACCACGCAGGTGAGGGACTTTCTCACTGACTCGTGTTCACGTCGAGGCAATGCAAGTCCCCGTTAAAACTTCACGTTGACACATCAACTGCATGCATCAGATCCACTCTCCCAGCAACCACCATTTTTGATGCCTGCCGCATCACCCCGCTCGAGGGTTAGCACGGATTTAAAAACAGACACGATGGCGAAGACACAAAAAGGGTTCTTTTCGAGCCTCTTTTCCCGCTCATTCAAGGGGTCTGCTAAATCTGCGGTACAACGACCCAGTGCAGCAGAGGGTGAGCACATGACGTATATCTTACATGAGGTAGAGATATTGATTTGCACCACTTAGCACTCTCGCATACTCCAAAGGAGCCACTGGCTCCTGTGCACAATCTATCGCGGCAACGATCCGCTCCACAGGACTTGACGCCGCATCTTCGTCACAACGAAGTTAGCGTTATTCCTGACATCCCTCGATTCAAGTCAATCAAAGATAATCTGCATGAACTTGGGCTCACGACTCCTGTTGTCCTTACGCAACCTCAAGTCGCGGGCAGTGAAACAGTGCTGTCTCAGTTAGACAGGACATCTCCTCGGGCGGACATGTTCTTCCAACGCTCGCTATCGCGGAAGACGAGCCGCACCTCTTCTCAGTCAAGGCCTGGGTCGTCTCGAGGGAATGCACTCGTGGCATCAGATCACGCTATTAATATTGAACTACCAGTCCTGGATATCACCTCTGCCGACATACAGTTTGCATCACCTCCCTCAGCAACAAGTTGTCTGAGCAGCGGTCAGGCTAGTCAGGTGGCTCTGGCGGACAAGATTGCGATTCCCTCGTCTACGGCTCCTGATACAGTCCCGTCATCCGTCCAGAATCACAGTAACCCTTCCAATAGAGAGCCACCTGTCCCATCGTCCCCATCAGTAGCAAGTCGCCCTTCGTCTTCACACTCAAAACACAGTCGCATTACTTCCTCTACTCCTTCAGGAAGGCCTCGGACGGCGCCCGGCGGCTCTCAGGCTAGCGAGCTGAGCGGGCGTACTTCTGTTGTCTCCATGCGCCCTCAGCGTCATGTTATCGGAGAGCCAATTTCCTTGTTTCCGGTAAACGAGGGATTCTTTGGTCGTCCCAAATTACCCCCTCCACTCAAGGTCATTCCGAAGAAAGTCAAAAAGCACCAACGAACACAAACCGTAGCTGCCTCACCAACAACCACGGCTCATGAACGCCCTCTTACGCGAGCCTTATCCACACGCTCCCATACAACACATCATCGGCGAGCGCCGGCGAACGAGCCGATGGGATTGTTCCCTATACCCAACAGTTTGACTTCCTCCGGCAGATCTGTGACCCTCACTCGGAATCCATCCGTTCTCTCACCTGGCAGCAGATCTGCGGGCCCCGGTCTACCTTCGCTCCCGTCAGAAAGAGGACCAGAACTACCGTCGCCGTCACCCACTCGCGCACAAGCGCAAGCGCAAGCGCCCAATGAGCGCTCTTTATCACGAATCAACACGCAAACGTCAGTCACTTCACATCAGACCCAGATATCCACTACCTCAGCCTCTGAGTCACCCCCCGCGAAATGGACGTGGACTCCTCCCCAAAGTTGGTCGGGCCCTTCCTCGGCTGTTTCCTCAGCTGAAAGCGGGGATCACAATAGCAAGAAGGCGGCGATCTCTACGATGGTTCGCTTACGTAGACCAAAGAGTTCATCTCGGTCGGTCTCCTCGGTACCCAAGAATATCTACTCACACCCAAACACGTCATCCCCGACCCTCTCCCCGTCCGCCACAACAAAACTTGGCAAGGGGCCTGTGCCTCCCATAGCACAAGATAAGAGAGTCAGCCCCGGTGTAATCGTCAAAATGCAGGGACACGAAGGTGACTGGGAGGAAGCCGCGGTCCAGGATGTCATTCCTCGCCTGAGGGAAATGAAGAGTTCAAATTAGGAGAATACTCTGGGTCGAAGCAAGATCGAATAACATTATGCCCCGCATGATAGGTATGCCAAGATGATCAACATTGTATTAATACTGCCATGTTCCATACCCCCCGCATTGATTACTTAGTTTACACTTTGTTTTTACCATCGACGCACACCGATATGATGAAGAGACGACTAGAGACGACCGAACGTATTTTTTTCTCCATGAAATGATATTGACATGATAAAAAAAAACAAAGTTCTGGCTGTTCGCTGATTGCAAATTCGGAGGCAGATCTCACTTTACCACTGCACCGCCTTGTACACTTTGGGATATACATGCTTTCAGTAGCTAGGTTGACCTGCTGTCCGCAACATACACCCCCGGTTCTCTCTTCGAGACGGGCAGCAAAGCGGTGCGTACAGGGTGACAGGCGTTCAGGAACAACTCTATCGCACTTGCACAGTGTGTTCGGTGGCGCTACTGGCAAGACGATGTCTCCAAAGACCGCGTACCGTAAGCGATATGCATCTGGGGGTCCAGACTTTATTGATGCTGACATAAATATTGTACATAGTCAATCATTGTCCTCAGAAGGGGCTGTGGACGTCTCGGTGAATCTCTTGACATCGGGAGTCATGCATCGCGAAAATGACAGCTGTACTCCACAGTTAAGGTGAGCCACTTCCGCAGTCCTTACCTGAGTTGGGAGTCAATTTCTTGCTGTGCGGACAGCACGATTATTAATAATAATCTGGGAAAGGCCGAGAGGGCACATGCATGTGATTGTGATTGCTGGAGATCTGCAAACATGAAAATTTCCATGCACTATATGATCTGCTTGGTGCTTGTCAGAGGCTGTCAAGTTACAAATGACATTATTGTAACGCAGCAACGAACATTTTCATTCAACCGAGCTAACATAGGCTAGCATTGAGAGCCGAACCCTGACGTGCCGCGGAGGTTTTGAATGAGTGTTTGTCCATTGACCTTCGGCTACCACGAAGCCATGATTCTGATTCATAGGATAATAGGTATCGATGGGTCCGCAAGATTAACGCGATCAGGACGTATCGTTGAACAATTGTTTACCTGCTAGATGTCACCTAAAATTAACCAAGGGAAGTGATGACGCTCTTTCACTGGAGACGGGGCCATTAAATTCAATGGGGAATGAGCATGCTTCGAAAGGATAATGGAGATTGGACCGTCACAGCTGCGTGGCGGCGCTTGAAGCTGGCCTGGACCCTGGAGGTAAATGTTACTGCGGAGTACGCTGTGTTAAAATTGCAACTTACGTAACAGTTGTCGGGACCCACGTACACGACCTTGTTGAACCGTCAGAGACCCCGAACTATCAGGCTCGTACCCACCGCAACTGGAGAGGTTCGAGGGCGGTCTACGAATAATTTTAGTGTTCTGCCTTGATAGATCACATGACTAAGACTATTCAAACCCAGCATAACCTTATCCCTCAACCTCTCCAGCAGCGGCTGGCACAAAACGTTTGTAAACAAACGTCAGCCACCTCGATAGTGTCAAACGGAGTCTGAAAATGTATTAAATTGTATAGGGTATATGTATATTATTGCGGTATATTGAAATCAGCGTTACTAGTAGTATGGCATCCAGTGCACCGATAGACGATGTCCTCGACAACCTTCAGCTCGTTGGAATCTCAGTGTCACACTTTCTGCTGGAGCTGCTTGCCAACAAGAAATATATCTAACTTTAAGCTGCCACAGGCATGCCCTCTTGCCGAACTGCTTGTGCAGCTTTTCCCGGATGAGAGGATGACTAGGGGTTTCGGGGCGTGATTCTGCCAACGTGACCAAGAAGGAAATTTATGTTGTATTAAAGTATTATATCTACGTTTACCCAGTGTGCCGCATCCCTGCCGCAGTGGCTGACGTTTGTTTACAAACGTTTTGTGCCAGCCGCTGCTGGAGAGGTTGAGGGATAAGGTTATGCTGGGTTTGAATAGTTTGCATAGTCATGTGATATCTATTGGTCCCGCGTCTGTCTATTTTGCATAACACTAATTATTCGTAGACCGCCCTCGAACCTCTCCAGTTGCGGTGGGTACGAGCCTGCCGAACTATCATCTTGGACCACATATTCTTGATAACCACCATTTCGCGCTTTTCGCTGTCGGATGTCCTAGAATTATGGGCTAGTCACAGCTTGTATTATGATGCGCTAGAGTCCACTCGTGATTACTTTTCAACACGAGAAACGTCCAGTGCAACCAAGCACACTCTAACGTGACCCACACGGTCCGAGGAAAGACTGAACCTCGTGTTTTGACCATCTGCAAACCATTTTCAAGCATATGTCCTATGGTTCTCAGGGTCTCCTGTTTGCATGTGCGTATTAACCTGTCGTATGTGTATGTGTACATCCTGAATTCTGTAATAGGAAGTCATTGTACTCCTTGGTGCTGATGTATCTGAGCTCTCCAGACTACCGTGGCTCACTACTCGACTGAGTACTGAGGTCTCCTAGAGTTATACAATCCTATCACGCCAGTGCTATCCTACTCAAGAGGGTCTACAGATTAACACATCCCAAACCCGTTGTTCAACCACGTTACCCCCCCTGCCTGCAGGGGGCAGTGACTAGTGAAGCAATACGCTCATTTGCTTTGGCCCTCCTATCACCTCTCTCTATTGTTGGGCTGAGCCTACCAATGTACATCTTCCATGGCTCATGTGGGTCCTGGGTTCTTCATCCCTTTCATCGGGTTTTCGCAGAGGGAACGCGTATTCTCGTCGGCACTGAAAAACCACAGCCCCCGGACGCCATGTACTCTTTGGGTATCATTCCGTATCCGTCTTTTCTTCTGCCGCCACACTCTGAATCAACTACGTGTGCTGTTTTGGGATGTGTGGGCTGCACTGCATCCTAGAGCATTTTGCCGATTTCCTCGAAGCTCATCTATTTCGTAACGTCTCGTGGTTCTGTCAAAGCGCTTACTGTGGCGGTGGCTAATATTTAAATCACAATCACGGACTGCTTTGCTTTCCCATCTTGCCTTCACATTACATTCCTTCCACTCTCATGATTTCCCCTAACTCGTTGTGAGCGACCACAGACTGTATTTCTAACAACCTGCTCAGAGCGCCATATCGATGTATAGCTTCCCCCCCTATAGTGATGAAGAGGGAAACTTCACTAATTTCGGTGGCGCACATGATTATCCTCACGATTTTCCATCGAACGCGTATCCACATGACCATTGGATGAACCAAGTACAACAACCATCCCAACAACAAGAATCCGGGATTCATGGCGTGGGGGACGCGGTCGGTCAAATGTTTAACCCCAACGAAGATCAAGTGCGTTTTACTCTTCGGAATTTCTTCTTCTTCAACATCCAACTCTCCTAACCCAGACTTCATCCATCACGGACTTCGAACGAGCTGGACTCGTTGACGACTACACGTATGCTCCCCAGCCTCATCATGCGCCCCAAATGTATACCCCGCCCGCAGGTGGCGTACCGCCGAATGTACAAGTGAGTCACCGGCTGGAAGCGATGAGTGATAGTTGATCATGATTCATGATTCCTAGTATTCACAGCATGATTTTAATCAGCTGCCGTTCCACGAGTACTTCTACCAGACCCCATTCGATACCGCCATGTCGGGTCCTGCAGCACAGGAGCCCATCAGGAACAGGCATGAAATCCCGCCTCTCTCAGAGCCCCCGTCTCACTTGACCATGACGTTGCCCGCTCCGCCTACGGAGCTCCCAAGCCCGATGACGTCAAGTTACCGAAGCAGTCCACGGTACAGCCCGGCGGCGACATCGCATATGAGCGGTCCCTCGACGATAAGTTCGTTGAATACAAGCGGCGTGACCATGTACAGCCACTCCCCAGCAACGCCCCTAAACAGGGCGTCTCAGAGCCCAGGCTTCCCCGGCCCGGAATCAATGACAGGAACGGGCTCCCGGCAATCCCCAATCTCTCCATCGCAAAAGCGGCCCTTGGAATCTTCAGCAGATGATTCGCTGGTGTGTATTTTTACAACTTTTTGCGGGGGGTCTCATTGACAGTATCGTGCAGCATGAACGGCGGGTTATACCGCGCCACGCCGTGGCAACTAATGTCCACTCTGTGCCGTCTGGAGGGACTAGTACAGCTGTCCCGCTGTTCTCAGCAAGTGTTCCTGGCCGAGGTCCGACGGTCCCCCAGCAGCCCTACAATGTCGGGACCACTAACGCGTTTCATTTCACCACTGGAAATGGAATGCCAGTCGTTTTCAACCTCGCGGAGGGAACCGGTGTCCCTTTGCAGCAGTTGTTGAACCGGCAGACGATCCACCTCCAGGCACGCGATGAACGTATTGCGGACATGCCCGGGGATACAATCTCCATTCGCATTGAGGTAAAGGGTCCGTTTTGTTGAAGTATTTGCCAAGTGTTGCTTACGTTTGTTGGTGGGATCTGTCAGTGGCCTGGATACCCATCATTTACGAAGCAAATAGCTTCAAAGGACTGGAAGAAAACAAGGTCACCAAACACGCGGGAGAGGTTGGCGGTAAAAGTTGCAGGCGCCATCAATACTTTCTTGCAGGTCAGCCTATCAGAAGCACCGTATTTGAAGCGTACTCACCCCTAAACAGAACAATGCGGACGTTCCATGCGATCCCCCGAATTCGAGATGGCGTATCGGTCCCAATGGCATTCGCACCGAGCATCTTGTCCTGGTGTCACTGCACCGCATGTCACAGGGAAGTTGGCAGCCCAAACTGTGTCTCCTTCATGACAACGCACAACAGTGAATCCCCCCTTCGTTTGACATGTATGCCGTTTTATTTGTCCGGCTATCTTTGATTGACACATGAACTCGCAGCTGTCAGCAAGCATTTTTAAGCTTGCCCTAGCATCCTGTTCATAATGGGCATCGAACATTTCATCAAGCATATCATCATCAAACACAGTACATAACCCCATCTTTTCTTTCTCAATCACGCAGCTGGTCTTCATAGTGGTGTATCATTTTAAAGGATCCAGCGATTCATTAGCATTTGCATTCGGGTGCTTACACACTCGACGTTAAGTCTTTTCTCTTTCAATTAGTGATATGGAAATTGCATGGTTTTGTCATATACATATACCCCGAAAGGCTCTTTTTGTTCCATAGATCTATATACCGGTCAGTTACTAGTATTGTACATACAAATAGTAGTTTAAATGACATCTGAATGTTTGTGTGCTCGTTGAGTGCGGGATACGGGAAGTTTACTTCCAGGATGCTTATCGCGGGGTAGGAAAGTGTGGGAAGAAAAGTATATTTAACAGAATGAACAGAGCTCCGATTGCACTCCGATCTTCGATAAGCACTTGATAACGTTTTCCTTCTTCTCGGATCAACAAATTAATGGAACGATGAACTCAAGTTCGGGCCTGCAGGTTGCAACATAACTCGGATCATCACTGTTCTCGCTGGCATCTATCTTGACCTTTAAGAGATCACCTCATTGTCATGGCTCAAACACCAGAAGCCCAGTGCGTCGGCGTACGATTTCCAAAACTCACATTTACCCTGGATCAAGCGATACAGTTTGGACCACGCGTCGGTAGGTTGTGCTTGACACGACCGTCTGATAGTCCATACAACCATGTCATCGATACCCCAACACCCAATTTTCTCATCGGAACATCTCGTGGTGCAGTTCCACACTTCTCAAGAGACCATGTTCATTCAGCGCATGGCATTAGCTGGATTAACGTACCTTTCGAGTCCTTGTGAGTTAACATTTCCTCTGTTATCCCCCCATGATAAATAACGCTTCGGAACCGTGTCTTCAAGCCTCGAGCATACACCTCCAGTACCTACTTATCAAGCGGGACCGCAGCCACTACATAATTTCTTGGGATTCGACATCTCGAAACACATCGTTTCGCTTTCGGTTCGTGATCCTTTGGACGCCCGAGAGATGCCTCCAAATGGAAATTCGCATGTCTCAGCTTTATGCATGCGTGGTGTGAGGAAGGTGAATATTCTTCTATGGAAGTAGAGTCTCCTCTATCAAAACTTTTCATTTTCATTTCTAGGTCACGCCTGCAGACTGGAGATCCTACGTCCTGACAATGCAGCCTGATATCGCATTTGCTCTCAGTGACACACCGTTTACTGCACCCCCGCACTCGCAGAGACGTGTGACTAAAAGCATCGAGCGTAGTGCGACTTGGCTCGCAGATCTGCTGTGTCCTATTGGAAACACAATAGACGACTCACACTCGGAGTTGACTTGTACCCATCCTTTGAATGTCTTCGTACACATGGCTGGTGGTGTCTCGACATCCGCACGGAGAGCCTTTTCGCACAGCCTCACGGAGACTCTTCATGGATTGGAAGCGAACGCCGTGAAACCACTGCGATGTCTAGATGAAGGAGTAGCTGGGTATGCATTTGACCTAGCCGCATTTCATACGAGGCCAGCTCCCCTCTCGGCCAACAACGATACGTGCAGAGGCATTGAATTCGCAGAAAATCCTTTGATTCTACAGAACTCAGCATCGCTGGCTGAAATGCCAACGCCCAATACAGTTAGTACACCCACATCACTCTCGTCCAGCATGATCGAGCCTCTTTCCTTCCTCTCCCTGAACCCAACCCTGGATGAGCTCCTCCGCGCATCATTAGAGCCTTTACCAATCGCAAAGCCACGCCTTGTCACTGATGTTCGATCACCTCATGAAATTCTGCGTTTGATCAGAGATATTGGAGTCGACGTATTCGATGCGGGATGGGTCGTCAAAGCAGCTGATATCGGGGTGGCTCTCGACTTTATTTTTCCAGTGCCCAGTGGACACGATGGCGGTCCAGACCATCGCAAACGCGACATTGGCCACAACCTATACGATGTGAAGTATGCTCATGACTTCGCCAGTTTGACAGATGCCTTCCTCGCTGGCCACAACAGAGCAGCTTCGTCGATAACTCCCGTCTGCCCCTGTATTGCATGCTCTCCAGTTGTCCCCGCGTCTCCTATCCACCATAGCAAAGCTGACGCTCAGTCGCACCAAGCGCATTCAGACGATGATGCGAGCCGGGAACAATTCTTACCTCCTTTCACACGAGCCTACCTACACCACCTCTTACACACCCACGAGATGTCTGCGCACACGCTCCTCGTTGCACATAACGTCGCCGTCCTTGATGCCCTGCTAACTGGTGTGCGAGCAATTCTCTCAGGGCATGCTGATCAAAACGAAGCAGCAGTCGTTTTTGCTCAAGAGGTCACAAGGTTTGAAGAGGTTTATGATGGAGCTATGTCAGTGCTTCATACCGCCCGAGACAACTGGAAGGCCGTGAAGTACGCAAGGGGCAAAGGAAGATTGGCGCGGGAGGCACAGAAGGACAAGGATAAATGATGATCGGTACATCCTATTGAAGTACAATAGGTTTCGGTGCAATAGTAAATCCCTCATGTACATACTCTAATTATCAGGATGCATACATACTCCTACTTTGTATTGTGAGGAAGATGGATGCCGTTGACAGGATGACATAATCAACATGTTCAACCTCCTTGTTCATCTGCATTAACATTCTGGATGAGCGCAAAAGGGTACTTCGCGTTTCCTCCTTCCAGCACATCAAGACCACACCCCGCATTCATACCGCAGCCCCCCACCACCAGAGAGAAATTCGTTGACAACGGTGCACCTGGGAAAGGGGACGAGACGCGAAGCGAGGAACCGCCCAACGATGAAGAGCGTATCAATCGACTTCACAAGGAGCGGGCGCTCATAGAGATGAGCGAAATAGAGTGGGTCCGAGGCGGCGGAGTTCTGCGCGATGCACAAGGGCGTCGTGATAAAGCCCGTACAGAACGCATACGCGCAGAGCTCAAGCTGCAAGAAGAAGAAAAAGCAAAATTGGGCAGATGGAAGGAGTACGACGAGCTGTGGAAAGCGCTGGTCGCGTCAGACGAGGCTCTTTCGTTCACAGATATCCCGTGGCCGCTTCTCACAGCGCCCTCATCCAAAGATACCGATGTTTTCACGTTACCTGCGATTTCAGAGTTTCTGTTCGAGTCTCTTTCTGTCCGGACTAACACGATCACGAAGAAGAGTCGGATCCGCAGCTCGATATTGCGGTGGCATCCTGACAAGAGCTCGTTGGTCGTCAGCAGGGTTGTGGCTGAGGACCTGGATGCTGTGCGAGAAGGTATTCATGCGGTGTTTCACTGCCTCAAGCGTCTACAGGATGACGAAAGAGACAATATTCATACTGTGTAGCAAACGGATGCCTTACTATACCCCGAACGATCGAAACAAGGCTCGCCGTGGTGCACATAAATACATAGGCTGTTCTCCCCCCAGTAAGTAAGTACTACTTGGTACGTAGTAGTCGGTGATGACATTGACTGCGTTCACAATGAGCCAAAGTGAAGCGCGACTGCTACATTCACTTAAAGTCATCGTGTCGCTTCAGACTACTAACCATTGCAGGCTACATATATGTATGTAAGAAGAGAATTTGAATCAACTCCAAATCGATTGGAGCAGGTGCTGCCAGCTGTGTCACGGGTCTTACTTATCATAGCCGGTCACCAGGGCCCTACCTCAGCTCGAGCTCCAAGATACAGCAAAAGGTATAGTAGTACAGTCACACCGTGGCAGCGGACATATATATGCATGACACGCTCAATCACAACCCAGCGGATCTGTACTACTATTAGTACTGGTACTTGTGTCGCGATCTGCCAAATTTCTTCTTGAATGCTTTCCTAATTTGGAATTACCTGCAGTGGTGTAGCCGGAGTCCACGGAGTGTCCACGGGTGTGCAACTTGAAGAAACCCCTCGGGGAGACGTGGAACTGCACTGGTAGGTAATTTCAAAGATGAGTGAAATGACCATGAGATGTATATACTCAAAAGGCAACGAATATATCATATTCATCAGTAAATATAAAATGAGGGAAGACATATGTGTTAAATATGCGTTTGCGATGGTGGCATCAGATGAGTTACCCACGTCATGAGTACTTTAACCAAGACTCGGAGTGGTACCATGAGATTCTGCAGCCTCCCGTGCCACTTGCGCCCAATACTTCTCGTGCACGCCGAATTCAGTTGCCAGTGTAGTCTTGTTAAAGTTTATAATAGTTGTTCCATAAGGTTGGCGGATGCGCGACTCCCAGCCCTCTGGGATCCGCTCGTCAAGAAGAAAGCTGCGCAGGTCATCTACACGTCCTCCAAAGATCGTGACCAAGGTCGAGGCACTGACAGAACGCTTAGAAGTGTGCTTGGAAATGAATAACGTGACATCATACTTTGCGCTACCAAATATCTTGTGGAACAATTTGAGAGAGAAATCTTTGTTTACTGCACGGGATACTGCGCGACGCTTGCCGAGCAACCTGGAAATGTCTTTGGTGGTGATAATATGATTGCCGTTCTTGTCCTTGCCAGTAGCCGTCGCAAGCAGCTCCTCGATGAAAGGTATGTGCTTTATCGATTGGTCCGGTTGAAAAGCAGAGTCGAGGCCTGAAGATAAAGTATTCAACATGACTTACAAGAACAACGGCAGAAAATTGCTCACGTAACAAAGACGCGTCGTGTTCAATACCATTGTGTAGGTCAATTTCCTTTAAATCAAAGGTATCCTTGTTGTAGTCTTTTTTAAGCATACGAGCGAGAAAGTGCAGCGCAAAGGAACAGAAGCTAGGACTAAAGTTGTAGGTTGCCCGTAGATGGTCGTTAAGCTCGACAAACGAGATCCCATGGCCGCTGCGCGAGATGATACCTAGGTTTTGATATCATCACACCAATGAGGTCCATCACTGGTGTTTACACTCACCGTGGTTGGCCATCGCATTGAATGCGGGGCACGAGCAGCGGGAGTCGGTCTCCTGGGGGGGCCTAAACTCGGGCCAGTGCCCTCCATAGCCTGGGTGGCCCTCAGGAGTGACATCACCGATGGGGTGCTTCCTTCTCACAAAGTTGGAGAGCGTGAGGAGCACATCCCAAGACATGATCCCAACATCGAAGGAAAAGTGGGACAGACTGGAGAAGAAGCCCATTTTATTTCCGTGTGGATTGGAATATCTGGTGTTTAGAAGTGGTCAAAGGTGTGGGTGGGGACGGGAAGTGGGGAACAGACACACTTTGCTAAGAAGCCTAAGTATATATAAGAGATCGATATCCAAGCAACATTTGGTGTCAAAAAAACTGACAGTGACTTCGCCTTGATCGGAAGGTTCTGTATCGCGGATCCGCATGTATATTTTGAGCTATATGCCTGGGGAGTCACATCTTCCCCGAGGAGTATACATCGAACGTAAATTTCTCTATGGGAGGCGCGATTAGCAGACCGTGGACGAATTCGAAGGGACTCGAAGCTGAAGGAAGACCGTCTGTCCGCCAGTAGACTACTATGTAACAGGCACCATCAGGCTTCTGGCGGCTGTCGGGCATCTACGTATTCAGAAACGCGATTGTGAAGAAGAAACCCGCAAAGATTACATACGAAGGGGGCGTTTCGATCGTGTTTGAGAAACTTCTTTTCCTGGAACCCGCAGGCACCTGTGCTTGAAGGGGTTGGTGATGGCAGATATCTGAGTCTGCGGTAGCACCCTGACAAGCTAGCTCGCCGGTCATTCACAGCGTCATTGCTGTCAAGCACACAAGGATGAATTAAAATACGCGGGCACGCATACCTTAGTACTATATTAGCCCAAACAAAAAATAAAGCTTGAAGCTTGAGCTTGAAGGCTCACTAGTGCAGCACATGGTGTGCCCTACAGAGATATAGTACCCATTTTGACGCCACGAGTTGAAGGCCACGATCGACAGTCGACGTCAGAGTCTTCTTACATCGTGAAATGACAACTGTTAGTATGTAGGTAAGAGCAGACATGTGAACGCGGATGGTGAATCCAGATAAGTTCCCCACACCACGAGGATCTGAGTGGCGCCGCCGCTTCGCGGCATGAGATCAAACAGGAGTAATACCATTTTCTGCAGCCTCCCATACTTCTTCTTCCCAATCCTTCTCGCGCACGGTCAGTCCATGAGGTTGGCGGATGCGCGATTCCCAGCCCTCTGGGGGACAGGAAGGAAGGCTTCACTAAAAAGCTCAAGTACATATCCGAGGTCCGAACACCGTTTTTGGTTTAACCAGTACTGATAGTGGAAATGTTTCGCCTGGACGATCAGGAAGGGTCGGTATCAAATCCGGAGTCGTAGTTGACCTGTGCCGTTCCAAGATACTTCGGCTCCATGCTTGAGAAGAACAAAGTATGTGCGTTGCCTTGCTTACAGACTCAGTATCGCTCGGCAAGATAATCTCTACTTGTGTAGATACTAATTGATGGATCTGCCATCAAGGCGCGAGAAGGGTAAAACTTGTGAGAGGGCGCGATCCAGAGCACTGGAAACAGAAAGCGAGGTAGTGAATTTACAGGCGTAAGGTGCCACTGACAATGTTGTGGGAGACAAACCAGTGGGCAAGGAAAGGACGAACCGTCGAACATAGAGGGGATGGCGCAGCTCATATAACCGCAAAGAATACATATGAATGGGGTGTTTCGTGTTCGAGGTATTTGTCCATAACCCGGAGGCACTTGCGTTTGTCTGGTGGTGGCGCCTTGACAAGAGCCCGCCGTTGTTAACAGGGTCGTGGCTAAGGGCGTGAATACCATTCGGATCCTCGAGAAGGTATTCGTGCAGTCTCGAGTGTACATATGATAACGAAAGGGAAGGCCTGGACGTGGAGTAATCTCTCTAAAATGAGGAACATGCAACTGCGCTGGTCTTCGATCAGATTCAATGCGATGCGCAATTTCTGTTATCGCACATGAGTAAAACGACCAAGAACATTAATGTACATTCAAAAGGTAACGAACTCATCGGTCATTGAATAAGTGAGCAACGCATGCGATGATGGTAACGCAAGACTTAAGCAGGAGCAGTACCATACTCTGCAGCATCTCATGGGGCTTCTGCCCAATCCCTTTCGCACACACCGAACTCAACTGCCAGTATAGTCTTGTTGAAGGTCGTCAGAGTCATTCCATAAGGGTCGCGGATGCGCGACTCCCAACCCTCTGGAAGTCGCTCCTCGAGAAGAAAGCTGTGGAGGTGATCCACGCGGCCTCCAAAGATTGTGACTAGGGTCGAGGCCCTAAGGAAAGTTCAAAAGTGCACTCAAAAACGGACCAGGCAATAACTTACTTCGTGCTCGAAAAGATCTTTTGTAAAAAACTGAGAGAGAACTCCTTGTTGACCAAACGGGCTTCTGCACGACGCTTGCCGAGCATCCTGGAGAGGTCTTTGGTGGTGATAACATGATTGCCCTTCCTGTCCTTCCCAGTAGCCCCCGCAAGGAGCTCCTCGATTAAGGGTATGTACTTTGTCGATTGGTCCGGTTCAAAAGCGGAGTCAAGGCCTAAAAACAGATTGTTTGACATACAGAAACAAGCGTATCAAATCGCTTACGTAAGAGAGACGCGTCGTGTTCAATAGCATTATGTTGGTCAAGTTCTTCCAAATCAAATGTATCCTCGCTGTAGCTTCTCTTAAGAATGCGAGAGGCAAAGTACAGCAGATATGAGCAGAAGGTAGGACTGAAGTTGTAGGTTGCCCGGATATGGTGGTTAAGCTTGACAAACGAGATCCCACGGCCGCTATGTGAGATGATGCCTGTGCGCCGGGCGTTAATACTGTCAGACCAACCCTGTTGCCAGGGCTTAAGCACCAGGACCAGATTCACTCACCGTGGTTGGCCATCGCATTGAGTGCAGGGCACGAGCAGCGGGAGTCAGTCTCCTTGGGAGGCTTATACTCGGGCCAGTCCCCTTCATAACCTGGGTGACCCTTGGGGGTGACATGACCGATAGGGCGCTTCCTCCTCATGAGGTTGGCGAGCGTCAGGAGGACATCCCAAGATGTGATCACAACATAAAAGAAGAGATGGGACACGCCAGAGATGATGCCCATTTTCCTTCCCTGGTGTCAAGGATAGGTATGTCCAAGGTGATGTTGTGGACGGGAGGAGGAGAATAGACACATTTCATTAAAAAGCTCGAGTATATATACGAGATCTGAGCTCTCAGTTGCACAAGTCTGACAGCTCATCAATACATCATAAAGGGTTGAAAAAGGTGAGAATTCAGCTTGACGATATAGGCATCGTTCGCCAGACAACGGACGAACCTAAAGTGACATTAAAAAAAGACTAGCCTGAAACGCTGAGCGTCGTTCCTTCTATCTCAGTAGGCAAAATTAGCATTGTAATCTTGGGCGTTCGAAGCTGCTTGCGCATGTCCAACCGCGAAGACCACATATGAAGGGGGTGTTTCGTGTTCAGGGATTTTTGGTCGGAACCCAGAGGTACCCATGTTCACTTGCGAGAGGTTTCCGATAGCGCTGACGATTGCAGGTACAGTCCATTTTCGATTGATGCCAAGGTCAAAATTGACGTTGGGTGTTCGCTGGTGTCAGAGATAGTTTGTTTGAAGATCAAGGATGTCTGATTGTCAATTTGGCCTGAAGCATATGAGTCACGTGATATGCGTGATCCAAATCGGAACCGACGCGTCGAGCATGGCAACAGCAAGATGCACGCCAGGGCTTGCTTCCACCTCTTACATTCTCCCTTCCCTTGCTTCGAGTTTACAATATAAAGGACACCGTAATTCTCGCTGCTTCTCATCAACGTGTCGACGAGCAGCCCACTTGCGCGATCACTATGCGTTCCCTGGAGTGCCAATCACAGCAACGAAGGCTCAAATAAATGCATGGGTCATCTTCGTGAAAGGATTTGTCTCTCACAAGCATATGATAGATACACTTCTACCAAGTGAGTTGTTCTCACTGGTAGCACCCGATGGCTATTGATGGACCACATCGCTCTTAGCTTAGCAAGAAAAGCTTGAAGCTGAACGCTCACCATGTACATGAACATGTAGTTACCCAGTGTACCCCACAAATATATGACATGTGCTCTTTGTCATAATATGGCAGTTAGATATGTACTAAGCAAGGATGCACTGACGGAACGGTAAGGATTGTGTTTGGAAACGGATGATACGATCAAATACTCTGCACTACCAAATATCCCGTGGAACAATTTTGAGCGAGAACTCCATGTTGACTGCACGTGCCACTGCACGACACTTACTGAGCATCTTGGAGATGTCTTTGGTGGTAATGATATCATTACCGGTCCTTGTCCCTATAGCTACCAGTAGGTGCTTCAAGTAGCTCCTCGATGAAAGGTCCGCGCTTCGTCGATTAGTTTGGTCCAAAAGCAAAGTTGAGGCCTGAAGAAAAATCATTTGAGACACACCTCCATAGCCCGGGTGACCCTCCGGGGTGACATGTCCGATGTGGCGCTTCCTACGAGGTTGAGGAGCGTGAGGATATCCTAAGACATGATTCTAACATCGTAACAAACGTGGAACACGCTAGAGAAGAGGCCCATTTCACTTCTGTTACGTTGCTGGAGCCAGGTGCCACTGACAATGTCGTGGGAGACAGCAGTGGGTAGGGAAAGGACGGACCGTCGAACAAAGAGCGAACAGCGACGAAGAGGATAGTGGTGACGGATGGCAAGGAGTGTGGTCTGAGTAATGTTACGAAGTCAACCTAAGTAGATATGCATCAAGATTCTTGTCCAATATGCGGAATGTGGGATTATTTGACCCAAGCCCGAAAGTCCGCGCGCGCAGCTCGTTCAACCGCGAAGGGGGTGTTGCGTGTTTGAGGTATTTGTCCGTAACCCGGAGGCGCTTGCGTTTGTTTGGCGGTGGCGCCTTGACAAGAGCTCGCCGTTGTTAACATGGTCGTGGCTAAGGGCATGAATACCATTCGGATTCTCGAGAAGTTATTCATGCAGTCTCGAGTGTACACATGATAACGAAAGAGATAAGGCATGGACGTGGACGTGGATGTGAAATGATCTCTCTAAAATGAGGAACATGCAACTGCACTGGTTTTCGATTACAGTCAATGCGACGCGTAATTTCTGTTATCAAACATGAGTAAAACGACCAAGACCATTAATGTACATTCAAAAGATAACAGACTCATCATAATCATCGTCGAGTCATAAAAAGAGTGAGAATCAACAACGCATGCGGTGATGGTAACGTCAGACTTGAGCAGAAGCAGTTCCATGCTCTGCAGCATCTCGTGCAGCTTCTGCCCAATCCATTTCGCGCACACCAAACTCAACTGCCAGTATAGTCTTGTTGAAGGTCAACAGAGTCATTCCATGAGGGTCGCGGATGCGCGACTCCCAACCCTCTGGAAGTCGCTCCTCGAGAAGAAAGCTGTGGAGGTGATCCACGCGGCCTCCAAAGATTGTGACTAGGGTCGAGGCCCTAAGGAAAGTTCAAAAGTGCGCTCAAAAACAAACCAGGCAATAACTTACTTCGTGCTCGAAAAGATCTTGTGGAAAAAACTGAGAGAGAACTCCTTGTTCACTGCACGGGCTACTGCACGACGCTTGCCAACTATCCTGGAGAGACCTTTGGTGGTGATAACACGATTGCCGTTCTTGTCCTTCCCAGTAGCCGCTGCAAGGAGCTCCTCGATGAAAGGTACGTGCTTTTTCGATTGGTTCGGTTCCAAAGCGGAGTCGAGGCCTAAAAACAGATTGTTTGACATACAGAAACAAGCGTATCAGATCGCTCACGTAAGAGAGATGCGTCATGTTCAATAGCATTGTGTTGGTCAAGTTCTTCCAAATCAAATGTATCCTCGCTGTAGCTTCTCTTAAGAATGCGAGAGGCAAAGTGCGGCATATATGAGCAGAAGGTAGAACTGAAGTTGTAGGTTGCCCGGATGTGGTACTTAAGCTCGACAAACGAGATCCCACGTCCGCTACGTGAGATGATGCCTGGGCGTTAATGCCGTCAGACCAACACTGCCACCAGCGCTCAAGCACTAAGACCAGGGTCACTCACCATGGTTGGCCATCGCATTGAGTGCGGGGCACGAGCAGCGGGAGTCGGTCTCCATGGGAGGCCTATACTCGGGCCAGTGCCCTCCATAGCCTGGGTGGCCCGCGGGGGTGACATGGCCGATGCGACGCTTCCTCCTCACGAGGTTGGCGAGTGTCAAGAGGAAATCCCAAGATATGATCCCAGCATCGAAGAAAAGGTAGGACACGCCAGAGAATATGCCCATTTGATTTCCCTTGTGTCAAGAGTGGGTATGTCCAAGGTGATGTTGGGGACGGGAGGAGAGGAATACACACGTTCTGTTGAAAAGCTCGAGTATATATACGAGATCTGAATAATTGTTCCTAGCGCCACAAGTCTGACAGTTCGTCAATGTGAATGGTTGAAAAAGGTGAGAATTCAGCTTGACGATATAGGCATCGTTCGCCAGACCATGGACAAGCCCGAAGTAACACGAAAAAAGACTAGCCTGAAATGCCGAGCGTCGTTCCTTCCATCTTAGTAGGCAAGTATTATTGTTATCTTGGGCGTTCGAAGCTAAGCTCCGCTGCCGCTCGCGCCAGTCCAACCGCGAAGACCAGAAGGGCTTCGTGTTCAGTGATTTTTTCGGAACCCAGAGGTACCCATGTTCACTTGCGAGAGGTTTCCGATAGCACTAGCAATTGCAGGTACAGTACTAGTCCATTTTTGTTTGACGCCAAGGTCAAAGTTGATGTTGGGCGTTTGCTAGCGATAGTTTGATCAAGGGATCGGATGTAAATTTGGCCCGAATATTTGTAATCCAAACGTTCTGTTCAACCTTCTCTGCATTGGTCGAGCATCATGAGCAGCATCTTGAATAAGAAGCAAGCCAGGGCTTCCTTCCACCTCTTACAAGCTCCCTCCCCTTGCTTCGACTTTACAACATAAAGGACACCGTAATCCCCACTGCGTCTCATCAACGTATCGACGAACAGCCTAATTGCGCGATCACTATGAGACCCTTGGAGTCCCAATCACAGTGACAAAGGCTCAAATAAAGGCATGGGTCATCATCTTCGTGAAAGGATTTGTCCCTCACAAACATATGATAGATACACTTCTACCAAGTGAGTTGTTCTCATTGGTAGCACCCGATGGCTATTGATGGACCACGTCGCTCTTAGCTTAGCAAGAAAAGCTTGAGGCTGAAGCGCTGAAGGCTCACCAAATCCCTGCAGGTTTTGGAGGGTGAGGTCCCATACCATTATGCACGCTCAACAATGCAAATAAGTAGGTGGATCATAGAAGGTACAACACCCAAAAGGCCGCACATACCTGTTATCGTTGACAGGACTGGAATTTCATCCAAAGTTGTTGGTTAGAGGATATGGGGCATCGGCCCTCTGACGAAGATATCCTGAAATTTGTGGAAGGACGGGCTAGAATTCAGTCGTAGGTAATGTTGCCTCTGTACTTGTCCATCGTGTGTAGACAGGAAGCATGGACGTCGTCTGGACACAATGTCTGGAATCAATTGAACTTGGCGCTGACCGATCAATTCTATCACTTCTCGGCTCGATCGACCCACAAGAATTGTATTGCGTGTATATTGTACAGAAAAATGCAAGGAAATAGTCAACGAATGCTATTAGACACATGTACATTTATAAGGGCTATCAAACCTCGCAGAACTTATCCTTGGAACCATCTGCATCACCCAATTACTCTCAGAAATCCAAATCCTCGTCACTCAGCTTGTTCCAATCATAACCATCATCTTCATCCATAGAATCATACGTCTCATCATTCAAAAAATACTGACTCTCAAATGCCATACACAACGCCGTGCTTGGGCTGAACAGCGTAAACTTCGACTTCCCAAGATGCACCTTGACAACCGAAAACATATATCCTTTCGGTGGCGAGTCGCTTCGTTGGCGAATTTCGTCAGCGATCTCTGGCCATATGGGGTCCTCCCCAGGGAACTGCTCAAGCATATGCACGGGGAGCACGTGGATCTCCGGTGGAAACACAGTCATGTCGAGCATGAGTACGAGTGTATTGATGAATGCAGGGAACTGTTGCTGTGCTTCGCGAACGTGTGTTTCCACTTCTTTGGTCATTCCCGAGATCTCACTGGTTTCGAAACCTGCGATGACTTGAAGACTCGTACGGATATCGCGTGAGCCCCACGGCCCTGATGGTGATTCGGTCGAGAAGCATGGGACGAGGATTGAAGGGGCTCACCAACGGCACACCTCAGAACTTGACACCACTTCTTGTGTCCACTGCGCCAAGCGGTCCTTTGGCATTTCTCGGAACAATAAAGTGATATCAAACAACCTGAGCACCGACGCTTTTTGCTGACAAACTTGGATGTCCAGATCCCACACTGCTACCGACATCAGCATCTACAGAATGAAACTACTAGAAATAATCAGCGTACTCCTGGGCCACTGCACTTGTATTCCTGTGGGTTTATGGGCTCTACACTGCGATGATCCATAGCATCGATAGAAGATTTCAGGACAAGTTCGAGAGCAACTCCCAACCCTTCGTCTCGTATCTCTCGTTTTTCCATAGGAGCATTTTGCGTGTGGCGATACCAGTGCCGGAAAATAGATTCAACGACCCTATGGTATATGAAAAATGTGGCGAGAAGGAAGAGCAACTCTATGTCACCCATGCGGCCACGGGGTGGGATATCGCGACGGTTGGCGTGAGCCGCGCAAACAACCCCCTTCTCCAAAGTTTGAATGAGGCCAGCATCGATTGCTTGACAAACAGATGTCACCCCGTCGTCTGCATCACGAATAGCAGATGCAATGTACGAGTATCCCGTCCACAAAACATCCTGTCTCCCCGCTATTCCCATCTCTGGATGAAAATCCATTTCCTTGTTTGCTTGTACCAAGATCTTCGGCAAGATCTGAGTGATCGCGTCCACCACTGTGCGAATCGAACCTTGGCGGATAAGTTGTGCGCGGCATGAAGCATCTTGGCGACTGATGGTCTGGAGAAATAAGAAGGAATATCGGAGACCAGTAGTAAAGATATGAAGGGATTGTACGCTCTGATCGCGTGTCGTCCACGATCGAGGTTCTTCTACAGCAGCAGCATCTCTTGTAATCCGACGGATGTATCTGAGAAGGGTGGATACAACGGGCTTCACTCCTCCGGCAGCATGTATATAATTCGATAACGGAAGGGTTATTTTGTCGGGATCCTCAGATTCAGATACGCAAACATAGTTTGTGAGTGGAAAAGTCGCCCGGACCATCGAAACAAGGCCGTCCGTTGTAGTTCCAGGGTCGCCTTGAATTGAATCTCTCTTGAGGTTTCCGACCAATATCCATAACTGTGCGACAAAGTGCTGGACAGAAACGGAAGACCGGAGCATGTGACGCCCTTCTTCCGAGTTTGTGCAGATGAATGTGAGCAGGTGAATGGTCATCTTTGCAGCATCAAACATATTGCAAAGATCGGGGCGCGGAGGAGCAATTGAGATATCATAAGGAGGAGGGAGGCAATTCCGAACGAAGAACCGCATCCACGGATATATTTCGTCCCACCTCCTGACGATATTCTTCGTCAAGGCATCGTCCCCACCATCAGAAGCTGTAGGGACGATTGCGCAAATCTTCACCAAGCCCATGAGGGCCCACTTCGCGCGCATGATGGTAGGAATAGTTTTGGAATTGATGTAGTTTGGTACTTGAACTGAACTCAGCGTCGCGTGAAAGATGGGCACCAAGCAATAAAAACGGGAAGCGTTGAACTTGTTAATCGGGATGAAGTCAACTAGCTTCGCCAGATCTGTGATTGACCCTTGTAAAGCATTCTTTGCTGTGATCTTGAGTACATGTTAGTGATGGTATGCATTTGTATGATAAGGAATCCAACTTGGGTTGCTACCGACAGAGACTTCAGTGCTCGTGTTTCGTCTGTACTGATCTGCAAGATTGATCTCGTTGCGGCAACTGGCATGAGGGGTAGATAGTATGGTCTCTGTGTAGCGTGATGGGCTTGAGCGGGGGCAGGTGGAAATTGGTCGAGGTTTGGTAAGTCGAGTGGGAAACCCCTACTAGTACTATGCCGTAGTCGATACCCCAATCACAAAAGCCCCGTGTCTGTATTTTGATGAGTGCGTAAGATCCATTAATGATTGAATGATATTACTGGAGCAAGTCGTTTTGAAGTTCTGATTGAAGTTTTGATGAGGCTGCCTGCTATCTGTACCACCTGTCTCCGGAGCAACTACGACATTTGAACTGGGGCATTTGCTGGAAGTACACGATGGGACGACGGTATCTACTCGAGTGTGAGCTAAGATTTGCTGGATCGGGTGCGTGATTCTCCACTTGATGTTGGGTTCAAATTCCAGGTGAGGATGTTTCTCTGTGAAGAAAAATCGGTATAAGCGTATTCTTCTCAGCTCGACGCTAACGTAATAATACTTCTCAGAGTCTGCTCGGTTACATCAGTAACGTAGTTGGCCAATTAAAATCGTTTATCGTTTATCGTTACGCACCGACGCCATTTACCGACACGAACAATTGACGTGACCACTCTTCACATTTTCATCACAGGAAACGAAGGTAGAAATACAACACACTGCCATCGTATGTACCGCATTTACTATGACTCTGACACAAATGATACAATATTCTGCACTGGCATTTACACCGCAAGAATCTGGAGTTGAATGCAAGGTAGGAACGCGGTTCCTCATCCTCAGCACCCACTGGCGAGTATATCTCCTGCTTTTTCATCTGCTCGTGTGGTAAAGTCACAGTAGTCAGGAACTGCAAACAACGAGTTAAGCTGTCTGTTGACTGCGTCCCACTGCACAACAGAATTCGCGAAGCGAGCACGAAACACTGACCTGTTGATCACGTGAGCGACACGCAGGTAGGGCAAGGACGAACCGTCGAACAAAGAGCGAACAGCGACGAAGAGAATAGTGGTGACGATGGCAAGGAGTGTGATCTGAGTCATGGTACGAAGTCAACCTAAGTAGATATCCATTGAGGTTCTTATCCAAGGTGCGAAATCTGCGATTGTTTGGCTCGGGCCCGAAAGCTTGCTCTGTGCATAGCTCGTTCAATCGCGAAGACTACATACGAATGAGGCGTTTCGTGTTCGAGGTATTTTTCCGTAACCCGGAGGTACTTGCGTTTGTCTGACGGTTGTGCCTTGACAAGAGCCCGCCGTTGTTAACAGGGTCGTGGCTAAGGGCGTGAATATTATTCGGATCCTCGAGAAGGTATTCATGCAGTCTCGAGTGTACACATGATAACAAAAGGGATAAGGCCTGGACGTGGACGTGAAGTGATCTCTCTAAAATGAGGAACATGCAACTGCGCTGGTCTTCAATCAGATCCAATGCGACGCGCAATTTCTGTTATCACACATGAGTAAAACGATCAAGAACATGAATATACATTCAGAAGTTAACGAACTCATCGGTCATTAAATAAGTGAGCAACGCATGCGATGATGGCAACGCCAGACTTAAGCAGAAGAAGTATCATGCTCTGCAGCCTCCCGTGCAGCTTCAGCCCAATCCCTCTCGCGCACACCGAACTCAACTGCCAGTATAGTCTTGTTGAAGGTCGTCAGAGTCATTCCATAAGGGTCGCGGATGCGCGACTCCCAGCCCTCTGGAAGTCGCTCCTCGAGAAGAAAGCTGTGGAGATGATCCACGCGACCTCCAAAGACTTTGACTAGGGTCGAGGCACTAAGGAACGTTCAAAAGTGCGGTCAAAAACGGACGAGGTAACAACGTACTTCGTGCTCCCAAAGATCTTGTGGAAAAAACTGAGAGAGAACTCCTTGTTTACCGCACGGGCTTCTGCACGACGCTTGCCGAGCATCCTGGAGAGGTCTTTGGTGGTGATAACACGATTTCCGTCATTGTCCTTCCCGGTAGCCGCCGCAAGGAGCTCCTCGATGAAAGGTACGTGCTTTATCGATTGGTCCGGTTCAAAAGCGGTGTCAAGGCCTAAAAACAAATTGTTTGACATACAGGAACAAGCGATACGTATCAAATTGCTCACGTAAGAGAGACGCGTCGTGTTCAATAGCATTATGTTGGTCAAGTTCTTCCAAATCAAATGTATCCTCGCTGTAGCTTCTCTTAAGAAAGCGAGAGGCAAAGTGTGGCACAAACGAGCAGAAGGTAGGACTGAAGTTGTAGGTTGCCCGGATGTGGTGATTGAGCTCGACAAACGAGATCCCACGTCCGCTACGTGAGATGATGCCTGGGTGTTAATACTATCAGATCGACACTGCCACGAGCGCTCAAGCGCCGAGACCGGGTCACTCACCGTGGTTGGCCATCGCATTGAGTGCGGGGCACGAGCAGCGGGAGTCGGTCTCCATGGGAGGCCTATACTCGGACCAGTGCCCTCCATAGCCTGGGTGGCCCTCGGGGGTGACATGACCGACGAGACGCTTCCTCCTCACGAGGTTGGCGAGCGTGAGGAGGACATCCCAAGACATGATCCCAACATCGAAGAAAATGTGGGACACGCCAGAGACGATGCCCATTTTAGAACGGGAAGAGAGGAATAGGATGCACTTCACTATAAAAGCTCGTGTATATATACGAGATCCGAATAATGTATTCCGAATAATGTGTTCCTTAACGTCGTAACAGGACTGACAGGCGGGCCGCGGCAAGGTTCGCCCAGCCTAAGGGTTTGCCCCCGCCGGGGGTATGCAGGGCCTACCATAAGTGGTTGACAAAGGGTGGGGGTAGCAGCTTTTTTTCTATTTTGATTTCAGTTTATGTCCATTGAGGATGAATCCTACCTAGGACAGTATTTTCTAATCTATGGGACTAGGATCAAACTAGGGTAGCAGCTTAATAGTCTGGACATGGGTAGCCATACCATGAACCAACCCAAAGCGACTTGAAGAAAGACTGATCTGAGATGCTAATTGTTGTTCCTTCTATCTCGGTAGACGAACTGTTGTTACACAAGACTTCCAAGCGTCGAAATTTGCGACAGGTCCAGTGAAGAAGATTAATACTGTCATCTTCAGCGCCGCCTCCGCCAGTTCAACCGCGAAGGCCACATACGAAGGGAGTGTTTCGTGTTCAGGGATTTGGTTCGGAACTGAAAGGTGCCTGTATTCGATGATCCGCCAGGTCTGCCGCCATCACCAAGAGGTACCCAAGGACGACCAATAGCCTGAGCATTGGCAATTGCAGGTACACTCCGTTTTTGTTCGGCGCCAAGGCCAAAATTGACGTTGAGCGGTGTCCGGTGTCAAGGATGGTTTGCGAAGATCAAGGATGTAAAATTGGCCCGAAGCATGTAAGTCACATGATGCGTGTTTGTGATCCAAATCGGGATTCGGAACCTACGTTCTCTCCAATATCGTCGAGCATGGCAGCGCCAGGGCTTGCTTCCACCTCTTACAAACTCCCTTCCCTTGCTTCGACCTTGCGATATAAAGGGCACCGTAATCCCCGCTGCTTCTCGTCAACGTGTCCACGAGCAGCCCATTTGCGCGATCACTATGCGACCCTTGGAGTCCCAATCACAGCGACGAAGGCTCAAATAAAGGCATGGGTCATCGTCTTCATTAAAGGATTTGTCCCTCACAAGCATCCGATAGACACACTTCTACCAAGTGAGTCGTTCTCACTGGTAGCACCAGATAGCTACTGATGGATTACGTCGCTCTCAGCTTAGCAAGAAATATCATCCCGATGTTGCCAAGGACAATGCAACACGAGGAAAATTTCACGCTGTGAGTGAAGCCTACGCCGTGCTCGGGGACGATCGAAAGCGGTACGTCTCGAAACGCTCACCCAACATACCGACCTAATGACTTTAATGGCAGGCGCGAATACGACCGCGGTCTCCGCCACTCATCACCGTCACAACAACCATCTTCTCAACACCCACAAGAAACCACAACACGTCCCTCCAATCAATCAGGGTCCCGCAACGCGTGGCAAAATAATCCACGTCAACATCAGCACCGTGACCCCAAGTCCAGCCATGCGCATGACCCAAACGCAACTTATGACCACCCATGGGAGCGTGCTCGTGCAGGCAAATACACGTATTATCAACCTCCCCCCGGTGCCCATACGCGCACATCTTACACATGGTCGCACACCGATCCATTCTCCAGCCCACACGTTCAACGAGCGACTGGTCGTAGGTCTGCAGGTCCACCGCCAGGAGCAGGTCCGTCTAGTGGTAGCAGTGAAGAGATGCCTAAAAGTGGACCACGACCCGAAAGGACGCCAACGGACCAAGACATAGCTGCAGCGGAGAGTGTTATAGGGCGTGTGTTTGCGGTGTCTGGACTTTTGACCTTCATGTTAGTGATAGCCCAGTTTGCTGGTGCACCTTGGGGCAGTGCGCATGCATGAATAGATGCATTGTCGTCAGTTTGACGAACGTACGTCGTAACTCGTGGCCAGCTGGATGCATATGTAACGCTACAACAGTTGTTCCGCAATGATCAGATACATACAGTAAAAGATGTCCGTCTACGCCATCTTCCTTCAGCGGGGTATGTACTTTGTATCTATTATCCATCTGGGGAGGCGTCAGTAGCTTGTGACGTAGGGTCTTCTATGCGTCCTGCGCTGCCGTCGCTCTCGTTCTCTTGCAGTAATCGCACCAAAGAGGCCCTGGCATATGCAAGTAACTCCTCGACCCCTTGCCCCATAATGACCAATGTAAATACCGTGGAGAAGCATGCAAGGAATAATTTCAGTCTGACTTCGCTAAACCGAATTTGAGTCTCATGTCCTTTCGGTCTATCATGAGAAGGCGTGGGTTTCTGAGGAGAGGACGAAGTTGCCTGAGCTTGCAACTTCTCCTTCTCCCTCTCTTTCTCCCTATCTCGCATGAGCTTGTTCATCGCCGTCCAGTATCCAGCAGGTGGACGATAGAACGTCGATGAGCCTAACTTGATTGGGTTCCAGTATGTAGGATCAAGCGGCCGGGGTGAAGATGAGGGCGGTTGGCCCGACCATTGATCTCGCAATCCTGTGATAAGAGCAGAATGCAGCTGCTCGTTTTGATCGTATTTCCGTCTGCGATGACGTTCAGAACCATGCAATTTGATAGTCCAGAGTCTAATAAAAAAAGGCGCACCGAGTCTTCTTCTTTCCAAGTACAGTATAAGCCTCCGTAACCTTCCTGAAAATCTCGGGGGAACTTGGGTCTTGAGAAACGTCAGGATGATGTAACTTGCTCAGCTACGTACGTGTCAGTTCAACGATAGGCATCGACTATGACTAGACCACACCTCGTAGTAGCTTCGCTGTGCCACGCATCAGTCAAATGCGCCTCGAACTAAGGTCGAAAACCAACTTTAATCTGGTCCTGCGAAGCATCTCTCTGTAACCCAAGTGCAGTATAGTGAACCCACAGCTTCGTCCCGCCTGTTGAACCTTGGGCGGGCTGCGGTGCTACAGTACTCCTATGCGAATGTATCCATGATGAAAATCCAAGTGCGGCGATGTGAATCCATGATGGTTTGCTATCGTCTTGTTTTGAATTTTCGGTGGCATAGTGTTTGGGGTGCGGTAGTGCGATATTCTTGTTCCATGATGCGGCGCGTAGTGACCATGAGGAGGCGTTGAGAAGCAGAAGAGAGGACGGAGACCCTCTAAATCTCATCGATCAATCTGAAGGCGTCAGGGTTGAATCCGGTCGAGTTTGTTAGATGAGTTTGAACCCTCTAATGGGGTTACTACCTTGTGTAGTAACTTCAACACAAACGCTCTCTATGACAGAAACAACTATATCTTCCTTCTATTTGATCTGCCTACTGCAGGAGATAATACATACTGGTAGTTTCATGGTGATATCTACCCGCAGTGGATATCGCATTACTAGCATTGTTCCGCAAAACCACCTCGAAAGTGCGGTTGCATATTCCACCGGTTGTCTCCACGGGTCAGCCAGCTGCCCACCAACGTAACTCATATCTTGTATGCCAGGCCCTCGGACCTCTCGGGTGCTGCACGAATTTGATGATTTATCTCCCGGTTTAAGCTTCGAGCTGTGAGTGACACTTTATCTCTACAATCTGTCGCTCGCCGTCCTTCTATCGGCATTCTTGTCCCCGCGACAACACGATGTACATGCTAGAGGCTAGTTCACCCTGTGTGATCGTAAAATAGAAAATTATGTTGGTGAGCAGATGGAAATCTGGAATTTAGTTCCTACCAGCTCACCGACTATGATCGGGCTTCAAAACTCAAGTATTATCCCAGTGTTCCTGTCCACACCTCAATTGGCCTATGCCTATTGATAGGAGTGACGCGGAAGACATCGTCTAATAGCAGTGTCTATGGTTTCATCTCTTCCTCATCACCTCCAGGATATCAAGCTTGGACCAGAACGACTTTTACGACGAGGAAGAATCAAAAGGTATTGCAATGTTGTGGATGGCTATTAATGTTCACGGTAGTGTACGTATCAGCCTCTTTCTCGTTGATTTCATCTGAGTGAAATTTCACCTTAGCACCATCGGAAATGGAAATCCATCGCGGGCCAGAGCAACCTTTGACCGGGACCAAGAATCAAAACACTGTTGTGGAGGGCAGAGATAGTTTACACTTGGATGCAGTGACCTTGTAACTCGAAACCTGGTCAAAAATAATAAGATGCCCTGTTTGCATGATATGCTAAGAAGTTCAAGAACGATGCAAAGGAAAACGCTACAACTGCTGGCAAAGACGAGATCAAGAACGGTACCAAGGAAGGCATTCCAGCTGCCGGCGAAAATGAGAGTAATGCTACTTAATCACCACCTTCTTCGAATAATACGCCACACTGCACCTCTTCCCATTTGGCTGCAAAGCGTCCCAGCTAAACATGCCGACGCGCCCCGACAACAACGCTGCATCTGCCTCTGTGATCACAGGCCCACGACCTCTGACATCCAGCCAGCTTATCGCCTTCGTGTTCATCGTGAGCATATCTTCATCATCGGACTCGGTCGCTAGGGGATTCAGGAAACCCCATTGCGGAGCACTCGCAGCACGTATCCGCGCTTGGATGAATCTCCTCAACGCCGGAGCAGTGAAGTGATCGCAATTCAGCAGTCGCAACTTCGTCATCCTGGGCGCAATATAGCATTCTTCCTCCGAGGTGCTCTTGAAAGGCTTAGTCATGACGTCGAAAAACCCATCGTCAACGCCAGCACAATTGTCAAGGGTAAGACTACTCCCATTCCAATGACGGAGCACGTTGACGAAACTTTTGGATGTGTCCATGTTCTCGAACGTAAGGTAGTCGGTAAAACAAATGCGACCGAGAGTGTCGACTTTGCAGTCTGTGATTATCGTGGACGAGAGACGGGCTCCGATGAGGACTGCAAAAACAATTTTGAGAACATTGCTGTCGTCCAGTTTCTCGAATGCGAGGGTTTGTAAACGGCTGAGTGAAACCGCAGGCCCTCCCAGAGTATTTTGGTCTATGTCAAAGTGAACATCGCAGAGAGTGAGATCGTCGAGCAGGGGGAGCTGGCCAAGGGTTCGGAGCGTCTGCCATAAGGAGAGCCCCTCTGCGCGTGCGCCGAAAGGACGGTAACGTGAAATTTTGACGGATGTGATTTTTGACATGAGAGTGATTTGGGTTGATCTTTGCAGAAAGCCATCTTGGAGGCAGCGACCGCTGATATCGAGCGTATCTAAGACTGGCGCAACAAGGGGTCCATCAGAAGGGCGTATTCGCTTGGAACCTCCGTCGTCAATGACGCTTCCCAGCTTCAGGCTCTGCAACAATTCGGCGGGCCCATCAAGATTGGTGAACAAGAAAGGAAGTGTGTTGCTGTGCAACACCGAGATGTGTAGACGACGGATGCGGTTCAAGTGAGGTCGTAGCAACGCTCTGATGCTCTGGGCGCGCTGGCACTCGACCTCATCAGGAGTGTCATTATCAATGACGCTGCGCGTGACCGTGATGTCAAGCGGGAGTAAACACGACCACCGCAAACACGCTCGGATTGCAGAGATATCGGTAGGATTTTTGTCCACCGTCACCGTCATCCGAGTCCAAAACTCGGGGACAGTCGCCGCAACATCACACCAGCGAGAACAAACTGCAGCGATAGCAAATGGAAACAATGAAGGGGAGAGAGGCTCCTCGTGTGTCCAGTCTTCAAACACGCGGTCAGAGTGGAATGATTCCAGTTGCAAAGATCTGTTCTCCGCATACACCAAGCGGAAGATCCTCAAAAGAATCTCGGTAGGGAGTTCAGTGACTGGGACGCGAATTTTTGGGCCTGAATCCAAGAACAGAGAACAGCTACGCGCGATAATGATAGTTGAAAACGCTGACACGGCACTTTGCTGACTGTTCGATCCGTCCTGGGTTCAACATTAGGTCAGTGTATCGCTGAAGAGTAGTAGGGTATGCTCACCGTCATCCCTGCAAAAGTTGTTCAAAAGTACGATCACAAGAGCTGAATGCAGACCGACTTTTGGTCATTTACTTGTTTCGAAGTCCGCCGCTTCAGCATGTGTTATTTACCAGTAGTCAAGCTTTCAGAAATTTCAAGTTTCAGGTGCTACGGTAGCCAGTCTCTCGCAGTCAAACCATTCAAGAAGTAACGACTATCTTCCTTTTTGATAACTTTGCTATGTTGGTTAGACCATCGGACCCATGTCAAATGTGGACGGGTTTGCACTGCTAGAAGACGTAAGCTGCACATTCATTGTTTCACCGCTACTCACGGTGACCTGCTAGTAACTGACCTCCATTCAATGCTTCCCGCGTCAGCACCCACTGTCATGATGCGGAGTATCGGATTTCGATATCGATTACTTTGACCGGGAGTCCTCAGTCCGATTCCAATGACCCATAGGTAAGGCTGTGCGATGGTAGAACAGGATAAAACCATCAAACCCACTGCGCGGCTTTGCGTCCCACCCGTGATAAATTATGATCATACAAGTTGCCGAGTTTGTTGGCGCTCCGCTGTGAGTTTTTTTTATCTCTCGTAATGATGGTGCTATTATAGCCAAGTCAGCCAAGTCGGCGAAGTCGGGCCAGAAGAAGATCACTGTGGGACTTTCGACTTAATGATCATCGAGGCTTTACGACACGCTCTACACAATCGATAATTGACAGAACAACTTCAGTGCATAGTCATTCGATCGAAGAGGTGCGACCAGACTCTAAACCATCTTCTCTTCGCTGTAGCTTCTCATTTCAGGTTTGACATAGTAGGGAAAGTAGCACATATTCAACGGCTTAATCCCTCCCGGCCTCATCTCCTGGCTGTGCAAACAATGCGACGCCGATGCATCAACTGCACGAAAACTCACTGGGTAGTGCATTTTGCATCGGTATCGCACATGTTTCGCACTTCAGTTCACTAACCCTCCCTTCTCTGTATTTCTATAGACTGATGACCGACTTGGAGGCAGTAAGCAAGGCAGTGGGCAGAAGGTGGCGCGGATGACGGGACATTGGGATGAGGAAAGGAGTTGTATTGGAGGGAGTCACGCATTACGGGTTGTTTTTGGAGGCGTTGCAGGAGTTTTCGGTGGCCCGGGCTAAAATGTGTTTGGACCTATTCCATCTTTGATTTTTGCGATTGTTGTCACGCTGATGGATTGTAACCTTTTCAAGAGACTGCGAATGAGCTGTTGCACTCTCTGATCACAGCAATAGAGACAGTGCAATATGTTATTCGACAATTATTGAGACGGTAGGCATTTCGAATTTTTTGGATGGTTGTACTGCCTGCGTTATTTCACCGATTTCGATTTCAGAATACATGAACTGATATGACTTTTCCAAGAACTCCTCGAAGTCGGCATCGGAAAGAGCTTTTAGCGGTGCTAAAACTTTCCGTGCGTGTGATACTGTTTTGGAATGGTATGCGGATGCGCAACTAACATCCCCCGAGATATACTTTGATTCCTCCAACCTAGGTGATTTCCACTTTTTTCTCTATTCATGGAATGACAGTTCTAGTGGTGAATTGGGAATGGACATCCATTAATACTTTGATACAAGCGCTGGATGGTAGTATATCTAGCACTAACGCCCTCGTTGTGTGTTGATTAAGTTCGCCACTCATTGACATTGACTTCAACCATGTCCCTAGTTCCACAAGACCCCAGTTTGTGGCGGCTAACTGCTTGGTACCGTGTTTTGAACTATTTTGTAGGTTCGTGAACGGAGTTCGTGTGTCGCAACCTATTATTGACGATTTGTGATTCTCAGTTGCATCTTCTACTGCGGTTATATATGATTGGGGTGAGCAATATTGTGCTTATCGAGGAAATTATTGATGTACACATGATATTCTCTAGCTCTGACGTTCGGAAAAGAAGTAGGTTAACGTCTTCATCGGAGTAACCGTCTTACCAAGAATTTTTGTAGTTTGAACTGGTCTGGGTAAGCAGAGTCCACATCAGAAGAACAACATGATTGCAATTAATTCGGGGCAGAGGCGACGCTGGTCCCTGATAACAGTTCTATATATCAGTGTACGTTGCTTGTCCTATAAGTTAAATAATGCTGACTCCGAAATATTACAGGTGCGCTATATTGGATTGCTATTCTCTGTGTATGTTTGTACGTTAACAAGTTGGCATTGAGTTAACAATTAACCTTTCACAATCAGCAGCAACATCATGCTATGTATGTCTCCTCACTTACTTACAATGTGTAACATTGTTTGTTCTGATCAGCTGCATGCAGCCAGTTTCCCGGGAGTCCTGATGTCAGATGTGGTGAGTATTCTATGCCAATGCTTGCCATTTCCGTCAAACTAACTGCACTCCCACATAGAGGTGAGTGAAAATCTCTACCAGCTTGTTGGTTCAAATTGACGGTCGGTCCGAATAAACGACTGAAACAGCTGTGAGTTTGTCGAAAGCCTTTAGTTCTTTCTCTGAAGCTCACCAATGAATATTTTTAGGCACTGTCCTTTCCTATGCACAAACATGGACGACTTTCGTCGTAAATACTATGCTGGGCGGTGAGCTGCCATACCCCAAACTTCGACACAAACGTGACTGAAATTTTATGCAAGTCATCATAATCACTCGATTATATGCTATGTATCAGCTATCCAGAAAGATACTCATTTCTCTCGTCGTAATCTTCCTGGTTGTTACAATTGCTTGCGCAGTGATGGGCGCGATAGGAAGCAGCTCCACATCAATCGGTGAGCACTATGGATGAATGATTGAAGTGTTAGGCTCATGGGATGAATACCAGATATGATCGTCCTGTCCGGCACATATTACTGTGGTTACGAGGGACACAACCAAATTCTGACCGAGACTTGGATACTCAGCACTGCATGGGAGGTCCTCGCACTGTGTCTTGCAGTCTGGGTTGTTTTTAAACACTGCCGTGAACTGCAACAACCACCGACAGAATGGTCCATCGGAGACTCTTTCACGGTGCTAATAAAAACACACCTACTTTACTTTGCAACGTGAGCTCGTTGTTTCAATGTGATCATATTTTCTGCTGACGTTCCACACGAATTAGGTTTGCTGTCGCTTCCTGTCTTAACCTCGCGTCAATGTCTCCAAAAAATCTGGTACGCTGATTTGTGACTGACCTCTACACATGACTGCGTCTGACCATTTTTACAGGATGCATCTTCCGCAGGAGCTATTTATGTCGGCCTTGTTCAACTTTTTTCACTTGTGCAGATGTTTGTGGTGGGACCTCGCCTCGTCCTTGGTGTTCGAGAATATCATGCTAAGCTCGTGGCCAACTCTGATGCAGGAATTGGCATGAGTACAATTACTTTCCAGGAACGAGTACGCGTATCAACTGGTAGTGATGCATAGTATGGGACATGCCCCGGGTGATGAATGCACTCGTTGAGCAGAATCGTATTTAGAGTTTTATTCGAAATGTTGATTTGGTGTCGTACAGATATCTGAAATAGACGAACGGGACATACTTATATGTTATGTAGTTCAGGACGTCTTGCGACGAGGCTCCTTGTTTTTTGTGTCAAGTTAAGGTTAGTGGGGGGAGGGATTGGTCGAACGCAAATGGTTTCCCATCTTACAAAAAGTATTCCGTCTTTTGGCAGAGGTGAATAAGACTAGTAGTCTGCGTCCTGATTTTGTCTCAGCTAAAAAAACGAAGACTAGTGAAAAGATGAACGCACCGCACTGTCATGGCCAGTCACATCGGACGGGGGTCCCAGCAGTGAAAAATTACCCTTCGCAAGAATCTTTCCAAGTTCGACGCCCATTTGGTCTACATAACCCATTTAGCGAACGAGGAACTGTCAACCGCGCGTATTCCTACCGAATGAATTGATACCCACATGACACCCTGGGGAAAGATCTTGTGCTCATACAGCGCGATAAGCGCACCGAGGTTTCTGGGAGTCATCAGCGGGAACAAAATGCTGTTGCAAGGCCGGCTTCTGTCGAACCCCTTGCTCTTCACGAGTGGCTCGCTTGCACCGCTGCCAACCTCTTGCGCACCTCCTCCTGTCTTACCAAAGGCAAGCGCTTCAGGCTGGGCGAAATAGTTGGAGAGCAAAATACGGTGATGCTTGGAATTCGCGATGGGGTCGTGACTTGTGGCAGGGGCAATGAAATCTGCGGGGATGAGTTTCGTGCCCTGGTGCACTAGCTGATAGAACGAGCGTGGTCTGTTAGTGCCTGCAGCACTAGCTGATAGAACGAGCGTGGTTTGTTAGTGCCTGCAGCACCCCAGATGGTGGGCTGCGTGCGACTCTGTCAGTTTCAGTCGTGAAAATAGGTCTATTGCACCTACGCCTGTTTGGTAGTTAACACGTTGACCACCCACGTATAGGTAGTACGGTGTAGCACTATTATTGATTCTCTGAGTGCGAGGTTCGACTACGCTGAATCGAGGCCTAGGCATTGAGTTTAAGTTAAGTATTATGTAATACTGCTCCTCACCACGCCATGACCAAATTGAATGATTTTAAGCGCTCCATCCACAAGCTACGGACATGCTAGTCTTTTTGACTCAAGAAACGTAAGACCACTCAATCGATCTTACGCACGCTCTCATAGCACAATATTAATACAGACACGAGGCTTTTGTGATTGGGGTGTTGACCACGGCATAGTGCTAGTAGGGGTACTGACCAAACATCGACCAATTCCACCTGCCCCCCATTCAAGCCCATCAGGCTACACAGAACCTATTCCTACCTACCTCTAATGTCATTTGCCGCAGTTAGATCAATCTTGCAGCTCAATACAGATGAAACCCAAGCACTGAAGTTTCTGCCGGTGGTAACCCAAGTTGGATCCCTTATCATATAAAATACGTACCATCACTCACATGCACTCAAGATCACTGCAAAGAAGGCTGTACAGGGATCCACCGCAGATCTGGCAAGGCTGGTTGACTCTATCCCGATTCCATGTGCTCCCCGCTTTTCTTGCTTGGTGCCCATATTTCACGCGACACTTAAATCAGTTCAAGTACCAAACTACATCAATCTCAAGACCATTCCAGCCATCATGGGCGCAAAGTGGGCTCTCCTGGGATTAGTGAAGATTTGCTCGGCTGCCCGGCCTTCAGCTGTGGGTTCTGATACCGGGGACAGCATAGTGACAAAGTATATTGTCAGGAGGTGGGACGAAATATTCCCGTGGATGCGGTTCTTCGCTCGAAATTGCCTCCCTTCTCCTTACGACGTCTCAGTTACTCCCCCGCGCCCTGATCTTTGCAATGTGTTCGATGCTACAAAATTGTGCATCCACCCGCTCACATTCATCTGCACCAGCTCGAAAGAAGGGCGTCACATACTCCGATCTTCTATTTCTGTCCAGCACTATGTTGCACAGTTATGGGTATTGGTTGGAAACCTCAAGGGAGATGTACTCCAAGGCGACCCCGGAAGTTCAACGGACAGCCTTGTTTCGATGATCCGCACGTCTTTTACGGTGACAAACAATGCTTGCATATCTGAATCTGAGGATCCAGACAAAATCACCCTTCCGATATCGAATTATATACATGCTGCCGGAGGGGTGAAACCCGTTGTCTACACCCTTCTCAGATACATCCGTAGGATTACCAGAGATGCTGTTGCTGTAGAAGAACCCCGATCGTGGACGCCCAGCGATAAGAGCGTACAACACCTTCATCTCTTCACTGCTGGTCTCCATTATTCCTTCCTGTTTCTTAAGACTATCAGCCGCCAAGACGCTTCATGCCGCGCCCAACTTATCCGGCAAGGTTCGATTCGCACAATGGTGGACGCGATCACTTTGATCTTGCCGAAGATCTTGGTACAAACAAACGCGGAAATGGATTTTCATTCGCAGCTGGGACTAGCGGACAGACAGAATGTTTTGTGGATGGGATACTCGTACATTGCATCTGCTATTCGCGATGGAGATGACGGGGTAACAAGTGTGTGCCAGGCAATAGACGCTGGCCTCATTCAAACTTTGGAGAAGGGAGTTGTTTGCCCGCCTCACGCCAACCATCGCGAATACCCAAACGGACACCCACCCCGTGGCCGCATGGGTGACGTAGAGTTGCTCCTCCTTCTCCCCACATTTTTCCTATACCACAGGGTCGTTGAATCCATTTTCAAACACTGGTTTCGCGTGCAAAGTGCTCCTATGGCAAAACGAGAGATACGAGACAAAGGGTTGGGAGTTGCTCTCGAACTCGTCCTGAAATCTTCTATCGATGCTATGGATCATCGCAGTGTAGAGCCCATAAACCCACAGGAATACAAGTGCAGTGGCCCAGGAGTACGCTGATTGTAGTTTCATTCTGCGGATGCTGATATCGGTAGCAGTGTGGGATCTGGACATCCGAGTTTGTCAGCAAAAAACGTCGGTGCTCAGGTTGTTTGATATCACTTTATTGTTCGGAGAAATGCCAAAGGACCGCTTGGCGCAATGGACACAAGAAGTGGTGTCAAGTTCTGAGGTGTGCCGTTGGTGAGTCTTTTCAATCCTCGTCTCATGCTTGTCGACCCAATCGCCATCAGGGCCGTGGGGCTCACGCGATATCCGTACGAGTCTTCAAGTCATCGCAGGCTTCGAAACCAGTGAGATCTCGGGAATGGCCAAAGATGTGGAAACACGCGTTCGTGAAGCCCAGCAGCAGTTTCCTGCATTCATCAACAAACTCGTACTCATGCTCGACATGACTGTGTTTCCACCGGAGATCCATGTGCTTCCTGTGCACAGGCTTGAGCAGTTCCCTGGGAAGGACCCCATATGGCCAGAGATCGCTGACGAGATTCGCCAACGAAGTGACTCGCCACCGAAAGGATATATGTTTTCGGTGGTCAAGGTGCATCTTGGAAAGTCGAAGTTTACGCTGTTCAGCCCAAGCATGGCGTTGCGTATGGCATTTGAGAGCCAGTATTTCGTGGTCGACGATTCTGTAGACGAAAATGATTCAACAACGCTGGGTGACCAGGACTTGGATTACGGTTCAGAGCCATTGTATGACGCGGATGGTTCTGAAGATAAGTGCTACGAAGTTTAGTGGTTCTTACCATTTATTTAGTACCTTTCGTCGACTGTATCCTTGCTTTACTTTGTACAATTGCTCTGCTATGTACGATATACACGCAATACAATTCTTGTGGGTCGATCGAGCCGAGAAGTGATAGAATTGATCGATCGGCACCAAGTTCAATTGATTCTGGACACTGTGTCCAGGCGGCGTCCGTGCTTCCTGTCTACACACGATGGACAAGTACAGAGGCAACATTACCTACGACTGAATTCTAGCCCGTCCTTCCACAAATTCCAGGATATCTTCGTCAGAGGGCCGGTGCTCCATATCCTCTAACCAACAGCGTTGGATGAAATTCCAGTCCTCGTCAACGATAACAGGTGTGTGCGGCCTTATGGGCGTTTTCCCTTCTAATATCCACCTACTTATCTGCATTCTTGAGCGTGCATAATGGTATGGGACCTCGCCCTCCAAAACCTGCAGGGATATGAGCTAATTCAATTTTTGGGATATAGGTCACGTGCCTGTAGCATGATCCCTCCGAAAGAGTATACATCGCTTGTCGGAGAGAATACCAATGACTCATTGCCTTCATCATCGGACTTCAAGCATTCTGGCGCCGTGTAGGGCATGGTGCCTCCGGGATAAGTAGGCAACAATGCTTGGCTTATTCTCTCAGGAAGGAGGGCAGAGCGACCAAAATCGGCCAGACTGGCTTTTCCATCTTCATCAACGAGAACATTATTCTAAGCAAGCTTCAGTTGGGCATTCGCACATCTCATAATGTATACGTACGCCACTCAAGTCTCCATGGATAATTTCCCGTGAATGCACTGCCCCATTCTGTGTTAGTTCTCGGATCAACGACAAAACATTGAGCATACGATACTGAAGCCCTCGAGCTATGTCCCTGAGCTAAAGACACCTTAGCGTGCTTGTGATGGTGAGGTAAAGAATAGACCGAACCAGTGCAAACTTCCTCTTGTAAGAAAGCATTCTATGCTCACGCCGAAGGTATCCCGTCAGCGCGCCATGTTTTAACCATGGCGAGATAAGTGCTGGTAAGCAGCCAAAGTTGTCTGTGACTCCCCAGAGAGGGACAATATTCTCGTGCTCAAGCTCTAACCATAGCTTGATTTCTCGGAGCAATCGCTGAAGCACCAAAAGTCAGTTGAATGAAGGCGGAACACATAGGCACTGACATGGACATTCCTCAACATGTCCCCATCATTGTTCGAAAATATTTCTTTGACTGCCACCTAGATTTCTGTGAGCAACTCAGATCAAAAATGATATACAAGGCACCTATGTCAACACAAGTTGATGTGGAAGGGAGCTGGTAGCAAGCAACAGCTTGTCGGACCGTTGTATCGATATTTTCAAGATGGAGCCTGCACCTGTGAACAGCTCCATATGCTCCAGCAGCATGGGGATCCTTGTCGAGCCGTTGGACCGAGTTCGTTAAATCAACGGCACTGCAGGCGATGAGCTCAACGGCGACATGCGGAACAAAGATAACGATAGCTCACCCAGATTGTTGGGCTAAGGCTAAGTAGATAACATTCTTAATTGAAGGACGGGAATTTTCGGCCAATAGGCACTGGCGCATCAAGTCCAGGTGCCTTTCACTGATCTTTGAATGAAAAGTCCTGAGGCCTGCGTAAGAGAAACTTCGCAAAGATCATACCTCCACAGTAGGCTGAAAGGGCCCTGTGCCCTTTTCTTTTTCCGAAAGCACTCGACTCTCTTCAGAAATCCACCAGTATGGCACCTTTCCCAACAATACCTGGTGAATAGCGGTGTAAAATGCATCGAAGGTCGATGTGCTGCATAACGCACCAGAATCGCGATGCAGCCATACGAGTACACATCTCCTGCTTTGGTCGGTTTTGGTGCTGCTGTCCGGCCACCACTGGATATAGACTCGGGCGCAGCGTACCTTGCATCTCCCATGAGTTGCTCGCTGAATATCCGATTATCTGCTTCGGCTAGGATCATGGAGTGGCTGAAGTCTGCGATGCGTACACGGCCTGAACCGTCAATGAGAATGTTGTCCTAGGGATGAAGTAAGAATCTTTAGTGTGCAATGTAGTAAATAATCGAAGCATACACCCGTTAAGTTGCCATGCACAATGCCCCATTTGTGCACTAAGAATGCGCATGAGTTTCATGCACAAACGGCTACAGGAGACACTGACAATATTCGATAACATACGCCACCTCCAGTAGCTGACCATTCGAGGTCAGAGAACTTATGTATGCCACGAACTTTGAAAAATCAACTCACAATGTCGAGCTTCCGACGTGCAGATAAATTGGAGTACTCTCGTTTCAGGTAGTCGTGCAACGAACCGCCTGCCATCCATTGGTATACAAAGGATGGGAGAATTCCAAAATTCGCAGTCATTCCATAGAGGATAAGGATGGCCTCGTGCCTCAACTTCTCCCTGACATACATCTCACGACGAATCCTCTGCCGAGTAATACATGATTTAGTAATGATTTATCTGTACAGCGATGGCGGACTGTATGTTTACTCACATTACATATCTTTTCCATATCATTTTGACTGTCAACATCATCCCTCAAAGTCTTGACCCCCACCTGTTGACCGATGCATTACATATAGTTCCGTGGGTCCATGTAAATACACTAACCTCGATCTCAATCGACTCATGCACCACCCACTTGCATTTCAAGGTCGCACCAAGGACGTCCAGATGACCAGTATCGTAGTCAGACTCACACTTCATGAGAACTGCTTCCGATATATGTTTCACCGTGACAGGAAGTGTCGACAGCAACGTCTTCATAGTCTCCGCGACACTTGTCTGTGACCACAAGAACTCTACAATGCTGGCAACCAACAGGCGGGATTCACTCCTCCTTGACAAGCATAGTTGCGCAAACTGCTGGATTTCTTCATCGACACCAGTCAATTGGGGGAACGGTTCGCGCCCTTTTTCCATTGCTGATATAACGGCAAAAATATTGTTGATTCTCTCATAAGGTTGACGTCCAGAAAACACCTGCATGGAATTGGCAACATGGCATTTGAATGGGAACACACCACGCACCTGCATCATGACACAGCCATACGAGTAAATATCGTTGGCCTTGGTTGGCTTATAATCCTGCGCATCAAATGTCACGGTCTCCGGCGCCATCCACCGTATATTACCCGGGAGACATGAGTTAAATGTAGCGTGCTCTGATTGTGTGAGGATCATCGAGAGACCGAAGCCCCCGATATAGAGCCTCCCTTCACTGCTGACTAGGACGTTGGTCTAAATTGCAGCACCGTCATTTCTGCCCGGAGTATGGTAGGGAACACTGCACCTACGTCAGTTAGTTCACCATGGACAATATCCTTGTCGTGCACTACAGGAGATCAGGCAATCAAAGTGCAAGAGAGCTGAGTGCCACCCACAGTACTGAAGACCAGCTGCTATGTCCCCTACCTGAAATGTCAAGTCAAGGTTCAACTTGTCTCTGCAAATATAAAATGCAAACCATTTGTAACTTCATCGGCCTCGAAAGCTGAGAAAATTGCAGTCTCAAATACTCGTTGAGCGATCCATTTTCCATCCATGGAGCGACTAACGCGGGAAGGGGTCCAAATCCCTCAGTAATACCCTCAAGAGGGAGGATGTGGTCGTGTGACAATTGCATCTGAACGTAAACCTGGCGACGAATCCTCTGGAGAGTTGATCTATCAGCGAGTGCAACGGTGAATTACTTCATGACTTCACCATGCCTGCTTTTCGTACAAGTTCCGTATCTGCATTTTGACTAATTAGAATAAAGCTTGCGGATAGAACCCCACAATGCACACCTGTCGACTGAGGGACCCTGAGCGCTTTGACTGCAACCTTAATTATGATGAATGACGTTGGAACTGTCCCCCGTTTGTGAACTTACAAGATGGGTGTTAGATTGTGTAGACATGGAACATTTCCAGACATCGCCAAGCCCTCCAGCATAACTAGGACACTGATGCAGTCGTTGTATGGCTGTCGTAGGAATGAAAATGGGTTGGATCTTCAAATCAATGAGATTGCTCTCCTGTCCAGGTGACTCAGTCATTATTGATAATGAGTGTAAAATCAAGATCGACTTACAATGGAGGTTTCCATTGCGACGTAAATCTTCAGCACAGTTCAATGTGACAAGCGCTAGACTTAAAGACGTGCGATAGTGTCGTTTCATCCTTATATGCACGATGAAATAAATACCATGGACACACCCATATTGAGCGTCTTCGTCGGACCATGAGGATGCAAGGCTAGTGTAGAAACGGGGGTGATCCCTGAGTTATTCATGTCTTGCACTAATCTTCCAATAGGATGGTACGATCGTGCATGTTTGCTGCTATGTACTGATAACGATATTCAGAGAAGTCAAGTCCAGACGCACAAAAGAATTGATCTACTATTCTTATCGAAGCCTATCGGGCTATGCGCGTTTGATGAGCTCTTGCGTCCCAACACAGCGTTGTCCGAGTTGTGCAGTTTTCTCTGCATAAAAAGTTAGGTTGATGATCGACCCAACAGGTGTATCCAGTTTAAACTCACGGAGGAGCGGCGGGTATCTTCACAATTATGCCAATATGGCAGACAACGTTCAGTATGTGACTCATTGTAGGGGAAACGAGCGCCGGAGTGGAGGATATGAGGCCATAAGGACGGTGTAAATGGGGTCTGATACATGCAGACGCCAGGGTGATTCTACAAATGGTTCTTAGAGTTCCGCACCACCGTGATGCTGCGACCCTCGCGGATGTAGATCCGACTTGTTGGCTATCTCCTGCCTAGCTTGTTGCTAGTGCAGCAAATTAAGTTTTAACCCTTTCTCGAGTCGGAAACCCAAGACGCCGTGAGGCGAGCTTTGCCAACACCTCGTATTAGCACGGCAACAAGGAAGGGAGCGAGCACTTGTTCGTGTAATTCTCATTTATCAGTAAAAACAAGTCAACCGAAACAACGTCGAACGTGCGTGGACACAAGAATGATAAGTACGTACTCTTGGCTGCGAGGGCTGAAACAGCAATATCATCCACCACCAGACTCTCCGGGAGCAGCTCGAATCCAGATCGATCTGCCAGTCTGAGTCACGGTGTGGATTCTGAAAACTTCTGCAGCACAAGGCTGTGGGAACGGAAACATTCAGCAAATACTCTACTCAATAGTCTTGAGCATTCATCATGACTCGCTGTGAGACACCTATTATCTGGCCCAGGGTATGTTTCGATTCGGAATTAGAGGTGCCAGCCTGAGTCTGCTAGCAGTGAGGGACGGAATGATCCTGGGCGACAGTATTTGTCCCTATTTGTACATTTTCATCTCAGAAGCTGCGACTTGGCTGTGGCGCGTATCCAGGATACGAATATCGTGAATTGCATATTTTCTTTTCCTACTTTGCAAGTGTGCTAACGACGTATCTCGTGCAACCCATAAATGAAGACTTGGAGACATCCTTCATTGGTTGCGTTAACGATACACGTCTGATTCAAAATCATCGCGCTATCAGCTTTACTTTGGCTCCTTGAATCAACTGATCACTGGCCTACGGTTTCCGTTTGTATTGCGAACGCCTGTGCCATGTGGACGATTGTGGGATGTGTGCCGCTGGATGCAGAAAGTCTTGCAACTCATAGTAAGTTCTCCGTTCTACTTCTCTTCAGCTGATACTCATAATTCCTCATTCGATCCAGTTTACCAGCCCATCAGCCATGCACCTACACTCGCATGCCTTGAGACTGAAACATGTCCCATGCTCCTCACCCTCTCCTACTCAGCCTCAAGAAGCGCGAAGGCATGCAGGCCAAGGTCGTGTATCACGAGGACCTGACGGCTTTTGCGAGGGCGAATAGTAGATTTGTGTGGTTTGTCGAGAACATTTTTGCAGAGTGAGTGTTTACTAGGGCTCAGATCCGTGATGCGCGTTCTCACTTGGTCTGCTTTCTAGTTTCGTTATTTCTGACAAACGCACGCAAGACTTGCCGCACACGTTATCCTCCCAACGGAGGTATAAATTCGTGCGTGATGTAAGTTCGCGTCTTCTTAGTTCTTTGAGTCTTTCATAATGCTGATAATACCAATCATTCACATAGCTCGCAGCGAGCTACCTCATGGACATACAGATGCGGCGATCAAGGACCTCATTGGTGCGTGCAGTTCATCCGGCACTTTGACACACTCATCCCGACGTCATTCGTATCTGGATCATTCACGTCACCGTCTCCTGCAATCCTAGGCAAGCTCGCTGATTTGTTTGCTCTAAAGCGGTATTGAGCGTTCAGTGCATTGTAATGATATTGCAGTCTTTCTACGTATGTTTGTACGGATCGAATGTTAGCACTCAGTTAACTCTCACGAACAGGAACACATGCAGTACGTTTTTTGCTTGTTTCTGACTTGTTCAATGCAGCGAGCCTTCTGGGAGTCACGATGACAGACGCGGCCGATGTGCTGAGTATCTTTACTAATGTTTGCCATTCCCGTCCAACTAACTCCACTCCTACATACATATCAGGTTGTAAGTGTTACGGGTGAATGATCAGGCTCATCTGACGAATATTAGATGTGCTTGCTCTCTTCGACACCTGTCAGTTTATGAGGGATACAACCAAATTCTGACCGAAACTTCAAAGCTTGGACACTCAACACTGCGTGGGAGGTCCTTGCACAGTCTTGGTTGTTTTTCAACACATCCGTGAACTGCGAAACAACCATCGACAGGATGATCCATCGGAGATCGTTTCGACGGTGTTGATACAAACTTACTTACTTCACTTTGCAGCGTATACTCGATAAATATTCAATCTGATCAGATTTTACGCTGGTATTCTGAACTTCTGCGCGAGCCAGATTTGCAGGCGCTTCCTTGCCTTGTTGTTTCTAAAGATTTCGGGACGCGACTGACGTTTGCATCTAAGTACCCCCGATCGTTTTGAACTAACCTTCTGCAGGAGCTACTATGTCGGCCTTCTTTTTCACTCATGCAAATGTTTGTGGGCACTACGCCCCGTCCTTTTCATTCGGTATAGGAACAACTGTCTTGCATGAATGCGTCTGCGTATCGACTGGCATCGGTGTGGAGTACGGGAAACGCCCAATGATGAATGCACCCGTCGAGTAGAATAAGGTGTTGATTCAGTGTTTCGATTGGACTGGAAGAACTGAATGGGTCTAGACAAAATATTATATTGCAATACTATTTACTTCGCCCAGACAAGAGGAGGTAGAAGGAAAATTATCGAGTGAAAGGGACCGTTTCAGGAAACCTCGTGAATGAGGCGAAGACGATCAAAGCAAAATCCGCAGCAGCTCGTTTCGGGCATGTATTTTTGCGTCCGATACAGCACTGCAGTACTGGCGATCTGAAGCGCTGATAAGTTGGTATTTGTCTGGGGACAGGCAGAGGAGTATGAGTGATTGTTTGTATGACCCCATAGAACAACGAGCAATTCGTCATCAATCGACCGCCATTGTTGGATCATGCAATCCAATGAAGCGAAGAGGATGTCCTTGGACCAAAACGACGAAGTCACTGTGCCCTAGTCCCTTGATCTCGATGAGCAGCTTACGGACATTTGAGCACACGTGAACCATTTTCCCCGCCCTGCCAGTCGCCTTGCGAAGAGATTTGACGGTATACATCAAAATGCGACCAGTGTCTATCGTTTGGGCGGCATGTTGGCCAATGCTCCGTTTCACTTGCTATCGGAGACCAATTGATGCAGCTCATCGCAGCGCCATGCCCGAGTTTGCCGTCCATGCTGCCGTCCTGTATGTCCCACAGTTGTACCCTGTCATCCGCGACCACGACGTGGTCCGAGTGTTGTGGTTGACGAAGCAGGACCGACCGAGTGTGGTGAGACGTACGAGTCGCATCCAGGATAATAGTCTTGATATTATGCTCCACCGCCCAGCACCATGAGCTGTTGTCGCAGAGGAAGTGTTGTTGAACTGATCAGTGGGAAATGAGCCATGCTAACCTTGCCAAAGTACGATGCTGTACCGAGGTGGCGGATATCCTGACACAGCAAGTGCTGGTTAGTCAAAAAAGGCTTCTCGTTCTTCTCTCCGTTTCGAACATAAGTTTGACAAGGCCTCTTCTCGCGGCAGGACGATAATTGATTCGGAGGTCTTCTGTGCTTCGCGCTGTGTGCATACGGACAGTAGTTAGACGAATGCACGGAATTGATGTTTTCTTCTAAGTGACCGAGCCTGGCCTATACCGATACGCCACGGACAAAGCCAGGCATCGATCTCGGGCAGGGCGAAGCGAGGAATTTCAAATTTAGTAGGTGCCGGTTAAGCCCGTGATTCTCGATCGTATGTAGGTACAACTTATACAGTACACTATCAAACTGTACCGTGCATTATGTGCATTGGCAGGTCTGCGGAGATGTAAAAATACTTCCTATCCAGGCACACTCACAGCAAGTTCAAAATACATACCTCAGCATGCACGAGGGCTGTGTTGTATACAGCTCCCGCCTGTCATAAGTTTTTCGACTGCCTTCCTTCTACAACGTCTTATATTCCTTACCTAACCTCTGCAGACCAAAATGCCCCATTCGCAGGTGAATTTCATTCAGAATCTTTTCAAGGATTTTGATCTGGGCAAGGTATTTGCTGTTCGATCGAGGCACCCCGCAAAGAATGGATGCACAGAACGCGGCTCGACAGCTACCCACGATGAGTGCGATAACACCATCCCTGCACACATCCATAGCGACTTTCTGTTTGCTTCACCGACTCTCCCTTCAGATTCATCATCAGCGTACCATGTTTCTGCGACCAGCGAACCACGTTTCGAAGTCTCCACCAATGCATCTTCTGCCACGTCCTTCGGGGGTGTACCCCCTGCACGCGAAGCCCTCAACATCGCTCTGCTAGTTTTGCCCTTGGTACAGGGCGTTGCAGCTGCCATTCCATTTGCCGGCCCTCCGATGCAAACTGCCATTAATGGATTATTGACAATCCTTCAAGCCATAGATGTAAGACCTTCTTTTATTACCAGGATTTTCTTGATTCAAAGGCCATCGCAGAGACGTATTCAGAATAAGGCGGACCTAAATCGCCTGACGGAAAGACTCCACCGACTTAGCTGCCATCTGTGGAACGCCCCAACTGCTCGGGATCCCTTTGAACAACGTCGGAGGGATTCCATAGTCAGGTATGCTCCTTGTTCATGCATGCTTGAATTACCCGATATTGAGTGCACTTAGGATTCTGCAGGAGACCTCTGCCCAGCTCACAAATTTATATAAGCATGGTCTTGCATACATATCTGTCGCACAAGCTATTGCCGGATGCTCCATTGAAATTGACCGCTATCTGTTGGAATGTTTGGTTTGTTTTCTACTCTCTAAAGTTTTCCTGCATTCACTCACTACTCCGCCTGGTTAGTGGTCTTTCCAAATGCAACAAAGTCAAAACGACATGCGGGGATCGACCACAACGCAGTTAACCGGGGCTGTTGTACGTGGCTGTGTGACGCTGGTTGACGCGACAGGTCACGAACATCCAATACTATCATTCCGGGTAATCTGCAACTACCATGTAATATGCAAAATGTTCAAAACACCTCAACGCGCTGCTCGACTCACTTCAAAAAAATTCAGGCATATGTATACTACTTATATATGATGTACTGTCCAAGTAGAATGAAAATTTCTTGAGTGTTGCAGCTGCGAGAGATGAAATAGTGGTAATTTGTAACCATGCAAGAACATAAATCATCCAGATCCCATAGATCCTACAAATATATTCATAAAGTTATACCTGGAGCATAACAATCACCTCGTCAGGATTCCAGAACACAATTTCGATAAAGGTCATCCTGTTGTTTAAAGATGCTATTGAGGAAGAATTGACGACATGTATAAAAACGTGACAGCGAATAGGGGAGACTCCGAGAAGAGTGTAAGGAATTCAATCTCCTCTACGGCACACGCCGCACAACCAACAGATCGAGAGCTGCGGAGAGTCAAAGTTGACCGTGCTGGTGCTGTGCCGAGGTGTGACACGACGTGACCATATTTTGCAGATTAGCAGTCAGACCCTGAATTTTCTCGGCTTTCATCCGACACCACACCACAACATCCTAAAAATGAGCAAAAATAAGAGTCACATAGAGGTAGTACGAATCTATAATACTCTAAATTCGTGGAGGATAATATGAAGTGGTTGAGGAGCTACAAAAGATTTGCTGAAAAAGTTGCAGATTACCCGGAATGATAGTATCGGTGAACTTCTGCACCTCACTCCAGGTTCGCCTCCCCAGCGTAGCATTCCGTCCCAAGGCAGCTTACTCATCAATTGTCTTTAGCAACTCCATGACATGCTCCAAGTTCTGTTCAAACGCGACGCTATGGAAGCTCAGATTCAGAGACGGTATATGGAAAATGGACAGTACGATTTGTGCATTGACGACAGCAAGCAAGTAACCCGACTAACAAGCCATGAATGGCCACGCATTGAAGAAGGCACGAAGATTGTCATGAGGGTTATTATTGAACAAAAGACATGGGGATCACCTTCTGAAGTTGATTATCAATGTCAATTTTGCGGCGCTGTCAATCACCTTGGTGTTGGGTCTATCATACATTCACTTGAACGACAGGCCGGCTGCTCGATTGATTGGTGAGTATGTTTACTTTGTGGATCCTGACAGCGCCTAACAACCGAAAGTCGAGAGTGCAAACGACGGTTTCAGATCTCCCGCGACAGTACAAAGTTCCACACTCAATCATCTAACATTGCCAATCCTAGGACTGACGCAGAAATGCTCCTCATTCGCAACTTTCACGTCCAGCAAAGTGTATGTTACTATGAAACCTCGTTAGCCATGTTGTAACTGAAAACTTGATGCATCTCCCGCTTGGTGTCGCGGCCATGTCCCGCTCTCAGCCTGTGCGTGATCTCGCCTTTTCACCTGGTTTCTTGACGCTGATGGTGTCGCGGCCGTGTCCCGCTCTCAGTGGGTGCGTGATCTCGTCTTTTGACCTGCTTTCCCGACGCTGATGGTGATGCGACCGTGTCTCGCTCTCAGAGAGTGCGTGATCTCGTCTTTTGACCTGCTTTCCCAACGCTGATGGTGTCGCGGCTGTGTCCCGCTCTCAGTTGGTGCGTGATCTCGTCTCTTGACCTGCTTTCCTGTCCCTGATGGTGTCGCGGCCGTGTCCCGCTCTCAGTGGGTGCGTGATCTCGTCTTTGACCTGCTTTCTCGATGCTTATGGTGTCGCGGCCGTGTCCTGCCCTCAGGAGGTGCGTGATCTCGTCTCTTGACCTGCTTTCCCGATGCTGATGGTGTCGCGGCTGTGTCCCGCTCTCAGGATGTGCGTGATCTCATCTTTTCACCTGCTTTCTCGATGCTGATGGTGTCGCGACCGTGTCCCGCTCTCAGGAGGTGCGTGATCTCATCATTTGACCTGCTTTCCCGACGCTGATGGTGTTGCGGCTGTGTCCCGCTCTCAGAAAGTCCGTGATCCCATCTTTTGACCTGCTTTCCCGACGCTGATGGTGTCGCGGCCATGTCTTGCCCTCAGAAAGTGTGTGATCTCGTCTTTTGACCTGCTTTTCCGACGCTGATGGTGTCGCGACCGTGTCCCTCTTTCAGAGAGTGTGTGATCTCGTCTTTTTACCTGCTTTTGATGCTGATGGTGTCGCGACCGTGTCCCGCTCTCAGTTGGTGCGTGATCTCATCATTTGGCCTGCTTTCCTGACGCTGATGGTGTCGCGACCGTGTCCCTCTTTCAGAGAGTGCGTGATCTCGTCTTTTTACCTGTTTTCGATGCTGATGGTGTCGCGACCATGTCCCGCTCTCAGGAGGTCCGTGATCTCCCGCCGCTTGATGTCAGGGCCATGTACCGCTCTCAGGAGGTCCGTGATCTCCCGCCGCTTGATGTCAGGGCCATGTACCGCTCTCAGGAGGTCCGTGATCTCCCGCCGCTTGGTGTCAGGGCCATGTCCCGTCGTCAGAAAGTGCGTGATCTCATCTTTTTACCTGCTTTCCCGTCGCTGATGGTGTCGCGGCTGTGTCCCGCTCTCAGAAAGTGCGTGATCTCGTCTTTTGACCTGCTTTCCCGACGCTGATGTTCTCGCGGCCATGTCCCGTCGTCAGAAAGTGCGTGATCTCATTTTTTTTACCTGCTTTCCCGACGCTGATTGTGTCGCGGCCGTGTCCCACTCTCAGTTGGTGCGTTATCTTGTATTTGGCCTGCTTTCCCGTCGCTGATGGTGTCGCGGCCGTGTCCCGCTCTCAGTTGGTGCGTGATCTCGTCTTTTGACCTGCTTACCACTTGTCAAGTTGTTGACCTTAACTTGGTCAGAGAATTCATATACGTACTCAAGATGACACAGCGTTGTCCCTCCAACAAGATCGTGTTCTGTCTTCACACGGTATGCAATGTTTTCTTTCGAGCCAATCAGCCAAAACAGACCTTTTTTTATTACAGCGTCAGATGGTGTGTTCCCACACCAAAATATATTGTAGCACGTCTGATCTCGTATAGTGGAATATCAGCACGGCAATATCGAGGAGCTCGAGGAGCTCGAAAAAGACAGTGAGTGAGGTAACACAACAAATGACTCAAATGGAATGGAAGAAGAAGTGCTTGGGGCAGAGGATGGGCAGGAGGTTAAGGACGAGGAACATTGCGATGACTGGGAGGATAATGAGCAATGGGAGGATTGCGAGGACAGGGAGGATAATGAGCAATGGGAGGATTGCGAGGACGGGGAGTAGGAGCAACTTCCTGTTAGATACAGAACCGATGCAGCTCGTGCTGAAAGAAAAACCCTGCATAACTTACACCATCAAACCTGCGACTGAACTGGCCTTCGAGAAGACCGGCATATTTCTCGAACAGCATAGTCGATCAGTATGACTGAGGCGAGAGATTATTATAGCGAGCTTTGAAAATGTTATGATATTGCTATCCCTCGAACTTGAACTGTAGACTCGCTTGTATATACTGTCATTTTTGGCGTGCAGAACGAGTTTTTCGACAGTACTACTATAGCTAGTGACCGACATCACTTGCACAATTGCTCCCGGTGAAATGTATGTTAAACGTCCCCTATTCTGCTTCTAGTTAAGTAACTTATCAGGGAACCCGCAGGCCCGTTGTTACATTCCGCGGATTATTCTCGCGCACGCTGTTGCACTCGTCGGAGTCTTCGTGGATGAGGCTGTGAATATCGATATCGATCACAATAAGCCGAGTTATACCTGCACACAGATATCAGACATGGGCTCCGCGCTGAAGCTGTCGCTCACGTCATTGTTTTCGTGCTCGCTTGCATCGACCGAGAATCCTGTTGTGGGACGCAGTCAAAGGACAATTTGACTCATCGTTTGCAGTTCCTAGCCACCGTATCACAGGAGCAGATGAAAAACAGGAGTTCAGGGTATATTCGTCGTCCTGGATGTTGAGGATAAGGAACCCCGTTCCTGCCTTGCATTCGACTCCGGTGCAAATATCAGTGCGACATACGGTGTCATTTGTGCCATAGTCGCAGTAAATGCTGTACATATGACAGCGGTGTAAGCTATTGTGAACAGCACAGACTGAAGCAATCAAGTCAATTGTCCAGGAGAAAGTCCATGAAGGTGTTTTCATGCTTGGAATGAAAAACCGCGTATGTTGTCTTTCTACCTTTCTTTCAACCTCTGTGTCACAAGTTTCCTGCGATGAAAGTGAACAGTGGTTAGCGGGACCAACAATTACCCGTATCAGTAAATGCGGTGCGTACGAAAGCAGTGTAACTTAACCATCACCATGATGGATTCACGAACGTTTAGCGGCGTCACGCGTGTGGACTCAAGCAGAGTCACATGTTCCGCTACGGAGCCGTTGCAAGGACTCAGGCTGACTCAGCAATACTCTGATAAATATTTCGGCGTGGTTAGCGTCGAGCAGCATAGAACCCTTATACCAATCCCCTTCGCATGGAAATATCCTCACCTGGACTTGTAATCCAACATCAAGTTGAGAACAACGCACCCGATCCAGCAAATCCAAGCTCAAACTCGAGCAGATACCGTCGTGGTAATCATCCCAGAACTCACCTGCCTCCAGTAAATGCAACCAATGCAGATGTCGTAGTTGCTCCGGAGATAGGTGGTACATCCAGCAGGCAGCCTCGCCGAAACGTAAATCAGAACAGATCTCGTGATCACGAGCAGGGAAGTTCAAATCCCCGTAGACCACCTGGTGCTTCTCAGACTGCTGGCTCTAGCTCTGTTGCAGGCGGAACGGGTGATGGAGATGTACGGTCAAAGAGGACTCGCCCTCCAAGACGTCACCAGGGTGCTACCGCTGCAAATGAACTCAATGTCTCTGATTCTCAACCCCAATCGCAGTTGAAGCGTCCGTCCCGGCGTTCAAAATTCAATGCGTCACTTTCTGAACCGACCCCAATATTCGCTGGTGATTCCAAGCTTGAAGTTAAAGTCCATCCTCCGCCACAAGCATCCTCGCTGCCCAAGAAAATCAAGCCTCCAAAACCCAAAGCACCCCTCCCCGACGACCTCACTTCGACTCTTACTCGTGCCCTCAGCACCCATCCTTATCCAGATTGCCCAATCTGCTTCAATCCCATTCGTCCAGAACAGCCTACCTGGTCCTGCTCTTCCTCAGATCCATCCGAAAACCTCCAGTGCTGCTGGACTACATTCCACCTCAAGTGCATTCGAGCGTGGGCTTCCAAAAGCGTCAAGGACCTTCAAGACGCATGGCGTGCTCGTGGTGAGGAACGTACTGGCGAATGGAGATGTCCCGGCTGTCAAGCCAAACGTGAACACGTACCATCCAACTATCGGCAGGTGCTGCTTATTTACTCGTGTATTGTGTCCTTACATTCTTGTTATCAGATGCTTCTGTTATCGTATCGCAGATCCTTCCCCTACTCGCCTCGTCACTCCGCACAGCTGTGCATATCCTTGCTCCCGCGTACGCGCCTCCGCTTGTGGTCACGGTTGTCCTCTTCTATGCCATCCCGGTCCCTGTCCACCATGCGCTGTTACCGTCCGAAAGGGCTGTTGGTGTGGACGCCAAGTCTCAACCGTCCGTTGTTCTTCCCTGGAATCTCCAAACTCAACCACCGGTATCTCATGTGGCGTTACTTGCAGTAAGCCCTTGTCGTGTGGGAATCCCCAGCATGAATGCTCTCAGGTTTGCCACCCCGGTGACTGCAAGCCTTGCCTCGTGACTGAGGTCGTCGCTTGTTACTGTGGGAAGGAGACGAGGCAAGTGCCGTGCGGTGATGGGAAAGACAGGGCGGTTGTGTGCGCTGTTGAGGGAGAGCTTGGCTGGGAAGGTCGCTATGAGTGCGATGGTGTGTGTGGTAGGCAAGTATTTGTCCATCTTCATCTTTCTTCTTGCCTATGGCGCGTATTGGACAGAAAATGCACACGATGGTGCAGCGCATATATCCGCATTTTCTTTTCCTGCTTTGTACGCTAACGTATCTCGTGCAACCTATAAGGTATATCCTTCATCGGTTGCATGACATGTTAGCTTGTTCCAAAATCTTTACAACTTCTGTGTGCTAACATTCATTCTCACAGACCTTTCGCATGCGGAGTACACACCTGCGAGAAAGGATGTCACCCCCCGTCATTCACGCCTCAAAGATGCCCGCTTGATCCGTCTATCATGCAAACTTGCGCGTGTGGCAGGTTCACTCTTCCCACTGTCGAACAACACGATCGCTACACCCACCAACGGATAACTCCTACCAAATCCGACCCGAGTGACAAGGACATTGCGTATTTCCTCGGGCCCCGTACATCCTGTACCATCCCCGTCCCTACATGCAAGCAGCGCTGCATCAAAACATTACCCGACTGCTCGCACCAATGCGGAGTAAGCTGCCACATTGGCCCCTGCCCACCATGCACCGAGCTCATAGAGCGCACCTGTCGATGTGGAGCGACGAAGAAGATGATCAAGTGCGGCGAAATCATCAAGGCCAGCGAAAATAACGAAGCCGGGGAGGTCCTTTGCGATCGTGCGTGCATAGCCCTACGCACATGCGGACGCCACCAATGCAACCGCATCTGCTGTCCTCTCGCATCTCTTGCTGCTGCGCAAAAGGGCAAGGGGAAGAAACGTGCTGGTTTGCTAGATGAACTAGGCGTTGAAGAAGGTGGCTTGCACGAATGCGACCTCCCGTGCGGGAAGTTATTGAGCTGTGGCAACCACCGATGCGAGCGGAAGGACCATCGAGGTGTGTGCGGGGTGTGTCTGCAGAGCGTTTATGAGGATGTAAGTGATTTGTTCGTCGTCGTTGTGTTTTGTGTTGACATTTGATCAGCTTATATGCCCGTGTGGTCGGACGGCTATGGAACCTCCAATTCCATGCGGTACGGTTATGACTTGCAGTTATCCATGCGCAAGGCCTTCACCTCCGTGTGGTCATTCGCGCGTCCCTCATGCATGTCATGAAGGCGTAATCATCGCTGGTGCAGACCCGAACCAAGCAGTGGAGGCATCCCCTTGCCCGCCATGTCCATTCCTCACCAGCAAACAATGTGCGTGCGGGAAGAAAATGGTGGATAATATACGGTGTGCGCAGGAGCGGATCAGTTGTGGTAGCATATGCGGAAAGTGAGTTTTTGTGTATTTTTTTGATTGTCGTATTGAGCAAACTTTACCTGTACTTCGTAGATCTCTGGCATGCGGCTTCCATCATTGCGAACGCTTGTGCCATGCAGACGACTGTGGAACGTGTACCGCTGTATGCGGCAAGTCTCGTAAAGCATGGTATGATTTCAAATATGTTCCTTCCTGCCCTTTTGCTAATGCCTATTCGTAGTTTACCGGCCCAACACCCATGCACCCAAACCTGCCACGCCCCAGCAGCATGCCCCGAAACAGAAGCCTGTCTCGCGCTTGTCACCCTCACCTGCCCCTGCGGCCTCCTGCGCTCTTCCGTTCCCTGTTCCCAAGCATCTTCAACCGCCAATCTCAAATGCACGGGTGAATGCGCGATCAAGAAACGCAACGCTCGTCTTGCAGATGCTCTAGGCATCAGTCCTGAGAAACGTGAGGGTTTGCAGGCCAATGTCACTTATAATGACGACTTGGTGATTTTTGCGAGGGCGAACGGTAAATTACTGGGGCTGGCGGAGAAGACGTTTGCAGAGTGAGTGTTGGGGTTTCTTATGAATCTGATGCACGTTCTCACTTTGCCTTCGTTCTAGTTTCATCACTTCTGATAAACGCACGCAAGTCCTGCCCCATATGCCTCCTGAGCGACGTAAATTTGTGCATGACGTGAGTTCACTTTGTTTCTTTCAGTCTTTGAAACGTTGTTCTTTTTTCGTGATACTGATGACAAATGTGCGCATAGCTCGCGTCTATTTACCGCATGGACACACAGATGGTCGATCAAGAACCTCATCGAAGCGTACAGCTCATCCGGCGCGTCGACACGCGCATCCCGACGCCACTCTTATCTGCATCCCTCCCATCACCATCACCATCACCCGCAGTCCTAGGGAAACTTGCCGATCTGCGAGCTCCGAAAGCTGTATCGAGCGTGACGAGCGGAAGCGGAGGGTGGGCCAGACCCCAACCAAAGGTCGCAGAAGCAGGCGGGAGGTGGACGTCAGTCGTCGCTCGCCCTGGGTCTGGGTCTGGGAGTTCTTCTCCTGCGCCTGGCGCGTCCTCGAGCTCGGGAGGAACTCAAGTTGGTACTGCCAGTTTGAGCTTGAAGCCGAGTGGTGGAGCGTGGGTGTCGTCGTCTGTGCAGCGCGCGAGGGAGGCGGCTAGTCAGGAGATGGGTATGGAGGATGAGACGGTGCCGGATGATTGGGAGGATGATGTGTAGAGTCGGTTAGTTGGGAGCTTGGTGCACGCTGGTGATGATGGGGAACATGAATAGGTAGATTTAGGAGTGGTCAAGCACAAATAAGGCTCTTGGATAATCAATTAATTATCAGCCTCATCATTGTTTACATCACCTCGGCCGGTCTTGTAAGAATCGAACTATGTAAGTAGTTTGAGGTTTCCCTGATGTGACAGCTTATGGAGGTGGTCCCAATTCACGCATATCTGACTTCAGCGAGTTATTGCTAATAGTAATATGAGCATGGCACTAGCCTGGAGTCACTGACGTTGTCGGGGACATTCTATGTGTCTCGGTAGAGTATTATTCTGAAATGACAATAAATGTATTTCTTTTAAAATTGATGCAAGTTGAGAAAAGCTGTGGAGCAGAATGGAATGCACGACCTTAGTGCACTTGCAATGGGACTGCGGATACTGGGGAGGTACATCAAGCCCAGTAGACCTCATCATCTCAGCCTCCGAGGATGACCTACATCATGCTGCAAACGCGTATACGCCACACCAGAAAAATTCCATATTGCGTGATCATACAGTTCCACCTCCTCAAACTACCTCGACAGACCGAACCCTCATTTACCCCCAAGGCACCTCAGCTTTACTCCGAATCAGAACACCATTGATGTTGGGTTGCATTAAGGCCTCGCTGAAGACAAAGAGATCAGCAATATCGTTATAATCCCAAGAGTTGAAACATACGCAGGCGATACTGTAGTGTGATTTCAAGAATTCTCTGGAGCAACTCTGCCTTCGCCTGAGCTCGTTTTGCCTTCCTCTGGAAGTATTCAAACGGTAATTTCGCCATCCAAGTAGACGAGTTTCCTTGAGATGTATACACGGCAGCGCTCACAGCTTCTTGATATGCGTGAACGGCAGTGTTCACAGCATTCCGGACAGCAATTGCATGCGGAGACGCCATGTACCGCTCGAGAGCGACATGAACAGAGGGAACAGATTGTTGCTGGTCCTGAAGATGGCGTCGCTGGTCGAAAACGTAGAAAGAGTGTTCGAGTATAATGACAGCAGCTAAATGATTGAAAATAAGCAAGTTCACTGCAATGCGGCCTGAAGATTCACCAGAACCAAGCTGGAAAATTTGCTCGAATGGTGATGCATTGGCAGAAGTCTGGTACATTTAAACATGTGTGTACAGCCTGTGACCAATTGAACGTACCACAGAAAGTATCCTAGACCGCATCTCTGCACGTTGATCACTCCAGAGCTGATAAAATCATGATGGAAAGTTGAAAATCGTCTCCCTTCGCTGAGGACCAATACACTCACATTCTGTCAATGAATAAAGTCTTCGGTCAGCATGGCTCAAGGCCAAAGGGGGATGAACAAACTCACCTCCTATGAATGGATCAGCGATGTAGTTGGTGAGAAAGGCTCGAGGGATGAGACACTCACAGTCTGTTAAGGAATGCGCAATGTGTAATAAGCAAGGCTCGAGCTCCACGGAGGATTAAAACACCGACTTCCTGTGAGTGAGCAATGTCACAAGTGAGCAAGGCTCGAGCTCGACGGCAGAAGAACACGCTCACATTCTGTAAACGGGTGGGCGATGTCTTTCGTCAGCATGGCTTGAGCTTGACGGCGGATAGACCAACTCACAGTCTGTGAACGGGTGGGCGATGTCTTCAGTAAGCATGGCTCGAGCTTGACGGCGGATAGACCAACTCACAAACTGTCAACAAATCACCCAACGTACTTGGTCAGCGGTGCTCAAAGTCGACAGCGGATGAAGAGACTCACACCCTGACAATAGATCAACAATTGCATCAGTGAGCAGGGCAGGAAATCGACAGACGATGATCGCGCTTACAAGCTATCAACGAAGCAGGAATTCATTCGGTGAGTATAACTCAAGGCTGGTGAAGGATGAATATACTCACATTCTGCCGATGTATCAGCAATTCCTTCGCTCAGCAAGATTCGAGCTCGAAGGAGGATCAAGACACTCACGGCCTGCGAAGAGTGGGCGATGACTTGGATCAGCATGGCTCAAGCTCGAAGGAGGATCAAGACACTCACGGCCTGCAAAGAGTGGGCAACAACTGGGATCAGCATGGCTCGAGCTCGAAGGAGGATCAAGACACTCACAGCCTGCGAAGAGTGGCCCACGACTTGGATCAGCATAGCTCGAGATCGGAGGAGGATCAAGACACTCACGGCCTGCGAAGAGCGGGCAACGACTTGGATCAGCATGGCTCGAGCTCGAAGGAGGATCAAGACGCTCACCAACTGCGAAGAGTGAGCAACGACTTGGATCAGCATGGCTCGAGCTCGAAGGAGGATCAAGACACTCACAGCCTGCGAAGAGTGGGCCACGACTTGGATCAGCATAGCTCGAGATCGGAGGAGGATCAAGACACTCACGGCCTGCGAAGAGTGGGCAACGACTTGGATCAGCATGGCTCGAGATCAAAGGAGGATCGAGACACTCACGTCCTGCGAAGAGTGGGCAGTGACTGGGATCAGCATGGCTCGAGCTCGAAGAAGGATCAAGACACTCACACGCTGCGAAGAGTAGGCAACGACTTGGATCAGCATGGCTCGAGCTCGAAGGAGGATCAAAACACTCACACGCTGCGAAGAGTGGGCAACGACTGGGTTCAGCGTGGCTCGAGCTCGAAGGAGGATCAATACACTCGCCAACTGCGAAGAGTGGGCAACGACTTGGATCAGCATGGCTCGAGCTCTAAGGAGGATCAAGACACTCACAGCCTGCGAAGAGTGGTCAACGACTTGGATCAGCATGGCTCGAGGTCGAAGGAGGATCAAGACACTCACCAACTGCGAAGAGTGGGCAGCGACTGGGATCAGCATAGCTCGAGATCGGAGGAGGATCAAGACACTCACCAACTGCGAAGAGTGGGCAGCGACTGGGATCAGCATGGCTCGAGCTCGAAGGACTCGGAGGATCAAGATACTCACAGGCTGCGAAGAGTGGGCAACGACTTGGATCAGCATGGCTCGAGCTCGAAGGAGGATCAACAGACGTACTACCTGCAAACAAACACCCAACATAAATGAGAGCGACTTTCGAACATTCCCATAATCTTACCCAAACATGTGGAAACCAGCGTCCCAATTTAGCTATTGCATACGCAGATGAGGGAATCACATTTGGGGCAACAAGCTCTGCAAGTGTCCTGGATGATAGTCAATAATGCTCGCGGCAGCCAAATGATAGGTAGATACTTCTCGACTGCATATTTCATGCAGAGTTCCAAGTTGGTCTGCTGAGTTGAGACAAACAATTGCTGAAGGACTTGATCGTCCAGAGTTCCAGCGGTCCGTTCGATGAGTGGCCCGCAATCAGCATCATCCTTGTTCATGTCTAATGGATCAACAGTCATCATGCATCAGACTTCGATAATCTACAGCTTACCTGGGAGGCATATGTGGCATTTTGGAGGCCGTCGGATGGTCTTGGGGTCGTATAGAAATTTCACTTGTGGCCCGTTCGCAAATGACTCCTCGGCGTGCGTTGGGGCCAGTCGTTTGGCATCTTTCCTCGACATTCCATTTTCTATCAGTCGTGTGAATTCGGTAGCGTAGAGTGCGTCGAATTTGGTAAATATTACGATGACTGGAACTGAGGAAGTTGCGAATCAGTTTATGATCATGGGACAGGTCCAAAAGCTTACTGCTTCCAGTGTCGCAGCGGGAGAAGAATTTGACTTCGGCTTCCGTAAAACACCGGCTTGCCTGATCCATAGGTATGCAATACCTATGTCAAAGGAGTGAGCCAGTGAATGTCGCCAACTCGACCAATTACCATATAGTGTGAATTCGATCCCTCATGTCTCCTTCCTTCGAACGGTCTGCGATAAATTTGTTCATCTTGTCATACTCGGATTCCCCGCCTGCTTCAAAACCGCGCGAATCATGAAAGATGAATCCTGGGTTGGTTTGAAACACCATTTCGTTGTCGATGTCGTGCTCTCCACGCTGAGAAAATGTCAGTTCATGTTGCCAACTAATGGTACACATTACCTCTCTAGATGCTGTCAAAACAGCGGCATCGATCTAATGTCGATGAGACAGCCATCACTATTAGCGTCTCACTAGCATCGTGATGCGCACCTTTTCCCCAGCGCTATTAAATATTTCAGGGTTCTCTTTTGTATTGCACACCCTCTGGAGGATGGTAGTTTTCCCTGCATTCGCTCTTCCTATGATGAGAATTCGAAAGCGATCGATCTTCATTTTTATCTCTGAAGAATCCATGAAGAAAGGTAAATGGTAGCAATATTTGGGACTGAGCAACGAGAATTGTTCAGCACTGAGGGCAGGCTTATATATAATCGCCGCAGACCTCAGTGTGCGAGGTGTGGGTATCATGAGGCGTATAAACAACTCGTGTAGGGAAGTGAATGTCATACTATATCTACATATAAGTAGAGTTGACGACTAGGAGTCCTGGAATTGTCCTGCAGAGAAATTCAATCTGTTAGTCCTCGCCACCAGAAATGAGATTGTGGGTAGTCGCCTTTCGACTGCATATTTCATGCACAACTCCAAGGGTCTGCTGAGTCGAGATGGACAACCACTTGGGCGCTTCACCTCAAGGCAGCGCTTCTCGCGGTGCCTATCATGATAAAGGGCAGCCTGAGAGACACACGACCACCCGGGCACCCTCAAATGCATACCTACCCCATGCTTTAAATCTAGATTCAGTAGGCAATGGGCATACTTTAGGTTGCACGTACCATGAGGCGTACACGACTCACCTCATTTCAGATGGCCGAAGTTCCATTTCGAGTGGTTGCATCGACGAGTGCCCTGTTCCCCTGCCAAATCACTCGTAATGAAAGGACCTCGAACACCTTGTCAATTCAATGAGAATAAACAATGTCGTCCGTTCTCGCTTCACCGACGTCCGTCACGTCGGCGCCACCATCCAGCACCATCCTTGCTCTCATCTCTTCCGAGTCTATGTTAATCTTCCTTCACATTTCCCCGCCCACTGGGACATTATATCTCCAAAACTTGAAAATTGGCGCTGGCAATGTGGCAACCTTGCATTCTGTCTTCAGCGCCCTAGATCACATCCTCAACGAAAGGTTTTGTCTCCCCTCGACTTCTGCGGTGGTCATGCACAGGCGCGCGGTATCGATAAGAATTGACGAATTCCAGGCCACGACACAGAATCATCATCACGGTGGGATGCTACTTGAAAATAACTTGCCGAGGGGTGCTGGAGGTCTTCACCTCTGCTGTAAGTGAGGTAATGCACATTGTTGTGCTCGAGACCCACGACTTTTCCATTTCAATGTTCGACGTCCGACAGACAACCCATGATGCATGAGCATTGGGCACTGGCCATCAAGGGCCAGGCCTAGGTGCACCATGATGCATACATAACTTTTTTTCCCCTTCTATTCGGTCTTCCTAAGTAGAATTTACTCGGCGCAGCTAACCACACATAAATCTACCGTCACGGTGACCCTTCCCGCACGAACTTGGGGAGGTAACGTGCTGCACCAGCCTGTCATGGACAATTCTCTTCATGCCTCAATGGTTCCCTCTCTCAACATATCTGGTACTCAACTCTCGGTATCAACTTACTGGTCAATTTCACTGAATATATCAAATAGGTTTATCCGTCGATTTCAGCAAGTCGGGAAAGAATGTGGAGTCTGCTCAAGTCCGGGTCGGCAAGTTGCATGCACCGGTTGGGCGCGGAGAAGGAAAGACTTTGCAACAGGTATTTCCCTCGCCCATGTAGGCAATTAACTCAGTCAAATGTATTCGTCTGAACTGTTCATCATAGCAAACTTTCTATTGGGGATTCGTTTTCCTTACGTGTCAGGTGGTACAAAATATCTGCAATCAATTGGGCCGCGTATGAAGACATCGATCTTGATACCGCAGACATCTTTCGCTGGTTTGGTGCAAGTGAAGAACCCGGGACACGAGGTAGGGCTCGAACAATAATAACCGCACTATCACTGATGGACCCAACCCGACATGAACAGAATACAACACGGCTCACAAGAAATTCACAGTCGTCCTCGAGCTCTCCAGGAATACGGAAACCGAAGTAAGGATCCACCTCTTGCATTGGAACTCATCTAAGTCGTAGATCAGCAGGCTGAGCAGTCTGTCCCTTCTTCCAGTGAACACCTGGAACTTCAGCCCACTACGGATGAAATCATTCGCATTTGTCCACGGTGAGTCAACATAACCACGAAGCGCCGTTCTTCAGGTTGACACGAGACTCCGAAGGTTCCGAATTTTAGTGATAGGAAATGTACGGACTATTATTTGATCTCACGCCTATGTTGACAACGCAGATAGACCGGTGTCGGGAAGTCTTCGCTGATCAATCGCGCATTCGGAGTGGAGAATGCGGTGAGCCACTCACGATACTGCAACACGTGCACCGGCGGCTGCTCATACTGCCAATAGACCTCTTCGAACATTATGCCAGGCGAGGCTACCATCGACCATGAGTTCATCTCAAAACAAAACGATAGATTCGTTCTCCATGACAGCAAAGGGTTTGAACCAGGGGGAAAACACAACTTCGACATAGTCCAGGATTTTATTAACCGCCGGGGGAAAATGCCTAATTTGAAAGATCAGCTGCACGCCGTTTGGTGTGGCCTCCATCTTCATGAGTTTGTATGGCAAGCTGACAACATGCAAGGATTTGCTTTGAAATACCCCGTGTAGGCGGGCGTTTACTGGAGACCGCCACGGAGGCATTCCTCACATTGAAGCGCGACGGAAAGCTAGGGAAAAGTACGTTGATCTGTCACTATCACTCTTCGCAGATGATAACTTACCCTTTGGTCAAAGTCCCCCTCGTCGTCGTTCTCACTAAATATGATGAGCTCATCAAACAAGTGAATTATTCTCTGGATGACTCCTCTCTTAAAGGATTGAGCAAGGATGACGTCAACAAACTCATCAAGAACAAAGCTGATACCGAGCTACAAGATATCTGCTTTGAACCCCTTAAGAAATTTGCAGGACTTGATATACCATACGCGGTGGTCTCTAGTGGGTGTCACTACTACTGTGATTGTCATTTGCGTTTCTCATAATTTTTTGAGCGCAGCTAAGGAAAATTATGAGGAGATGATGGTCTACCTGATCCAAATGACTGAAAAACGTGTCCGTGAGCATGTTTCGACCGAGGCATCGGCGATGACCTCCATCGCACAACGAGTGGATCCTCACCTGAACATACAAGAATCGATCCGGTGAGTCTCAATTACTTGGGTCTTATCTCGCGATTTACGTATTGTCAGGGTTGGAAAGAGGAGTCTGTCTCGATTCTACGTTAGTGAACACAGAGCACAGCTGAACCTTCATGCGCTACAGGATATTGGAAGGCGTTGGCATCAAGCACAGCATTTCAGAACCGTAGGATGCGGGACTGCCTGAATGTGCTTCACACGGACATTGTCACTGTGTGGAATTTCTGTGACCCTCATCATGTAATGTCTCATTTATTTGCTGGTATTGCATCTATTCTGACATGATTTATGCACAGTACTTGTACAGCTCAGAGTTTAGGACGTTGATGGTAAACATGGTCGATAAGCTAGATGATGGACCTATAGCTGATCCCAACAAGACCATGTAGGTCGTTTTATTACTTGACGATGAACTTCTGAGTCATCTCACTCAATATTCAGTGCAGTTGGACTTCCGATGGTGGGTACTATTGCGGGAATCGTGTCTGCCCTGTCAGGACCTGCGGCTCCCATTGTAGTACCAATCGCGGCAGGTGTTGTATTGGCCTTATGGGTTTACGACGTATACCAGACGACGTATGTAATATCGCTACTTGTCCTAGAGCGAAAGAACATTGACGCTTCCTACTCAGCCACGCGGTGCTTCGGCGCTTCATGTGCTATATCATCGACTTGACCCTTGTATTGCGAACACTTTATCTTCTCTCAGAAAACCAGGAACTCTCTCGCAGGGCCATAAAGCTCGCGGTCGCTTCCTATCTTGCCTCGCCAAATAGCGGAGACGTCCATACTCAGATTCAGGAGTATGATAGGGGATTGAAACCCCTGGAACACGCGGATCGCGATACGTTAGATAAAATCGCTGAGCTGATGGAATCGAACAACATTGACATTGGTGCAGAAGCAATTTCCAAACTTCGGGCACAGATTGCGGCTGTGGGTTTATTTCCGGATGAACCATGGGAAGACAAGAAGGTGTAATACTCAATCCTTTCTTTTGTGCATGGTTCTGCGCGTCGGTGGACATTGTCTGAGTACTTCTGTCAGGACTACTTACGCGATTTGTTCTCATTTGTACTATGTAGTTGCCGGCCGGGCCCTAGAGTTTGATTGGAGTGCCCTATCAATTGGAGGTTTGCTTCAAGATTGTATACATCACCTCGGTCGGTCTGGGGGGCATTCTCCCTACATTAACTGCACTTTTCTTGCCTTATACTGATATTTGACACCTGCTGCGAGGCACGTCGCCTCTATATGCACACAGAAGCTGACAGTTCTACGGTTTTAAAATTGTCGTTGCACCGCAATTCAATCCATTTTGGGGCGAAAAAGTTAGCGCTAGTAGCTCGGTTCCCAGACGACAGAGTCTATCCCTTTAAGACCCACTTGCCAAGTTGCCGTAGCGGCAATGCCCCCTCCGCAGCCCAAAAATCTGATCAACGATATTGTTAACAATTTCGGTGCGGAATATTTGGGCAAGGTATTCGCAGTCCGTCGGAGGCGCCCCACAAAGAACGGATGCGCACAGCGCAACTCGACAGTCATCGACTATGAGGGCGATGGCGATATTACTGCAAGCATCCCCCATGCCCTCCCACATCCTTCACCGATCCTTCCTTCAAATTCTTTGGCAGTGCGCCCTGTTTCTGCAACGAGTGAACAAGGACTCGACGTCTCCACCAATTCAGCCGCCAGATCCTCCTGGGGCTTATCCACTGCTCGGGAGGCTTCCGACACAAGCGCAATTCCATTTGCAAATCCTCCAATGGAAGTTGCTATTGCTAGATTACTGGCCATACTTCAAACTATATATGTGAGAGTTCATTTCATTACGAGTACGTTTCTTGATTCAAAGGTCGTCAACAGAGACACGGTCAGAATAAGGCGGATCTAGATTGTCTGGCATTACGACTCCATCGACTAGTAAACTGGTATCTGTGGAACGCCCCGACTGCCCTGGATCCATTTGAACAATCTCGGAGTAATTATTTAGTCAGGTATGCACCTTGCTGATGTGCGCTTGAATTTACCCGAGTCGCACTCAGGATTCTGCAAGAGACCTCTGCCCAGCTGAAAATTTTGCACAAGCGTGGTCTTGCGTATACATCCATCACACAAGCTATTGTGGGATGCTCGATTGCAATTGACCGTTATCTGCTGGGGTGTCTGGTTGGATTCTACTCTTTGGATTTTCCCTGTATTTTACTCACTACTCCGCTTTTTTAGTGGTTTCAGATGCAACAAAGTCAAGATAATGTGCGCAATATGTGGGAAGGTCGTCAGAGTCACGAACATCCAATACCGGCGAACATCTACACCTCATTACAGGTCCGTCTTGAAACGATAAAAGTTCGAGAAGCTCACTCATCAAATGCTCTTTAGCAACTTAATAAGATGATCGAAGTTCTGTTTGAACGTGACTCGCTTGCAGCCCGAAATGGATATATTGAGGAGGGACAGTACGACTTGTCCATTGACGGAGGCACACAAGTAACCCGCCTTACAAGCCATGAATTGTCGGGCATCGAAGCAGGCACGAATATTGTTATGAGGGTTATAACTGAACAGCAAGTGACCTCTGGAATCGACTACCAATGTCATTTTTGCGGCGCTGTGAATCACGTTGTCGTCGAGACTTTCTTGCATTTGCTCCTACTATTCCGATGGCAGGCTGGTTACTCAATTGATTGGTGAATATGCTCGTCTTCTAGTTCCTGACAACGCTTAACAACCAGAAGTCGAACATGCAGACGACGCTTTCAGATTTTCCGCGTTCCTGCCAGTGCTGAGCCAAGCCCTCAACGTGTACCACGCGGTTCATTGCACGACTACCTGAAACGAAAGTACTTCGATTTATCTGAACGTCAAAAGTCCAACATTGTAAGTTGATATTTTTTGGCGTGGATTAGACATTCAGCTCTGATCTCAAACGCGTAGCTATTTGAGGTGGCGGATGGTATTGAATATTGTCAGTATTTCCAGTATTCACTCATGCACAGAACTCATACGCCCCTTAGTGCATAAACAGGGCACTGTGCATGGCAATCTAACGGGTGTATGCTTCGGTTACTTAAGTTGCGTACTGAGGATTCTCACCGCACCCCTAGGACACGATATTCTGCGATAGTTCAGGCCGTGTACGCATTGCAGATAATCAGATATTCAGCGAGCAGCTCCCAGGAGATGCGAGGTACATTGCGCCTGAGTTTGTTTCTCACGGTTCAACAGAGGCACCACGGCCATCAAAAGCCGGAGACGTATACTCATATGGCTGCGTCGCAATTCTTGTGCGTTCTGGAGAAAATTAGCCTTCAATCCATTTTATGCCAGTATTCTCCAGGTGTTGTCAGGGAAAGTGCCGTACTGGTGGATTTCCGAAGAGGGCCAAGTGCTTTCAGAAAAAGTGAAGGGCATAGGACCTTTTCGTCCGATTGTGGAGGTACGGTCCCTACAAAGTTTCTCTTACACAGTGCCTCACCGAATTTGACTCCAAGATGAATGAAGTGCAACTGAACTTGATACGACAGTGCCTATCTACGGAGGAATCCCGTCCTTCGATCGAGAAGGTCCGCTATTTAGTCTTAGTCCTAGGTTTTGGGTGAGTTATCTTTGTTGAATGCCGTTATTGGGCTCATGGTCTTCAGTGCCGTTGATCTGACGAACTCAATCCAACGGCTCAACAAGGATTACCACAATTCCGGAGGATCTGCAAATGTTCATAAGTGCCAGCTCCGCCTAAGAGATATCGATGCGAGCGTCCCACAATTGGTTTCCCGGTACCAGTTCTCTTCTATGACAGCTTGCCATGACGTAGGTGCCTTACAATTGGTTTTCATCCACATTCCTCACATTGATTTAGGTTGCAATCAAGGAAATAAAATTTGGTGAGAATCCAGACGTGTTGAAGATCATCAATGTCAGTAGCTGGCATAGAATTTTTTAACCTCATTCAACTGACTTTGGTTCATCAGCGATTGTTCCGAGAGATCAAGCTATGGTTAAAACTTGAACACGAAAATATTGTTCCTCTCTGGGGAGTTACGGATGGATTTGGTTCCCTCCCAGCACTCATCTCGCCATGGTTCGAAAATGGCACTTTGACCGGATACCTTCAGCGCAAACATAAGATGCTTTCCTACAATGCAAAGTTTTCACTGGTTCGGTCAATTATTCATCTCACCATATCCACCACGCTAATGTCTCTTTAGCTCAGAGGTATAGCTCGTGGACTTCAATATCGTATGTTCAGAGTTTTGTTGTTGATGCAAGAGTTCGACTAACACTGAATTGGGCAGTCCACTTGCAGTCAATCATCCATGGAGACTTGAGTGGTGTGCGTACGCCTTTGTGAAATTCATAAACGCCTAACTGAAGTTTCCTTAGAATAACATTCTCGTTGACAAGACTGGAAAAGCAAGCCTCGCCGATTTCGGTCTTTCTGCACTCCTTCCTGAACGAACGAGTCAGGCATTATTGCCCACCAATCCCACGTGTACCGCACAATACATGGCGCCAGAATACTTGATTTTCGATGATGAAGGCAACATGTCAATAATATTCACTCCGAAAAGCGATGTTTACTCTTTTGGAGGGATCATGCTGCATGCACGTAGCCTATATTATCGTCTCTGAATCAGCTCACCTTCCTGCAGGTTTTGGAGGGCAAGATCCCTTACCATTATATCCGCAGATATGAAGCCATAATTCACTGCATATCACAAGGAATAAGACCCAAAAGACCGTCTGCACCTGTGGTCAGTGACGTTGATTGGGATTTTATTCAGAGATGTTGGTCACGAGATATGGAGCATCGACCCTCTGACGAAGACATTCTGGAATTCGTGGAGGGACGGGCTGTTTGAATTCAATCATAATCAACCTTGGAGTCTCTATGCTTGTCCATCATGGGTGATTGTGATTCTGTTGGTATGAGTATCTGGAAGTTACGAGTATTTGATTCGCCCGATGATTGGGAGGATGATGGTTAGAGTCAATCATCGCCATTTATGTACTAACTCCCAACCATATTGGTCGAGCAGAACTGACGATGATTCATACTTGATCATGTCACTGCCCGACATAAGCATTGATGATCCAGTGTCATGTTTAATAATTGTCGTGGTTGTTCCAGGTGAACGTTGAACATGCGGTGACTCAAATAGGGGCAATTGTACCACATATAATCGAAAAGTGCAAGCGCCTCGAAGTTTCATGGCCTTTAACACAACTAGTGCTCAAAAGTTAGCAGACATACACGATGTATTTCCGAGTCAGTTCCTAGGAGCAAAAAGGTCATCGATGATCATATGAGGCAAGTAATGTTACAGATTCAGTTAATATTTGCTACCGAGCCAACTGCTACGTCTTGCTCAGAACTTCACCTCCCCAGATGTTTCACCTGCATATGTGCATGCCATGTGGACTCGTAACATGGTGTTCATGTTCGGATCCGCTTTACGCTGCCCTTCATCGGCATAGTTGGATGATGGGTATACCCACTCAAGGTTCTCGCCCCACAGATTGAAGAATTTTTCAATAGTGGCTTGAGGCTGCCCAGAAGCGAGCAGGTATTCGTACACTGCGCGCCATGCACTGTCCAGTGCACCGACGACCCACCTGCAGGTTACATTGTCTTTGAATTATAATGATCGAAAAGACACGACTGCTTTCACTCACGCATGACGGGTGCTGATGGCCTCTCCAGCGAAATGGAACCTCTTGTTGTGATTTGGAACACTGAGAGCCGTGTATAAATCCTGGAAATCTCCGGGCCCAAAGTACGCAAATGCACCTGTAACGGAGCGAGTGAGCATCGATTGGATGAAGTAAATATTCACAGACTCACCCATGGTGAGCGGGTCGTAGTTCCAGTCCCATGCATGCATGTCCAAGAACTCCCCCAACAAGAAACTATAAGTGACGTTGTGTACTTCTGCGAGATTGCGCAGCACAAGTTCCTTTAGTTGCTCGATGTACTCTGTTTTACCGGTGCCGATGAGCGCTCCCAAACGTTCTGCGTCGGTTGTCCAACAGTAGCTCGCGATCAGCACTGTGGACGGTGAGCTAGAGTCGACCCCGTAAGAGGGGTAGACAATAGTTCGAATGGGAAGGTCGGTGAATGATTGACCTCCTACGATACCAAAAAGCTTCGTCCACCACGCTGATTGGAAGCGGATCCCGATCTTGATTGAAGGACCGTACTGTAGCTTGCGCAATGCGTTTTTCTGCATCACGTTTAAACCAGCACCGGAGAGATCAATCGTCCGCAGGGCCGGCAGAGGAATAGTTGATATGACGTGGGAATATGTGTGCGATACACCCCCCGCAGAAACCTCCATGGTGTCTTCACCCTCAGAGACGCTTGTGACCCTCTTATCGAACTTGATGTGATCATTGGTACCGTTGGCAGTAACGTACGCCGTCATGTAGTCGGCGAGCACGTGAGAACCGCCTCTGTGTACAGGAAAGTGTGAGAACATGAACTCGGAGACAGCAGGTGTGCTTACTTGAAACACTTCCATTCCACCTCTCCAATGACCTCCGACCCGGCCTTGGCGAACGCCAGCGTCTCGAGAACAGATTCAGTCAAACCACGGTCAAACGAGCCGGTGCTGTTGTCGAATGTCTCGCACCAGTTGATAACGTTGGTGGAAAGATGCATGGGCGGGAGTTCGAGGTTGACGCTGGGAATGTACTTGAACGACATGTATGCGCGAAGCGAGTATGCGTCATTCTCCTTCATGACGTCCCACCCCTTAGTGACCTGCTTCTCCAAGTCGTTTATGAGCATGCGGGCGAATGGCTCAACGACATCGTCGACAATCTTGTCAACTCCAACGGCGACGTACTCGGACTCCACACCCATTTCTCGGGCGCGGAAGTCGGGAGGTTGCAATGTATCAGAGACTTGGTAACGTTCATTGTTGAAGTAGAGGAAAGACCCTCCTGTCCTTGCCTTGTAATAGTAGTCGATAAGTGTGGACTTTAGAGGTACTGGACCGTCGTTGAGCTTTGTGTAGTTGATTAACTCGCCCAAGCGCTTCATAATGCCAGTCTTGTAATTGCCTTCAGAGTCCTTCTGTGGCAGGGGGAACCTCATGGCGCCAACATCCTAGTTAGCGGGAAAGCCAAGAAGTTACATGTTGAGCATCATTGGCGGAACAACATCAGATGAATGACATACGTAGTAGTCGTATTCGTTGCTATTCGGGAACTTGTGGGTCAAGAGGCGGCCGCCGGTGCGGTTCGACGCCTCCAAGATCTCGTACTTGATGTCCAGAGAATCTAGTATGAGGGCGGTGTACAGACCACCAACTCCTGCGCCTAAAATTCCAACTGGGTGGTCCGTCACGAGATGACCAGCCTTGGAGAGCTGTAGCTGTGGGATCTGTTGACGACCAGCCCTGGAGAGTCCAGGAAGCTTTTTGAGAAGAACATCATCAAAATCTTGGATGATATTTCGACCCCAGTAGCCTAGCACGTCTCCTTTGAAATCCATGGTAAGCGCAAGTGGTATCGAAGATGGAATGTGTTGACTATGACTTGTCTGGTATGAACAGACCGAAAACCCACCTTATATATGGTGCTTTTTCATTCGGAGAATGAGAAGGATTGGCCAATTCTGTGACCGCACAGCGCAAGGAGTATTTGGACAGGCACATTCGCATTCCTCCGATGAAATATATGAAATGGCGTCTGGGGCCAAGTCTGCGCCACAGTTAAAGACATCAGACTTGACCCCAGACGCAGCCCCAAATCGGCCAAATCTCATGCATTTCTGGTTCCTCCAACGAACCCTAGAATTCTGGACCTAGCATTAGAATTTTTGATGCAGTCTATCTTTCATTAGCCAGAGAGTTTTTCCATACCATGGAATACGACCTGTACCGGAAACCGGTTCCAAAAGCTCTGTGTGATCAGGACGATGTTCTGGTGGTTGCAGAGATCGGATATGAAGTAACATGGCTGGCGATTAGAATACCCGGATGTGCGCATCTATGGTGGACGATAGGTTACGGTTCGATTTGCCGATTTGCCGCGACTAATTTCGAAGTCCGATCGATGTTTGTTGAGAATATCCAAATTTTTATTACTAAACACGTATTTATACACACACATATTTATTCCAACCAACATGCACTCATCTCGGATTGACGAAAACACCCTGACGGCTGGGCGTTGCGTGACACGTTGAACGTGTCAGCATTGGACAAAGTCTATGCCTATTAGTGAACACATTGTTATTTATTCCAACCATCACCCAATTAAATGCACAGGTCTCAAAGGATGATATGTTTCAATGGAGAATCCAGCGAGAAGACTGCTGTGAGCTTCTAATGGAAAGAGGCGCCGGCTGAAGTGCAGCACATACTGGACTGCAGGCCTGCATGATAAATGGTGTCCCTGGCGCAAACCAACATCTTTTTTCATTCATTGGTACAGTTCTCCTATCTCACCCTTGTTCTGCAGCACTCACGATTCCCCAAGCGCACATGCACCACATCCCATCTCGCAACCTTTCCGTTCACGATTTTCTGCAGCTGTCGTTGCCTGCCCCCTCGACCATTATTTCTGTGAAAGTCAATTGTTGGTTTAGCCACGACCCTCCAGACATCGACTCGGACTTATCGTGCCCATCCCCTCTGAAAATGTATTGGCAGAGATCAACTCTGCCATCAGTCAAGCATGGCTCGACAGCACTCAATCATTGGCGGACCCATGTTACAATGGCAGTTGAAATCGATTACTAATTTACCATTGTGGGCCCTGACGTGGTGGCACACTCGGGACCCTCGTCAGGCTAGCTGAGGACACTGATGGAGACTCTCGTCGAACCGAAAGGCAAAAGGATGAGCTTCTCTGACTAACGTTTGCTGCAATCGCTCTAGATACTGATGAGCAACAATGGCTGTAAGTCATTTCACGCACCTATGGTTACATCGGTTAGCCTCACACTGATGTCACGACAGGCTTAAATTCACTGAAAATGAGCATGCGGACTACACTGAAACTGAACTTCGTGCGCGCTAATTTGACCAAATCGAGAGCTGCTTGACAATCTCAGCCATCCATGGGCTGCCCGGCGAGTTAAGCAAACCACCTGGAATGGGCTCCTTGTCAATGGAATCTCTAGATCTTGCTGGTCTGCTGAAAATTTGGATGGATCACGAAACCGAGCATGCCAAGAAGGGAATTTGAACTGGACGTGATCAACTTGCTCCCACAGAGTCGATTTCACAGTGTCGTCGCCTTATTCGGGAGTTTCAGGCTGTCCTCAAAGAACAGCAAAACCATGCAACAGGATCGGGCCTCGAATGTGCTGCTCGCTGGATGGGACGTACTAGTGGACAACTCCCAGAGACAGGGAATGTGGCAAACGCAGCTCTCGCAGCAAAGGAAGTAGTAAAGAAGGTCAGTGTGTCAACGTATTTAGACATTGTACGCTGAGTCTATTTATCAGGCTATTATTTGCAGGAAGAACATTTTCAAAAAGGCAAAATTGCCACTCCTCGGGCCTCTCGATGATGCGTGTATATCTGCACTCCGTCCCCTCAAAGTTGATGACTTTGCGATTGCATACACAGAGTGGGGCCTTCGCATCAGCCGAGGTGAGTTTGTGCTACTATGACATTGTACTCACTGACACAGTCTCAGTGATTGCAATATACTCGAAAGGTGGTGGTAAAAACGGCAAACACGCTGCCGTTGACAAAGCAGACACTATCGCTGGTGTCTCGTACCTTGGTGTCCAAATCTACCAGCAACATTTTCGTTGTCATTTTCGTTCCATTCCTGATGCAACTGCCATGTACCAATGCAACCAATTTGCCTTCATTCCTTCTACTGCCTTTTTCTGTCTATTTCATCTAAGCCCAACCTAACGCACTCAGGACTCGAACTTGCACCTGCAGATCTCATGGAGTTCGATATCCTATCAACTGCTTTGCCTCAGTTGGCGGAAGCTGCCAAATTGTTCCGCAAGAGGACTTCGAGAAACGGGACCACACAGAGGGATGAAGAAGGCAATTTTTAACTCTTTTTAGCTTCTCGTGGCTATTCTAAACACACCTAGCTACTTAGAATAAGAAAAAAAACGCATTTTTTGAGTTTTTTGGTAACCTGGGTCAGAGTCCAGACAAAATTTACCCCTCAGGTGAACCCAGGACGGCATCCGGATAAAAATCACCAAAACGTGTCCGGACAAGTTTGGGCCTCAGCTCACCAAGGGGTTCTCATGGGTCCTTGCTTGGCTCGGCTTCGGCTGGCCCAGGGCTTGAAGCCAGGCTGGAACTTCATCACTACTAGTACAAGTGCCCGTTATCACTTGTTTCTGCTGTCCAAGTTCGTTTCCCAGCAGGCGTTAGGGCGTTTTCGTCGATCCGAGATGTGCGTTGCGTGTTGGTTGGAACAAATATATATATATATATACGTGTTCACTAATAAAATTTTGGATACTCTCAACAAACATCGATCGGACTTCGAAATTAGTTGCGGCAAATCGGCAAATCGAACCGTAACCTATCGTCCACCATACGCATCCCTATCTTCAATTAGGGCTGTGCATGTGACCGCATTTGTGAATTGATGCATTCCCGGGATAGCCGTGGTAGTGTCTCCTGAGCAAAGTGCCGGGTGTTAAGTCGTCGGCACCCCCTACCTGTCAATGTAAACGTATTCACGAATATGAATGGTAAGATAGTTACGCCTTCATCAGCTTCGCGCATGAGTGCCTTGATTACATACCATGACATTGCGCTATGATCCGTGACCGAAGTGGTCGGTCTGTTCGGTTCGAAATGTGGCTGAGACGCATCTCGACTCCGCAGGAACTCTGGACCCGAGTATAATGACTGCTTCGAAACTTGTCAGATGACCTGACACCTGTTGTCTCGACTAAGACTGACCTTGCGGTTGGAGTGTGAATTTCTTCGCTAATGCGTTCAACGGCTCTGTTCTGATAGGGTAGTCTTTAGTCGCGGAGGTGGCAAATTGTACGGCATAGTACGGGCAAATGGTTTGACAAGCTAGAACTTGAAGTAGCTTATATCCCGTTCTCCATTGTCAGAGTCTGGAAAGGATTTGCCACCCGTCTCGAACCTCAACTTCGGACAAAAATCTAGAAGCGTACAACATATGAAGATGTTCGCGCGACGCGAATGGATTGAGAAAGAAGAAGAAAAGATGTTTTGGGATCCGAGGAAGGATTTATGGCATCTGCCGGCGATGCGAGCTAGAAGCACTATCAATCCCCATACGGGCAGACACTATGATAAAACTTAATCAATCCTCGTCGAAGGAGTCTTCAAGTTCGAGTCGGATGGCTCACATGATGAACTTCTCGTCGCACCAGCGGGGGCATGCGTGGGCTGAGTGTATACATGATACAAAATTATAAGTGGACCACCTTGCACAAGTTCAAGTTGGTGCTTGAGCGCGAAGTTTGAAATGTCCGTCGACGGAGCCCCTGAGGTTAAAGGTACAATATTGATCATGTGGAACAAATGCACGGTGTACCAGTAGCATGGCGTAACTTACGCACTGGCACGGTGGCACCGATATCTAGGATATCCCGTCTACGTCAATGGCACGAAGCTTCTGTTACAACGCAACGATGAAATGAATGCCTGCGCTCTCATACCGCGCATGAATCTTCCTCAAGATCCGATTTCACGCCAATGAACTTCAGCACATCCTTGCAAATGACCTTGCAGATTGAATGTGCATCAGCATAAGCCTCGATGTGAATTTAAGTTATGAATACGGTGTAAAACTAGGTAACTTTTTTCCTCTAAATCATCTGATGTCGGATTCACGACAGCGGGAGTCGTAGCGTAAATCGGTTCGATTCTGCTCCATGTAGCTCATTGACGAATTGTCGGACGCTTCAAGTTGAACGTCGTGACAATCTACCCAAGTGACAACAAGATTGTCACGCTACGCACCTTTAACCAAAACGTTCACGTTCAACTGGGGCTTGGACCATGGCCAACTCATACTCGATACATTGGTGGAAGTCCGAGTCATACCCTGCCTTACTCCACGCAATCCCCACCAAGGTTCAGGATAAAGTCAACGTCGAGGACAACTTCATAAATGCAGCCGCCTTTCGCTTGTATTCCTGCGGTCGTAAATGTAAACAAGGATCAAGATAAGACATACGTTGCATTTCTCCGGCTGCAGTGGCTGATTGTAGTAAGTAGGACCATAACGGAGGGGCTAGGGAGGGCGCTAGCCAATGAGTAGCTCGGGCAAAGGACGGTGTCATCAGGTCATGAGGAGGCTTGCCAGGTGGTAGCGGATGATATATCTTCATCATGGTGTGATCTAGAATCATACAAGAGAAATTTTCAGCCGCTCCCTCCAGGAGGATTGACTTGATGAATATGTGTTGGATCTACATCGGTTTGAAGAGCGATTCTATCTGACTATTGCTAAGTGATATATTTCAGTCTGTCTAATGTTCGAAAACCCTGTTCGTCGTCAAGGTTGTGCAGTTCTCTGTGATACACAACTAGCATATGTCCAGCCGGGCCCAGCGGCGCTCTTCGTGGTTTTCTACACAACACCACACAATGTCTTCGAAATGAAGTAGAAGACATTGCATTAGAGAAGACCAGATGATTGTACTTTTGTTTGATCTGGTTTTGCGCGTCTAATGCCACCTTGGATTACTCACAATGCTTACGATTTTTCCAGGTCACTTCGGGATAAACATCCTATCATCGGCGCTCTAATGATCTATGACCTCTTGGTGGGTGATATCTGGTACAGAGGCTATGAAATTGACGAACATACAGCCTTCCATCATCACTGCGAATCACAACCGGTGAACAACGGACAACCCAACTCCGGAGCCGCTGCCGCTTTATCAGAACAAATCGCCAGGTACATATTGATGTAGAATGAACGCAGCAAATCTGATTCTCACATTCTTACATAGCCTATGATGGGCGGTATCTCGATAGACACTAGCCCGCGAATAAGTGGCTCACTGGACTCATTCAGAGAGGCGTGTGACGTGAAACTGGTTGTCACCCATAACACGCTTTCCCCCTTTCGAATCATTAAAGCAAGTACAAGTCTATTGGTGCTCATTTCAGTGAGTCACGGTGCTACTGCCAGTGCATCTAACAAACATTGGGTATACTGGCGCCCACCAAAACCTGCCACCCGCAGCCGCTATTTAAATCATGTCCATGGAAGGACTAACAAAGAACCTTGGCATTAACTCTTACATTCTCATCAAGCGCAATTTCGTATTTGACTTTTCCCCCCGAAGAACCGAATCTGTGCTCTGGGAGAAAACACATTATTATTCTCCGATGACTAAGATTTCTTTTGTATCACTCAAGAAAATTAACAAGCCTACGGAGATGTCTGCAAAGTCACTGTCAGGATGGACACAAACCGGTCGCGAGAGGGTGCGTCAGCGATTATTTAGCAATGGTCGGTCTCAAGTTCTGGCCTCTGCAAAACGTGGTCAAGGGCAGAAGTGCCTCAGGAAGACGACTTGTACCAATCTCGGTACCGGTCATAGAAAGTGCTATGACTCGCAAACTCGGGCATTTCTCGATTGGCCGCATCCATAGCTTGGTTTGGACATAACGTCAACAGCAAACATATCAATGAGACAGCCCCTCACGAGTGTTTGCAAATGCGTCGATATCGATAGGTTCGTCCCCCCGGACCCACACGTAAAATCGAACAGAGGCGAGGTGACACCGCAATCACGATAGCTTGAATCAAAAGATCCCGCTTCACCATCCCGAAGTAAAAGGAATGAAGACCGCGAGCGAGCCGATGTATCCAGGCGTAGGGTCTACCATGCTTCAGAGGCGCGCGATATGGTTCATCATCCATGATGACCATCAGGACTTCTGGACAGACGCCAATCTCATAGTTGATTTTCCAAAGAACTGAATCTGCGCTGGGAGAAAATGACCAAAACTTCTTGTGTATCACTCATCCCGATCGCCATGTCTCGAATAACACAGCCTGTTGTGGACCACAGCTGTATGCCAAAGCATCCACATCGAAGCCACGCAAAAAGGAATAGAACACAAACCCCAAGCGATCGAATGGTCTTTGTGCTTCGACGAGGAGGATAGGATGCGCTCGTTTTCGATCTATGACTTGGGATTTGGGATTAGTCATGTGAAGTGAGTTGTTCAACCTACCTCAGTCTCCCTGGTACTCTCATAGATGTATTGAGTATACCTCCCAATCAATATCAAGAAAATCCTGTTACAATGATCGAATGAGTGTACTCGTTCCGGGCATCAATTCGAGAACAAGCGTACTGCGAACTCTTCCTTGGGATGTGACTGTACGATAAATTTCAGCACGTACCTGCATCGGCCTTGAATGTCGTCAGAGTGGTAAGGTGAGGTTACAGTGACAGGAGGCAGAGGTACCAAGGCTGGCAACTTGACTGAAAGCAAGATCTAAATCATCGGATGTTGGATTCCCAATAGCGGGATGCGTAGCGGAAGTCAGTTCGATTCTGCTCCAGGCTTTGGTAGGTCGAGGAAAAGTTGAAAATTGAACGTCTTTTGCTAAATCCCTGCACGCTGGTGCACTCAGGGGCCGAGCTTCACCAAGGGGGAATGAGGCTCTTCCAGTATTTTCCGAGCGAACTTTGAATCAAGCAGATTGCGCTCTTGTAGGAGCAAACAAAAGAGCAGAAAATTCCGCCCAAAGCTAAAAGTTAAGAAAAATGCGTGACAAATGCAAGTGCGTGCGTAAAGGGGGGTGTATATCGTACAGTATTATGTCCAGGCGTAACATAGCATAGCATAACCCAGCTCACCGAGATCCAATCTACATACCAGTCCAAAACACAAAGAAAGACCCCACCTCCGCATCACTCCACCTCCGCCCCCGCATCACTCCGCCTCCGCATCATACTCCTCCTCCCAACCCTTCCTCGTCCCATCCCCATTAACGCTCAACCACGCCTCAAGTCTCCTCCCCAACTCCCCACCCCGCCCCCCACAAATATCCCCAGTCGTATTCAACATCTGCTCCCTCTCCCTCTCCTTCTTCAGCGGTATATGCCCCGCCTTTTTCCTCCGCTTAAACGACGCAGCCTGCAACGCCCCAGAATTAGCCCCAGAGGTACTAGCCACGCTCTCGGCACACACGGGCGCACTCGAGGCAGATAGCGCTTCTGCAGTACACTCGGCGTCTTTGAACCATTCGTCTTCGGTGTCTTCGGGCCCGAGGATACTGTCCACGAGCCCTTCCTCCCAGCCGTCCCATTCGACACACCGGTGCGCGAGGCGCAGCCGTGCACCCATTGCTTCGTAGTGCAGCCATTCTTTTGCGGCTGTCACGCTGTTCACGGGTTTGATGTTCTTCCCTGGGTGTGCTGGCTCAGGCGCTCGGCCGCGCGCTAGATCCTCGACCGCTTCTCGGAACATACGAGTCGTGAACGGACTAGATTGCAGGAAAGTCGGGAGGTGGGCACATGCCCAGAGCGGACGGGTAGTTGTAGATTCCCAATCGATGACACATGTCTATTCACACATCAGACCCGAAACCACACGCAAGAAAGGAAAACACTCACTATTTGCGTATGGTCATTTTCGTCCACGAACACGTTCTCCAGGCTTATGTCGTGGCAATCCAGCCCAAACTCTTCTGTCGCCCCAGAATGATCCGCACACGCCCCAAGCCTCTCCATCATGCGCATCCAGCGTCCCATCTCCTTCCTCACAGACTCCTCCCTTCGCATGATATGCGCAATTAAAAACGTGCTCCTCTGCATGCGCCTATAATCCCTATACATCACATCCCCAGGCCCATCCCACTCCTCCTCACTCTCCTGCGCGTCCCACTCATCACTATCATCGCTCTGATCGCCCGGCACCGCGTTCAAGTGGTGATGCCTTGAGGACTGGATCTCATCCGGATCAAGATGCAGCCGATGCGGAGCCGATTTACCCTCGTTCTCGAGGACTACGCCACGGACTTCGCGGTCTATGCATGAGGCGAGGTATGAGCTTGTGCTGGACCAGGGGCCACGGTCGATTTCGTCTGGGTGGGAGAGGTCCCCGCGGTTCGAGCCGAAGAAGGGCCAGGAGACGATGGGGCCGATGTGGGATTCTTTGGCCGAGGTTGGTCGTGAGACTGTTCTGGTTAGGGGCCCTGCGGTGGCGGCATTGGAAAAGGAGCTCATGGACAAAAGGGGCATGAATTTGAAGCCGTTTATGGTAGGACGCGTCGCTGTTGGTGTCGGCGAGTTTGATGACAAAACCGAGAGAGGGGCTGGTGCGCCTGTACCTGCGCCCTCTAGATATAGTGATCCGATGTGTGAGAAACGTTGTGCGAAAAGGGGTACTATGATAGATGCGACGTTTGCAAAGAGAGATTTGAGTTCTTCATTAGAGAGTGTATGGTATACGCGTGACAGGGGAACTCCTTTTGCCTAATATGACACGTGACTTCAATTTACATGACAACGATGACGATAAGACGTACCCTGGACATGAGGATATATTCGCCTCCTAGACGATTGTAGGGATTTGCATCATAGTAATAGACATCTGGAACAGGAATGGATGTCCGTTCGCGAAGGTAGTGCATAGTAGCCACCTCAGACTCTGTCTTGAGGCGAGGCATGAAGCGACGAGCGACGCGAGCAACCAGCTCACGCGTGTCAATAAGAGTAACAAGATATGCCTACAGTGAAGGTCAAATGAGGTGACACCACATTGAGCTGTGCACTCGCCTTGTGAAAAGTGCCTAAGGTTGTGCTTGAGTGTCTTGGCAGTGCTAGAAGACGAAGGGGTGACGTACCAGAACTGAGGAAATTTATTCTCCCGACTTCACAGCCTGTCATTTCTCGTACGACGTCTTTGAGGACTCTTCGGTCTACTTGAAAGGGTTGTGCGCCATGGAGAGCTGCGTCTGCTTTAGCTTCGAGGCGTCGGTCGTGGTGTTCGGTATCCCAATCCCATTGAATGAAAGACGTGGAGGGTGATGGGTGTGGTAATTGAACTGTGCCAGGTAGTAGAGGAGTGGTGTCCTGCGCAACAGCAGCGACATGGTCGCCGTGGCCGTTGCGCTGCATGGTAAAGTCTGAATTGGGTGAACGTGTTATGTGAAGAAAGGATGTGTCGGAGTGTAAGTTGGCAGGGGAATGATTTGGGTACCTTTGTATAGTGAGAGATTGAGATGAAGGGAGGAGATACGCGCCGTCAGTCATCAACGTACCTACTTGATGTGCCCTCGATCTGTTTCGGTAATGGTATATATTTGGCCTTGTTTCCGTATGTCTCGGGAATAGGAACAGGCATCGTACACTTGATTCGAGCACTGGGCGCACTGGGTAAGCGTTCTGTTGAGATTTCTAATGGGCTTTTATATTGTATAGAATCCTGGATTTCGGAAGAAAGACTTGCTTGGCAGCGCATGTTTACGGCAGACGCAGCACTTATCGTCTTTCATATAATTAGCTCCACTATTTATGTACAAACCTTTGACGCCGTGACCTCGATTGAGTCTTATCGGGGAGGTGTTTGGTGTCCGCAGCCACCAAGTAATAAGCCAAGCACTGACTACAAGCCTAAACTAGTACTGCTGATTATCGATCTTACCAAGACTCCAAGAGTCCCTAGACCATAACCAATCATATCACCGCCATCCCACGAAACCCAAGTCTTTCGAGTGGTAATAAATCGGACCAACGTCTTCTCGGTCGCCGAACGGACAACCTTCGTGGCGCTGCCAAGCGCAGCCCACCCAATAACAAATAAGGTAATACACAAAATCAAAAATCAAAAAAACTATTACTACTACTCAATCAAAAACACGCAACTAATCCACAACAGCTAGAGCCGCGAGTCCTGCAAAAACAAACAAAAAATAAATAAAAACCCATCATCAACAAAAACAACCACCGCTCAAGGAGACCTTACATACGAAGGCTCAGTACAAATAACTTCATCCACCCGCTTCTTCAACCACTCAATCACATCCTGCCCAAGCGTCGCACAGTCATACAACTCCAGGTGCTGCAGCCGCGTAGGGATCACCCCATTCACCATCGTCGCAGATCCAGACTCCGGATTACGCGCCTCCACGAGCTGCACGAGCTTCGCGATCCCATCAGAATGCGCATGACAGCTCTTCATCGCAACAGTCGTCAAATTCGGACACGCCCAGTGCGTCTGTTCTTCATCCGGCATCCCGAGCGCAGACAAAAACGGCTCAAGCGGCGTCCCCCCTATACTCAACGACTGCAGATGATTCAGGTCCGTCAAAAATCCCCATGAGATCACAACTCCCCCAGGTCCGTAATACAGCGTCGAGCTCGACGTGCATCCATACGAAACAGAGAGCCGCGTGATAGGTGGGTTGTTCGAGCGTTGGAGGAGGTTCGTAATGGTGTCTTCTATCGGGTCACGAGCTTCTACGTCCAGGTTCAGTACCTCCAGCGACGGAAGCACAAGCGAGTCCGCTAGCTGCGACATATGATAATGTCCCCCAAACGTGAGCTCCCGAAGCCGCGGCAACGACGTCTGCACAAGCGGAAGAATAGCGGGTAACGCAACAGCAAAATGCAACGTAAGCGCTTCAAGATCTGCATTACACGCAATGATATGCATGATCCGATCCAGCGGAAGATGGTTCGAAGGGAGTGAACGAAGATTGAGCGACCGCAAATTAGTCTTGAATATCGGCGATGACCATTTGAACGGCACATGGTGTAACATCAACGACTCCAGTTTCCCAAGCGCCATACTAGTCGCCGGACTTGAACTCGGTATCCATGGCCATTCACTTGCATAAATAGTCTCGGCGCACGAGATCTCAAATTCCCTAAGTATGGGAGCATCACCTATATCCATTCAATTATCAATTGTGACATCGCTTTGGGGCATAGTACGTACCAGCTATCGATTTTAGCGCAGACATGGATGGAAACTGTCTGTCGAACCTGAAGACAAACCGTTGCCATCGATGCATCTGTTCGATAAGGTAGAATATCGCGATATGGCCCCAGTGCGCGTTCCGCTGCGCTTGGGGCGTGTTTCTTGAAGAAGGCGGAGGTGGTGATCCCCATGAGTCGTGATGCGAAGGCGACTGCGGGACGATGATGGGTGTTTGCGCGGGTGGGAGGAGCATGGCTGTTCCAGGTGGATGCGGGATCACATAATGGGGCGGTGGGCTGGGGGGATGCAGCCACGGCGTAGGTGAGGCAGGTCGAGTACGGGTCGATGAGCCCTCACTAGACACCCCATTCACTCGCAAGTAAATCTCGATATCAAGCGGAACCTTGTCTCCAGAACGTTCCAACCAAAGCCGTATCGTATCAGCAGTTGCGCTTTGATTGGTTACAAGTCTTATCTGGCACCGAAAAAAGTTAGTATACGATAGACAAAAAAAAGTAGATCAAGAACGAGGCAATAAACAACGAGCAACTGCCTCCGTCCCACACATACGCACTAACACAAGGTGAAAGCCCAAGACCAAGAAATTGCATCGTCTCACCTTTGACCACAACCTCGGCATCGAGAGCGTAAGTCTTCGCCACAGCGTGCACACCGATGCAAGCACCCAAGCACAGCAAGGATGATCATCGAACTTGAAAAGAAAGATATGACGGAGCAGCTCATGTGGCAACCGCCGTATAGGAGAGATATACGCCTTCGTATAAATCACCTTCTCCTCCAAAGCCAACTTTTCGCGTCTCAAATCCCGTATAGCGCGCTTCCTCTCCACGACAATCTGAGCCAGGGCGTCTTCCGCGAATGCAATCTTTTCCGAGAGCGCTAAGAGCTGCTCTTGCTGGGCTTGGAGCTCTCTGCGGGCATCTGCTACTGCTGCGTCTGTTGGGGGCTCTGGGTAGTTGGCCAGGTAGGCGGAAGGCGTCATGGGGCGATGAGATGGGGTGGTGGTTAATGTTGGACACGGTGAGAAAAGGCGGGACAGGAACGATTGGTTGGATGGTTAGCTGAAACTTGATGGCAAGTCCCATATATGGCCACGTGGGTTTTGAAAGGACCCTTGGGGATGGCGGAGTGACGGGGCCCCCTCATGTATTGTATCTTTCTCATCCTATCTACCCATAGTCCTATTACATCCCATTCATTCAACCCTGCAGCAGACCATAATAATAATCCAGTCGATCAAGACTTGAACTCGAGAAACTAATATATATAATATTTTGCTTATCTATCCATTGACACCAGTGAGAAACCCAACAAGCGTGGAAAGGTAGTACAACATTGTAATGGAGATACTGCCATAAGAGTAGAAAGTGGCTCGAGCAATCAAATACGCCCTAGGAACCGGTTTTTTTTCACTTCTTTCCCGCTTCAATAGCATCTCCATTTTTGCATGCGATTATTTTTATGCGAGGCGCTGAAACCATCTCGTTCGACTCCATCTTGAACGACGGGTTCTTCACGATAAACGTCCACACATCATCGCATAACCGGTATGTCCGAAGGTTGCCCTGCACAACCAAAAACAAAAACAAAAAAAAGGTCATGAGAATTCATTCCAAAGCAGAAAGCAGAAAGCGGACGAGCCTTGAGCGTAGTCTTCGTTTTCACCTGCTTCACCATCGTATCCGCAAGCGACTTGTCAAACTATCGTCATCGTCAACGTTTCAGTTTCTTTCTTTCACTCAAAATGTAACTGGCAAATACCTGTTGGAGGACTTTCATAGCCAATTGCGGTGTGATGGCACCGCTCGTGATAAGCTCGTCCAGCGAGTCTGTCAGGGCCATTCCAATTCTGCAGCCGTGAACACCCGACCAATCAGGCAAACCGCTGGAACATACGATGACCCTCGGTAAAACTCATAGTATGCTGAAGCCATTGCTAAATTTGCAGCAGTCCTCAGCTTCAGGACAAATCAGACGAAGAGTGTGGCGGACAGGAAGAGCCGCTTGCTGTCAATGAAACCGTGCAATGGCTTGGTGAGCATGCCACCGTGACACGTGACGTCACGCAAGATTGCGGGAAAACGGAACCTGATCAAAATGAACATGAACATTGTACAACTTGGAACGCTTTCGACGCAAACATGTCTTCTACCGCTTATCTCGATGTTTTTATGGGAGACAAGGAACAGCACACACTTGACGAAGCCGCATATATCACCACCCGCAACTTGCTCGTTAACAACGCAGCCATCTACGGCTTGCCACCGGATCTACAGCATCTATCATCAGAACAACAGGAAATGCTCAGAGAAATCGATGTATTTGCATTTCTGCCCGATGTTTCTACCGACGTCATGTTCAAACATAGTCATCATCGTTAGAAATCGCATGTACTACGCTTCATGCCCCCAGAACCCCTCTCTGTCGGCCGCCTCGTCTTTGAGTTGAACCCCGAGGCCTCGCTGAAGAAAACGACAGCCAATTTCACGGCGCTGTGTACGGGGGAGAAAGGAAAGTGTAAAAACGCACGTAACAAAGAGCTATATTACCTGGGATGCCCGATACATCGCATCGTGAAAGATTTCGTTGCACAGGGGGGCGACGTCACAAGGGGGGACGGCAGTGGCGGCGAGGTTCGTGCTCGAAATATGACTAGTTAATTTCCTGATTTTCCCCAGTCGATATATGGCGGAAAATTCAACGATGAAAAGGATGGGTTGAAGATCAAGATGCGAAGAGGAACCCTCGCGATGGCCAACTCCGGCAAAAACACGAATTCTTCCCAGTTCTTCGTCGTGCTTACGGATGACGAGACGCAGCTCGCAAAGTTGAACGGGAAATACGTGGCGTTTGGGGAATTGAAAGCGGGATTTGAGGTACTGGATAGGCTGAATGAAGTCGCGGGAGACGTTAATGGGAAACCCAATGTACCAGTGTGGATCGGTGGATGCGGGAAGGGGACTGCAGGCTGATCATGTAAATGGACACGTGGATCCTGGAGTGTTCATCCAAAATCTAGACACTTGGATATAATGATAATCGGCATACCCATCCTAGACTGATGGCACTTCTCCCGCGAGTGGAGATCACATAAGGAGGCGAGGCCGCTTACGGAAACATAAGTCGTGCCGCTAGGTGGAGATATGATATATTCAGTGTCAGGCTGTCCCTCTGCTCGTGTTTCTATTCGCTTGGGCGATTGAGAGCTGATTACAACTATTGTGAGACAACTCACCCACCAGGACCCTTGGAGGGAAAACGCCTGTAGATAGAACTCAGGGACGTAAGCAAAGTTCACCGATCACGTATCACGACTAGTGCTCACTCGTCATCAAGAGCCACCAAACAACGTCATTGCGGATGTATCTGTAGGGCAGGCATGCACGATTCGGGTCTCAAGTGTGGAGCGAAGAAGTCTGAAAGCAGGCTCACATTACGCGTCTATCGTGCGTGGTGATGCTGAACTGGTTTGCCTGTGAACGCTTTCGCGCCAAAAGTATTTATATGCTGGTGGAAGATCAACGACCGGCCGAGGAGTGATGAAACTATGTACTTATATTGCTGAGATGATCCTGCATCGTTTCGATTGAAGCGTGAGCCTGAGCGGTCTCAGCATAACCGCGGCCTCGTGTGCGCTCCCAATGTGACAGCAAACCTGCGAAATGCAGTCCAAGATGTAGCAATCAAACCATCGGCGGCGACGGATCATGATGCATAATGATCGACTGGTATGAAAAAGCTACACCGGCGGGCGGAACCGTGTGATAAGCAGGTAACAAACGCGCATGATTACCTATTTGAACATCGCCGTCAGCCTGGGATGTACTAGATGGAGTGAACGAACAAAAGCGGTTGAGGATCTCCAATAGTTCGTCAGATGATCAATTTGGCGTGTAGAGAAGCAAAAGAGCTTACATAAATCGTTGATCATGAAGCTTTACAGCCGCCAACGCCAACGCGGCTGCAACGAGGACCTGTTTGAGCACAGATCACCAGAATTAAAATGAATTTGTCACTATCACAGGCACTGGGTAAGTGTGTGGCCGGCGGCATTGGGGAAACTTTAATGGCCACAGCCAGTCGCCGATCAAAGGTCTGTACCTCCCTCCGACAGACTTCCGTTGTAGCCGCAAAAACGACTCAGCTGTGTCATCTCATAGTTAACCCTGCTCAACGCATGGCATAAGCTTGCATGACTTATAGACAATCGTTGCAATTAATGCGGTCAGTATGCAAAATGAACATGAGTCATGACGAGTAATATGAAAAATCTGGAAACCAGCAGCCCTACGGGGGAAACCTAGTCAGAAAACAAATTCCGCCGAGAACGCACACTCACGAAACTTTCTTGGGCTGCACGGTCTCTACAGCCTCAAGATCCGGAGAACCACGATTCGACACAGGTTCTCGAACCAACAGATTCTCATCCACGCCACCCATAAGCATAAGTTCACAAATGACTAGTGCCATCTGATGGAATTCTGCGGGCACACCCTCAGCCCTCCCTGGCAGCAGGATATGCGGCAGAATGCGAGTGTGAAACAAGCGGTGGGCCACAGAACCACCCTAACCCAACCAACGGGTTAGCGTGGATGATCGCAAACACTAATTTTCAGTCTCTTCGTGTGATGCAGCATGAGGCTAATAACGTACAAATTGGTTATATATGCCGCCTATTACAGCTTGTATCGCGTCCCCATGACTTTGTAAAGACCCGCGCTTCTTGTGACGCCAGGGTTTGCCGTTGACGGTTTTCTTTAATTCAGCGTCTGCTGGCTGTTCTGTAGGTGAACCTATGAAATCTCCGTGGGTCCGTACAACGTCTTCGAGTTGGGAGACTGAGGGTCCATCGCAGAATATGACCTGGAGGGTCAGAGACTACCGAGGGGCGATGTATTTGCCCAGAAGGTAGGTATTTAAAGCGCGAGAAAGAAGAAGCTCATAGTCATACTGATGTTCATTCCGCGCGATGAAATGCAGGCAGAGCAAATAATAAAGACTCAAGCCCGCGACGCCCTGATAGGTAAACATTAAACATTAAGTAGTTGATACATATCATAAATGACCAAATTGACCTACCTACAAAGCTGAGCCGTCCATTATGACCGTGGACAATCATCTCGCGGCTTCCATGGGTAAGAATACGTTGTGCAAGCCTGGTGGAAAACGAAGTGAGGAGGAAGCCGTTATTTAGGTGAGTAACAAACTTCGCGCTATCCTGAGAAACTAAGGATGTCATTTGAGCACATTGGGGAGCTCTTTTCAGGGAATTGGGTGACCAGCGAGACACTCGGGACATGCTGCAGACCTTGAAGCCCTTCTGAAGGTCCACAGAACAACTTTGAACCTAGCACTCCGAGTAACGTTGGTGCCTGTGGGTGTCAAGCAAAGTTTCAAACCCAATCGAGATTCGAAACTGCTCGCGGTCACGTTATCCCTATGTAAAAGTCACACCTTAAGCTTATCAAGGTCTGCCTTCCAACTGTCATGTTGTAAGACTCGCGCCAGTCATGGTATTTTAATCTCTGCTCTGCCAGTGCTGGCACATTCTCGTCACCTTTGGTTAGGCCGAGCCGATCGTTGGGTCAGTAATCATATCTGGTCATTATTGCACGACTCCCCTCGGCGTCTCGGGTCTAAACCACCCAGTGATTAATGTTTGGTTTATATTACATTGCTCGCCAAGGAGGACATCTTATAGGACATCTTCTGCAAATGTCCAAGAATTCATGTCCATTTTACCACCTCCAGCCCTTTTGGGAAAGGGACGATCTTCGGGGCCGGGAATGTCAATCGGAATCTCCATGGTCATAGAGGATCGTAGTCGGGATAGAGGAGGATAGCGGTTCTGGAAATTTGTGGAAAGGATAGCTGTGTCGGACCCTTGTTCGCCATTATCATTATGATGTTGATGGCGTCCTCATCGCCTTCTTCCTCGAGTTGTTGAGACGGATTGGATGTCGATACTGAAACATCGATGATTGGAGCAGATTGGAGCCAATGAGAGCGCAATTAATATGTACCTCCCCATTCGGAAGCACCTCCTGAATGCGAGCTTCCTGCAATTCTCGCTGCATTTCTCAAGACCTTTCTTAAAAATGATGATCGCAGTCAGCAGTAATGCACGCGCGGTCAGAGCGGCGACGCGCTGGACGCCTCGAGGTCGGGGAAGGGAAAGCATCACTTCCCACCCAATCACCCATCACAATCACAGCCGCAGTTCCTCGCGTAATCGAACCCCCACCTCACCGTCAACTGAATTAACCGTTAGTATTTATCTTCATTTTGTGTCCCCTCGATCACTCTAGGCGAACTCCGTTCACATCAGGTTTCTGGAACGTGGGCGTCTCGATATGAAGACCGCATTTGGGGTCTTTTCCTAGGTTTTGTTAGGTCATCGTTCCAAAACCATACTAACCGGTGGTAGTCCACTGTACCTCAGGGCTTGCACCCTTTTTTCGATTGTGGTTCGCAAACATATAAATATTGCAATGGTTCAGCGTGAGTGGGTTTTGTTCAAGCGCCACTCTCGACTTTGGCAGCTCTCTTCAAAATGAACTTCTGCATCGCTCCTTGCCTCACTCTGTCCCCAACGACTGACAGTTGCCCCTTTGAGGCCATCAGACTATCGTTCACGAACAATGTCAGGATTCCCTTGGGGCCGACAGCGTTCACACCAGGTGGTTCAATATCTCTTGCATCACCACATGCTGAGATCTGGCTTCAAAGTAAACAGGTTGGAGAGCAAGCATTCACATATAACGGATGAATACTGAAAGATGCATTCCAGGTGCTGATACGAGATCAAAACACTACACATGGAACATACGTGAATGGTATGCGAATAGTGCAACAAACTCTTTTGCAGAATGGTGATATCCTTGTAAGCATTCGCATGTTGCAAGCAGTAGATGCATTGAATTTTACGTTTCTGCAGACATTGGGTGCTCCAATAATTCGGTCCTATGGTGTCCCTGCCAATGTAACCAACGATCAGCTTAAGCCCATTAAAGCAATGGTGACCATTGTGGGCGTCTGATCGCTCAGCGGCAGCTACGGTGCCTATTATAATTCTCGTGGCTCAAGTGTGGATGTCGCGACCCTCGCGATCTGTTCTTCAGATGACCCACTACCTTGGCATCATGATGCGCTCACCGTTTCGGCATTTTACACTCTTCTGTGGCAATTGTTCTTTGATCACAGGGTTCATGGTACTCTTGCATAGCTGTAGCATGCTTAGAAAAAATTCCTTTTGTTTAGCTTAGATATGCGACTCGGTTAGTATTGGGACTCCTAGGCTGTATGTAGATTAGACGATAGTGGTATTTGAGGCACGCAGTAGTTAATCACTGAATTCGAAGGCGCTCTAAAAGCCATGACACTGACAAATTGAGATCTTATCGCAGGCGCCAATCTGTCAAGTTTGTGTGTGGAATTTCGAATAGTACTTAGGAAGGCGAAGACCTTGATCTGAGCAGGCAGCAGCGTGATAAATTCAGAGCTCCAGTGTATGAATTTCATAAAGCAGCTCTGGTGGTCCAATCTTGTAGTTCGATGAAAGTTTCCACCTCACAGGTAGGTTCAGCAGGATTAAAAACATCATAAGCCCCCTCTTCCCTGGCCATCTCCGCCGTATCCTATATAGCTATATCGAGAACTAAGATGAAGATTTACCAAGCCATAGGCGTCCGGTATGGCTCGCATTCTTCGCCTAAGTGCTCGTTAAAGTAAAAAAAATTGCATCCTTCGTGGGCCCTCGTACACACCACTCGTTACAGTGATCTGAGGAGAAAGTGGGGAAGACTGGCCAAATGGAGAACGCTCTTTGCCGATCTGGCAGCAGAATTCGCCGTGCTGGAAATGATAGCGCGACGCCGCGAAGGTTCTTTTCGTCCCTGTTGAGTGGTCCTAGAATATTTGGTCGCAGTATCCGGACGTACGTAGGCTCTTCTGCATCATGTGCATCCGAACATCGTCACAGTTGTTGCAGCGATGATAGGAAGACGATTCAAATCTGATCCTCGGACACGCGTCCGTTGGGCCCGAGTCGTCGCAACTATTCAAATATTTTGGCAAACTTCTAACCACGTGATGTCCTCCCTGATCGATAAGAAGATGCAAGCATATCGGAAGATCAAAGCCTCAGAGGAATGTGCACAAAGGCTAAATCTGCGTTCGTCTCCATCCACGGCGACCGAAGGATTCGGAAATCCACCAGAAGTGGAATGTGCGCACCATCGTCACTGAAATTCGGTCCGCCTGTAACAGCATTGTAGTACGAGCATGAGCGGAATTGTGTGGGCCGCCGGGGAAGTGGTGGACATCCAGCGCGAGAAACAAAAAAAGAGCGCCAATGAATGACCTGATCAGTTTTAGTTTGGTGTATCCAACTCGTTGCACAAATCACCCCCTGTCTCCATTTGATTAATCCGTGCACGCAAAATGGCTTTATAGTAATACGAAACTTAACTGATACCCAATGTTGCCCGGCCCCGCGTCTCCACAAGGGACTGACGCGTGTAGCTCAGAGGTGAAACGAACAATCCCGGCTAGATCCTTTCCGCGCAAAATATATTAGGATCATTGTTCTTCACGTAAAGGAGACCGACCGTCGTCAGCGACGGCCTTGTCGGTCAACGAAGGGGACTTGTGGCGGAAAGTGCCTGAAGTACGACATTCAAGTTTCACTATTCGACCACGGCCGCGTGCTTTAAGCGCAGATCCACCGCATGGACGTTTGTTGAAATTTGGTGGCCGGGCTCTCAAATCTATTATTGTGCGACTCTGCACGGTTGAAAGGTGCAGGCTGTGCCTGCTCAGAATTTGGTAAACATCACAAGCAAGGAGATGAGATGCTTGCACATCTGGTACCTTTTCCGACGGTGGTGAATTCAGTGAGTTCTCCGCCAAACTTCTATCCCAGAGACTAGAGCACCGATAATTCCGGAGGCTGTGCTACCCCCAGAGGAGCAACGTAGGGACCGAGCTTCGTGGAGACCCACCCGCCGCAATGAAGACTATAATATTAGTATGTAACAGCATGCCCAACGATTGTGGCTGCTCAGCGCATTTATCGCAAATGTCGGGTGGCATTTCATGCGGCCTGAGGTTCGCATAATCATAAGACACAGTCTAATTTCGTCTTCGAGCGGACCACGGTCTATGATCTGATACAGCCTCAGAATTCGACAACTTTCACGTTCCACCAATTGTTCTGGTATCCGTGGTAGATAGAGAAAATGATGCAAAGACTGCTCCGGCCCGACTTCATTTGGTTGAAGTAGGCGCTGACTCAGCACACCATTTCAGACCATTTCCCTCATCAAGTTGTCAACCTTAGACTTGCAGGATTGGCAAGCTCGCTATTTTACCTGCGGTTTGAGAGGGCGATTCACGAGACGACAGGAGTATGCATGCTGTCTCTTGGCCAGAGGAGGATAGCGAAATCTGTATGCCCTCACATGCCATGCTTGCGCTCATTTGCCACGACAAGCTCGTCTAACATTGTTTCGTCGATACCATTCATCACCCGAAGTTACTGGAGTAATCGAGGTAGAGGTGGACAAAATCTTACTGAACGCTACCGCAGGCTAGAAAATACTGCTCGGGGGAGAAATCCGATCATGAAGATATCTGAGCTTTCCCAGGAGTTCGAGGATGCATCAAAGGCCAGGTCGCTTCCATTGCCATCCTCCTCGCACCCCGGTGCGAAAAACGCTCCAGACACGATCGCGGGCTTTATGATCCCCGAAGAACCTATACCGCCATCAGATGAAGGTAAATTACTTCACCACAGCCAAGTTCCAGTGTCTAACATAAGGCAAGAATGTTGCATGTCAGGATGTGCAATTTGTGTCTATGACCTTTATGAGGAATCTCTGGAAGCTTACAAAGAGTCGATTGTGACCTTGCGCTCGTCGCTTTCCGCTCTTTCAATACCAGAATCTGAGTGGCCAGACCACGTTCGAACCAATACACCAGCTGCAGCAAATAGGCACGGGGTCATCCTTAGCGCGTTCGAAGAAATGGAGCGTCAGTTGAAGGAGAAGAAGGAACGGAGAGCTACGGTTGAAGCGGAGAGTTAGTTCGTGGCCACTAGCTGGAGCTAGCCGGTACTAACGTTCGGCCTCCGATAGAAAGGGCGAGAGGAGAATTACTCTCAGATGATACGGAGACGTCTCCTATAAACATTCAGATGTTTTACGAAGGCATTAGATGGATATTATTCCCGAAACGTTGACTATATATTATGACTAGTCGTAGAGGAATTCACCCATATGCGCTATGATGGATAATCATGATATCTGTGCTGTGTAATCTGGAATCTGCTTCCGCCACTTGTGGCCCCTTGTCATCTACCACCATGACTTCTAGTACCGCGTTCAAGACCTTCTCGCTAGCGAACGACGTATTTGAAGTTTCACCTCAAGATGAGATATATGCCTTTGATGTCGAGGCTAACAAGCGGATCAACCGGGAGGCACCATGGGACAAGGAGTATGTCGGCGACCCCACCTGAGCGCGTCATTCAATGACCTCCCTCATAGCCCGCAATACTTCAAATCATGCAAGATCTCAGCCGTCGCTTTAATAAAGATGGAAAGCTCGAATTGCTGAGGTTTCAACGGGCAATCTGATGCTGGTTCTTCTGCAGGTCATCCATGCACGATCAGGAGTGCCACATGAGATCATGGGACTCATGCAAGGCAAGGTGATGGGAAATTCGCTGGTTATCATGGACTCCTTTGCACTTCCTGTGCAGGGCACGGAGACGCGTGTTAACGCTGCGAATGAAGCTAATGAATACATGGTAAAGTATATTTCGGAGAGCGAGAAGGTACGAACGTGAGCCTTATAGACGACCTGCGCTCACTCTCCTTAGGCCAAAAGAATGGAGAACGCCATTGGCTGGTACCACTCACATCCAGGCTATGGGTGCTGGCTTTCGGGAATAGATGTGGACACCCAAATGAACAACCAGCAGTTCCAGGATCCTTTCGTGGCCGTCGTGGTACGTCTATAATCAATTCCCTGGCACAATCTAGTGGTCTGACCCTCAGTGCGTTAGATTGACCCAAATCGCACGATTTCTGCTGGCAAAGTCGATATTGGTGCCTTCCGCACGTACCCACCGAATTACACGCCTCCTAACGTATCAGCTTCCGAATATCAATCCATTCCCCTGAGCAAGATAGAAGACTTTGGTGTGCACGCGAACCAGTACTACCCATTAGATGTGGAGGTGTTCAAATCGAGCTTAGACACTGAGCTGCTCGGTCTGTTGTGGAACAAGTACTGGGTCAACACGCTCAGCCAGAGTCCTTTGATTTCGGTAAGAAGCTTTTGCTAGGCTCATTTGTCATCTCATACGACACGTCCACAGAACCGGGCGTATGCAGTGTCGCAGATCGTAGATCTGCATCAGAAACTCTCGAAAGCCCAAGCATCAGTGTCTAGCACACGAGCACCCGTTCCGACAATGAAGGGACAGGACGAGAAGGCATCAAGTGCACCAAAGGTAGATCACCGCCCAATTTTCGGTGCACTAAATGTTTATGCTCATTTGTCACAGAAGGAAGAAAAGAAGAAAGAAGACAATCAACTTGCGAAGGGTGTGAAGGATAGGTGTGTTCTTGTGTTCTTGTGTAGTCCTGCTCATGGCCAAGTTTATGTTTTCTTTCGCAGCACAAAAATTGCTGCAGAAGCTCAGCATGGTTTGATATCTCAGGTATTGAAAGATATCGTTTTCTCTTCGCGACCAAGTCAGCAGGCTGGGACCACTCGCGTCACAGACATGATAGACACTGCGATGACTGTCGAATAGAACTGCATTTTGGGACATTCTGTACGCTGTAATGGTACAACATTATATAACACCCTTCGCATCATCATCGCATACGATAGATTTTCAAGCCTGAAGCCGTAGTGTGATGTGTTCTGCGCAAGCTTTACTCAGGAGGGATGCTGATTCAGAATTAGCGCTCCGCCATAGCCACAAACATTGACAAACAACTATCTCAAACCTTGGTGTAGATAGTGGTCTCGCCCTCCTCGCCAACGTCAACGCTTCAAGAACAAGTCAATCTCAAAGTGAGCCACTCATTTACGATGTTGGCATGCATGCAGAGAGCTCTATCGAAGAAAACAAATCAGCAAAACTGTTTTTCTTGATGGATGTTACTCTTCCTGTCCGGATGTGTACTGATATATTCTGCACCAGATGGGCCTTCAAGAATTCCAGGTCGTCGGACGCCACTTGCCCACCACCAACGAGCCCAACCCTAAAATCTACCGCATGCGCATCTTTGCGCCTAACGAAGTTGTTGCGAAATCCCGGTTCTGGTATTTCCTCAGGTGCGTTGATCTCCAGTATTTTTTAGGCGCAATGTAACATTCACCTAGGCAATTGAAGAAGGTCAAGAAAGCCAGTGGTGAAATCATTGGTGTCAACGTTGTGTGTATCCCTTGCAGCCGTTCAAGTGGCAGGCGGACGGGATTGCTGACGGTCTATATGACCTGTGTCACAGATACATGAGGCAAAGCCTCTGAAGGTCAAGAACTTCGGTATTTGGCTCCGCTACGACTCGCGATCGGGAACCCACAACATGTACAAGGAGTTCCGTGACCTCTCCCGTGCTGATGCAGTCAAGAGCCTTTACCAGGACATGGCTGCCAGGCATCGTGCCCGCTTCCGGTCGATCCACGTATGCCCTAACATCCTCCCGTTGTTTTGGATGTCATCTCAATATCTTCATCTCCTCAGATCCTCCGCGTTGTTGAGATCGCCAAGTCCGACGATGTCCGCCGCCCATACATCAAGCAGCTCCTTACCCCCAACCTCAAGTTCCCTCTTCCCCACCGTGTTGCCAAGAGTGCTGCGACTTTCGTTGCTAACCGTCCTTCCACATTCTGATTTTCTATCACGATGTGAAGGCATCACGGTGTATGGATTTGTATGCACACCTAAGTACGGGTTCATATGTAAAATTTCTTCGTCCTGCAACGGTCGATATCCACATGCATATATGACATCCAAGCTCATGATTTCCACCCTTTGCGGAATCTGTACACAGGTGATCAGAACTCTGGAATATGGCATGTCCTGTAACAGGTGCTTCCACAAAATGGTTGACACGGAGCACTTGACAGTTATGGTTCTAGCCTGCATGATCTCATACTCATCACGCCTCAATTTGCAAAGAATTTAGAGCTCCCGCTGAGCAGCTGTGGTGCCCCATGCCTATGTTCTGTTAAATGTTCCATAAATGATCTCTGCTAGCCAGACATAATCAGAACCCACTGCTAGTAATAGCTAGTAATAGGTGATATGGCGCCTATCTCCAGTGTCTCCACAGTGGCACCCGTGTGCCGGCTGCTTGAGGCACAACAGGCTTGTCAGCGGATATAGGTTATACCAGTTGGATGCAAATGTTATAAGCCCGGCATAATCTAAGCTTGGCTGTAGACGTGCTGTGCAAAGCCGCGGCGCAGCCGCAGCTGCATGCCGTATGGTCCGCTTCATTCCCACCAAAGAAGACTCAAAACCAAGTAGGTTGCCGACTCTATCTTTGCGATACTTCTGACATTGCAGAATGATCATACCTCCACATAATTCTGCTGATCCAACTACCTCTGAGCTCAAAGCTCACCCGGATACCGAGAATGGGCTTGCCGGAGAAGCAGTGCGCGACATTCTAGTTCCTTTATCATAAGTCGTCCTAGTTTACTGATTTTCCTTACAGCCTCCTCCATCATATTATGGTAACCCCTTGGAGCAAGATGTGACTGCGAATGCATCCTCTTCCAGCACTCCTCTTCAGCCCACATTCAAGTCCAAACCAACCAATTATTTGCATCTCTTCAATGAGAATAGCTCTGTTAAGGGGGAGTTCGTCATAGACCCTTGCATGGACATCCCCACCTCCCTACTTCCACCCATAGGTCCTGAAGAGGACGAGGCAGACAGAAAGAATCTGTCCTTGCACTCGACAAATGGATCTGTCAATGCACAAATATGGCTGCTCAGCGCTCGAGACCCTCAACCTTTTGATTCTAAGAAGCCCACAAAGCGCACGATACTCGATGTTGGCTCTGAACACGGTTCTGTCACTGTTCGAGTTGTACGTTCTCCGTTTGATTGCCTTGGTTTCCTCGTTGATTTGAATGGTAGCAAACTATTCACGGGGCTGCCCCGTTCTTGCTGACAATTTCCGCGAGGAACGGCGCTGTGAATGTCACTCTTCCACGATCTTTTATTGGCCTCCTTCTTCTAACGAACAAGCACGGCTCCATCTCGCTCGCCGATAATCTTTCCGAGAACTGCACGCATTTGAGTCAGGTGGATTCAACTCGACGATATTTTGTTGGAGACTTGTCCATGGTTGATGATAGTGGTTGGGCTGGAGATGAACTGCGAGTTGAAGGAAAAAATGGACAGATCAGAGTCAAATATTTTGAAGAACTTACCAGCGCAGACAATACCAGCAAAGGTGGGCTTTTGAATCGGTTATTTGGGTGGTAGTGGGAAGTATCCTGGAGTCACTTGTACGATTATTTCACGTGCGACTTGCAATCAGTATCATGTGGTGTTGATGGACCAACAGATGTCTGCCCTAATCGTCGATTGCCGCAGTACGCAGCCGCATGCGCAGCACCTTGGCAGCGCCGCAGCATTCCGTCCGTATATTTGTTGGTTTGCGAACTCACCCAATGATCTTTGACGATTTCACCTCCACCACCGTCAGTCCCCAATGATCATCTCAGAGAAGGAACTCCCGAATGAGTGCACAAAGGTGGTCGAGGCCGAGCAAGATCAATCACATGTAGTGATCAATACCATGGATGTTCGTTGACGAAATGTTTACCAGACATTGCTATCATTGACTGTTATCTGCAGGATGCACTGCCTCCAGCATATTCAGATCATGTACAGCACGAACGAATTGCAAGCTCGTGTTCCACGGAGCTTCGGCCTCCCTCCAAGCCCACCAATTTTCTCTCACTTATACTCAAGGACAAACCCATACGAGGCTGTTATGTGATCGACCCTCTGATACAAATACCCCTCAGTCTACTTCCTCCACTGAATGCTGGAGAAACAATTCAAGACAGGAAAAACCTGTACCTTCGCACCAAGGATGGGAGTATCAATGCTGATATCTGGTTGATGGGCCAAGATAATGCTGCTCCGAAGAACGGTAGCCGCACTACCCTCTCGCTAAGCTCCAATGATGGAAATATCACAGCTAAGATTGTGAGTGTTTGATTATTACGAGTAGTGTACCGTCTGAAGTGGTCTAGAATACGGTCAAGGTCGTTGCTCCATTCCTGTTAGACATATATGCACGCGATGGACGAGTCACTGTCCTTCTACCTCGGTCATTCCACGGTTCGCTTCTCCTGACTAGCAGACAAAGTGTGAAGCTTTCCGACGATCTTCTGCAGCGGAGCACAATATTGAGTACGGTAGAGCACACGCGGCGATATCTCGTCGGTGACATTTCGCATCGGATGTTTGGGGGCGATTGGAACGGGGACGAGCTCAAGGTTGTGTCTTGGGATGGCAGAATTATGATCAGATACATGGATGAGGCTGAGCCAGCGAAAACTGGTTTCTTCAGTCAGATATTCAGCAGCTAGATCAACTACATATGTATATAGTATACTATAGGGCCAGTCATTATGCTCATTTAACACACTGACTAGCCTAGCGAAAAGCTACCTGAGGCGACTCATTGTAAAATTAGATCTCGGTGTAGCCCGCGGCATGCCGTTGTGGGACACGTCTTGGATGCCATCTGTCAAGCCTCTCCACGCACGTTCTAGGCATAGTGACTAGATAATCATCTCCGAATTCCGATGATCATATCTCCGACTCAGATCGGCATCGTCCGACTCTCCTTTTATCAGAGCAACTCTCGCAAGCGGCTCAATCTCAGTTTCTCTCTTATCCATCATGGCTAACGTTTACGTGAGTTGTCGCATCGGCGATATTCGCAACGAGGAACTCATATCTGACATATCTGATTTATTAGTTTGACATCACCATCGGCGGCGCCCCATCTGGACGCATCGTCTTCAAGCTCTTTGACGCAGACGTGCCAAAGACCGCTAGGAACTTCCGTGAGCTGTGCACCGGTCAAAATGGTTATGGATATGCTGGCTCTGGCTTCCATCGCATCATTCCTTCCTTCATGCTTCAGGGTGGTGACTTCACCAGGCACAATGGCACTGGTGGCAAGTCTATCTACGGCGAGAAGTTTGCTGGTGAGGGTCATAGTGGCATTTGGAATACGGCATCTAATTCTGATATAGATGAAAACTTCAAACTGAAGCACACTAAGCCCGGACTTCTGTCCATGGCAAACGCCGGCAAGAACACTAACGGCTCGCAGTTCTTCATCACCACCATCATCACTAGCTGGCTCGATGGTGCTCACGTAGTGTTCGGTGAGAATATCCATCAGATAGCTGTCGATTAGAACTAACTTATGTCTCAGGTGAGGTCATCGAAGGCATGGAACTCGTGAAGGCTATCGAGAAGCTTGGATCTGAATCTGGCAAGCCTAAAGCTGAAGTCAAGATCTCCGCCAGTGGTACATTGTAAGATATATGAGTAATGCAGAAAGTTCCGAAGCAAGAAGATACTTTTATTCATCACGAATAAAGCTTGTACGTTTTGGTATTATAGATATTTTGAGAAGATTGCAGTGTGACCTTGTCGGTATCGATATGCAATCCATCGCAGAGATTAGATGATTGTAGATCTATTCAACATGAAACATTACGTTCACAATGTCCACAATTGGCATTGCATTCACAGGCGTATTTTGGATGCATCAAGTTCAACCATCAAAAGTTCGAACGTTCAAGTGTTGCGAGTTGTTGTTCTTTCGCACCTCCCTTGATCCCAGATTGATCCCCTGATACTGGCTCAATCTCCGTGATTCATCAGGGTTCAGCTAGGAATGGCATATCCCTTTTACCAGCGGGAATCAAATATCCATCTAGGAGGGCAAACCAGAGGACTAGTGAGCCTCAGATATCATCATATAGAGAAAAGGTTTTCGTTATGATAAAGTCACATACAGCGTCGGAAAACCCCAGCAATCAACGTAAAGCCCTGGGGAGACTCACGAGTTCTTTGATGCTGATGTCGCCTATGCGAGCTTAGTGATCTCCTTGCATCGTGCAACGTTGATGCACAGCACTATGTCATGTCTAGGATAATTTGGAGTCCTCGACTTGACAGTTTCCATGGAGGTCAATGTCGTGCGCTTGCCTTGGCAGGCTTGCATACACAATGACACTTGATTGTGGGAAGGTCCGTTAATCAAGGTTGGTATATAACGGATCGTCGCATATTTTCAACGTCTTTCTCCCATTGTAAACCGGCTCATTACAATGGATATTATTGACTCGGAAGCGCAACATATGTGAGTGCTACACGCATAGATTGACCTTGTATCCTGACGGTGACCGAATGTTTACAGCTTGTTCCGCATGTACACCATTCTGGCGGGAAACAGTATTACAGCTCAGTTTTGTTTGTGGTCTCAGGACGATAACGCGATCTTATAGGCATCTTGATATACGACCATATGACGACCCTACCAGAAGAAATTGCTTTTATTTGGCGTCGTCCAAAAGCCCTGTCTGCAATATTATTTCTGCTCAATCGTTATGTCGCTCTGCTCGGCAATATATCCTACTTAGTTATCTATTTCGTTCCGATTTCAGATGAGGTTCTATTATTTCGTTATACATGTACTGCTCAACTGGTATGCTCACAACTTATTTCTGTAGAGGTTTGTTTCGCTCTGGCTCTCGAATATCCGTTTTGCTCAACAAAAACTTAGCTGTTCAAAATATTCGCTATACAGACAACTGGCTCTTCTTTTCCAAGCAGCAATCGTTTGCAGTGAGTAAAAATTTATTACGAGAAAATTCCTACACTGAAAATTTCAGTCATAATGACCATTCGTACTTATGCACTCTACGGTGGTAGCAAGCGCCTGCTTACTTGTATGACAATCATCATGATTTCTCTTGCAGTAGCAGTTTCTGTACGTCTTCCCATAAAATTTCACACTCTGAGGTGTGTTGATCGTTTCTAGGTGGGATCGTTTGGGCGTTTTTCAGGCAGTGCGGCCATCTTGCCAGGAGTTGGCTGCAATGAGACATTCACAGCGGAGACGTACGCGCCATCTTCTTCACCGCTGTGCGTACTTACTGAAATGTTTCTGCAGAGCCGCCCGTAAGTCTCATTTGCATGCAACTTGATGTAATGACCTTGGGCAATTGCAGGTGTTGGTCTTGGATGGATGGCTGAATTGGTCTTCGAATTACTGATACTCATCCTCACAGTGTATAGGATTTGCAAAACTAGAGGCTTGCTGCGGTTGTCCCTAGTCACGGGGAGAAACATGATTGATATGATATTGCACGATGGTAAGCTTTTCGTTGCATCTGTGGTGTAAATACTCAAGCAAATGAATGCAGGCGCGATGTATTTCGGGTGAGGTTACTAGCGAGATCGTGATTCGAGTGAATCTGATCTGCGTTCAGAGCGATGGCGCTGGTGAACATACCGAACATCCTGGCGTACTACGTAAGTCAACGAATGAGTATTGATGGAGTCTTAGAGCGCTCATAGCTTGCATCAGTCTGGTCCAGTGAGCATATGCGGCCGCATCTTATATTTAGGTTGCCATTTTCTGACGATCGGTAAGGTTGCCACCAGAGGTGGTCTGCCCACACTTGCTAGCTGGTGAGTGGTTGATGAGATAAACGCGGATTCATATTAAATATGACATCCAGCATGTCCGTTACTCTCATCTCTCGGCTGATGCTCAACCTGCACAAGACTATCGACACCGGCATATGCTCCACCCTCGCCTGGGACGACGACCCCAGCCTCGCTGTCCTTACCACTGGGGTCAACGTACAATCCGCACCTTCATCTTCTCACCATTGGTAAACTGGTTTTGAATTCTGTTTCTGATGGCGAAATTGCGGAGATACTTGTTGGGAGTGGAAAACTGTTCTTGCAGTCATTTGCTTGAATGCACTGACAGGGGTGGACGACGCTGCATCCGCGCCGGCGGTTACGCGTGCTTAATGTAACTATCATCTTTGGGCGTGCCCTATGTAGACAGTATGTTCATTATGCTCATTATTATGATGTATGTGTTCGCCTGTAATCATATATGACTTAGACGAACTAATTAAGCCTCTCAAGATGGAGACGGGCGTCGTTGAGAAGATACTGCCGGAAGTCATGCCAGTGCTTATCTTCGACATCCCGCCCCACTTGATAGGTATTAGCGGTGGCATCAACAGAAGGAAATTTCATGCAGGCACTAACGTGGACTGCTTTCGCTTTATTTCCCATTTTAGGCAATTTCTCGTGCACACAGGATCCGCACCTAAAGACGTGAATAGCCGCCAACAACTTCCCCTGGGGTTTTCAGATCCTGATTAGTGCCAAGTACAAGGTAAGTACAAGTAAGTCATTAGCTTGTCTTTCGATCCCACTTGACCGCCACGATGGCCATGATCCATGTGCTTTAGCCAGGAATGCCATATGGTAGCATCGTAACGGCACAGCCCAATGTGGATGAATCTGGACTATCCGCCCACGAGAGGCTAGCCTGAGGCTGTAACATGCTGATCAGTGGTGCATCAATTGATGAACCTTCGTCTACTGGAATGTGCAGCGCTACATTACGTCTAGAGCTTTGTTTTGCAGTCGTCAACTTGCTATTTCCGGTAAGTAAGTGCCCGACTTACAGGCTTGCTGCATACATAGCACTTGATTGACATAATTGCATGTAACGCCGCCGAGCGCTGATCACTGGTCACGACTGGTATATAATGGATCGCCGCACATTCTCAACGTCGTTTTCCTGCTTATATTGGCTCATTGCAATGGACAGTATAAACTCGGAATCGCTGCAGATGTGAGTGGGACACCATAGAATTGAGCATGTATCCTGATGGCAACTGTATGTTTACAGCAAGTTCGAAGCATACACCATTATGGTCGGAAACAGTACTAGCGCTCAATTTTGTTTCTTGTCTCTGGACGATAACGCAATATTATAGGTATATTGATATACGACCATTTGGCGACCCTACCAGAAGAAATCGCTTTCATTTGGCGTCGTCCGAAAGCCCTGTCTGCAATGTTATTTCTACTCAATCGCTATTTCGCTCTACTCGTCAATATCTGCGCTTTAGCTCTGGATTTCTTGCCAATCTCAGATGAGGTTCTTTTATTCCGTTATGTGTATACTCAACTGGCGTGCTCACAACTTCTTTCTGTAGAGGTTTGTTTCACTCTGGCTTTTGAATACTGGCTCAACGCAAACTTAGCTGTTCGAAATATGAGCTATACAGACAAGTGGCCTTGGTATTCCAGGCAATCATTGTTTGTCGTGAGTAGAAGTTTATCCCAAGAATTTCATACACTGAAAATGGCAGTTATAATGACCATTCGCACTTATGCTCTCTACGGTGGTAACAAGCACCTGCTTATTTGGATGACAATCATCATGATTTCTCTTGCAGTAGCAGTTTCGGTAAGACTTTGGATAGTATTTTACATTCTTGTATTGATTATTTCTAGGTGGGATCTTTGGGGCATTTTTCAGGCAACACAGATCAGACCGTCTTTTCTGCAGTTGGCTGCAATGAAACATATACAGCAGAAACGTACTATATTCTTTCTCGCTGTTATGCGTACCTACTCACAAGTTGTTGCAGAGCCGCCCGTCAGTGAAATCTAAGTCCGATTTGCACGCAACTTGATGTAACAAACGTTATCTAATTGCAGGGCTTGGGTTGGCGTGGATGGCCGAATTGGTCTTCGAATTGCTGATCTTCGTCCTCATAGTGTACAGGATTTGCAAAACTCGAGGCTTGCTGCGGTTGTCTCTATTCACAAGGAGAAATATAATTAATATCATATTTCACGATGGTAAATTTTCGTCGCATTTGTATTTGTAAACACTGAATCAATTACACACAGGTGCGATGTATTTCGGGCGAGTTTGTTTGCTAGCGAGATCGTGATATGAGTGATTCTGATCTACATGCCGTCAGAGCGATGGCGCTGGTGAATATACCGAACATCCTGACATTCTACGTGAGTCGACGAATGAGTATTGATGGAATCTCAAAGCGCTCACAGTTTGAATTAGACTAGTTCAGTGAGTATATGGAGCCGTATCTTATGTTTAGGTTGACTACTTCCTGACGATTGGCAAGGTTATCTTCAGAGGCGGACTGGCCGTACTTACTAGCTGGTGAGTGGTTGGTGCCACAAACCCTGACTGGTATTAAATATGACATCCAGCATGTCCGTTACTCTCATCTCTCGGCTGATGCTTAACCTTCACAAGACTATCGACACCGGCATTTGCTCCACCCCCGCCCGGGATGATGGCCCCAGCCTCGCTGTCCTTACCACCATGGTCAACGTACAGTCCCCGGTTTCCTCTCACGATTGGTAGACTGGTATTATATGCTGTTTCTGCATGCGAAGTTACTGAGATTCTTGCACTCCCAAGTTGGGAGTGGAACTCTTTTCGTTCAGTCCTTTTCTTGAATGCAGAGGTGGACGACGCTGCACCCGCGCCGGAAGCCACGTGCTATTTGTTAATCGTCAAGTATCATAGTGTTCAAGTTTGTCCGTACTAGTAATTCTATATATCTGTAATTAAACCTGTTACAATGGGGGACGGGCGATATTGATATTGAAAGACGTTGTCCTCGCATTTCTATCTTCGACATCTCCACTTGATAGTGGTGTCTAGCAACAGGTCATGTCGAGCGAACTTGGACGCACAGTTGTCTGACGTGTCCAACATTTTTGGGTGAGTCGTGTTCGTGATGGGCAACGGGAAAGCCGATCGGCTCGGACGATGCTAGCCGTCGGGAGCAAGATGCAGTGAGCGCGCGCGCATAAGATACGTCGTCGTCTATGCACTCCAAGATCATCATGGAATGCTCACTGTCGCCTGTTGCCAAGGTCTCGCATTATAACGTGCCATATCGAGTAGGAAATGGCATATATACACGGGCCGCACGGCACACTGTGGTTTGCTTCGGCCTTATTTACCATTTCAGGTAATATCCTGCCTTTTGCACCAGATTGATCTGCATCAAGTTCAAAAGTACATATACACTACCAAAATTTCTTTTCGAATCCCCCTTGGTCATTATGGTGGCTATGATCCTTGTATTAGCAAGGAATAGTATATACCAGCCTCGTAACAACGCTGCCTATGAAACACCCACTGCCGACGTGAGGCTATCCTGTAACTCGTGCAACGTGGACCCGGGCCGAGGTGAAACGGAAGTAAGTATGCCGCAGCGCTTAGGCTGAGCGCTATACAACGTCCAGACCTTTTTTTGGAGTCGTTGACTCGCCTGATTTCGGGAGGTGTGTGACTTGCCACAAGGCTTGCATACATAGCAATTGATTGATGATTGCGGGAAGGAACGTTGATCAAGACTGGTATATAATGGATCACCGCAGTGCGCACAATTTTCGCCCTTTTCCCGCTGAATATTGCCTCATCACAATGTATATTACTGAAATGCAGCAAATGTGAGTGTTACACACATAGATTGGCCTTCTATCCTGATGGTGACTGAATATTTACAGGCTGTTTGGCCTTTACGCCCTTGTGGCGGGAAACAGTACTATTGGTTTTTCCTTAATCTCGAGAGGGTGACACAATATTTTGAATCTAGGTATCCTGATATACGATCATATGGTGACCCTACCAGAAGAAATCGCTTTTATTTGGCGTCGTCCGAAAACCCTGTCGGCACTGTTATTTCTGCTCAATCGCTATGCCGCTCTGCTTGGCAACATCGCCGGCTTGGTTGTGGATTTCCAGCCTATAATTTCAGATGAGGTTTTAATATCTCGTCATGCATGTACTTAACTGGCATGCTCATCACTTATTTTTGTAGAGGTTTGTTTTACTGTGGTTCTTGAATAGCTATTATTTTGCTCAACGAAAAATTAGCTGTTCCAAATATACGCTATACAGACAACTGGCCCTTTTCCTCCAAGGAATGATCGTTTGCGGTGAGCAAAAAATTGTTGCGAGAAATTTACTAGTACATACTGAAATTTTCAGTCATAATGGCCATTCGCGTTTATGCTCTCTATAGCTGTAGCAAGCGCCTGCTTACTTGGATGATAATCGTCACGGCTGGTCTTGCGGGACTAGCTTGCGTACGTTTTCGCATAGAATTCGGGACCTTGGAATCTACTGATCGTTTCTAGGCGGGCACTATTGGAAAATTTTCAGGCAACGTGGAAGTCGTGCCAGGAATTGGCTGCAATGAAAAATTATCAACAGAGGTGTACGTCATCCTCATCGCTGTTCTGCGTGCCTGCTTAAAAGTCGTTGCAGAGCCTCCCGTCAGTGAATACTCAGTCACAACTTTATGTTATGACCTTATCCAATTGCAGGATTGGGGTTGTCATATGTGGCCTCATTTGTCTTCGATTTATTCATCTTCATCCTAACAGTGTACAGGATTTGCAAAACCAGCAGCTTGCTGCGGTTATCTCTAGTCACCAGGAGAAATATTATTGACATTATGTTTCACGATGGTAAATCTTTTGTTGCATCCGTGTAGTAATCACTGAATCAATCGAACGCAGGTGCAATGTATTTCGGGTGAGGTGGCTCGCAACATCGTGATTCGAGTGAATCTGATCTGCATACCATTAGAGTGATGGCGCTGGTTAATATACCCAACATCCTAACGTTCTACGTGAGTCGACGAATGGGTATTGATGGAGTCTCAAAATACTCACAGCTTGAATCAGGTTGGTTCAGTGAGCATACAAACCCCGCACCTGATATTTAGTTTGACTGTTTCGCAAGGATGGCCTCAGGGGCAGTTTGGCCACATTTACTAGCTGGTGAGTGGTTGACGAGACAAACTCGGATTGATATTAAATACGACTTACAGCATATCCGTTACTCTCATGTCTCGGCTGATGCTTAACCTGCACAAGACTATTGACATCGGTATTTGCTCCATCCCCGCCCGGGACGACGGCCCCAGCCTCGCTGTCCTTACCACCAGGATCAACGTACAATCCGCAAATTCCTCTCACCATCGGTAGACTGGGTATGACTCGTATGAGATTCCGTTTCTGGATGCGAAGTTGCGGAGATTCTTGTTTGAAGTGGAAAACTGTTCTTGAACGCAGCACTACAACCCGTGCTGGCGGCTATGTGGGCTTAATGTAAATTTTTATCTATGGGTGTGGACTCTAATTACTTTACTGACATCTATGTGCTCCACAATATTCAATGTATATAATCCTTAGCCTCTCGGCTCGTACTGTGGTTGAATTTTCACTCGGGTCACGTACTGATCCACTAAATTGACACTCCTTAGATCTTCCGACAGCACCTCGGTTGCGGCTTTGGGGTTTGCAGTCCTGCGCAAGCCCATACCGTTCTGCATACAGACCCAAACTCACGTTCGATCCTCGGTCTTAGCGCCCTAGCGGAATATCTCGTGGTTAAGCTATCAATTAAAAAGTGAAGTTGCAAAGCCACTCTGGCTTGCGTGTTTTCATGCAACAATGTGGCAGTATGCACGGATTGAGACTCTCACGAACGGGCGCAGACGTTGTCCTGTGCTGCCGGAATTCCCAATTGATTGTTGAAAAAAGAAAAAAAATCGTCCTGGAAGGAAGCGGTGCAATTGGATTGCTTCCACGTTATTTGCCATTTTAGGTAATTCCCTGCTTTGTGCGCAATTCGTTACAAGAAATCCTTCATGCTTTCCTCCAAACGTTGTGACAACATCCTGCAGACCAAGTAATGCTGAAGAGCGCAGCCTGACTCTGAGACTTGAGTAGGTCTGTCTTCGACGGTGAAAACGTCGCATCCGCGCGTCCCACGCCGCCGCCAACGACAGACCCCAAGTTGTGGGTCCACGTGTTTCCAATTACTCAAAAAGTTGATTTTGCAGTGCGAATTGCCATGATGCATTTTTTCTGGCTTCTTCAATGGGTCCACAGGCAATTCCTCGATCGATTGCTTTCTCTCGTCGCCCTGAGCTCTCGAGTATATATCTAGGGCTATGTTAGTCCCATCATCCCAACAAACCAGCCCCACTGCGCTTTCCGATAGCCCAACGAAGCCTATCTCTAATACTTTAAGAATCTGTCTCATCGAAGAGCTCTAAAATGTCTACTTCATCCCAATTCTCCAGAGTCTCCGGCAACTGGCGCAAGGCTTCCATATCCTCAGTCAACATTGATCTTGAGGCACAAACCGTTACTGGCACGCACGCGTCCTTCACTCTTCCCGCTGCCACCCAGGCAGTTCATTCTGCTGCTGCGCCTACACACACACCTCAGCAGAATGACAACACTACAGACCCCATCGATGACTTCTTCGGGGTCACTCGCACCCGTGCAACTCGCGAGAGTCGCCATGATTCATACGTCACACTTAGTCGCATTTCCATGGCTATGGATGGAGAAGCGCCTCCTCCATATGTGGACGCCACTGAGCCTCCTGCATACAACTCCACTCCTGCTGAGCCTGTGACACTGGCTATGTATCTGTTCAAATTCGGATTTTGTGAGTACAACCTGCCCTCCACTTATCAGACTTTTCCTGATCGAATCTCTCTCAGTGTTCCCACCATTCTGGTTACTTGCAGCAATCATCCTGCTCTCGCCACTCACGGCTCCTGCTGACTTCGAACCAACGAAGTCTGACGCTGAGCGCCAGGAGCTAGTCCAGATCATGAGAGATGCTGAGGTCAAGTGGGCTAAACGATCTGCTTGGGCACTCCTGATCTTCCTGGTTGTCGTTGGCATTATCGCTGGGGCTATCATCAGTGTCTTCAAATCATGAACAACTCGACACACGCCCAGTTCTCTCCGCATGACTATTTCATTCCCTCAATCACCGCTGCATGGACTTCATTTCCGTCTTCGTATTTCATTTCGACGTCCTGAGGGTGGCCTCAGGTCATAATCACCCCGTCTTTCCTTATATTCCTCGGAACCAAAATTCGTTGTATCAGAATATCTCCCACAAACGGGACGCGCTGTATGACTAGGTGTCTGTATTTATGACTATATTATGAATGCAGGCGAATAAAAAACATCGTTGTAACTTCGTGCAAAGTTCGGCAGCTGTGCGGCAAGCCCCGGAATTAATCGGAGAATAAATCATGAATTGTCCTAGCCAGAGATTGCCGAGTATTTTAAGCTTTGTTCGTTTGCTCGAAGCACTTCCGTCGCTCGTTTTCACAGTGTCCTCTGTCTTTACACGTTACTTCCACACAACAAAAAAACTCAACCATGTTCCGCCGTCTTGCCCTCGCTTTCGCCGCTCTGCTCAGCGTTGTGTCTGCTCAGTTGACCATCACGTCTCCTGGTCCCAATGACTGGTGGGGTGGGTACCAAAATCCTAGACATCTAGACGTTGCGATGCTGATGCATTTAATGCGTTTCTTCTTTTAATTCTCTTCATAGTCGCGTCGTCGCTGAACACAATCTCGTGGACATGTTCGACTTCTCCATACCAGAACTTCACTATTCTGTACGTACGGTCTTGTTGAGTACGCGTGAGAGCCCACTCAACTGATCATCTTTTGTAGTCTCGCCAACTCAAACACTGCGGTTCTCCCTGCGCCCCTTGCTATCATCGCCGTTCAATATAACTATGACTGTTCCAAAACCATCACCCAGCAGCAATCTGCGCAACCCGCTGGCACCGGCTACACTGTTCAGTTTGCTAGCACTCTGAACTCCACTGACGTGCGTGAACGTTTCTCAGGCTCGTTGAAGAATTGTGTTGAACGTCGTTTCTTTCACACAGATCTACGCCCAGAGCGAGCCGTTCGAGATCAAAGCTCTTGGTTCGTCTTATCCCACCACCACCAGCACCGCTGGCAGTACTGCTACCGGGACTGCTTCCGGCAGTGCTGGGGCCGCACAAGCCACCACAACTGGTGGTACCCTTGCCCAATATGTCCCTGTTGGCATGAGCATGGTCGCCGCTCTTGCTCTTGGCTTGGTCGTTGCCTAGTTTCATTTCCAGGACTTGGACTCCCATACAGATATCCCTTTGTTTATTATCATTTCTTCTTCAGGACCTTCTACTTCGTGGACAAGACGACTACCTTTCGTCCGTGTGTTGAATGTCAGTTCTTAACGCTTTATGGCTTAATGTGCAGTGTGACGATTTTGGACGGTTGTGATTTAAAGCACTGTTGTTTTGCTACTACTTGGATGGCGTTATGAACTTGATTCAGGTTATGTGGTCTGATCGCTGGATTGTTGAGTCTCGTATTCATTGCATCTACCTCTCTTGACGTGAATCAAATTCATCGTGACGTGTTATGGACCGTGTTATGACCACTGCGCCATGACATCGAGTTGTGTAAGAGGTGGCGTAGGTTAGGCCTCAAACACCACACGAAGGCAGAATGGCTACGAGTCTGCTCAAAAGGTAGAACCAAAGAAACTCAACAACCGGTAATACATGCGCCACCGCACGGACGAACACGTATACATAATTAGCCAGCAATTCGTAATGTACGTATGATCTACATACTCGGGCAAGCCCAAAGTAATAAATGTAAATACACACATTGAGCACGCATGCCATGCTTCGTTCTAGAAATGACTAAAAGAACAATCTATACTTCCAACTCGGATCTTGAAATCCAATACCAGCCTATCAATCGTAGGAGGAAATCGCGGACTGTAGGTTGACCCTGGTAGTAAGGACATCGAGGCTGGTCCAGGAATCGTCATTCTGGACGGGGGTAGAGAAAATGCCAGTGTCGATAGATCCGTGCAGGTTTAGCATTAGCCGAGAGATAAGAGTGACAGACATGCTGGAGATCATATTCAGTATCGGACCGTGTGTATCACATCAAAACCCACCAACTAGTAAATGCGCCTAGACTGCCTCTGGCGACACCCTTTGCAACCATCAGGAAATAGCCAACTAAATTATAAAATACGGGCGCTCACTGAACTGAGCTGAAGCACGGTGTGAGCGTGCGACTCCATCAATAATTCATTCGTTGACTCACGAAGTACGTCAGAATATTGGGTAGATTGATCAATGTCATCGCTCTGAACGAATGAGGATCAGATTCACTTGAATCGCAGCTTCTCTAGCAATCTCACGCGAAGTACAACACACCTGCGCTCGCTTGGTTCAGTGTTTACGATACCGGTGCGAGGAAAAAAAAATACCATCTTGAAATATGATATCAACGATGTTTCTCCTAGATATTAGAGATAACCTCGAGAAACCCTTGGTCTTGCAAGTCCTGAAGACTGTAAGGACAAAAATGAATAATTCGTAAACAAGCATTGCTACCCATGCCATCCCATGACCTGGGATTGGAAAGATCATGGCATCATCAATTTGCATGCAAATGTAACTTAGAATTCACTGACGGACGGATCTGCAATAGCTGTTGAGTAGGCGCGCAGAGCGATGAAGGGAATTACATACGTTGCTGCTGTGTATATTTCATGACAGTTACCGTCGGTCGCACTGTTTGAATCACGGCCAACGGATCCCACCTAAAAGTTTAGCAGATTCCAAAGTCCAAAACGTTATGCAAACACGTACCAAACCTCCTGCCGCACTAACAAGGCCTATGATTGCCATCCAATAAAGCAGGCGTCTGCTGCAACCGTAGAGAGCATAAGTGCGAAGACTCAATATAACTGAAATTTTGAAAGCTTCGGTAAGTATGTCTTTCTGGCGGTAAACTTCTAACTCACCACAAACGAAGACTTGTTGGCAAAAAAGCAACACTTGTCCAACTAGCACGTAATTCGAACAGCTAATCCTTTGTTAAGCAAAATAACAGATATAGAAGAACGAAAGTTGAAACCTCTGCGGAGAAAAGGTGTGAGCCTGCCAGTTGAGTACATGCACAACATCGTAGAACCTTGTTTGAAATGGGCAGGGAATTGCTAAATATGCCAAATATATTGCTGAGCAGGGCGACATAGCGATTGATGAGAAATAATATTGCAGATAGTGCTTTCGGACGACACCAAATAAAAGCGATTTCTTCCGGGAGGGTTACAATATGGTCGTATATCAGGATACCTAAAATATGATGTTAGGGTCCCGAGGGCAAACGACAAAATGCCCCAGTACTGTTTGCCACGACAATGCCGTATAAGTATACTGACCTGGCAAATTGTAATGTTAGGTCGTAATCAGCATACATAGTAAATCTATGCGTGTATCACTCACTGCGCTTGCAAGTCAGTAGTGTCCATTCCATTACAAAGGCAATATTGAGTTCCAGCGCGACCGTCACGCCGCGACATTATATACAGCCGTCACCCGTGTTGAACGCTTCCTTTCCGCAATTACCAATCATCCGACATTGATTGACTGTCCCATCATGCATCAGGGGCTATGTGTGACGCCAACAATGACAATCACACGCCAAAACGGGCGGATCCAGAACACTCCTAGACGCCGATGGTGCTGTGCATGGATGTTCCAAGTTAGTCGATCCCTGCGTCAGTGTGTTACTAGCACACGGGTGATTCAGGCATCCAAGCGCTCCCGCACGCTGATACGCAAGAATAATGGCCACCATGGCAATTGATCAAGGCCCAAGGGGGGATGATGGCAAAGGGGTATCTGAAAATGGCAAATTGCGATGCAAAATCAAGTTTTTTCGGTAAAACTTGGTCCCATAGTAGGATAGACTAGGACACATCGCTAGCAGCGCAGCGCTGGCGCATTTGAATACTAGTCGGACATTGTCGAGCAGCGGTCGGACCGATCAGAGAGACGTAGCAATTTGTTCACGACCAGGTTGAAGTTCATTGAACTTTTCTGCAACACATCAAGGATTTCTGAGGAATGCACGAATGATTGCTTGCAATGATCATCTTGCACCATGGTCCACTGGGCCAGCAGGCACCGCTCGCACGTCGTAGTCAGACTGGTAGAACTCGGAGTGATTTGGCAGGCGAAGCGAGGAGTTCGAAATTTAGCAGATGCCGGTCGTGCCGAAGCCTTTGGGTTACGGGTACGCATTGTATTTGGACAGCGTCGACGACATCCACATCGTACGAAGCGTCGTATGCCTCTCAGTGGTCATCGATCATAGCGCATCGAGCAACAATACTAAATGTCAAATAGGACAATAAAATGATCCATTTCATGCATTTTACCCACCCATGATGCAGGCCGACCCCCATTATCGCTGTCCTCAAGATACTTCGTGGATTGCGCAATTGCGGATGACGGTCATTGACCTCATGTTGCACTCGATCTCCCAAAGACCCTCCATGGCAACTTGAAGGGAAGTCGAGCAAGGCACTTGTGCGATTTCTTAATGTGCTGGGCCACTGCTGGCCACCGACAAGTGGGCGAATAACTTCCTGTCAGTTTACTACTCCTTGCTATTGCAGTAATTTGTCGTCACTACACCCGAACAAGGCCATCTGGCTTTCCGAACGTCATTTCATTCAAGATGTTCCGTCAAGACTCGACATGCTGGAATGAAGGTGCCACACTTTGAACACAATTTGAACACGACAGGCACCCGCTAAATTCCGAACTCCTCGCTTCGCCCTGCCACGCCACCCCTGACAATGTATTGCCACTAGGACAGACATCAGCGCGTCCACATCCCGTTGTCCGTTGTCGTGTGGGGTGTAATCCTGCCATCTGCCGGGAAGAACCGGTTCTGCCAAACCAGTTGGTATGGAAGTCTGCCCAGCGCCCACAACACTAAGATCCTGACCCTGGACTCCGGACACATGTCACCTGCCACCTCTGCCACTCGCTCCACTTGGCCTGCCTAAACCCTGCGGGAACGCCGTGCTAGTACTAAGCGAAATCACCCATCCTTCACCCGTCACCATGTCACCACCCAGGTGAAACGGACAAGTCACCTACCCTAGATAACCCTAGATAACCACTTTCCGGTTTCATAGTGAAAGCAGCGGTTCACTTAATCTCCCCTGGTTTTATCGTATGAACATAGTCGTTCCTTCGCATAAGCAGTATATAAATTCCTTCAAGGACAATTTTGTTTCTTTGATTACAGTGCCACCTGGCGACCCGTTCGGCATGCATCATGATTGATCGATTGACCTATTGTTACTATCTAATGGACAGTAACATGAGAAAAATCTATTGTAGAGATCTGCTGTATCTCTTAAGACAGCCATTGACTTACTCAGGCATCGTATCAACACAATTATACTTCGTATCCTGAAACGTCAAACGAAAGAAAATCCTATACCCTCAACATGGCAGAAGTTTTGTGACTGTGGCATACATCGCCCTTCTCTTGATCTACTCCTTTAAAAATAAAGTACGTTGTCACAGTTGGAAAAACATCCGCAATTTCAACAGAACCCAAGTCCAGCCTAGTGAGAGGAAATCACGGACTGTATGTTGACCCTGGTGGTAAGGACATCGAGGCTGAGGCTGTCATCCCGGATGACGGTCGAGAAAATGCCAGTGTCCGTGGATTTGTGCAGGTTAAGCACCAACCGAGAGGTGAGAGTGACGGACATGCTGGAGGTCATATTCAAGATCGATTCGTTTATTGCACCATCACTCACCAACTAGTAAACGTGGCCAGATTTCCTCCGGTGATAGTCTTGCCAATCGTCAGGAAACAGCCAACCTAATTATAAGATATGGGTGTGCTCACTGAACCACACTTAACCATGGAATGAGCATACGACCCGATCAATATTTTATTCGTTGACTCACATAGTACGTCAAAATGTTGGGTATATTAGTCAGTGCCATCGCTCTGAAGGAAACGCAGATGAGAATTACTCAAAACACGGTTTCACTAGCAATCTCACGCGAAATACATCGCACCTGCATTTGCTTGGTTCAGTATTTATGTCGCCGATGCAACGAAAAGTTTACCATCTTGAAACATGATGTCAAAGATATTTCTCCTGTATGTTAGAGATAACCGTGGCCATCCACTAGTCTTGCAAGTCCTGAAGACTGTGAGGACAAAGATGAGCAACTCGTAGACGAAAATTGCAACCCATCCCAGCCCATGACCTGCGAGTGGGTAAGGTAATGACGTCATTAACTTCCATGCAATGTGACAATTCACTGACGAGCGGCTCTGCCATGACTTGTGAGCAAGGCGCACATAAAGATGAAGTGAATGACATACGCCTCTGCTATGAATGTGTTCTGGCAACTCCCTTGCAAGTCAGTCGCACTATTTGAATTACCTCCAAAAGTTCCCACCTAAAAGATCAGCAGAAATCCAGAGTGCAAAATTATATGTGAACACGTACCGATGCTCCTCCCAAAAGAGCAAGGCCGATGATTAGCATGCAACTAAGCAGGCGCCTGTTACAGCCATAGAGGGCATAAGTGCGCAGCGTCAATATGACTGAAAAAAACCAGTATAAGTATTTCTCGCGCTAAACGTCTCACTCACGACAAACAATGATCTGTTGAAGAAAAAAGAATAGTTCTCTGACTAACAGGTATTTCGAGCAGCTAAGCTTTTGGTAAGAACAATAAATACTCGAGAATTAGGGTTGAAACCTCTGCGGATTAAGTTGTGAGCCTGCTTTCTGGTTAAATGCATAACGAAAGTATCGAACCTCATCTGAAATGGGCAGGAAATCAACAAGTAAGCCAAAGATATTGCCGACCAGAGCGACATAGCGGTTGACGAGAAATAACATTGCAGACAGTATTTTCGGACGACTCCAAATGAACGCGATTTCTTCTGGGAGGGTCACTGTGTGATCGTATATCAGGAGACCTATAACATTGTGTCATCGTCCTGAGAACAAAGATTGAAAGCCCCCGTACTGTTTGCTACGAGAACGGCGTGCAAGTGAAACAACCTGGTAAATTGTAACGTCAAGAACAAGATAGGGGATGAATTTATGTATGTATTGTATCACTCACAACTGCTGTTTTTCAAGAACATCCATTACAATGGCTCACAAGGCAATATGCAACAGGAAGGGTGTTGAGAATATCTGGCGCACTCAGGCTATCATATCAGTATGAAATACCAGTGTCGCAGTTAACGTTCCTTCCTGCCATTGGCATAAATCCGACGGGGTACTTCATTTCGTACTTTGAACTTGTCGTTAATTCAGCCGAGCTCAACACAGTGCAAATTATGTCACATGTCACATGCCAGGTTTAAAATGATCTGTTCATGGAATCATGATCGTAGGCTTTTAGCTATATCTCATCTGCAACACATTGTCATCGAGCAGCTTAGAGGAATGCACAAAGGATCATACATGCATGTATCACACTCACAGAAGAAGAGATTGACGCACGCGGAACCAATCGATCCACTGCACTTCCGAGTCCATTGGTCAAGCCGACTCATATTCTCCCACCTCAGGCAGCACTTCTCGGTGCCTACCAAGTCTGTATCTTTGATTGCTGATGCAGATGGGCCAAGGCCTGAATCGCTTGACATGATCTGACGTCAGTATCAAGGGTGATGTCCGAAAGATAAACACATGACCTTGTTTAGTACAAGGTCTCCTCGACGACACCCCGGACTATCGTGGATAGTTGTGGATTCCGTGAGAGATTCAGATGTTTGTCTATGCTTGCGCGGATCCGTCGGAGCGGTATCCAACATGAATTTGTGCAGCCCTGACGATATTATTGACTTGTGTAAGACAACAAACTACAAAGCCCCGAAGTTATTTAAGATTCGAAGAGAAGCCATACACTTCCTGTGGAGAAAGAGTGTTTCATGTCGCATATGCACATGGCGAAACCGTAGACGACACTGCAAACCAGTACTCGGGTCATGAGGAACATGAACATATCTGCTGTATCTCAAGAAATATTTAAAAGTGCGTAGGTAGGTACAAAACTATTCGTACTCTCGCATAATGGTTATCAAAATATACTTATCCGGGAACATTAAACGAAAACGAAAGACAAACTCGTACACCACATCATGCTAAAGAGTATTGTGATCGTCACATGAGAAAACAACATGGACCGGAAACTGTCACTGGACGAGAACGGTGAGCTAGCTAGTGCGTACCTGACCCAACCTTCACCTTCTCCACCATCTCACCATCGTCCGGCGTGTACTCGAAGGTCTCTGGGCTGCCACCAAATGATCCGAAGAAAGGTGTGGCTGGACTGAGTGTAGATGGGGTACGAGACGAGTAAGTTAACGCCGGAGATACGAGAGTAGGAGACCTCATGTCATTGTCAAATGATAGTTGTTGGGCCAAAGACGGCGACTTCTGCGCAGGAACGTATGCTTTTGAAGATACGGAAGTAGAATTATGGCGATGGTCCTCTTGATCATCTGACCGGGATTGGGATGCTTGTGGCGAATGAAGATAGTTCTGAGGACTTCTGTCGGACTTATCGTTGGTACTAGACGTAGTGAGAGTGCTGTTTAGGTTATTGGAGCGACTGTCTGTGTGCTGATAACTGTGCTGAGATGAATGCGACGCAAGCGGGGATCGAGGGAGAGTGCTAGCGGCTTGGGCTTGCTGCCGCAGAGAAAGGTGCGAACGCGAAGAAAACTGAGAGCGATGGTGCGACTGCAAAGGAGAACACTTGGAATCAAGATGCTGAGGTGGCGCAACAATTTCAATGGCACGACTGGGCGGTTTTGTCATCCCAACGTTGCCAGCGTCGCCGCGGAAATGCAGCTCCTCCTGATAATGGGTGCGGAGATGCTCGTAATATGACCCAGATTCCGGCTGTTGTTGACCGAGAGCATGGAAGTCGTCTTCCGAGATTGGCGGTAGAGAGTCGCCCAAAAACTTCGACCGGCTCGCCCCACCCAGGGCTCGACCAGTGAGCGGATAAGCGGCGATCTGCTCGGGAGCGTGGAATACCTGCGCGTTCGCGTTGAGCTTGCTTCCGGATTCTATTCGTCCAGATGAGTGGACGCGCCGAGGAAGAGTGGAGTCGCGCGGGTCCACGAATTGCTGTTGTTTCTGCAAATGCTGATACTGTTGTTCACGTATCCTTGCATGAGCCTGGAGGATGAGCTCCTCGGCGGGAGTGAAACCATTCCTTGCTTGTATCTGGCTGCGATGCTGTTGTATAGACGGCTGCGCGCTAGCCGTGTATAGCGTTGCACTTGCGAGGGCTTGAAGATGGGCACGCTGAGCATCATGCTCTTGATCAAGTGTCGGCACTGTGTAAGCGTCTGCCAAATTCAGGTTTTGCTGCAGTGAGTGCAGAAGGTCATCGGTGTAGGGGTTCGATGAAAGGTCCTGGTACCTAGTCGACGGGGAAAAGTCGTACCGATAACCAAGATGCCCAGGCAGCGATGTAGATACGGGAATGCTCCCTGCTGACACGGAAGCGAGATTCAGGTTTGGATAGGAGTGATGAACACTTGATAAGGAAATCTCGTCACGAAGTTGACCAATGATGGGGATGTCACGGACACGATTTACTTGGGCCTTGCGGGCGTGAGCTTGGAGCTCTTGACCACGAAGGTTGAGAAGAGCCGCTTGAGCGATCGTCAAACGGGCCGGAGACTGGTCCCCATTCTTGGTCACTCTCTCTGATCGCTAACACAACACACGTGAATCAGTTCAAAGCAAGATGCGTCTCAATCAGCGGACCAACCCTTAGCTCCCGTTGTTCGGCACTGTCGGCAAAACGGACAGAAATCCTGCATCCAGGGTCATTCCATCCACGGACCATCCGACCATGCAAGCGTTCGATGGTATCTTCTGCAGCTGTACGAGTCTCAAGTCTATAAAAGGCGTATTAATTCCAGAATCTCAATTTCCAGAACAAACTGACCGAACGAAAGCTATTATACGTGGGGGTTCGCTCAGCTTCGTTTTAAAGAAGCGGCTGCTCTTGATGGTGTAAGGATGCACCAAAGCGGCAAGGCTCTGTATTCACATGTAAATAGCGTTGGATATGTGGACATCAGCCTCACGTACCTCTTCATCAATAGAGAGCGGAAGGCTGAAAGGAGACATTTAGTACCAAACTGAGCTCGTGCTGAGGCGGCGCTTACCCCTCTATGTATAGGTTGGTAGATAACCCATCTTTCAGTTTTTCCATACGAGCTTTGAAAGAATCTTCATCGTGCTCTATCTGAGAGGGGCTTTGCTGGGCGTACACTGTGCCAGGTATACGATGAATTTGCTGCATCGGGAAATTTTGAGAATGTGGGTGCATAAAAGAAGAACGAAAAAAAAAACCTTTGAGAACGACGGATGTAGATTGCGATATTTACGAAGACCCTCAATACATTTTTCTGCTGAATCGACGTCGCTGAACCTTTCCAAGAATGTAAGGCGGACGATCATACGGAAAATATATGTCCACCTACAGTACGAAGCCATATCCTCTGTTCACCAGAACGTGAGCTTTGAAATTTCGTGCCGTGGCAGAACCGGACATACGTTGGTTTCTCGCTTACATGTCTCGTAAACGACCTCACACTCTTCACCTCGCCAAATGGGCGAGTGAGAGCAAAGAGCTCCTGCTCTGGAAAATGAGGGGGCAGTCCATTTATGTACACATTTGGGGTACGGTGTGATGCGCGAGACGCGCTAGGAAGGCCCTGGGAAGGCATCTCGGGACTCAACGACGACTGTGAGTCGCTCGAGTCAGGAAACATGTGGTCATACGAAAATTGCAAGCCTGTAGGATAAGAGGTGCTATACGAGGCTGCGATCCGATACAGAATGCGAGTAAGTCGGGGGGATCACAACAGATAAAATAAAACCTCACGAGAGTTGGATGAAACTGCGGTAGAAAGGTTGTAAGATGAAGCCGTACCATTTTCCTGTAGCTTGAGGGACGGATTATTTGGTCTGGTGACAACATGATTTGTAGACATGGAGATAGTATTAGAATGCGAAGAATTAGGACTGCTGACGATAAAGTTTTGAGACGGAGACAGAGAATGGTTGGGCTGAGATGAAGAAAATGAAGTACTACTAGTGAGGGTATTATTGCGCGACGACGAATCTGAATCTGGCGGTGTAGGTGGCGCTTGACGAGAAGAGACCGGAGTGTTCGGTACGGTGTCACAGAGAGTACCGGCTGAAGTGCTATGTTCAAGATGCTGAGATTGTTTGCTATCGAAGGTAGGAGAAGCTGGGAAAGCCAGGACGGCAGATTGCGGTGGCGAAGAGCAAGAAAGGCTCATACTGGAGGATCAGGGCAAGTGAATTCGCGGGAGAGAAAGGAAGCAAGCGGAAGGCAAGCTTTTAGGTAAGGTGAACGCCGGTGGACTGTAAAGATTGCAATGCGGATTGGATAGATGAATGGGTTAAAGGTGTTAAGAGTAGGGGTGTGATGATGGGGGGAAGAAGGAAACAGAAAAACAAGAAAAAAAGAACTTGGGAGGTTTATATTCAGTTTTCAACATATGACGCACGGGACTTCGAGGTTGGAATACTGTAAACCCAATTTATTATGATGAAAGAAGCCTGGCATTAACCATCTAATGCCATTGCAAACCCCATTTTAGGTCGGTCGCTGCCCAGATATGGCAACCACTCAAGCGGCGCAAATAGGATATGCACCTCGAGGGCATTTCATGTTCCAAAGCCGACCTCGTTCGCAACTTCCTGGGTCCGCTATCCAGCGTGATATTGACAGAGAATTAAGCTTTAAGAAGCAATAGGCGAAGACCAGCGAAAATCATTGAGCTAACAAGACTGACGATCCAGAACTCATTGAACCCAAGAAGTTTCCGAGTGACCCGACCATGCCATCGACGATGTAGTAGTACCAGCAAGACCCAGACTAGTACTTCAGATATTGCGTGCCACTCGCCCAGTCGCTAAGACGACTATAAGAGCATCATCGAGTTCCAAAACCAAGCGCAGCGACTAGCAAGGGCGCTGACAGAAGCAGGTCCTGCGAATCCTATACTTGTCAGATAACGAAGACGAGTGGAAACGAATTGCGCAATTAGCAACATGTGAACTTGCTCGAACTAGTCTCCCGTAGTCAGACCTTGATAGAATGAAGACAGTCGTTCCTTCTATTTCAAGTGCTCGAACCCTGGTTCACCTGGCCCGTAGTACTACCGTAGGTAGTGTTGTTATTGTCAAGTACCATGATCGCAGGAAAATCGTGGAATCTTTTGGTGGCAGTGTTGAAGAATTTGAGGAGAAAGGCAGGGTGGCTGTGCATCTGCTCGTCGCACAAAACCGTGACAGACGCTCGCGCTACCCCCATGTGCAGAATTCGGTTCAAACACATCGATCAAGACTTCTGACATTTCATGTAACGGTCCACTGAACTGGCCAGTTCATGAACTTCAAGCTTATTGCCAGTGGGTCGCCTGAGCCGTGTCCAAACAGCTCACTTGCGTCACCACTCCTTGAGACTTGATCAGTGACCACAGTCTTGAACTAATCAAGTGAGGTACTCCAAGATATTGCTTCAAAAGTAGCAAATCATCGTGCATTTCATTTGGTATGTCTGTCCACGTACTTGACAATTCATATTTTGTTCAAGTGTCTGTACGGATAATGACCTCGGATACGATCATCCTCGGAGTCAGACACTCACTGCATCTTGATGACAAGTTTAACACTTGTGTTCAATCTCGTAATTGAGCAGGTATGGTCGACGCTAGTCTCTGCTACTAGGCAGACGAAATCGAAGCCAGTCGTTCCTTCGTATCAAGGTTTGACTTGTTCGGGCCGACCTTCCACAAACGACCTACCAATCTTCAAAATTTGATAGGTAGGTAGCAAACGTCAACCAGCTTCTTCGTATCAATACTCTCTAATAGTGAGTCCCGATATCCCTTCGATGATCTTTTCTCCCATGATTTTTAGAATGATTTGGAAGTGACGTTGTGCTCTCTTTTTCTCCAACTGATAATGATGATAGTGTTTCAAATAGACCTGACCACCCATCATGCCTTGACAGGTCTGTGAGTAGTTTTCCACATCTTTACGAGAGCGGGCAAGATAAATCCGAGCTTCAGATTCTGCCAGTGCCCTTTCGCTTCTTTCGCTTGCGTTGACACCACCGATCCGAAATAGCGAGGCAAATTAGCTCCACCTACATCAGCCATGCCATTCTACATCCGTGATATTTGATTGTGGTTATTATAATCGGCACAGTCTGTGTACGCTCGCTCTCTGCGCCGTATGTCGATTGGCAGCGGGCCAGTGAGCAAGACCCCCTGTCTTTGGGAGTTCCGGGATGCAACGACCCCTTAACACCCGCTTTGCGCTAAAATCGCCGCATCCTAGTCTCACGTATGTATCCTTTGGATCTCCGACTCCATACATATCAGCTTCTCCAGGGCCTTGCGTACGTGAGTGTCATATTCAACCATTGGCATATAACAATATTAAATTTAGGTATCATCGACCTAGAAGGCTGACTACTACCGCGGCGTTAGGTGAGCGGTGATTACACTCAAAGTTTAACCAGAATTGCGTTCGCCGTGAATGGCGCAGATATCATCCCTCTCTTGGTCAATATATGTCATACCTTCGTCCCAACAAAATCTCACAGCTTGCCGACATTTGCGTTCTTTCAAGTACATATATTGTTATTCAGATGCGGCGGCCCTCACGGAGCTCACACGAATACGCCAGTATTTTCCATTCTATTCTATATGACACGACACTTATCTGCCCCACATAGAGCTGGTGTAATTCAGTAAGTCCAGTCACACAAAAATCGCCAAGGGTTGTCAGGTGTTCATGAATATAGCGTACGTCGGTGGATGGTTTCCGCGTAGGCGTCTCGCCCGAAGTTTATTGTTAACTTTGACTCGGTGTTGCGGCCAACTTACCTGCAGTGCGAGGGGCACTGATATGTCACGGAAGGTTACAGGATCAAGACATTGAATATCACTATTTTTGCACCTGTATCTACTTGTACGCCGCGGCCTCCGCAACCATCAAATCAAAGAGTGATTAGTACTACTGCGGAGGCTTCCTTGATTGGGAGAGTGCGTTGGGGTAGCTGCATTCCGCAACTTTAGTGCGATTGTCCGGTCCCGAGTTGCCCATCCGATGTAACAAACACTTAACGAGCACTCGCTCGAAGAGGATTGTGCGAGAGGTTTTAAAGTGCCTTGTGACTGGCCAGGGCCACCGGCTTCCTGGCAGTTGCCACCTATGCGCACCATATAGTACCTCATTCCTCAAACGATGTTCAGATCTGGGCCAGTACTACTTATTAGCATGATCCATATATACTGACGCACTTATGGTTTGTCTGGACTATATCCTTGATAAGATAAGAGTGTTGACGTGGCTATGCCACAGTGCCACTCGACTTTATCTGCGCATAATTTACAGTAGATGAAGATACAACTCATAAGTGCATAATAGCCACCCATAGCAGAAAGCGCGATCACAGCACGCGACTTCATTTAGGACAGGTCCATATCCTGATCCTCTGACGAGCGCCCTGGCTTGTCTGTCATTGGCGATGACGGCAGTGGAGTATCTTCAATATCACTCCACGCAGAAAAGTCGTCAATGCTAGCACCCAGATCCGACAATTCTTGAAAGTTTGCATATTCTGCGGCGTAAGCCTCAATTTCCTCTTGCTCGAGGTCTTCCGGCGTCACACTATAGCTGTCAGGGGGCATTTCTAAGGCACACCCGAGTTGAGCCCATTTGATGCCGTTCAGAAAAGAAGAAACTGACCTTGCAATTCACTTTCCCACCGGTTCACATCCTCCATGTCCGGGTCAAACGAGGATCCGACATCATAAGAATACGAAAGACGGTATTCATGGGTTTTCTTATGTGCAGCATTGGCAATGATTCTCCGAAAGAGCTGCAGGATAAGTGTCCGATAATTGGTGTCAGCAGACCCCCTATCAGGGAATTCACACACCTCGTCTTGCATAACGAATTCTTCGTCCTCATCCTCATCACAGTCCATCTCAGAATCAAAAAACACGTCACTGCCACTAGCTGTTCTTTGTTTCTGGACTTTATCATGTCGTTGTTTTTGGGCGCGCTCAAGACATCGCGCTTTAAAACGATCACGTAAAAATGATTTCTGAGGGTTTTCGGGCGTCTGGCTGCCTGATTGTGTGCATGGAAGTTGGTTGGTCGCGCTTCTAGAAGAACCTGTTGCACGAGTTTTGTATTGGGCTTGTCGTCTTGCTTGTGCAGCCACTACGGGTGATGATTTCGGAGAAGCCAAGGGTGACGAAGCAAGTGGTTGGTGGCTCCTTGCGGAGTAATATGATGAACGTCCAGGAGTAGATGGGGTCTGGAAAACAGTGGGACTAGAACTTTGCATGCTCAACATTTCAGTAGATAGGCTGTGTGAGTGATGAGCGTGACAGACAACCAGGGCCGCGTTTGTTGTGGCTTGTTGACGCGTCTAAACAGAGCCCGAAATTTGACTTGCATACTCCTGCGGAAGTTCTACCTTGGTCCCCGATAGTGACTCGCAGCTACAGGCTGACTTTCATGCAACTGAAACAGACACTTGATGTGACTACGACCGTCGATAACAGTGACATGCTGGGGGATGAAACGGTATTGAGATTGTATCAGTTCTCCCACTACCATCTAACAATGGTATAGTCATTCGCGAAAATGGTAAGCTAACCCATAAGCGACGTGGCTACTCGCTTGCTAAAAGTTAGCCACCTAGTAGGAACCCCGCATGGGCACAAAGCTGATGCGGCTTCAGGCGTGGCTGCTGGGAGCCACGGGAATATCAATTAATTCGACCATGGACATCCCGGTGACAACCTCTAAAGTTGAATTTTTAGGTTGTCAGATGTGTACCCAAATGAAATGAACATGTCGTCGATACTCAATTCAGGGAAATGATGAAACTCGTGCACCGTAATCGACGTGGCCCCTACTAGCTCACTGAACACACTGGGGAACTACAAATGCGTATTCTACCCCATGATACCGAATCTTCGATTTGTGCCTCGGCCGCCGATCAGTGACTGGGCAAAACTGCAAGCTTGTGCCACGTCCTTCAGATCACAGTAAGTGTTAATTGCATATCTCGGTGATCCGCTGATAACATAACCTCCTGTAATAGCACTAGTGCCATTATGACTTGCAGTATTGGCCACATATTTGCACTAGCACTCGGATACTCCGCGAGCATACTCGTTACTAGTGCCAAAGGTGCTTTATTCAGATTACTTTTCTTTTACTTTTCTTTCAAAGACACCTCGAAGAAAATGAAACCCAGTCCAGCACTTCAGAAGATCAATGAGCTACTGATGGGCCAACAGTGTCTATAAACTTGCTTTCAATCTCAGAACATTAGCGTGTGGCGCTGTTGACGTTAGCTGTGCGTCTTTGAAAGGCAAGTTTGTATTCTGTGAAACTTTTATAGGACGGTAGTAGTATGGCAAATTTATTGCCCCGCAATGCGTACTACTGTTTCGGAAACCTCCGACAGCCAAGCATGTGCGAGGTTCGCACGGAAGCAAACCGAGCAGCCGGAGTATTACAACTATTCTGGGCCGCTTGAGGCGCTACCGAAGGACATGAAGTATTCATAAATGATACAAGTCCGAGGCGCGACATTTTGGACCTGACCACTTGGCTGCTTTTGGGGGCATCAACATGGTAATGGATCCGATCACGCGGTCTACCTGATGGGCAGGGTCAATAACGAAAGGGTTGACACTAAGCTGAGGCGCCAGCGAGTCACCCCCGTACTCAGTGGGTACCTTCACCTATTCGTTCAACTACATATGTTTATCACAATTCTCGCCTGTTCCTCAGTTTTCTCGAACTGATCGTGGTTCACTCAACCGCTAGTCTGCAGCTAGAGGTCCGGTATTCTAATTCTAAATTCTGCTCTGTTCTGGAAGGTCTTCTTTTGTTCATTCAAATAATCAGGTTTGATTTTCAATATATTTCGATATTGATAACGAACTACCTCCGTAGTCATATGCAATTTTTTCAGGCCGTTATGTCATCCCGAGATCTGACAGCTTTCCATGATGGGTATCGTACCTCTCCGGTAGCATGCAACCCAATCATGGCTAGTAAATTAGGACCTGCAATGGGGTTGCCAAAAGCTTTAAAGAGGAGCGGAGTCTTGTGTGCAATTTCTTTTGTGCCGCAGTCTCACAAGCGCTCCCTTCAACATGTTCTCCCCGTCCCAACATCGACTAGACTGGTGTGCATTCAGCTGTTCCCTGTGTTTACAAACTTACCCGTGAATCTGTCAGTGCCGCCAAGCAAGAGGAACGGCAGAGGTCATTGAATGAGTTACCACCGTCGTTCTTCGAGGCCTGCACGGAGACCGACAATAAGGTGCTCGACTTGCCTCTAAGTGAACTAGTCCAACGCCATAACGCGGGTTCACTGTCAACTGCGAGCATTTTGAATGCCTATGGAAAGAAAGTGGTTTCAGCGCAGAAGGCCACCAATTGCTTGGCGGGGATCATGATTCAAGAAGCTCTGATCCAGAAAGTTCCAGTTTCTCCAACAGAGACAGACCATACAGTCATTCCCGAACAACGCCTTACACCTCTCTCTGGTGTCCCCGTCAGCATCAAAGACTGTATCGATATTGAAGGCTACGACACCACCGTAGGCTATTCTTCTAAAGTCAATCATCCCGCTTCGTCGTCCGCGGCAATAGTCCGGCTTCTTCATGATGCAGGTGCGATCACTCACGTGAAGACTACCGTACCTCCCGGTCTTCTCGGACTCGAGACATCATCAGATCTTTTTGGGCGAACAAGTAATCCGTATAACGAGAAGTACGTCAGCGGTGCTTCGACTGGTGGTGGGGGCGCACTTCTGGCATGCAGAGGGAGTGTTATCGAGATTGGTACAGATCTTGGCGGCAGCATAAGGATGCCCGCGCATTTTTGCGGAGTCTACGGTATGAAGTCTTCAGCAGGACGCTTTCCAGGGTGGGGAACGCTGCCTCCTGTCCCTGGACTAGAATCGGTGGCTACTACGTGCGCTCCGATGTCTCGAAGACTGGATGACCTTGAAGAATTTTGGAAGCGTGTTATGGAGATGCGGCCATGGGAGTATGACCATACGGTTCGCCAAGTTCGCATTCGCGGTATTTACCAGAACTGAATACCACTGATTGCAGTGTGTTCCATTACCTTGGCGATCCATAAATCTTCAAGATACAAAGCTGAAGTTCGGAGTCGTTTGGAAGGATGGTCAGTTCTTTTCACCATGTTTTCATATGCACTCGTTCTCAATAAATATAGGCGTTATTCCTCCCTCTCCCGCTTGCCATCGTGCTTTGGAATGGGTCTGTGATGCTTTGGAGAAGCAAGGTCATGAAGTAGTTGATTTGTGCGCTCCAACCGCTCTAATCTTGAATTTGTACTGACCAGAAGTATCGCCCAGTTCACCCCCCAGCATAGCAGAAGGTCTGAACATCGGATTCCAATTATGCTTTGGAGATGGAGGCAAGTTTACCTTTATTGCGCTGTGAGCCACAGATGCTGAACTCTTCTTAGGGGCTGGTTTCTTTGATCCTGTGCGTAAGGACGAGAAACTTGACCCCGTGATGGTCGCTCTCAGGTCTTTGTTGGGGATGCCCCTTTGGATTAAGAAGATCATGGCAATGATAACGCGTAAATTTACTGGTGATGAGTTCGGGGCATCGATGCTCGAGACGGTTCACCTCAAATCACCAGCTGAGGAACGCGCGCTTGTCGTCTCCCGAGATGAGTACAGAGCAAAATGGCATAGAGCATGGGAAGATGAAGGGTTCGACTTTTTGCTAACGGTTCCACACTCGTTGCCCGCCATCCCTGCTGGAACCGCAGAGAAGGCGACCCTAGTGTCTGCTGGCTACATGACGATTTTCAACATCGTGAGTTTTATTTTCACTTGCGCATTATAATCGTGGGCTGAACGGCGAATAGCTGGACTATGTTGCCGGTGTTCTCCCAGTATCTTTTGTTGACCGCCAGTCGGACGCGCTACCAAAGGATTTTATGACGAGTGCCGAATACAAGAACATGGGCATGATCTCCAAGGGAGCATACTCTGTGTATGATGCGGATGCGATGCATGGACTGCCCGTTGGCGTGCAAGTCGTCGGGAGGCGTTTTGAGGAAGAGAAGGTCTTGCAGGGCATGAAGATCGTTGAAGATGCTCTCGAGGGATGCGGTCGCAAATTCGTTCCCCGTGAATTTTAGGGTGACTTTGTACATGGATTTTAATTCGTCATTTATGTGATAAACTATCGTTGTGTATTGACCGTATATCATGTACTTGTAGTCGCACTGCTACACCTTCTAATGATGACATTACTACGAAGGGCAGAACAATACCTACTGAGCAGCTCAGATAAATTTAATGCGAGACATCAAGCACTACGTTAGATTCATAAACAGTCTGGACTACATCTTTGAGATGTTGAGTGCTGTTCTTGCACAGCGTTGACAACGTAAGTCCTTGATTCACACCATAAGCAAAGTATTGGATACCTCTTAAACATCATATATCGAGCAACTGTTGCTCAAGATATTATGTTTGAGAGGTATCCAAGTACTTAACATCTAATAGGACGATAAAATGATACCTTTTCATGCCTTTCACCGGCCCATGCCGCAACGTCAGTTACCTGTTGACCTTTGATTTGAATTGACAATCCTTCGAGTCTCGACGACGACGAAAACCAGGCTGGTCACGAGCCTAGCACGGCGTACTATTGAGGTACTGGCCACGTTGAAAGAAGACTCGGGATGAGTTCGGTCCACTACTCGTATGTCGTTACCCGGTTTCGGCTCACACCTACGCCGAACGAGGTTCACCACAACATTCTTTGAGCGCAAAAGCAATTTCATATAGACGCACGATGCTCATGCGCAAAATGAAGCATTCTTCCTGTCGACGAAAAATGCTTCCAAAGCTGACTATACTGTGTTTATTTTTGTTCTGTTAGTTGATCAAACGTACATACATAGTACTGACATGAACACTACCTGAAGGAACCCATATTAATATCGGAACCGTTCGACACGACGATTCCGATTAGATTGCCACCGCGCCTGACACACTAAAGCCCCATGGAGAAAAACTATTCGTCCTGAGCATTCGGAGGCATTCGGTCGCCATGAGCATCCGAGAGAAACTGGCTCCTACTGGCTCACACCAATCCCAGGATACTTTCATGGGAGACAACGCGGAGTTCTCGTTGGCTTTTAAAGTATTGAGTGACGACTGAGCTGAAGGAGCGACTACATTCTCTTACAATTCATCATAGTAGACAAAGTCCAGCCACTTGGAGACGAAGACGGATCTTGATTGCGTCAGTGATCTGAGGAGCTTAGATGCTGTAAGTGACGAGAATGGAATATGACAACGAGGGAAGTCTTCTCACAAATCCAGTGTAGCGTTGTTCCAGAAGACGATCTTGGCGAAATAGGTTTCGATCTGCGAGTTCGCGCCGCCCGCTGTGCAGGTAGACTTATGGGCCTCGCCACTAAGAGGGGTCTAGATGGACGCATGTTAGGAACTCCTCCCTAGTGCTCGTCGTCGTCATGGTTTGCCAGGGTAATGCAGTGAGTAGACGACTCCGAATCAAGGTACATACACCGGTTGTGAGCTGATCCGAATTTGGCCTGTAACATAATTTCAAAGCTCAAGTAAACACTGGAAAACAATGGAGCTGAGGTCGTTGGTCGCCGATCCAACATTTCCAAAAGACACCCCTCTCTCTTCTCTTCTCCAGCAGTGGAGAGCATTTTGGACCAAATTTTCAATTCTCATTAGGGTACTACCAGTTTTGCTAGGTCTGAAGTTCCACTGGCATCGGAAGCATTTGCCTGAATCCGCTTGCCGCTTGTCGAGAACGGTTATAGCTCCCTCTCCAAACCTACCGAGCTAGGCCTCCCTGGGGTTTCACATTGGTCATTTAGAGTGTGTAGGGGATCCTTGGTCTTATAATCCGCAACTCATACTCCTTTCAATAGCCTCATCTTTCATCGGTCTCAACACAAAGTGAGATCCGTGACGACCTAGCACTGCTGTGCGCCCAGCCTTGCGCCGCTAAGTACGTGGGTACCGCACGTCTCCTTCATGGCTTGCGGGGCTCAGTTTGATAAATATAGATCCATCAGCCGTCATCGATCTTAGGTGGGGCTCACACTACCACCGTCATATTTAGCCATTCCTCCCATCGTGAACATACCATCTCACAAGTGGTTACAGTTTCGTCCCACTCGCAAAAAGCCTCAATTATCCCCGCGAAACTCAGTGTCATAACAGTCGCTTGATCAGCCACCTCGTGTGCTCGGATATCATTTTCTTTTGTCAACCGGCCAGGGTCTTCGCACCGCCAGATCGAAACCAGCGCTTTCTGTTGGCCTTTTAACGCGGATCTTTCCATCGTCTCTAGGGTTAACTGTCAATTGCGCCTTCCCACCTTCACTCTCATTCTGTGCTTCATCTTATCGGTGGAACCAGCAGCCTGACACCTGGAGGCTTGCTGTGTAACGTTGCTTTCTAACGAGCTGTGCCTATTCAGGAACACCTCAACCTTCAGTTGTCGGTTTACGTCTTTTATCTCGACCCTCGCGTCGAAACTTGGGCGCGATGAATGCATCTACTTCTGCCTCACATTTGCAGGCTATGGAAAACCAACACTCATCAGATGACCCAGCCTCGTCCCCACCGCAACCAGACTCCTCAACAGCACACGCAAGCGCTGCCCCTTCATTAGGTCGTGGAACGTTTTATCCTCCCGTTCCACCTTCTGCTGAACGTCCATACACTGTTCATGGTCCCTCGGGTACGCTCCCACGTGCTGCATTCGCCACAGGCCCATATAACTCCGCGAGTGCTCGCACGTCGTTCACTCATGTCGATGTCGACAGCGTTCCGACCGTTGGAGCATACCCTCCCCTTCCGAATTCGAATTTACCCTCAGGACAAGCTGCGCCAGACACTACGGTGAACAATACTGAAGCACTTGCACCAGCTACCGCAGACGGAACTACTGCATCAGAGGGTATTGTACCTCAGACACCTCAAGTGTCCTTGACATTCCTCCTCGTTTCTGGCCGAAGGCGGACTATGTCGTTCGACCCTGCAATAACAATAGGAAGGGTCAAAGAGCTGGTGTGGAACGCATGGCCTGCAGGTTAGGGTTTTGAATCCTTCAGACTTGGAACCCATTGCTACAACTGTTTCCATATACAGATTGGCAAGACGAAAGTCCACAAGCCCCGTCGCATTTGCGAATTCTTTACCTAGGCAAGATTCTGCAAGACGAGGACACTCTTACTCGTGAGCATATTTGTCTCCCACGATATTTTACGTTAAATGGCGTGATTCTAAGATCTTTCATTTCCAACTTCTCTACCATCGTCGTCGTCTTCCCTACCCACAATTGTTCATCTTTCCATTCGTCCCTCCAACACATCAACGGTTGATGATACTCTGAAGAAGAGACGCCTTAGCAATGCATTTTCCCGCAGGGGAACATTAGGCACCGACACAGAGATTGCACGCGAAGGTGCTGATGATGCCGTGGGATCGGGATGTTGCTGTGGATGCATCATTTGCTAATGGGGGCAGAGGTACCTGACAATTTAGAAGATCCATCAGTTTGGTCTGGGAGCAGGTTACCATTTCAGCATGGGGACATATGCACGTGAAATCTGCTAACGACATGGAGGGGGACTTTTATATGGAGGAGGACTGGCTTTGTTTACGGATGGTATGCAACTCGGGTGCTGCTCGAGCGACGAGTGGACATATATATTATATACTAGCGCAGCTAATACATCTCAACACTTCTTTACACGTTCAATACACCTTTGAGGTAGCACTATGCTCAAACTTGAATTAGTGCTTGCGACTCTGTGATTCTGATTCAGCGTCCTCGGAGCTTGCTGCAATATTGGCTTTGCCAGTACCAAGTACCGACACTGATAATGATTCTCCAGAGCTTCTCCCGCTGTTCAGTACCAAAAAAGTGCCGCTGATGCGCTGGTTGCCAAATACATAATTTTGGACCCATAACGTCCGAACTTGGCGCCAGTACTATTGAAAAAGAAGATATGCCATCCCCGAGCGGAGATCCCACGAACTCCTCCCTGGGGCCTGCGTCTTACATTATGATGTTCGTTATGTCCGCTTGGAAGTGAGCAACTCTCTCCCACTTCCCATTATCCAGCAGCATGGGCAGGGTAGTTACAAACAAGTCCGTCGCGTGCATCCTGGTCGCCTGCATTCTAGGAGCCACCCTGCGCAATGTTGTATTCGCACCGCCCGAAACCAACATGGAGGCGGTATCATCTCTGGATTTAGACACTCCCACGTCTCCACTCCATCTATTCCAAGATTACTTTCCAGAGCTCAACTTGGTTGATGACACTAGCCAAGTCCAAGAGGAGCGTCAGCCGGCTCCACTAGGTGATCACTATTACGGTGATGACGGGTTACTCGTAGTCAACCCCAACGGACCTCATCCAATTATCGAACTTATAGAGCGTGCGGAGCAAGCTTGGGAAAAAAAGCTTGACCGCGCAAGCAACACTCTTAGCGAAGCTGTCGCCGAATACAAACGAAGATACCGCAGGTCTCCACCCATTCATTTCGAGAAATGGTGCGTGTTTAGCGTATTTAAGCCAAAGTTAAACGAGCTTCACAAAGATACTTATGTCCGTTGGGCTTGTAGGTGGGAATATGTAGTGACACACAACGTCCAACTTCCAGACGAATATGATGAGATCTACCAAGATTTGGAGCCTTTCTGGGGTATTGATCCCCTGGATCTACAGACTACCCGAGAGCATCTAGAGGCTCAAGACAACACCGTGGTTATTGGGAAATCAGAGCAAGGCTCCTTCATCGAGGTCCTCGACTACCATTTACCAGAAGACAGTGCAGAGAGACTCCTTGGTCGTATTGATCATGTACTGCAACTCCTCCAGGATGTAGAAGAATTTCTGCCTCCTTTCCGCGCCGTTTTCTCCCCTCATGACAATCCCAGTATGCTATCAGACCACGGTGTAAAATCCATGGCCCTTGATGCGGCTGCTGCTCGCACTAGTAAGTTCATTTTGATTGGTGCGCTGCAAGGAGTCAATGATTCTCACACGATGTCAAGCTGTGAAACGAAATGAATTACCAATGGCACAACGGTCTGGATGGCTCTCGGCCTGCCCTGCATCATCCCCTGCCTGGCAATATTCCCTCGATCCCGATAAGTCCCCCGAGCGCCCATCTCAGAAAACCTTCATTTCCGACCATCGCCTCTCGATGGACCCTTGCCTGAATCCTTTTCTTTTCCGCAGCCACGGCCAATTCCTGTCGCATAACACGGGGCCGGATCCTCAAAGCACACTCGTGCCGCGTTTTTCCCTATGTTCATCCGTGGTTCACCACGACATTCGGCCAGCTGTTCCTTACGGGTGGGTTGAGGACCTTCCTGACTCAGCTAACCCGCCGTGGGAAGAGAGGATAGACGAAAGATTGCTCTGGCGCGGTACGAACACCGGCATATTCCATGGCTCTAACACCAGGTGGAAGGAAGCGCACAGGGACCGTATGGTAAGCTACGTCAACGATATGAACGGAACAGTGGATGTGCTTCGTTCGCCCCTGAACGACTCTGAGCCTGTTGGAGAGCCCGTACCGTTGCGCAAAGCACACCTCAATCCTGCATTGCTCGACATGCAATTCGCCGGAACGGCAGGCTCTTGTTCACCAACTCTCTGTGGTCAGCTGGATAGACTTTACGACTGGAGAAAAATGCAGACGCACCAAGAGGCCGGCCGATATAAATATGTTTTCGATGTAAGTCGGTTTGTTATATTCGACCACAACATCTGCTCAATTCCCCACTTTTCAGATCGACGGGCATGGGTGGTCAGGGCGTTTTAAACGCCTCATCACATCAAATTCCCTTGTATTTAAAAATACGATATACCCTGAATGGTAAGTTGTTCGTCTCGTCCGGCTTGCACGCAACAAATAAATTATGTGTTCGTAGGTTTATGGATCGAGTTGCGCCCTGGGTGCACTACGTGCCTGTGCAGGTCGACCTGTCTGATTTGTATGATACGTTTACGTTCTTCCGTGGTGGACTTCAAGGAGAAGGTGCGCATGAAGACTTGGCGAAAAAAATAGCTGCCGCAGGACGCGAATGGAGCAAAACATATTGGAGGCGGGAAGATCTGACAGCATACACGTTCCGGTAGGATTTCTCTCTTTTTCAACGAGGCAGTCATCCTAAGTTACCGGTTTTCCCAAGGTTATTCCTCGAATATGCACGCGTCTCCAGTCTTGACCGCGATGCAATGTCATACAAAGAAGAGACTTAGAGTGATACCAGTGTACTTGTTTAACAGAAGATCTTTCGACAGCTTGGATTTGGCCGTATCACGCAGGTTGATGACAGAGCCTTTGTATAATCAATTACCTCTTGACGAGTTCTCCGATTGTTTCGCGTGGGATTGCGTAGGAACAAGAACCGGTCACAAATTGCACAATGGGACCGGTCATCGATGTGTGATGTGTCCTCGATCCCGCCCCTTTTCTCTGATCGTCATCAGTACGTAACTAATCACTGCGATACTTTGAATGTGACTCGCATGCATTTGGTGCCATGGGCTGTCACCCAGGTAATCAGTTTCTGGTGTAGTTGGAGGTCATGCACAACTATTACAATATATGTCTTGTTTAGCTTTGCCCTTTGATCATGGGAATTAAAAGTTGGTGCTTATAAGTAATTCCTGTTGAGGGAAATTGTGTTCGAAGAAAAGTGGTAAAAAAAATAGGTTCGAGATATCAATGAAGGCAACTGAGAATTACGTGTCGCGCTCAGCCGCCAGTGACCCGCGTCTGTTGAGGACTGAAGGAGAATAATATTGGGCAAGTGGGAAGCGAGTTGTCTGATTCTCGCGCCAAAAGTGCATCTCCCAATGTCTGTGACCGATATAAGCAATCGTGCGATGCAAGGAATCATGTATGATTCGATACACGTAAATAAGCGTCCTGAATTCCTTGGAACATACGGTCGCCAATGCGTTGTAGACCGAGGACGAACAAGATCAAACACACAGCATCCTCACACTGTATGATTGTTCTTCAGTGATTGCAGGAGAATGATACTGGACCGGTATTGGTCGTCCTTACACAGCAAGACCTGAGGCCTGACTCCTGAGGCCCTTGTGCGCCCTCCGCGGCCCGAACTCGTTTCGTTGAACTGCCCGTCTTCCTGCCGCTCGGACCTTGCGTGGCTGTGGCCACTCAGCTGCCGCTGACGGAGGGGCAATGCTGTGTCTCTGTAATTTGGTTTCAATTAATGGAAGCGAAGAGGGGTAAATTTCACGTCGTTACGAGAGGAACTTGAGTCGCCACCGCGAGCAGGAGCAAGTGGATGCAAGGAGGTTCTAATGCGAAGATAAAGTTGAAATTCCAATGATAATGCCGGGGCTTGAGCGGCGTTGGTTGAAGCGCATCTGAGGGTCGATTGCCGAAGTGCAACAAAAAACTAACAAATGCCGCAAACCTCCGCAGATCATCGCGCTTGGACGGTGGAGTATACGTAGAAGCCTTCGAGATGCGGAGATATTCGTTGGACATCAGCTTGTTTTACGGAAGAACATCATAGACATGACCTATTGACTACAGGGTAGATTCGATTGGAACAGCCTGAAAAGTAAAAGTCGTAATACAGCGCAAGGAATTGATCGACCGTTATGTCGTTAACCGTTGAAATAGTACATTGGGTATACATGAAGGGCCAGTTATTCGTTAGTGCATTGCAAGGCATCAGATGGAAGGAGATTTGAGGTTGTGAAGGTCGTGTGTCGCAAATTGACGGGCGGAAACGTGTTGTTCGAAAAGAACATCAAGCCTGGAATAAGATCGTTTCAGAAAAGAACGGTGATCAGTGACTGAAGTAAACTGACTCGTCGACTGTGCGATCTTTAGTTTCCGGAATGAAATACCAGGTCCAGATTGTTCCTGCAAAAGCTAGTCCACCAAAAATAAAGCCAACGTATCCACCAAGATTTGCCTGATCTGGATTGACGCTGGAGAATAATCATTTAGCATAGATCAGCTATGAGATAGAAAAAAAGGGACTTGCAGATACGGGACAACGATATTCACGACCATGCCACACAAGGAATTCACCCAGATCCCTAATGCGACAGTCTTCGATCGCAGCTTAGCAGACGAAACTTCGGCAAAAATGACATAGCCTAAGGGACCACTGTGACACAGCCTGTCAGTTAAGGTCAACCTTACAGTGCAGTGACCTACATGCCAGTTTGATAAATGAAATTGTATATGATTGTCTAAGGCAGGGAAATTAGTATCAGATGTCAGCCATTCATAACGCGAATGCAACCTACAAAGGCAGCTACCGTCCATCTTGCATTTTGAGTATGTGATGTGGATATAAAGCCGATCAACAATAGCACTGCAGTGCAGGCAACCATCCCCCAGAAGAATATGAATCTACGACCGAATCGATTCACTGTATAGAATGTTAGCAGGTTGCCCACAATCTAGACAAAGGTCATTCGATGTTGACCAAAATAGCAGCTGAACGCTTACGCCGATGGCTGTCACCCCGATGCCCAAGTTGAAGGCATTGGTATTGGCGAAACCGGCAAGCTCAAAGAAGTATGTGCTGAAGCCCAGAACGAATACAACCCCTTTGCAACATTCAACGTACTGTATGGACACTTATTTAGTAGAAACATACCAGCTCCTTGCTGAAGCACGAAGACCATCGTCGCCACGATAGTGCGTCTGAGATTGACCCCTGTTTCAGCCTCATCAGAGTGCAATCAAAGATTATTAGCGAAATGAAAACAAACCCCTGAAGCAATCAATGTATCTTGCACTTGCTGCATACGAGTCTTCGAGTTCGATTGTTTCCTGAATTTGTTGAAGTTGCATGTCTGCATCGATCGTTGGGCCACCGAGTCGCGTGATGACCTTCCGAGCATCGTCTACCCTCCCTTTGCGCACGAGCCACCAAGGAGATTCCGGGGCGAAAGGAAGGCCTACAAGAAGGATAATTGGAAAAATCCATTGGAGTGCGCTGGATAGAGGAATGAAACTGAATGTAGGGCAAAGAGTCAAGCAACTTACAAAGGCAAACGGTAGGCATAAGCATCTGTTCGGTTGCCTGTTCCACGAATTACTCCGTTCGACATGCTATGTTTCCTGTTCAGTAATGTGCCAATGTAGATGCGTGACGAACAGACAATTGACCCACTAAATGCGTCATATGGTGTTAGAACTTGAGTGATAGAATGAGGTTGAAAATGAAACGCACGATCTATCCACAAATTAACAGATGCAGTAGTAATACCACGTAAAGCGAGAGGGGAAACCTCAGCGCAGTAAGATCCAGCACTTGATACGAACATTCCTACACAAGCCAGTTGAGACAACGAAAGGTTGAGTGGGTATATCTCAAACCAAGCGAGAAACCGTTGATCAGTTTGCCAGCTAGAAGCATCCCATTGATATGAGCGGGCGTAAGGAATTGTACCAGGATACCAACGATGGAGACCAGACAAGCGACAGCAACAGCGCCACGTCGTCTGTCTCGTGTAAGCAAGAGGATACATAACTCCAGACACTCGTACATACCCGAAGAGCTCCGAGATGTAACCCAAAGAAAAGGCTCCAGCCATGCCACCGATGGAGCTGACACTGTTGAAGGCACTTTGCCATGATGCAGCAAGGACGTATTGTTGATCAACAATGCTCCCAAAATCCCTACGGAAAGAAGGGACGCTCAACAAACCACCGCCAACCTAGTAGAAGACTATCTTGACACCGTCCCACCCATTATGGCAGAATCACCGACCTGAGAGTCATAACCCCACAACAGCGCACCCATGTTGATAAATAGACACCATGCAAACGCGCGCCAATACGTTCGCATAGCCTGCGCTGGGGTGATGGCATGTTCAGTTGCGGCAGCCTGCGCTAGCGCCGTGAGGTTGTCATACGGAGACTTCTTCTCGAAACCACTAGCTGCATCGACTTCTGAGTGTATTGCCTGAGCTGCTTTCTCGTCGACTGTGCCAGCCATGGTTCTGTGTGAAGTAAATGGGATCCCATCCTCATCATTGATCGGTTTTTATGCAGACAATCCGGTGCCTGCGGTCATGCCTGTCATGCTGGGAATAGAAGCAATGTTTAAACTCGCAAATCGAAGAGGAAAACGACAGTGGATTGTATTGGAACCAAATCCGTTCTTGGGGTGAGGCCAGTCAGGGCTAATCCCAGTGGCAAAACACATCAGGCTGCCGGCAAAGAGGAGAAAGGTATGAGCATTGGTATCCTTGGAAGTTGGGTTGGACAAATACATACGTACGCCGCTGTTCAAGGACACGCGAAGGTCGATCTTGGGACTAGTATTAGATCACGCTACAGCACGACCCGACACGCCGGTATACCGTCTGCACACATGATCATGGTAGTACGTGTCACATGAAACGCAAGTCTGTCGTTTACTTGTGCATAACAATAGTACATCAATCTGTCAGTGGCTCTTTGTCCAATCTAGATATAAAAGGCAGCCGTAAGTTATTTAAGTCGTCTGAGTCATAAACAGCCATAAGTGAAGTGAAACTACGCGGACTGTACTGGTGGTATGCCCTGACGCCACTTCTTGAACATGAGCGGCCATGAACCGATTACGGCAATTGGGGCTGCAATGAGAAGCATCACTACTGCGCCCCATCCATTGTTATCGGAGCTCTCGATGAATTGCCCACCGTAGCTTGTCGTCGAGCTCGTCGTTGCTGTTGTAGGAGTGGTGGATGTCGTTGGAATAATGGATGTCGTTGAAGTGGCGGATGGCAGAGCAGAGGTATATGCACGAACATAAGAAACGTTGAAATATGCGTTATCATATCGTGGACTTCCAGGCCCAACTACGCAGTCCTGATACTGTATCGCACGCGTTAAAATGTGCTGGGATCAAAAAAAAAATGCCATTTGCAGCTATTAGCACTCACACATAGGCCTGTTGGACCTGAATTGCCACATGACGCATTATAGGATCCTCCAGCCCCTGCCCTGTATGTAACATATGAAAATTATAAGGTCCTGGGATGCGAGGTGTGACAAAACTCACCAGTTTCCACAAAGAGTAATGTCTAAAACTAGGTTCTGCGCAGTGAAATATTGGGTGATGTTGCAACTGCTAGAAGGATAACTGGCATGCGGAATCCCCCATTGAGTGACATCCATGGAAGCTGAATCAACTTGAAGGATGGAAGTGGGCACGTCAGGACGCTAAAGAATGGTAAGCACATTGCAACTTTAGCGAACCCAAGGGCACACCGCACACTCCAGAACCAGATACTACAAATGATGGTCAGCCATAAGAGCGATGAGGATATAGCATGTGCAACTGCGTACAAGATACCCGACACATCAAACTGCGTAGCCCAAACGCCCCCACCAGCTGCCGCGAAACCGCTTCCATAACTATTCGGAGAGGTTTCCATCACTGTGCATCCAGAGGGTTCAGAACAGTTGGTCGTTGCACCGCTTGTACCAAGTTGATATTCTGATCCATTTTGAGTGCATCCTGGCGTACTGTGAATACTTATTTGATTATCGGACATCAAGTTGATGCCCTCGATGATATCTATCTCCCCATCCTCTGGCCAGTTAGGCCCTACAAAGTGGTGTCAGCTGGTAAAAGTAAAACCAACAACATCACGCGCACCAAAACTCCAAAACGCGGGCCAAACCTCACGTAGTAGTTCAGCTGCGAACGACAAGTGGATCAAGCCTCTCATAACATACCGAGCATCCAAACGGTATGTGATTGAGATCAATTATCCAAAGGCTTCCAACATCATAAGTATCTTGAGTGGTTATGCGAACCTGTCGAGCTCTAATAAGTACTGGGTGTTTGCCTTCTGCATTTTGCGCACTGAGCTACGGTTCTGGCCCATAGGCACGTCTGTTATGTTGTCCACCTTGATTATGACATTTCCTTGACTGTCTACATATGCTAGCTTCTGACTGGTTGCATAGGATTGGTTGACCCATATGGCATTACCTGCATCGTGTTTTCTGCTGTAGTGGGATACAAGGCATGAAGAATACTATCCTCACCTTGAGTCGTGTTGTCATAACCGCCATAAAAGTCCCATAGATCAAAGAAGCTCTGCCCCGAATATTCGCGGACGAGACTATAGCCCACCACAGAATATATATAAGAAGCAAAGACTTCAAATGCAAGCCAGTACTTCATGGTCACGAAGTGTGAAAATATGCCAGACAGAGGAAAGCCCGAGGGCATTCATATAGTCAGAAATTTTCGAGTGGTGATGGTCAGACAAGTGGGAGCGCTACCGGCTGGAGAAGGGGTGGTTTGGAGCTCGAGGCCCTTTGGAATGAATCATTACATACTTTACCGCGCGTTGTAGCTTTCGGCGAGCCGCGACTCATGCATCATGACTGAATCCGAACAAACATGAGGCGCGTGACAGAAGACGTGCGTGACTGAAGCGGCATGCGTGACGGTGCTCACATGATAATCGCATGTCGAGAAACCTTACTTATTGTCTTTCATGTTTTCTTCATCGAACGCTGAAATCATCCGGACCCTCTGCCTCTGTGGGCACTGGTGACCTACAAAGTGATGAACATTGGACTTGGCAGATGCTGTAAAATCATGGATGATGCACAGCAACTTCCAAGTACCACCAGTTTGATGTGTATAATCACATTATCGCCTATGCCGCATCGCGATGCTAATATCAATCAGTTCCCCGACAGAATGCTGTCGGGACTTGGAAGCAATACTACAGAGTCTCTGAGTCCATAACCCTTACACCCGGAGGACATCAAAGAAATTACCGATAGCACAGCAAAGCACAGGCTTGTATGAGAGGCGATCAACGAAGGATAGAAGCATCGCCCAATCACGGTCAGCCCCTGGAACAGCGATAAGTAACGTAAACAACATGTCACTGCTAGTCTTAGTTACGTGGGATCCAGTGGGTGTGCGCGTTTTCATATCAACGTCATGCTGTCCTGATGGTGATGCATTGTATGATATCGTTCAGCTAATAAAAGAGAACTTACCTTCAGCCTCCATCAACATTCAAGTCACTTCGAAGTTCCTACTCTTTGTACATTCTCTATTCGTCATGGAAAAGCCTTCGACATTGTTGATTGAGCAGCTACAAAGCGTCCACGCCCGTCAACGCAAGGTTATCCAACAGCTTCAGGCGGATAACGCTAGACTGCTCAGCGACCTCGTCGAGATTCGTCGGGAGAGAGACGCTTTCCGAGCGGAGGCTGCGAAGCTTCGCAAGGGCCAGGCAGAGCTGCACAATCAACTGGATGAAACGCTGTCAGAGTATCAAGATTTGAGGCGCGAGCGTCTCACTCTTTCCCGCGCATTCAGCAATGCGTCTTCTTTCGGGCGGCCGTCAAAAACTAATAATAAGGTGTGTGCAAATGGTCAGCGATTGTGCGGCTCTAATACATTCGATCAGGCGATGCACATCTTATCAGCGTTGACAGGAGATGAAACAAAGAGCCCATCTCTTGATTATGGCACAGTCAGTCGTTGAGCCGTTACCATCAAAACATGGTCTCATTACTTTTTGCAGGGCATCACCCACACCAGTCAAAATTCATATTCAAGTCGTGAGTTGCCAGAACCCGTTACAACCGATGGGCCTCAAATGGACGAGCCTGTTCGCCGAGTTCGGAAGCAGCCTACGCCTGTTCCAAGGGCATCATTGTATGCACTTGACATGAACTGTTGAACGTGCCATAGGAATGAGCAAAATGAAACACATCAGGACATGGCAGGGAGCGCAAAGGCAAACTGCCCGCTGTATCATATTGCCAGGGATATGTATCAGGGGAGAATGTTATCCAGCATTTTAAATTTTAAACTTAGTACTCATTTTAGGACGTTTAGATCGTAACGGTAACGCCACATTGTAATGATACAAAATGGACTTGTGCGGGAGGGCTATGTGGAGATACAGAAAAGGGTCATCACCTGATCAGCGTCGACCTCTGGCATGAGGATAACCTTAAACCAAAAGCTGAGCTAAAGACAGATATATCAACATTTCGTGGCCTGAGAGAGGAACAGTGAAATCTTCACTCACGCTGGGGCTTTATTTCGCATACTCTCGCGTCATTTGGACGAAGATAGGCTGCCTGCATGGGAGCCGGCTGGGGCAACATGTACACTGCACCACCCTGGACCAAAAGTGGTACCGTAGCCGACTTCGCCAATATCGTGTGCACTATATCGTCAAATTCGTACTGTCTCCACAACATATACTTGGGTCTGCTTGCCGAATGGACGTAGTTTGTGGCAGAGCTATTTCAATGTACTTCGAGAACCACTCACAGGGGAAGTAATGTGCTGCAGGCCGACTACACGAAGTAGTAGACAACTCCAAAGTGGCCCGTTGTGCCGCGTCCCCTTTTATCTCTCGTTGATGGTTAGACTTTGAATTCCAAATAAATAACGGATCCGACGCATTCATAATCGTAAATTTATCCTAAGCGAGTGACTGTGATCGGCCCTGCATCAGCAGCTTCACTTAGTGTATGCATGATACCAACTCACGGAATGCAGGTTGGGGCCAGAAATAGCGGTATCGAACGGTACATCTGCAGAAGTCAGCGCAAACCATGTCACAAACGGGGAGGATACAACAGTAGCCCAAAGCCGGATCCGTGTGTCAAATTAACGTTCTGTCCGTGTCTCCAATTCGATCATAAGTGCTATCCTGATGCGGTAGCATTCCGTGTATATCTTCGCATCTATTCCACTGATGTGGGCGTGACAATCCTAAACTGACCATGTGATACCATGTCCCTGAGCTCAGGTCACAGCCCTCAAACCTTAAAATCATTGTGCTAGGGAGATTGCCGGAAACCTCGTCTCAGAGTCACAGCTGGTGAGCCTGTACACCAATGATGGCCATATGGCACTACTGGGCATAAGTCGAGAGTGATTCGGAATATGTGATTCGGAATATCCGCAAGACGACGGATCCCATAAATTCAAACGTTGGGCCACTGTATTGGCGCCTGGATTCTGGTCGTTCACCCGAATGAAAACAACGTGCGACTGGATTGCACATTGCGAACACGTTCTGTGATTTGTCGGTGGTCGCCAGCAGTGGTAGTAGCTTAAGCCACGCCTTCCTAGGTCTGCGGTTGATTAAACATGCAACATCATAGAAGGAGGGCTGGACACAGGATGGAAGGCAATCATCACGGAATCGTCAATAAGCGCTGAAAGGCGTGTGATAGTGGTCCCTTACGCAGACCATAGAACATTCCTTTGTTCTGAGCACCGTTGAGCTCGCTGTGACGCTGTCAAAGGAGATGAAAGACGTTCGATCCAAATGCGGACAAACAAAGAATGATAAACAAACGCGCTTTAAAGTCGCGTCGCGTCGCGTCTTTCAATTCGCCCTTCTTCCATTGCTTTGCTTATTCCATATATTGATGCCACTATGGACGCATCAGCTACGTTGTCGCGTCAGCCTGATATCCTTGCTATTGCAAGGGAGCAGCTCGGCGTTCAGAAGCATGTGAAGGTAAGCATGCGATGATTGACGCTCGTCGTTTGTGCGGCGAGGCTGAAAATATATCAGGACGCGTCCGTTCCCAAGTTCTATCTCGCTGCGCTTCGTCAGCATCTAGATATAGATCCCTACGACACCAACGTACGTTGAAATCATACCTGGCGTAATATCTTTCAAAGTTAACGACCCCATTTACAGTTTAGAGTCACGTTGCAACCAAATACAGGATGTATGCGCTTCCTATTATGGATGTGAAGATTGGCTGAGTTAAAATTATAGATGGCGTGATCACATGTTTGGAGCAAGGTTGCGCTGCTATCAATATCCCATTGAGTGCCAGACAGACTACCCGCTCAGATGGAAAAGCGGATGGTTTTGGTAGTTTGGCCAATTATATGGTATGGGTATTGCGTATGCAAGTTTCTTTGAGTATGAACATTCGCTCCTTAGGCCCATGCTAGTACAACGAAGCATAAGCAGGCGAGACTTGCGCGCGTCAAAACCCTCCATGCTAGGAAGGCGATCAAGAATGAAGCGGTAACTAAAATCGCGTTTTCTGCTAGCTCCATCATGACAATGTTTGCGCAGCCAAATGTACTTGCATCAGACGTCGCCATTGATACAAAGCCGCCGCGAGGTGGCTTGTTGGCACAACTCGATGCAAATCTGAATGTTAACAGTCTCTCCAACCCAAGTACCTCAGCACGACGAGCCCCAACATTAAAAGCGCTCGTGTCAATACCGTTGAGGCGCGGGACTGCTGGGACTGCCGTAGAGCCTGGGCCTGCTGACAGTGCCATTCCCCGAAAGCGCACTTCGTCTCTCATGTTCCTTGGTGCGGAAAAGGAGGAAGACAAACCTGGTGTCTCCACTCCCCCCGTATCTAAGCGCACTACTCTTGAGCGGCCTGGGGCGCTTCTAGCGCCAGCCAATTCCAACACGAAGTCTTCCCAAGGCCACATTTTCGTACAGCCCACGGATCACAATGCTGTGCTTCCTGTGGCACACAAGGTATCCTTGCACCGCAGCTCTGATGAAGCCCCTTCAAGGATCACCGGAATCCAGAATAACCTGAATTCCCTGTCCAAGCTTTCTGAATTGACAAAAGGCAGGACCGTTGATCAAGGACTTTCCGTCATGGCTTTCCAGAACCCTCCCCACAATGGTGACGAAGCCGGATATTCTTATGCAGCTCTTAACCACCATCCTATTGCATCGGGATCACGCGTTCGTGTCGACGCTGCTACTATGGGGTCGTACACAGACTCTGAGGATGATTGGGATCTGCGTGATATCTTCAGTGGCGCTGGCACTCGTGACACACGATTCGACGAGGATGGCGACTTCTACGGTAGAGGCAAAGACTTGTTTGTTGGCCCTACCGCGAATCCGGGCGAGTACGTCACAACATCTTTCTAAGTGAATGCGTTCTCATTTCTGTGCTGTTCATAGTATCGACAAGTTTTTGATTGCTGCTGGCAATGCGGAGCAATTCGACGGCAATGCCAGTGTCGACACAGCCCTCCAAAAACTCGGATTGAAGAGTCTGTACGATCTCCTTCCAGGAATGGCCATTTCTTTGTTGGCTCACCAGGTTATCGGCGTCGCGTGGGCGTTGGAACGTGAGAAATGTGGCGACAAGGGAGGCTGCTTGAGCGATGAGATGGGCTTAGGGAAGACGGTGCAGATAATCTCAGTGATCATTGCCAACCCCTCCGATGATCCTAGATGCAAGACGAACCTTATCGTTGCTCCGCTGGCCCTACTGAACCAATGGAAGCTTGAGATCGAGATGAAGACCACCAACAATTTGAAGTGTCTAGTTTACCATGGTACGTTTAGAGTTGGATGTGGGGTTCGTTTAATTCAAGTCTCACGTTCTCTTCCATCGAGGGCCCAACAAACCCCGCAACAAGACCGACCTCATGAAATATGACGTCGTGTTAACTACTTTTCACGTGCGTCCGAGTGAAATATCTTTCACTAATTGCTGACCCTGGGTCTGTAGACTCTGGCACTGGAATGGCCAGACCTAGAAGCGGAAGAAAAGGCAAAGCAGAAGGCTCAAAGGCGCAAGAAGAATACCAATTCCTTTATCGAAAGTGATTCGGGGGATGACAGGAAACCTAAGAAGAAAAAGAGGGAATGTGAGTGCCGACGATCGCTATGTGATCACGTAAATTGACTTTGTGTAGTGGGGCTTCTCTTCCAAGTCCAGTGGTACCGTGTTATTATTGATGAAGCACAGAACATTCGCAATCGGCGCACAAGTAATAATTGCAACGTTTCACCCTTCTATATTCTGATAGTCCTTCAGGAATATCTCGCAGTGTTACCGATCTTGACACGACCTACCGCTGGTGCCTTACCGGGTGAGCATATTTTCCGTTGCGACCACCGTTCACTGATTTTCGGACAGTACACCCATTATCAATGGCCTAGTTGATGCATACGCTCTGTTTCGCTTCCTCCGCTTCCGTCCTTGGTATGATTGGCAAGAGTTTAATGGACACGTCTCCATCATCGAGAAAAAGAATCGTACGTCAAAGTTCGCCTACTATAGATCTCGCCCTCACTTAATCATGCTCCAACTACAGCTGAATTGGCAAGCAAGAGGCTTCAGGCTATTTTCACATCGATTATGCTGCGTCGCAAGAAAGATTCAATGTTAGACGGCAAGAGACTCATCGAGCTTCCCACAAAACATGTGGAGATGGAGAAGCTAGAGTTTTCCCAAGAAGAGCGCGAAATATACCAAATGGTTTGTTCTGCCAATGTATACATGTGCCACGCTCATTGATATGTCCTTTAGGTCGAAGCTCGTTCCCAAGCCAAGTTCAATCGTTTTCTCCGCGCTGGTACGGTCTTGAAGTAAGTCGTCAATGGTTTGGAGGAAATTTGATGATCTCAATTACTACATATTTAGAAACTATCACCAAGGTACTGCACCATTCCACCAACACCACCGTTCGTTAATAACTCGTTTTTAATATAGTCCTTGTTATGCTCTTGCGTCTCCGCCAAATATGCTCCCACCCCGCTCTTATTCAAGAGACTTCCGATGCGCTTGTTGCAGCAGATCAACTGGTTGGCGAGATTGACCTCAAGGCCGAGCTGTCTCGTGCAGCTCGGCTAGTGTCATCAGAATTTGTGATGAAGCTGAAGGCAAAGTATTTCCAGTGCGCGTTGGCCCGCATGCAAGCAGAAAAAGAGGTATGTTCTCACTGTCACATGAATTTCATGATGTTTACATGAATACAGTCCCTGGACGCCACTGCCGAAGGCGAGGAATGCCCCATCTGTATGGACACATTCACCGAGGCACGTGTAACTGCCTGCGGTCATACCTTTTGTCGCGAGTGTATCGCCAATGTCCTCAATGCTCCCTTTGTCCAAGACGCGGAGGACCCTCATAAATACCGGAGTAACGAGAAGCCTTGTGAGTCACGCACGTAACTTCTTTTCACCACGCTCATTTTGCCTTGCAGGTCCCAGCTGCCGCTCTCCCATCTCTGCAGACACCATTTTCATCCGCGAAGCATTCGAACCCGCTGATGCCGAGTTGTCAGGAGATGCATCGGCATCCTCCGATGACGAGATGCCCGAGATCTCTGATATGATGTCTCGAGGAACGAAGGGCAAAGGCAGGGACAGGCGCATCCGAAAAAGGCGTGCTGTGTGCGACTCGGATGATGAATCGGAAGATGATGGCGACGACGACATCAGCGATTTTATTGTCGAAGATGGCGAGGATGA